ACTGGCAGAGGGCCCCACGCAAGGGGAGGTTCGCAATATCCAACAGGATTCCCCCTTCCCTCAACCCATCCAAACATTTCGTCGAACTCAAAGACCAGCGTGAAGTCTTCGGCCGCTTGGTACAGTGTCGAACCGGGCACGCGTATACAGGAGAATTCCGCAGACAATTCTTCCCAGAGAAAACCACAAACTGCGAATGCGGAGTGGACCCACAGACGCGCGAGCACATTATAAGAGACTGCGAACGGTACGAGGACCAACGGGCCAAGCTACGTGATCACGACCGTGAACTGGCACTCCCAGAACTACTGGGAACCCCCAAAGGCATCACGGCCCTATCCATCTTCATAAGAGACTCCGGCGCGTTCACATTCACGGGAGAAAAGCACATGCCAAAAGAAACCCCATCCTTCCAGGACGAACCAGAACCCCCAGACGAGGACTCAGAAGACGATGAGTCCGACGCTGAACCATAACACCCATACGATGCCCACACCCAGACCCAATCCCCCGCGAGCGCAAGAGCGCCCGCCATGCCCCTAGCGTCGCCACGACGCACTCGACTCTGACCTCCAGTTCTCTGGCCCCTGCACACAACCCTACACATCTCTTATACAATACAGCTACACATCGGACACCCAAATTCACGTAATGGAAAGCCCGCACGACATAATTACATCTAAAAGGGAAGCCATACGCTTCCCGTGCGTCTTAGTACTAGACTACTTGTTGCACGTAAATCTCGAGATAATAAAAAAAAAAAAAAAAAAAATAAAACGAGTCTCGATGTAAGTCTCAACGAGAATGCGTCAGCGGTTATTAGAAACCAGTCCCACGATCAGATTTATGCCGCTTTCCCTCCGCTAAGCCGACTTTGCCGTGGCGCTCGCCAAGCCACAATCTCCTCGACTATTTTTGAAACCCCCAGCGCTGTAGGAACGTGTACAGACATACACGATGCACACAAGATTGGAATTATTGTTCATGGTACATGATGCACCGACTCGGACGCAACTCGGACGGTGATCCGAATGCATGCACGACTGAAATCGAATGTTTTTATCAAGGAAATAAAAATCTCCCCATAATCCTCGTATCTTGCCATATCATCCCATTACATTCATGACGTAGTTGATGCTGTTGACGGGATTGTCGACATGATCAACGTTGAACGATTTCGTTTCACTCGAGCATCCCTGAACTTTCCCACCGCGTGACTTCCTTTCTCCTCCGTCCATCCATCCGTTCACTTCCATTCACCAACCCGAAAAATGTCACAATACGTCGACAGACGCGCAGCCGCAAAATCATACCGCCCAACAGCCGGTGTACGTCTCCCTCATTCGCCACTTCACCACTCCACCATTCCTATCTAACATCTTTTTTTCAGTCAATGTCCCCAGGCCTCAAACGCGCACGAGCACCCTACCGCGTCAAAAACGCCCTCCTAGGCCTCACTCTCGGCGCATTCGCAGTCGGCATATGGGCTTATTCAATAAGCGCAGTGAAGCAGGACGTGTTTGATGATATCGACGATGAAGCCAGGGCTCTGAGGGAAGGAGGTGTGGGTGCTAATAAAACTGCTGCTGGAACGACGGGATCTACGACTGTCGGGTTGGCTTCAGTATCAACAACGCAGGGGTTAGTGGAGGATAGGACGAAGGGCCTTGTCAAATTTGGGGGTGATGCTGGTGTGGTGGAGAGGAATGAATCGACGATAGGCTTGTTACAGCATCTAGACCAACGATTCCCGTGGCTTCTCGATCCGCAACGCAAGACCTTTGTATGGGGTGCTCCGCCTGTGGATAACGTCGGGAAGATGCGCGACACCTCATCCTCCTTGTCATCATCATCATAGCACAATGTATGAATCACATCTACGCCTAATTCTAATCATCTCAACTCAGTGCAAACTACAATGGGTATTTAAAATTGCTCGTCCTGGGTATATACCATGTACACCTTTAAAACCTCGTCCACCAATACAAAACCAAATCTGCCAGCCTAACCAAGCCCCCAAATCCCCGCCTTCCTAACACCCTCCACAAGCGCATCCACATTCCCAAGCATAGTACCCAACAACTCTTTCTTCTCTTCCGTCGTCCTCCTCTCATCCCTATCTTTCCTCGGGGGTACGGGTACGGGTGCCGGAGCCGCGTCTGATCCTGATCCTGATCTATTCTTCCCCCGACTTTCCCCATCCCACTTGCCCTTCTCCAACCCACCCTCAGCCAACGAGCCAAGCTTCGACAAGCTCCTCGAGCCCACTATATCCCCGCTCCTCGAGCCAACCATCCCCTGACTCTGACTCCCAACCAACCCACCAACACTCTTACTCTTCGGCGTATGCGTATACCTCATCCCACTCCCACCCGACGACACCTGTCCCTGCGGTTTCTTCGGACTCAGCGGAACATAATCCACCTCTTTCTTCAACATCATCATCGACCGCGGCTGGAGTGGCTGTAAAGGAAATCGTTGCACAGGAGGAAGTGGCGGTGGCGGCGACTTGGGCGGGGTACGTGGATTTGCGGTTGTGGGTTTCGCGTCGGTTGAAGGTGTGCACTGCGATTGTGTTTGTGTTTGCTTCACGGGAGAGAGGGACGGTCTTCCCCTCGTACCCTTTTCAGGAGACGAAGACACGGACGAAGCGTTCGTAGATGAAGAAGCGTTTGATGAAGTCGAGGAGAACGACTTCATCGAGCTATCTGATGTGGAGCGCGAGGAAGAGGCAGAGGACGAGAAGGAATACGTGGAGGAACCGTAACGCGACGTTGGTCTATGGGGGGTGGCTGATAGATATGGTTTGGGTGGACGAATGGGTGTTGCTGGGGCAGTGGGTGGGAGAGTCGGTGTTGAGGGGGTTGGGGTGGTGCTGCTTGAGGATGATGTAGAATCGGGTTCTGGAGTGGGTGTCTCGTCGAGTAGGTAGAAGTACAGGAACTCGAGGCATTTCATCCTTTTCACTTCATAAGCGTTGAATTGATGAAAGGCAAAAGCAGACTTACCGGACTTCACGAGGTGTCCCAGCCCGTTTCAGGATCTTAACGACAGCCTGTGGGCCGGCGGCACCCTCGAACGCTCGAAGCGCAGTTGAAGAGTCGACTAGAACACACAGGAGGGTATCTAGAACGGCAGATGTCAGAGGTGGAGGTGGGGGCGCTGTAGACTTGTCATTGGCTGCATCAGAAGAAGCTGATGGAGGTGGTGTTGGATAATGGCGAGATGCGAGGAGGAGATCTAGCAGAATCTGTTGATGCCACCGTAAATAAGTATACCAAGACCGAACGAAGACAGAGAGACTACCTCTTGTCCGTATTTCCGACCTAGGAACTCTTTACTCGCAGGATGATTGAGCATGACGCCTTGTATCAAGGACAAAGACAGTGACAGCTGAGAAGCTATTATACGAGCTTCAGCTTCCTGTATATCTGTTCAGTGTATCGCACAACGTCCCAGTCTCATATCAAACACGAATGAACTAACCATCCATGGTTCCATTGTTGGTCAACACGTCCAATCGTGCAGTCGCCAGTCCGATCCATGCAAGAAGACGCAAAGGCACTAGCATCCCAAAATTCACTCCCCAAAAAACGCGGAGAGGAAAGTAAAGGACGCACGGTTACACTCAAACGTATACTGCAGCGCAAAGAAAGCGTCCTTCTCATCCGAATTATCACATTCGATACACGCCATGGCGATATTGCGTTCTAAAGCTTGTAAAGCCCTAGATTTCGCGCCAGCCGACGAACGAGGCGAAGAAAGCTGTCCATATGTCAACCTCGTGTTCTGCTCAAGTCCCCATTCAACCGCGGGACAACGCACATCGTCTAAAGCATCCTGGATGCTCAGTCTTTTCGCCATAAGCGTTGGCTCAAAAGCCATAGTAGGCTCAGATTTTGATTCTAAAAGAGTGGTAGTAGCGGTGAGCTGCGTGAAAGGTGAGGCTAGGATGAGGTTTGTTGTTGAAAGTTGTGGGTGTCTATTTACGGCAGGGGGAATTGCTTCCGTTCGTTGAATTCGCTTAACTTTTCGGGGTGATCTCGTGATCCGCACTAAAGAAGCAAGGTTTTTCTTTTTTTTTTTGAGATTTTCTGTGTCGCGTCTACCCATTCGCTTCATGAAAGACTGGAAATGGAAATATGTAGTGGGTTTCTCCTTTCTTGCTCTGTCAAATTGCACCCTCGATAGGCTGACTCCCATCCGCATTTTTGCCTCAGAGCCCCACGATTACTCTCTGATGGTGAGCTTACGCCTTGTTCTCTGAGCGCAATAGGGCCGACGACCATCAGTACGACGCGGGTGGGCCCACAACGGTTGACTTACCAACACATCATATTCAGGTATCAGGGCCTCTTTTCAACAATTTCATTTTATGTGAACGAATTTCATGCGCAAACACCCCTTGGGCTGGTAACGAAGGAAGGGGTGCACCTCGCCCAATACCGCCGTATGTCCTTTGATCCCATGCTTGCGGGCGGCGCTGGTGTCAACCGAGACAGCAGCTGTACTCCCTTCATTCGAAAATGGCAACAACTTACCAAAGTCGTCTCGGCCCACCCCTCCTGAACGTATACACAGATGCAGCTTAGCCCCTCTGGTGGCGTCACAGCCGCTTGCCATCGAGGTGATACGGTGGTTGGTTCCTACATGCCTTGAGTCTATCCCCATCTTGGCTACACGGCTTGTCCACCGACTCATATGACTAGGCTTTCAGTAACATGGCGGAGAGCAGTCGCAAGTTGGCCTAGCTTTCGCCCTTCAAATTTATTAGGCGACCTCCCGATAGTCCTCTTCGTCTATGTGTACTCACACCCAATAACTGGCTGGCGTGAAGCCGCTCCTGAACGCCATTCAAACACTCGATCCCTACATCAAGGCACTGAAGCAATTTGAAGTAAAATCGCTGCTTCGACGCAAGGCACTGTCAACTCCGTGCGCCACGAAATTTGGGGAATAGGCATCTTTAGCTTTCCGACGGAAGCTTCGGTCAATAGTCTTTGTTACACCACTCTCCCCGTTCTAATAGGATGCTCGCTAAAGGGGAACTCGTAAACGAAATAGTATCCGCGTTCAAAGGCTCGACAAGGAGACGGCAAAGACCTGAGGGCGGAAGTCAGGAAATGAACTAGAGGCCCTCAAATGAAAACATCATTTCCGTCGCTCGTGTTCAGAGAGTAAAGCAAGAATATGTTTAATAACAGGTTGGTATAATTGTTCAAAACTCAAAGTCAAATAAAGTATGGGTAATACAGAGCAAGAACAATCTGGGAAATATGGAGGCAAGAAATGTGTGCATGAACAGGTATAGTAGGGGGGTGACGGATATATAGCGACTCTTGTATCTACCATCCTGGAGCACCTCCAGGAGGACCAGCTTCGGCCTCTGCCGCCCTCTTCCAAGGAGGAGATGCGTTTTCCTCCGCCCTCTTCCAAGGAGGAGATACATTTTCCTCCGCCCTCCTCCAGTCACGACCGTCGGTGCCTGCGCGTTTCAATTCAATGACTGCACTGTCAAGGCCATCGCGCCGCCAATCACTGCCACGGCCAATCACCTGGAAGATACTAAATTAACGCCCATCAACAAATTGAGAGCGATATCCAATACGCACTTCGACTTCTCGGCTAATTTCGATTCCACGGTTGTTCAACTGCTCGACAGGAATCTAGGGAGACAGTCAATTATGCCGTCTTCTGATCTGGGGAAAGATGGACGCACGGGTGAGGCATACACAGTAGTAAGGAGTGTGAGGGCAACGTATGTAACGAGACTTTGGAAAAGCATTGTGTAGAAGATGCAAGCGATGAAGAACGACTAGTGAGTTATCATAAGCGGGTGAGCACCTTTATATACTGACGACGACAACAACATCAACTCCACCTCATCCGGGATTCGGCGTGCCTTGAAGCAAGAAGCATATGGGCCTTGGCTGTGTGGGTGGCGAGTATCCCCTTTGGGTTCAGAAGAAGCTCAAAGTTACGGATGGAATTGGCGGGTGTGATGAACCCATGCGTAATTTTCCGTATGTCGTCCACTTACTTTGCATTATACGACACCGCTATCAGAAGCCCCGTGAGCCTCGTTTTCTCTCGTCCCTCGCGATCCGTTTGCAGCCCATTCAAGTAAAATTTGATCATCTGCAGGTGTTTCGCATGCCGACAGATAAACTGATGCGTACCACTACCAACGCCGGGTCTTTCAAATGCGTTAGGCCAGGATTTTTCCAGCCAGTCAACGTACGGCGTCAAAAAGACCGATTCCATTATAGATTGACATCGCGAAGAATAGCGGAACTTGTTCTAGATCTTGACCCATGGATGCTTTATTGTTAATTTTCCAGTAGGTGAATTGGTGGGATTTTATTGATTGAGTTACGTAAAGGGTTAGTTGGGACAATTTGGGGGTGCAATTTCCAATTTTCTGCCGAAATTTATCCAAGCGATGGCCCACTCGGACATTCTTCGATAGCGCGTTTTTGAACTGGGATCGAATTGCTGTTGTAGAAGTTGGTCTCTCTGGCGTCCACAACCGTTAATTTATCCATCCCGTCGTGACGTCGTCGTCCATGATAGGTTGGACATGATGCATGATGGGATGAATGTAGGGTGAACTGCTGTCACGTTCGAGGTTGAACACGCATGGTCACAGACATCACGTGAACAAAACGGTCACCCCTGACTAAGACGTCCATCATCCAGCGGCGCTCATTCCCTCGTTCCGAGGATGAGGGCGCTTTTGAAGCACCCTAATTAACCCGAGAAGACAAAACGTTTTGGAGAGGAACGATGGCTCCAATTAAGACGGTATGTTTTGAATTTTAACACTAGCAGTTTGCCAAAATCGGTTGATCATCCGCCGCGCTAGCAATGGTCTCGTCTCATACGTTTCGTAGCCGCAGAGACCTCGAGGGTGCATCTTGGCCAACCCGTAGACCCTAATATTGATGGTATGTGCTCATTTATTTTGTACCTATGACGCTGACGCCCATACTCGACGCAGTTGGACTTGCAGCTTACAACTCTGACCCTATCAAAGCATACGAGATCGTGGGGTCGGCACTAGATCCTGCTGCGCAAGTTACCGACTCTGTCCTAACAGTCAAGACTCTCCTCGCACCGCTAGCGAACGAGGAGATCAAAATCGTCCGATGCTTGGGGCTGAACTACTCCGACCATGCAGTGTGCACCCTTCACTTGGCGCTTGACAGCCTTGGACTGATAATTTCGATAGGCAGAAGCTAATATGGCCAAGCCTGCGTATGCCTGAGCCCTCATCATTTGGCGTATCTCTGACAACAAACCCAGCTTTCCAATTCTTTTCTACAAACCTGTAACATCTCTTATAGGTCCCCTAGGAACGGTGATCATCCCTCAAGTTGCTCAACCACCAGAAGAACACCTTCCAGATTACGAAGTTGAGCTCACCATTGTTATCGGCAAAGCAGCCAAGAACGTCTCAGAGGCTGACGCACTGGATTATGTCTTGGGATACACTGGAGCCAACGACGTGCGACGAGTCGTATTTGCAGCTAGACATTGAACTCAACGCTGAAAATAATCAGGTCTCTTTTCGAAAGCATCAAATGGCAATATCACAATGGTGTTTTTCCAAAAGCTTTGGTGCCTACCTTTTGCAGCGAGGTTATTCGCGTCTAATTATTGCCGCAATAGACAACACAAATCCTCTAGGACCATGCATCGTCTCTAGCAACCTCATCCCGGACCCACAGACTATTCTCCTCAAAACTTACGTCAACGGAAATATGATGCAAAATGGGACCACCGCGTTCGTCTGTTCGCTCCAGTCCCTCGTTGAAGAATTGACTAAGAGCCTCTTTTCATACAGAGAGCAAATCTTTAACGTCCGGCAAACAGTCTCATTCCTCTCACAAGGAACCACTCTTGAACCTGGGAGCATCATCATCACTGGCACACCCAAGGGAGTCGGGTTTGTCAGGAAGCCTCCGGTTTTCTTGAAACATGGGGACGAAATGGCTGTTTGGTTGGGAGGTGGGATTGGGTCGCTCTTCAACAACGTGGAGGAGGAGAAATCGGCTGCGGGCCAGCTAAAGGTGTAAGAGGGCCTCTCAGCTGGAGGCGTTGGTGAGCATAGATATCCAATGCAAAAGAACCATCAAGGGAAAAGTGACAGACGTGGATTTTACATGTATAAAGTATCTAGCCAAAAATACAAGCAACCAACAAGCATACCGTTCACAAACCACCAAACACAATCAGCTTGGTGTTCATGTACTCTTCAATTCCATGACCACCCTCCCTCCCAAGACCACTCTCCTTGATGCCCCCGAATGGAACTACAGCCTGACTCAGAAGTCCCGTGTTCGCGCCGACCATGCCAACCTCGAGCCTCTCCGCAACACGCCATACCCGCCCAACATCTCGTGAAAAGAAATACCCCGCAAGACCGACGTCGGTGCTGTTCGCGAGCCTGATGACTTCGTCCTCTGTCTCAAATTTGATGAGGGCAGCGAGAGGACCGAAGGTCTCTTCCTCGCTGATGAGTGCGTCCAAGGGGACATCACTGAGGACTGTAGGGATGAAAAAGGAGGTGTTCGGGATTGACTTCCCGCCGACGAGAACTTGGGCGCCCTTGGAGACAGCATCTGCGACGTGTCTGTCGACTTTCTCGACGGCGCGGTCGTGGATGAGCGGTCCGTGGGTTCTGAGCGCGATCTATTGTCAGAAAAATCGGCTGGAAGAGAGGCCGCTTACATTCCCTCCTCGAGGCCATTTCCAACTTTAAACGTAGCTACCCTGGCGGCAAGGCGGGACGCAAATTCGGCATATATGGCAGATTGGACAAAAATTCTGTTGGCACAGACACATGTCTGACCGCTTCCTCTAAATTTGCAGAGAATCGCAGCTGTTCGAGTCACATGAATAGCCAGCAAACAAATGTAGTGAACATTGGAATTACCTTCAACAGCTTCGTCAACGTTAGCATCGTCGAACACAATAAACGGTGCATTGCCTCCTGCCTCTATAGAAACCCTTAAATGACCGTGTAAGAGCCCTTTCAAGGTACCAAAACGAGAAACATCGGCCCTTACTTTTTCAGGGTAGACGACGCCATGCCATAGAGTAACTTCGCAACTGGGGTCGAGCCAGTGAAGGTGACCTTCTTGACAATCTTGTTTTGACACATCTCCTTCCCAACCTCGACGACATTTTTTTGGGTCGTAACAATGTTAATGACACCAGATGGGATGCCGGCCCGGATGCTTAGCTGTTGCAGGGTTGGGTAGCCTCAAGGACAGATCCAAAGTGCACAAGCTATTTACCTCAGCAAGGGCTAGGCAAGAGAACGGGGTCTCTGGTGGCGGTTTGATAACTGCGGTGCACCCAGCTGCAAGAGCGGCGCCGAGCTTGCGCGTTATCATGGCAGACGGGAAATTCCAGGGAGTCAAAATCGACCTGTCAGCATGGATTATTCAACTATAGATGAGGAGGTTCACGGGGGCTTACACGACACCTTGAGCAGCATGGATGAAATGACTCAAAGGGAACAAAAAAACATACCTATCGGTTGCTTGACGACAATGTTCCGAGTGTTTGGCAGAGCAGAAGGGATATGTTCTGGAAATAGATCAACTAGCGTTAGCTCTTTTAGGCTACGATTGATTGTCATCTCAAACCTCCATATGTCCTGACAGCTTCCTCGGCTGCGAAGTTTAATATGTTGGCCGTCTGAGAACCAAGTTCTTGAACACTGACCAAACCACTATACCGCAAACAAAAGCCAATTGTGAAAAAGCTAGGGAAACGAGCATTCCTGACTAACCTCCAAAAAGGAAGCACTATAAGCATTTTCGCCCTCGTCCATGTAAGCTTATGAGAAAGGTGCCATGCAGCTCTATAACTCTACCTTTCCTTCCACAAGAGGCTTCCCATTTTCTAATGTCTATAACATGTTGTTATTCCACAGGACATGACGTCAGCATGGAAAACGAACTATGAGTCGGCCCAGATCATCGTGGTGCTCCTGCATGAGAGCATGGAATTTGAGGAGTACGTCGTGTCGATACTATCAACGACCCGCAGCAGGGTCAGGTTCAATGTGTATATGCCGTTGACAGCCATGGACCGACCTTCGCGGTGGTCTTGCTCCACGTTGTAAATGCCTTGGCTGCGGCGTCGATAGCTTCTTTTGTTTCCGATAGGCCCATATCGGGGATCGTTCCAAGTTCCTCATTGGTAGCGGGGTCTGACAAGGAGGGTGGGAGGGTCGTCTTCGAACACGAGGTGATGATGCAAGAAACGCGTACTCGTAACGACAATCTTGTCGCCGGACTTTGCGTCCAACCATTTCCCATCGATAAACGCCTGAAATTTAATCAAACTTGGATCTTTCAGACCGAACTGGGAAGATGGGAGTGAGGTGAATAGATTGCACAGTCAAGGAGTGTGCAAACCACAGAGGCTTGAGTGCTGGCCATCCTGTATGATTTGGGTGCCCTCCTAAGGAAGTTGGGGTTCCTATGAAGCCCCGAAGGGAGCCGAACGAGTGCAAGGAGGCGCATCCGGCTTGAGCTTGCCCGGATGGCGGGGGCTGGGCGTTTGAAATACTTGAGAACTTGACTTGCTATTTTTAGGCTTGCTGGGATTTGATCGGAAATTGCCTTTCCGTCACTCACTTGAACACATCTTTTTGTCCAATTTTTGTCACTCTGCAATTTTGGAAAATCAACCAAGAGTGCATGGTCTCATAATCGCATCAAAATAAAGGGCCGACTTTCATCTCGCCACCACGTTGTTTATTCTTGCGTCACACCAACTCAATGTCAACGAACACACAGAGCTACACAGAGGCAACAATAGACAGAGAAATCTGCCTGGAATTTCGGATGCCCTTCAATCTTTGCATAATAAGTCTCGAATGCATGGGGATCATGCCCACTCTTTAGTGGTTCAACAATCTTGCGAGGTAAGCTTTTTTTTTCATCTGTAGAGCGCAGATACTTACGGTGCCTGTAGTACTGGGACTTAGACAACCCGGTTGCTTGGTGCGGCGCCAATCTTGATCCCGAAACACATACTCCACCCATCACCAGCCCTCACCCATACACAGGCTTTGTTACCTTCTGTCCCCCGGGCTTTTTTTTTAACAGTGAGCGTATTTGTATGAAGCGCAGCTTTATTGGCTCCTCGGATGGAACCCTCGCAGCTGGACAAGCTAAAAGGACCAAATCGAGCCAAGCTTGTGCGTCCTGTAGGCGTCATAAAACTCGATGCGAGCTCTTGGGCGATATATCTCTTCGAGCCAACATCAAATGCCACAGATGTCAAGTTCTTGGTATTGAATGCTCCTTCGAAACTTCAGACAGCATACGTATAATCCCTCAGACGCCTCAAGCTTCATCGACAACCCTTTCCAGTGAGGATGATTTTTCAGCCTCCATCGCTGGTCCCTCACACTCCCATGACTTCGTCGACGTTTAGGAGGCCCCTCGACTTTTAACGCCGGAATGACTACCTTCGAGCCCTCTTCTAACGTCAAGGTTGAAAACCTGATCCCATCTCCAAATTCAGTCTGGCGCATTTTGAACATGCCCTCAGAATTTGATTGGGTTGCAACGCCAATCCTAGCTATCCAAGAATTATTGATATTAGCTCCAGGCGCACGAGAAACCCCCATACATGTAGATGTCCACGAGAGGCTGGACACTATTTTGCGGCCAGATCAGATCTCGGCCCTCCTAGAAATGTATGCGTCCCCGTCCGCTTTCCATCCTAAGTTAATCCGATTTTTGTTTTCTTAAGCTTCAAAACGCGTTACGAACCTTGGCTTAACGCACCAACAAGTCTTACTGCACACTCGGCGCCCACGCCCATGCTCGACGTAATCCGTTGTCAAGTGGCCTCTAGAGATCTTGACCCGACAATGCATGCCGTGATTGCTCCTCGCTTACAAAAGCTCACAGAAAAAATACAACTGGAGGAGCTGTTCAATCCACCTCATTCAACTGAACAAATTGAGGCTCTTCTGATCATGTCCCTTTGGGTCCCCATTTGTGATTCCGTGACGAACAAGGGCCACGACCCTCGCAAATTTATCTCAACAGCCATCAACATCGGGGTAGCCTTAGGCCTACCGCTGGAAATAACTACCTCTGCGAGAAGACGTCCACACTCAAGGGTGGTGGACCTACAAATCGAGGAAAACAACTTCAAAGCACGTTTGGTGAGCATTCTGGCTTAATTATCCTGTGTCGAGGGAGTTCAATCCCGACTTGCTATGCAGTGGCTATTGATGTCTACCCTTGAATCCTTGTTAGTGACCGCCAAGTTCGATTGGCCAGATTTACCCTGACTGGATAACGTACAGGATCTTTATAGGAACGGGCAAACCCCGTGTGTCGCGGCGTTCTGATGCGGATTACACTTTGATCAATGTCCCGGCGTATGGCGGCCTCCCGGCTGCGAGAGAAATGCGACTTGGGCTTATAGCCAGGCTGATCGATACCACGGAAAAAGGATGTAGCTTGAGTCTTGCAGGTCAAGACGACATCGACACTTTCTCTTCTGAAGCAGCCGGCATTTTGACCAAGTTCGACGTCCTCAAACGTTTCATAGCGCCTACTCCTGGTCAGTCCATCAGAAGATAAGATTCTTGGTCGTGATTTAATCGATTACCCGGAACTCACAGTCATATCCCCGTTTGAAGCATTCCAATTCCACATTCTTCTCGTTCAATGCCACGGCTGTCGGCTGCTCGTCTTGCATCACGCCCTCCAAGAGATACGCAGAGTGTTCCCCAAATCTGAAACAGAACACCTGGCCATAGGTTTAGCCTCCACGTTGACCAGAGATGCGTTGGCCTGCGCTCAGGCTGTATTGACGGATACGCTCACATGGCGCGACCAGGACCAACTCGTGACAATCCCTGACTACATATTCTGGATGATATCATTCGCCGCAGCATGGATCGTTACCTTCAATTTCTCAGCATATCAAGCTCACCACCCATCGCACGTTGACGCTGCTTGCGATGGGTTACTGAAATTGACTATCACCCGTTTGTCTGAGATATCGCGTTCGCCTAACCACACTCCGGCGAAGTGCGCCCATTTAATTTCCCTGCTTTATGGCTCGTTGCATAGGTTGATTCCGGAGTTGATCAGTGGCGACAGGGTGTCTTCGCCTGCTAGTGATCATCGGGAAATAGGATCTGGAGACATGGCAGGCCCAAGTTCGATGCCGACGAATCCGTACGTCAGCTTGCCGAGCATGACGAGTACGCCGCCCGGACGTGCGTCCTCCGGGTCATGGAGTGATCAAGCATATACTGCGGTTCCAGGAAATACGAATCAAGTCGGGGAGACGTTGGGACAAGATGCCTTTCTGGGTGCGGAATTTTGGACGTCTTTTATGGATAATCTACCCTCGTCCCATCCCTGAAAATCGCTGTGGCACCGAATTTTGGTCGTTTCGTGGAAAATCCCTAATCGTTTCTTGCGTAACGTTGTCCCATCCCTAGTTATCGTGGCCGGTCCACAAGTTTCGTTTGCATTGGTATTTAGATTCCCCACTCAACTATGTGCAACATATGCACACACTACCATGTTCCATTACATCCAATCATCCGACACATGTATATTTAGTGTTTTTTGCCTCTTCCGGTGTTTTTCCTCGTTTCGAGGGCGTCGAGAAAGCCTCCACCCTCCAAAGCACTTCGAGCTGCTTGATTGATATGTTTGAACCTGTCTGGTCCAAGATGGATGCCACCGAAGTAACGAGTGACAATGACGAGTACGTTGTTGACATCCTGTGAGTGACGAGATGGGGATGAGTGATCATCAGGGCCACCAGGAAAGCGGGTACAGACTAAAATCTGAAGGAGGTGAGCTAGGCGGCCTCCAGCCGCAGTCTCTCCGTCATCGTCATTATCTTTGATTTGAGTTAGGAGGTCCTATCGGAGCTTGGTTTTGAAAGGTCACCTTGATGAAGGACGCTTCCAACCTGACATCGCCATGCATTGATGATAGGATGAGCAGCACGAGATATTCGACGCTCAGACATTAAATGAGCAAGAACGAGGGGTACCTTGAACGTGCCGAGTCAGACGACATCTTTTGACGATAGGTTCAAGGATCAATCTTCACGTACGTCAGATGGTTGTGATATTTGACAGGCACGTCCAATGAATGTGCTCTTTCGGTCTGTGATAGGTTCAGCAACAAATATCTGGATTCCGGCGGGGATCTCAGTGGGCGGACTTGGATTATCGCTTTCAAGTTCGGTGCCTCCTTCGTCGTTCGTGCCCAAGCTTGTGTCGTCCGTCAGTGAGCTCAAGCTGGAATCGGCATTAAAATAACCATTCCCCTTGGCATCGACCCGCATGAGCTCTCCCGCCTTTTCTGCGCTGAGTCGCTCTTCATACCACGCCGTGCAGCGCTCCAAAACGTTCTGCAGCCCATCAAATACGCAAAGCGAGTCTTCCGACCACTCGATCCCGTTAATGGATATGTATGTTCGTAGGATGGATCCGAACAGATTTGAATCCGCGCCAAAGGGCCCTATGTACCGAGATAATAGTTGTAATTGTGGTGAAGAGGTTGCTGGATAGGTCGAAGGTAAGGATACCAGGATTGTCAGGGATACATCCTCATTGGGTGAAGGAAGACTTGACTTTATTACTATGTAGCTCTCGATGTCGTATATAAGAGCTCACCTTAGGACGACCTCATATCGCACTACTGCCTCCTGGTTATTTCGAGATTGTTCAATTCGCGTTGGTGGTTGCCATAGTCGAATTGCGGTGTCTCCGTAAATTGACTGAAGGACTAAAAAAGATCGTGCCCGAGTAGAGGGCGAGATGAAATAAATAATTTACCTTCAATCTCTGAGGCAACAGATTCCCTTCCTGGCTGTTCTGAAAGGTGTATGACGAATTCCTGGAGTTCCTTGACATGATCCCTGTCATCATTGGGAGTAGGCATGGTCACATCCTCAGTCATCGGGAAAGTCCGAGCTTGAGCTGCTGAGCAACTACATGAAGAACTCACCAACATGTCCTCATACTACTCATAGCAACTGAGGCTGACTATGCCTCTTACTGCACCCCCTGTACGCGTCGTTGTTCGCCTACCCTTCCAAAGGCCCGAGAATCCACCCAATGACCCTCCTACAGTTGGTTTTAAACTATCTATCGTCAACGCTCAAACTAACTGTCAACTTTAGATAGAATGGACGCAGGAGAAGGCAGATATGTTGTGGAAAGTAATAGAACGGTCGCGTTCAAGTGATAGTGGAGGAGCTGACTGTACGTGCATCTTGTCAGTGCAACTCTGATTCCGGTCTTCACTATGTTTAGGGAAAGGTCTGGCAGCTCATCTGGAAGTACCTCTCCCGTATCTACTCTATCGGGTGAATGCAAGATTCCAAGAGGAAATCCGTGGTTTGAAGGATATACAAGGCACCCTGGGTCCGGTTACGAGTCAAGCTGCGATCGTGAAGGCCACGGAAGAGTCGCCTATTGGTGAGAGGTCGGCTGTGACATCATCATCCAAAGTTATAGCGCCTCTTGGTGTCCGAGCGCGGTTAAATTCATTGGGGGGCACACCACAAGCCAGGAAAGCTTTATCCTCATCTACTTTGACTCTCCGTACTCCAATCAAGCAACACGTCTCAATACGTCCCATAACCCCATCTTCTGATGGAGGTTCTGACTCGGAGGATGATAATGCCCTGAAAGAAGAGGAAGCCGAGCGGACAGCAGAGGAGCAGGAGGCACTGGACCGTAAGCTGGAAGAACTACAGCGAATGATGACAAACGACGCCTTGGGTCTGGTTGCTCGACCCAGAGGTAAGAGCAATGACAAGGGGCGTGGTGCGCTGTCGCCGAGATCGGTGGGGAGCAGTTACAGGCCGGATACGTTGTCCAGTCGGAGTACGAGCCAAAGCGTGTCGAGTGCTGGGTCCCCACACGGTTCAATACCAGATATACCATCACCCCCCACAGGTGAATCGCAGTCCCATTCTCCCATGAGCAGACATCGCTCTCCGACCAAGTCTTCCAGCCCAGCTACGTATTCTTCTCAGAGCGCTGTCGGACATTCGCACCCAAGGCGGTATGGTCCGTTGGTTGACCGAAGCAGTGACTATAGTAGTCATGATGACTCCGGGGCTTCCAGTTTTAGTGATCTCAGTGGTAAGTCTTGTTCGCCCTTTCACTCAGTACCTAAACTGACTCTGCGGTTATGCCTAGATGCAAGTCTGTCAGCATCGGCATTGGAGAGCGCGCTTTTGTCAAACATCAGGGGGAATGGATCTCGCCTGTAAGTGGTAAATCAACTTACAAGAATTCTTGCTGATTATCACTCTAGATCTCAGGGTACACGTAGCCGAATGATTAGTGGTCGCAGTAGCGGCATTCCTCGTTAGGAATGACGCGTCCTAGGGCGACGCGTCTTTGTTCTGGTGTATTCTGTAGCATTGTAATACGTATCGCATCCAAGTCAATCAGCTATAAATGTGACACCTTGGTCCGCTATCTTTCTCTCTATTTCCGCGAACACAAAGCAACCAATACACCCCTTTGTGACTTCACCGCCTTGCTCCGTTTGCTTTCAAGCCATTCTGTTCTCACCACGACCAGCATGAAGCTCACCTTCGTGACCGACCTCGGTCAAACTTTCGTCGTCGAGATCGATCCCGAAATGGAGCTCGAGAATGTTATGGCATTGCTAGAGGCCGAGGTACGGGATCAAAATTATCTCACTCCACCCGCTCTCAGAGCTGATCTTTCTTCCTTCCAGTCCTCCATCCCCATCGCAGAACAAAGCATCTCGTACGAGAATAGAGAGCTCAGCAACCCCAAAGCCACAATTAGTCAATTGGGTGTTGAGGGCGAGAATGCTATGCTTGTAATAAGGAGACGAGTGGCAAACATTGCGGGGAGGTGCGTTTGCCTACTATGTCCTCCTTCTGGACTATGTTCGATCTGCATCGCTCAGGCCCATGGAGCAGGATACAGAGATGATGCGGCTCCAGATTCTTGGGGACCCACAGCTCATGCGTCAGCTTCAGGCGGTATGTCCCCTCGTGCACCCTTTCATGTTCATCCCCCTCAACCTCGTTCTTGAAATAGAGCCACCCAGAAATGGCTGCCGCAGTGCAGTCAGATCCATCGCGCTTTGCCGAACTATTAAGACACACGAGGGAGGGGCAGTACAACGCTGAGCTGGAGCAACAACGCGAGATCGAGCGACTTAACGCCGATCCGTTCGATGTGGAGGCGCAGCGGAAGATCGAGGAGGCCATTCAGCGGCATGCTGTTAATGAGAACATGCACCATGCATTGGAATATTCCCCCGAGGCGTTCGGGAAAGTGAATATGCTTTAGTAAGTTTATTTGCTTTGTCCATTGCGTTAGGGATCTTGGCTGACGAGGATGGTGCGCCAAAGTATACCTGTGGAAGTGAATTCCCATCCCGTTAAAGCTTTCGTTGACAGTGGTGCTCAATCGACAATAAGTCTGTATCCTTCCTCGCCATCATCATTATTAGGAGCTAATATTTACTTTTAGTGAGCCCCGAATGCGCTGAAGCCTGCGGGTGGGTATTTTCATCTTCTGTGTTGATATCTAATTCTGATGTCTAATGTAGAATCATGCGACTCGTCGATAGACGATTCTCCGGTATTGCGCGAGGAGTTGGTACAGCCAACATTTTAGGGAGGGTGCATAGTGCACCCCTCAAACTGGCTGATTTATTCCTTCCATGTTCGTTTACCATCATGGAGGTGTGTATCTTTGCCTTCCTTTCTTTCTATAAAGGACGCCAAGGAACTGAAACTACTTTCTCAGGGACGCGATGTAGACCTCCTCTTTGGGCTCGACATGTTGAAAGCTCACCAAGCCTGCATCGACCTCGAGAAGAACGTCCTCCGAATCCAGGGACGCGAAGTCCGCTTTCTCTCTGAACACGAACTCCCCGACAAGGCACGGGACTTCGAATCCGAGCCAAGCGACGCTGGTCCATCCTCGTCTACACCTTCAGGGGACAACGCAACCGGTCCAGCGTTCCCCGGAAGTGGGCAGGCACTCGGTACACAGCCGTCTACCTCGATAAATCCAGTCAGACGCCCTCCCACCTCTGCCCGCCCGTCACAAAGTAGGATTCCTGAGAAAGACATTGCGACGTTGATGGAGTTCGGCGCGACAAGAGAGGTGGCTATAAGCACCTTGGAGGCTGCAGGAGGCAATGTGGAGGTTGCTGTGTCCTTGCTGTTCTGAGCGATGGAACTCTTTTCTTTTGGGTCATAGGGCGACAAGCGCATTCGAATTGTAACATCAATTGTACAGTGACGGATATATACGGATTGCTGGTGAAAAATACAATGGTAGAGATGAATAAAGAATGCACACTAGAACTAAATAAGGCTGACTCTCGTCCGCACCAACCCTCCTCGCCAGTTATGCATGCCAGCGGAACGGCGATGGGCCCAATCACCCTGCATTCTAGAAAAGGCGTCCTGAATATGTTCTGGGCGCAACGCGGTTCTTGCTTCTGGCGGAGGCAGGAATAGGGTATTCACTGGAAGGGTATACTCTGTTTCGTCATCTGGCGACTCTTCTCTCCTGCGCTTCTCGGCGGAGCCACCAACACCTCCGTTTGCCTTTCTTTTACCTTGTGAAGGTGAGGTATAGTCGTCACGAAGAACTGATTCTTCTAGTGATTTCTTGACTGTAAGCCCAGCGAGAGTGAGGGATCGGACCATCTCAAAGGCCAGAAATCCGACGATGTCGACTGTGTCGTCGTTGGGTTTCAGGTCAAGCTGAGGTGGCAGATTGAGGAAATCCCTGAAGCGCTTCGCTAGAAGTATATTTCAATGATTGAATGTAGGAGCAAAGTTTCAGTAACAAACCTTTTCGATAAGTGAACGAAGCCTGGCGGCAATCAGAGTAATGGTGGTATTCCTCTCGCGTCATTTGTCGGGTGGCATCATCAGCTTCCTGTTGATCGATGCTCTATCAGTCAAGCTCGAACATATGAGTTTGTTATTCCACCTTTAATCGTTGTATGGAAGCTTCGTGCGCTTCAATATCATCTTCGTCTTCCTCGTCATCTGACTGATGTCCACTTTGTCGCAACACTTCTGAATAAATAGTCGTAATCTCCCAAGGCAGCTTGATTGTGATCTTCTGCGCCTTTGCTGTCAGTTTGTCTGAGGAGAGAGGGTAAATATCGGGAGGGACATGATAAGAACGTTGCTTCTCACCGTCTGGGCCGTCGTCCAAAGTTTCTACTTCCACACCACCACCGCCGTCTCCTCCCGAATCTTTCGCGTGTTTTCGAACATCCTTCCATGATAGGTACGTTCGTAGTCGGTTGACCTTTCCTCTATCATGCCGAATGAGGAATATAAGGTCTTCTGCGGACAGATATCGTGCCCCGCGTTTCACAGCTAACGCGCGTGCTTGTAAAATCTAACGTTCGCGTCATTCGATAGCTCGTCCCGCTGTGAGTGCACGCGGAAGTCCTTACCAGTTCGATAAGCTGGCTTCGGACAATATCCTCCACCAAGTTTACAGTCTCCGGGTTAGGATCTTGTACTTCGCCGAAAACGAACATCTAGCAGAAACGTTCAGCCGACCTGCAAACCACGATGAGAAAGACGAGCCATCTGGGATATTTCCGTAGTATATTTGTACGGCTGGGTGACTGTCCCGGCCTCTCCGGTAGCTTTCTTAGCTCCTGACATTTGCTACTAGAGTTCGGTGGACTCCTTAGGACTCGAAGAGTGTGCAGTTGTCGAAGGTTAAGTACTCGTCTGAGGTATAAATGTCACGACACCGTCCGAGACGTTCGCAAGAGCGTCCCCAAAGATTCTTTCTAAACTCTTGATTGTTGTGAGAATTCGTGGCAGGTTGAAGGCGGAGGTGTGGGGTTGGAGAAAGGGTGGCTTGGACAATGCGGAAGTAATATTTAAGCTACACGTGATTCTTAATATTAGTCACGTTACCACGGTTAGGGTCTTGCAACACGTGATCCCGATGCTGACCCGTAACTGTTACCTCACACAAACCTCATCGCCATGAAGTTCAACACTAGTTCAACCATATTCAAACACAGATACCGCAAACCATGTGTTTGCCTTCCGATACGCGTGGATTCTCTCCTATTCGAGTACCAGCGGATCCCCCAGACGGTGCTTCGCGACGCGTCAAGCATGGTGCACGAGGATACGTGATTCTTGGGCATGTGGCGCGTTATTGCCAGTCGAATGTAAATTCACGTTGATCGATCTTGCATCAACGTTATCGGAGGCTGACAGACTAAGTCGAATGGGTCTTGTGAGAAGCTTATGCGCCCGAACGAAGTTCCTAGAGCTCCCTCCACAGCATGACTTGCCTCGCTCTCTGGAAACTTGCTCTCTGCGCCGTTTCCTTGTCTAGCGTAACAGCGACACTCTTGCCAGATGGACGGCCTCACGCGAATATGATGCGTCCGCCGGGTGTCCCGCTCGTACACATTCCAGCACCAGATGCCCCCGTTATTAGTCGGAACGGCACAGTCTTGCCGCCATACAACACGCTTTACGAGTTCGACCAACTCATTGACCACAAAAACCCATCTCTTGGAACATTCAAGCAGCGGTTTTGGCACACGTACGAGTTTTATGAACCAGGTATTGAATAGCATGCTCTGATGAAGATGCTCGAGACTTACCGGAGTGTAGGCGGTCCGATAATTCTTTCCACGCCTGGGGAAACCAATGCGGGCGGTGAGCGTAGATCTCTCTCGTTGCAGTCATTTCTCTCTCTTATTCTCGTTTTTCAGGATACACTGGGTATTTGACTAATAGGACAATCAACGGGTTAATTGGTGTGGTTTTTGTTTTGTTTCTAGAAGTCAAGAAATTGACTGGCTTACAGCCCAGCAAGAAAATGGGAGCACAATCGTTTTGGAGCACAGATTCTATGGCTTCAGTAATCCGTATCCAGACCTAAGCGTTGCTAGCTTAAAGTACCACACAATCCAACAGGCCATCGACGATCTCGAATACTTTGCCAAAAACGTTCACCTCCCAATGCCTGGAGGTGACCAACTCACGCCCGATAAAGCCCCATGGATTTTGATCGGAGGAAGTTACTCTGGTGAGCATGCATTGTGTCATCAGAAGTTGATTTTATGATTCACCTCTCACGAAGGCGCTCTTACCAGTTGGACAATGGTCAAGTGAGTTCAGAATACCGTTTCAAGTATGCAAACTTATGTTGTCATAGCAAGCCTGGGCTCTTTTTTGCTGGCTATTCGTCATCTGGTGTCGTGCAAGCCATCTTGTACGCCAAAACCTCACATTCGTTCCCGAAAGGGTTGCTGATGCAGTAAATTAGGGACTTCTGGCAATACTTTGAACCCATCCGCCAAAACATGCCGCAGAACTGTTCCACTGATGTTCAAGCCGTCATGACCCACATAGATCGCGTTTTCCTTTCTGGAAATAAGACGGCCATCCAGGCTATCAAAGAATCCTTTGGCATGGAAAGCGTGAAGTATCTTGACGACGTTGCTGGTGCTCGTACGTTGCCAGTCATGATCATCTCGCTTCTAACCTAAAAACTCCTCATTAGTCCGGAACAACTTGTGGGATTGGCAGTCACTCCAGGTCACATCGGGACCTGGTGCTCAATTCTATCAGTTCTGCGACGCGCTGGAGGTTAAGGACGGTCAAAGTGCACCAGCCTCAGGATGGGGACTCGACCACGCTCTTTCCGCCTGGAGCAATTATTGGAAAACAACATACTATGCTACAAGTATGTCATCATTTGTCATTCTACGAAGAACATCACTAACATGTAAGTGCACAGTCTGTGGAGAACATGACGCAGAGTACGTAGATTTCAATCAAGCTGCGACAGTTGCTGAAGTTCGTACCACAGGACCTGTTTGGGCACTTACGATACCACCCAAACGTCTTGGCACGACACTTCCATTGATAATGCAGGGCGTTCTTGGACGTGGATTGTGTGAGTCCAATTGCTTCGCACGTCGTTACTGTCTGATTGCGGATCTAGCTGTAATGAAGTGGGATATTTCCAGGTTCGACATCTCTATGGACTGAACGATTACTTGCTGATGCACCACATAGGAAGGAGCACCGCTTGGACAAAAATCAATTGTTACTCGTCTTGTTCAACCACCCTACGAATTCGTACATTTTCCAATAGTCCCACCCCCTAGCAGAGATTAACGTTCTACTCAGCGCCAATGCCAGCAAATGTTTACCGGCGCATTTCCCTACAGCATCGCGATACCAAACACGCTTCACACCAACCTGCTCTATCGAGGATGGAACGTCAAGGTTGACAGGCTATTCTTTGCCAATGGAATTCGTCAGTTTAGGCTCAACTACCTCCATTGAATTCCATTTGACTTTCCCTTTCAGGCGATCCTTGGAGAGAAGCAACCATGTCGGCGCAAGGCTTGAACGCCAAGAGCACCCTCTCACAGCCAATAGCCCTCAGTGATGGATTCCACTGCTCCGACCTTGGAGCGTCAGCCGCTCAAGTCGATCCCACCATAGCCACAGTGCACAAGCAGGCTCTAGAATCGTTCCGAACGTGGCTCAGCACATGGAAGCCAAGGGGACAAGGACGACCAGTCACTTCACCGAGAAGCCTTCCTCAACCAGCACGCAAAGTTTCTCAGCCGGTTATCTCGAAACCCCTCAGCGCATGGTTGAAGGGTGCTGGCGTTTTGTAGTGGAGAATGGAGGACAGTTGTACATAAGAGAATCGCCAATTTCGAACACTGTCACAATCTGCGTTCACAGATTTAGATGTTAGAACCACTCAATCTTTTGATCATGAGGAAGAAAGGAAACCAGGATTCGGACGATTCGGCTTCTTCCAAAGTCAAGCGAGAACATCCTGTCGACGACCAGGCCAGCGAACGCTGGTCGTCTCGTCGTCGTCTTGTATAGCTGTGATATGTGGATACCAGTTTTACTACTACTCTTTCATCTAACCCATCTGACCTGCGACCAAGATAATTAGTAGAAGCGAAACCTTGGCGAATACATGAGTTGAAAAGTTGGAAATTCTCAAGTTTATTTGGTATTTATATCCATCCCGTCACCATCGTGAGTGCTACACAGGATATATCATAGACAAACGTTACCTGCTGGTAACCCACTGGTAACGTTACCTATGCCCCAGGTAACGTTACCAGTCTGAATACCTAAATCCTTGGCATATATCGCCATTGTCCCCCACATACTACCATTGTTTTATAATAGCTCTCATGTATTTACATTGTCCCGTTAGCGAGTTTAGCCAAATACGGAACGTGTGGCTCTCGGAGCCATTATACTAAGTAGGTATTTTTGCGACGACGCGTCGAAGCGTCGCGCGAGCCTGCTCCTTCACTCCCTCACTCAAACTGCTTTAATTTAATTACATCACCCCTTCAAAGTATGTCTTGGAAGCACAGTAGCATATAAAAATTTAAAAGCAGAGGCTTGAGAACTGCAGTGTATTTCCCAATGAGCCCTCCCAGAAAAATGGCATTTTTTTGCAGCCAGTATGTACAAAGAACCTCATTTATATTTTAGCCGTGCATTATCTAAATCCCAACGGGTGTTGCAAAAATTGTGGCCTCTAAAACTTTGCCTTTTATCCTTTTTAAAATGTAGTCTATTTGGTACATCTAAACAGGTTTCCTCAATCGCGGAAACACCTTTTGATGCACTTTAATTCCACGATTGGGGCCTCGCTATCCGCTATTGTTGAAGTCGCATTTGAGGATCCCGTTTTCGAGGGATAAGCGGGACCCGCAATGGGGTTTCCACATTCGGGATGCGAGGTTTCCTCGATCGGGGTCACCTCGCTTGAACAGATGAGGGGGTCGACACAGGGACTGAACGGAGAGGGGGACTGAGGTCCAAACAACCCAGGTGGGAGTTCAGGGATGCCTGAGGGCGAGAGCAGACTGTTGATCCCAAAGAGGAGGAGGGGAGACAGGGATCAGAGGGGAACGGGGAGAGAGCGGAAAAAACGGATTCATTCGTGTGACGCTATCTACGCTATTGAGGACTCCGCGAACACGGATCGCCGGAGAGAGGTTACCAGCCGCGTGACGGAGGTGACGGCGCGCGCCAAAAGGGAGGGTTGCCAGCGCTCACGTGACGTAACCGGGTCACGTAACCAGGCGTGATATTATTGAGTAGGATGGCCAACCCTCCAAGTTTGGTAGCGACTGGACCTCCAACAATCTGCTCGCTTACAACATAAGAGTTGAATATAAACCTTCTTTGGAATTGCCAATCTTCCCCAACCTCACATCGACAATGAAGTCCTGATTGCACCCGACCCCGCTGCCACCCAGCACGATAACGCTTATGCCCTTTTGCGCACCATGGAGCTCGCAATGGCCATCTCACCTGGCGAGGAGTCTGCCGTTGATGATTTCGCCGTTCATCTTTTCAGGGCTCTCGGCTACACGGGCAGAGCTGTAGCTAGAACTACGAGGACAAGGAAGGACCTTCCGTTTCTGGTGTGTGGCGAAGAGAGACACGCCAAGGCGGACGTCTGTATCATGGATGGTTTAGAAATCCTCCTACTCGTCCAAGAAGACAAACGGCACCTCGACAGTTCTGATCCAGAGCCTCAGCTCATTGCAAATGCAATCGCCGCCTTCTACAACAACAATATCACGCGCGTTCAAGCTCTCGGTCTACCTACCCTTCAAGACAAGGTTATCCCCCGCACCAAGAAGACACCTGCCCAAAATAAAAGGCCTAAACAAGCAACTGTGACTTTCAGCAATCCATTTACCAACCCGCCCGAATTAGAAGCCATCATGCGCTCGTCTCGCGAGCAGCCCAATTGGAAAGCCGCTGAGATGGAAGGCGAGTCTTGGGAGGGCACGGCGGAGGAGAACGTGGAGAAGTACCAGAGGATCATGAATCCGCCGCCGGTGGATTGGCCCAAGGTGATAGGTGATTTGACTGGAACTGGAGGGGATTGATGTTTGTGGTAATGGACTTCATGGGTAACGTTTTGGTGTCAGACTTAGCATCCCTCCTTTTATTGTAATTCATAGATGGCAGATTCTGTGAATAAGAGTTGTACGTGATAGTCGTTGGCTGCGTAGAAAAACATGTATCAGCCGCGAATAATACTTTTCCGCCGTTGTTTTTTATGCTCAGCAGATAGCTGTGATAATGGTATGCCAGTTTACTATTTTTTTGAACGTCTGATAACAAGTAAGATGAGCGAAATCGATGGTAGCACGACACCAAAAAACAATGAATAGGTATATCCGTCCCAGAGCACCTATGAGTACGTACACTAGAACGTAATTTTCTGTCCTTGGCTGGGAATAATCGCGGCAGACTCCCTTTTTGCAAGCGCGAGAGCCGCTCCAGGTTTAGGCCGTGTCCTCGGTCCTTTATGTCTGACCCCATCCTTTTCGCCTCTCGACGTTCGCTTGTCCTCGTCAGGATTTTCTCGCTTGACTTTGGAAGAAGCCGAATCATCTTCAACGGGCTTCGTTTCCCTGTGTTTGCGAGTGGGTTCCTTATCCGCAGAGGAGTACTCCCCTTGAAGTTGGGGTCGCTTGGGTTTATAACCCGCTGACAGAGGTCTTCTCCCCTTTTTTGGAGCAGCACCGTCCACCGGTTTGGTTTTTACGGCTCCACGACGTACCGCATCGGCACCGGCATATTGAACGACGAGATCTCGTCCATTCAGATGATGGTTTTTTGGATTGATAAGAACGGAGGTTGCGTGGTCGATACTCGTAAAATCCACAAAAGCGAACCTAGTTTGAAGAAGAGGTCAGAAATGTAGGAGGTTGGTCTGATGAATAGCGAGTGTACGTACCCTTTACAAAGCCCAGAATCCTCAAATGTCCCCATCCGCACTTTCCGTATCCACACATCCTTGGTCTTCTTCTCCTCTCCTTCCTCCTCCTTGACTTCTTTGTTCTTCGAAACCACTCTATGAGCTTCAAACAACTGACGGATCGCATCATCAGTGGTCTCAAAGCCCAGATTACCAATGAAAAGCGTCGGTGCTGGAGGCTGTTTCTGCGCGCGCAGAATTTTCTGGGCTGTCTTCGAGTGCGTCCTTTGTGCCAAAGCGGAGTCATTCGTTTTCACATCTACACCGGGAGCAAGAGGCCTTCCTGCAAAGTCATCGCCTATGAATAGAAATGAGATATGTGTTATTGTGAGGCGACCAAGGATGGGCTCACCATCTTTGATAAGCAACTTCCGTCCAACCAAAGGCTGTTCCGAACGAGCAATAGCAGCAGCTTTGCCCTCTGGCGTTGAGAAGTCAACATAAGCGAACCTAGAGTACTTTATATATCAAATATTACGAAAAAAACAGACATCATGGCGTACCCTCGATTCTCCGGAATCAATCCCGGCCCAGCAGGCGCTTTTGTCGGCATATTAATTCTCGTAATCTCTCCACACCCATCAAAGAACGTCCTCAAATTTTCCTGTGTCGTCTTGAACGACATATTCCCAACCCACACAGAATTTTGTCGTTTTGCGGATACAGGAACAGCAACGGCGCTCCCATCCTTCAACTTCCGTTTTTTGGCTAGAGAAGCTTCAAGTTTTCCCTTGGCTTTGGCTTCCTTCTTTTGACGACGTCGTTCAGCGTGTGAGAGGACGGGTTCGCCTAGTATTGCGGGAGCAGCTTCCTCCTCATCAGAGGCGTCTGAATCTACTTCATCGGTGTCCGAGTCAAAATTTTCTTCGACTTTACGCTTCCTTTTGAGAATGGGAGACGACTGAGGTTCCGGCGTTGGGCTGCTCGACGACGCTGATGAGGAAGACATGAAGAAACCGACTCAAGCTGAAAAAAGAATTGATTACAACACGTGACGAGGGGGGATATGAAAGTAACTGTGATAACTGCGTAGTACTACCAGAAGCAAGCCAAGTAAGAGAACTACTAGATAATAGAGATGGACAATATAACGACGTGTAGGATATGCAACCAAAAAAAGAGAACCAAAACCGATCACTCATCGATGTCTCGTCGAAACTGCCCTCTTACGCTCCCCACCTCCGCCTTCCGCAAGAACAGCCTTGGGTCCGCGCTTCGCCATAGCCCACAAGAAAACGAGAATGATTATACCAAACTGGAACCACAGCCATACTTCCAAAAGTAAGGCCCCGAACCCGGGCTTCCCTCTCTTCTTTGGAGGAGGACTGGCTTGGAGTTGGAATTCGTTGTTGTCGACACCACGATCTGACTGAGGAGAGTCAGGTCCAGCGTCATCCGAGTCGTCACTCGCTTGCGGTGTATCTGGTTCTTGTTCTTGCGGAGAAGACTCAGCCGCAGAACGCGCCCCGTCAAAGTTCTCCATCATCGTGTCGATGGCGCTCGTTATCTGCTTAGGAACGAATCGAGAGGGCTTTTTCTTCTGCACAGTGCTTGTCATCAACCCCACCGAAGAAGATGGCCCTAGCCCAACAACGTCTTTCGAAGCAGCCAAAACCGAATTCCCACCAAACCGGCCATCAACCCACCGATGTGTCCTCGACCTCAGAGTCTGGGACATGCGTTGTTGCCTTGGCGACTTTGGAGTCGTCGCGCGTCTCGCTTCCTTTTCAAGAGCATTATCCGGCGTAGGCGGTTCAACCGATAACTGGAGACCACCACCGCAGCTCATTAATGAAACGGGGGACAGAGGAGCTTCCTTCACTGGTGGTTCACTCGGGGGCAAAGGCTTTCGGCTTATAGGCGAAGGAGATACGGGCGATGGGGAAGGAGAGCGCGAGGGAGCAACGGAGAGTTGGGAAAGATCGTATAGACTTGTAGTCCTCAGATGAAGGTTACCCGCTCCTTCGCCCCAATTATTCAAAAATTCGTTTCCGAGCTCGCTTTCGAGTGTAGGGCGGGAGCTTACAGGTGAAGCCTGCTCGCAAAAGCTGAGAGAAGAGAGTGCTGGAGAAGCGAGACCAGTACTCTTTCTTGACCAGGACGAGAGATGACGGCCTTCGCTCCAAGGAGACGAAGGGAACGGAACAGGGAAGTTTGGCGACTTGCTGGCATCAAGGTCTGCGGGTGTATGTTGACGAGGGTCCTCAAACAAACCAACGACAGAACGACGCGTTTTTGTCGTGTTTACAGCGACAGATCGTCCATTTGACAACTGGGTCTCGATATTTCGTCGTAAACTCCTGAACCTAATGGTATCAGCCGTGGAAACATCGGCCTTGCCTTTCGCATTGGCTTCCATTAGTTCGAGTTCCACGTTGTTAGGATCGACGAGGCATTCGTAGACCTTGCTAATGTGTTCCGTGTCTCGCTGAACAGCTTGTAATTGATTGGCCGTCTCTTCCTGCTGGTTCAAAATCTTCGAATTCGTCTCTTCGAGTTCCTGTACTTTAGAAAGCAGCTGAGAAATGAGGGTATGCTCTGGATGCGACATGGTCCGATAAAAACCAGGATTGATCTCGCCCAGGCCACTGCTCTTCGCAAAAAGCCCGCCACCTAACGAGTTGGATTTAGCGTGCCGTGGAAAGGGGCTTGGCGTAGCCGGGAAGAACGAGTACGACCCAGACGGGCCCCCAAACCTGGAACCCTCAGGCGCAAAGTTCCGTACCCCAGGTTCCGCAACATCTTCCTCCGATGTATAATCTCGTCCAAGATTACGCATCGCCCTAAACTTGGCTTCCCTCTCCTTCTTCTTCCTCCAAACCTCCTCAACAACTTTTTCCGCGCCCCACCCAAACCCAGTCTTCGTCTTCTCCTCCAGCTCCTCACTCTTCGCCTGCGTCTTCTCCAACGCCTCACGAAGAACCATAATCTCCTTTTCCAACCTCTTCAACTCCCTCCTCCCAGCCTGATCAGCCGTCGTCGATTCCGACTCCAATTTCTCCAGTTTATGCAGGAGCTCAGCATTCTGGTCCGCAAGAAGAGATATATCCGCCGTCGACATGGACACTTTTCGCGTGTGGCCCCTAAAAATCGTGGTGGGGGGCGTCGTGTTGAAATTGATGGCAGAGTCTGAGGACGAGTAGCTGATGGTGCTATTCTCCGACGCGAGGCGAGATAACCCCGCAGGTGACGACGTGGAGCCGCAAGGAGACATGGACGGTAGACGGGCTAACAAAGCTTGGTGCTTGGATTTGAGGGCGACGTTGTTCTGGTAGAGGGTTTTGCACACTGCGGACGTTAACCCAAGCTCTGGTTTACATAAAAGAAAATAGGAGAAACTCGATCATTCATCATCCAACGACGTAAAAAAACCAACATTCAACGCACCGTTCTCGCGTTCCTTAATAATATCATCCGCTTTGATTAATAGCCCTACAATCTCTTCTCGAGACTTCTCAAGCTCGTCTCTGAAATCGTCGCTCAACGAGTTGGAGGGAACTATGGGTGATCGTGGTGGCTGACTTTGCTCCAAGTGATCGGCTGGCGGTTGTAGGTCCCACCAAGTTCCCGACATAGGGGGTTCCAAAAACTTGGATGCAACATGCAAATCATCATTCGTTGGAGGCGAGCCGAAGGTTGTACCGTATGCCGGTGGAGGAGTCGTGAGATTCGGATTGGAACGCTGGCGCATCTTTGCTGGGGGACGAGGACGGGGCGTTTCTGTGATGGCTAACATGGTTGGAAACAAGAAATTGAACAGGAGAAATTTACAATGAAAAAGAGAGTGAGGTTGGGCCTAGTGCGATTTAAAACGCGTCCAGGATAGCTTTCTAATAGTTTGTGGGGAAAGATAATGAGGCAGGAGTAGGAGAAGCGCTCGTCGCAACACTCGCTTGCATGTGAAATCTCACAAAAAGCATCGTAGAGAGAGGAATCCAAAGAAAGCAAAAAAGTCGCGTTGATGGTACAGGAGGGAGAATTATAGCTAGCAAGTTCGAACTGTACGGTAGGGCGAGGAGATGGACAGGGGGGGGATCCAGAAAACACGTCGATCCAAGAAACGGTAATAAACAAAACGAAAACCAAATGCATACAACACCCACGAACCCCCATTTTTATATTCCTTTTCACTACCAACCACATCATTGCTGCTGCTGTCCAGAGCTAGGGGGATTGCCAAACGTGCTGCTGAAAGTCGAAGGCGTACTTGACGTCCCATTAGCTGCCGTTGGGGTTGATCCAAATCCGAATGCAGCAGGCCCAGCAGCACCAGGCTTGGCTCCAAACGTCGACGTGCTACCAAACGGCGATGACTGAGGTGTCGTAGAAGTGCTGGATCCAAAGTTAGATGGGTTCGATGACGCTGACGTCGTTGTCGAGCCAAACATAGACTTGGGAGCTTCAGCAGTGGGTGTTGCATTGTTGGTCGACATTCCTGCACCACCAAACGAGAACAGTTTTGATGGTTCAGCGGGTTTATCTTTAGCAGTGGAGGCAGGAGTAGTGCCAAATGTACTACTTGCACCATTCCCAAACACGTTTGGCGTGGTGGTTGGCGTTGAGCCAAATGCAGGCGCCGTCGTTGTCGAGCCAAACGCGGGCGTTGCTGTCGAACCAAACGCAGGCGTCGTTCCAAACCCTGACGAGGTGTTGTTGCCGAATGCAGCAAAAGGAGACTTCGCGGACTCTTTATTCTCTGTAGACGTCGAAGCAGATGACGTTCCTCCAAACGCTGGCGCTGCCGTCGTATTGCCAAACATACCAAACGCCGACTTCGGAGCCTCCTTCGTCTCTGTAACTCCTTGGGAGGCAGAGGGAGCTCCAAATGCAGGCGCCGCCGTCGTGTTGCCAAACGCACCAAACACCGATTTGGGAGCCTCCTTCGTTTCTGTAGCTTTCGATCCTGACACACCAAACGGTGTCGGTGCCGACGTAGAAGCAGCATTATTCGCAAAAAGATTTCCCCCCGTGAATCCAGCTTTTCCAAATGCCGACTTCGGAGCATCTGTCATAGTCTGCTGAGAGCCCAAATTTATCGGTTGAGAACTGGAGGTAGCGTTTGTCGTCTGCTGCGAGCTCGAACCCGCATTGGCCGTATACCCAAAATTGAACTTTGGAGGCGCAGGTACGTCCTTCTTCTCCTCCGTCGTCGTCGTGGGGGGCTTCACCCCAAACGCCGAACCAGTCTTAGTGTCAGGGCCCAGCGCACCGCTCAACGACGAACTCGTCATCACTGGGGCGGTCGTTGGTTTCGTAGCAGCTCCAAAGTTGAATTTCAAAGGGCCAGATGGCGGAGCAGCGGTTGAAGCTGAAGATGACGAAGCAGCCTGCGGAGCTGTAGCGGGTTTGTTGAAGAACGAAGGGACGCCAGAGGGTTTCGCAAAATTGAAGGGTGATGATGCTGGCTTCTCAGGTTCAACCGGCGCACCACCAACTCTAGAAAGTAAAGAAGAAGGTGCACCAGTCTTCTGCTCAGGCTGTGCAAAGAGGGGTGGTTTCGTTTGGCTAGCTGGTATCGTGGGTTGTTGGAATGAGAACGTTTTGGGAGCTTCAGCCTGTTGAGGAGCGGTCTTTCCGAACGCAAAAGTCGAACCAGCAGAAGCTTGAACTGGGGCTGGGAAGGCGGAAGAAAGTTTGGCTGCATTCGGTTTGGGAGGGGAAGAGAACAGTGGAGAGATCGTCACTGAAGGATTGGATGTTGATGCAGCCGCGGGTGGCGCAAATAAGGGGTTTGGAGCAGAGGGAGCAGGCTTTGAAGCATCCGCAGAAGATGAACTTGGAAAGGAAAACAAGCCAGGTGCCGCTGTCTTTGTCTCAAGTTGGGCTTCCGTAGGCTTTGTCACCATAATTGTTGGAACGGTGGTGGCGGCAGCAGTGGCAGTGGCAGCAGCTTGCTCCTTCGCCTTCTTCTCCTTCTCTATCCTCTCTTTTTCAGCTCTATCCCTTTCAGCTCGTTCCCGCTCAATCCTTTCCTTCTCAGCTTTTTCGCGGTCTGCCTTATCCTTCTCCTCCTTCAGTTTCGCCTCCTTCTCAGCCTGTTTCTTGCGATTGGCTTCTCTAATCCTGGAAATACCCTTCGCTTCAAGCTCCTGTTTTTCCAACTTTGAGAACGTGCGATACGCCCCCCGTGGACTGCCATTGGTACTGTCGGACAATCCTGGAGATCCAGAAACACTTTGATAAAGGACTGGCGCGCGGGAAGCCGATGCAATTCGCTTGGTGAGCCCCATTTGGGGTTGATCAAAGGGACTGATTCGTAAACCGACATGGGATGCGATGGAGTGGCGATAGTTTCTTGGTCTGGGTACAGCTGTGATGGGTGTCTCATCAGGTGAGCGAGATATTGGAGAGGCTGTTGGGGTTGTAGACGTCGAAGCCCAAAGAAGATTTTTGCCCACAGGTGGGGTCGGGACTGGCGCCTAAGAAAGAAAGGTGAGGCAAGGTAATTTTTTTTACCAATGACACTTACCGATACGTCGAGGGAAGGTTTCTCAGGTGAAATCGATCGACGAGGTGAGTCTTGCCATGCCAATAGATGGCATTCCCTTGCATCCTGGTATTCCTCCTCGGTCAGCCAACTTTCTACAAACACCTCCAGATTCGCATCGCGATCAGGGTGAATAGAGTCCACAGGCTAAAAACGAAACAATCAGCACTCATACCACAAGGACACTTAAAAAAGCACGCACCATGACGAATTTGTGTCTTGCCTCCTTAACGAGGGCCTGGCGGAGTCGTTGACCGTTCGGTCCGATCTTGTACTTGACACCATTGCTCTCCCACTCATCACCAATACGCCTCGCCCTACTCCTAGTAGACGCAAGTGACTCGTCCATCGAAACATCGCTCGTCGATCGTTGGTCCTCATCAGGGGTATTAGCATGCGAATGTCGCTTGCCTCGCTTCTTTCGGGACGACTTTGAAAGCGCCTCGTTTTCGTTGTCGTCATCGCTGCCAATTTCGATGTCTCTGTCACGTTTCTTGCCACGAGATAAACTGCCTGCGTCGGACTTTCGTTTGGAGACCGTCTGCCGCTTTCTCCGCCGGGCCTTTGCGCCTTCCTCATGTTCAAACATGCTGTAATCGTCGTCTCCACCAAAGGTAGATCCAGCCTCAGCACGATCACGCTTCTTGCCCCGCACGATGGACGATAACTCAGGTACATCGTCGTCCTCTTCGTCTACCTCCATGCGTTCGTCTTCATGAAGTGATTTTTCATTGGAGAATTTGCGGGCACGTTTTCCTCGAGATTTCTTGCTGTGGCCAAGGTCATCATCGTCGATTTCCTCTTCTTCATCTCCGAGGAAGCGCTTAGAAACACGTTTAGGAATGATGCCATTCTGATCTTGCCATTCTGCATCCTCATCTCCATCAATAAGCTCATCGCCTTCAACCCTGGTCTTTTTGGCAGACTCAGCCTCGTCAAACTCTTGCTCGTCAAATCCGCGTTTATGGCCAGAGAGATTGAGATACTTGCGACTGGTTTGACGCTGCAGTGTCGGCCTTTGAGTGACTCCAACGTTAGAGGACTGCGGGACAAGCGATCGTCTCTGATGTGGGTCCGTCAAGGGGTTTGGAGATGAAGCGGGTCTGAAAAAATTATATCAGCGGTTTGTGCGCGAGAGGTGTTAGAGCGCTTACGAATTAGTGATGTCGTTTCCAATGCGGGAGGATGATGGTAGATAACCAGAGGTGTAAGCACCAGGGACCAATGAAGAGACGCTTTGCATCCTCGCTGGATCCGGAGCATGTTGTTGAGCGCCTATGATATAGCAACAAAAGGTTAGATGAAATCAGTCAAAGAGGGTATTATCGTAAAAGAAACACGCACCTGTTCTGTATCTAGTGTTTTGTTCATGCAGCGCGCCGCTCTGATCGGGGATCGAAGCCGGCTGCTGCACTGGTTTGGGTTTTGCCCGTCTGGCCTCGTTCTCTTCGCGAGCCTGAACGGCGGCAGCGTAGGCGACGTTGAAAGGTCGACGATCGTTGTCCGGAATACCGTGCCGTCTTCGCGTCGCCCTGATGAAGAAATAAAATAAAATGACGCGTCAGCACTCGGCGAGCAACGGAGAGGACCCATCGAGTCAAGAAAAACGCACAATTTGTAAGACCGTTCCCGCCATAGAAGGACATGAGCCCATATCCGCACACCAAGGACGTATAAGCCGAGGAAAGTCGCCAATAAAAAGGCGGACTTTGTGAAAGAAAAAGAGAACAGGCTGGGTTCTTGCAGGCGAGACACGGGCAATGTCGGATGGCCAAGGATGTCAGAGTAGTCACCTTCCATGGCGAAAAGGGAGAGAGAGGACGCAGCTGGCGAACACTGGCCTGTTGAAGGGGTCGTTTGATGGAAGGGGGGTTGAAAGCAAAGAGTGACGGCCACACTTCTGACTGTTTATGTTTGCCTTTGTTTGCACCGGTGCCGAATCAGATAAAAAGCCTGCTGCAATTTTCAACGACGCTGATATCCTTCTGCAATATACTCTTTCATTCCTCTCGTCTGACTCTCTTCGCTTCATCCCACTTGCGAATGCCTAGGAACAATGGCTTTCCCTGCCTTCGTTACCTCTACTTGCGATGTGGAAGATTTATCGAGGCTTGGTCCACGCTTGAATGTCCAGCAACAACTGTCGCTCTACCCGTGGTCACTCGAGTACTAAACCGAGCTTACATCTACTTACTTCATGTACACACTTATATTACAATAATACACCTGCTTTAGACTGCCGTCTCCAGTTGAAAATTTCTCCGGGTCGAGCACGTGAGAAAGTAACACCATTTTTAAAAGTGGTCAACTCTGCTCCCCCCACAAACCTTGGTCATTCACCCTTCCACCCTCATACACCTTCTCCCTTCCTCCCCCCTACTCTCGCTATCCAATGTCGACAAGAATCATTACCCTCGACGAGCTCCGTGAAAACAAGACTCGGGACAGCCTCTACATCCTCATTCACGGCAAAGGTAACGCGCCAGCCAATCACAATTCACCTTTTACCACATATCTCACCATTCTCCCATCCCAGTCTACAATGTCACAAAGTTCATGGATGAGGTACTACATCCCCCCTTCACCCTTAAACGCGACTAAACCATCTCTCCAAACTTGCAGCATCCCGGAGGAGACGAGGTTCTGTTAGCCGAGGGTGGTACGTGGCAACATCTAGGAATCACACCATCGCAGCAACACAATCTAAGCAACCCCTTTTAACAGGCCAGGATGCAACGGAAGCCTTTGAGGATGTGGGCCACTCCGACGAAGCCCGCGAACTCCTCCCTGCCATGCTCATTGGTGAATTCGAAAAGAGTAGCGTGCGTACCCCGGCCCCCACACCTATACCCGTTCAAAATGTCGCTGACTTAACAACCGTAGGATATTCCGCTCAAATCCGGAGCAGCGGCTGCACAAGCGAGCCGGGTATCAGGAGCCGTTGAACAGGGATCCAAGTACGCTCCTCTCTCATCCTACCCGAACAAAATCTAACAACTTACCCTGCTTCAACAGCCTGATGTACTTCATCCCCCTAGCTCTGCTTGGCGCTTATTTCGGATGGCGGTTCTACTCTGGCGCTTAAACCGCTACTTATCGAATCGTTTATCTATACACCTCGCTGACGCTCTCTCCCCGTTTAACCTCGCATTCCCTTATTGCCACACGTGCTTATTACATGTGTACCCTTTGCATTATTTACTCCCTTTTATTCTTGGTGGATGTTTGGAAATAGAGCTCATTTTGGTGCAATTGTCGACGACATCGTTAGCGCTGGCCCGAATTCCCGTAAGAGGAAACAAACAGTTTACATTCTTCTAATGTTACAAACACATCCAAGAAATCCTGAAGAAACTCAAAGAAAACTGGTTTATCTAAGAAAGAATACGAATCATCCAGCATGGATTCCCAACCACGGTTGCAACCTATCATTCAGACCCTGCCCCACTCACAATCTCTGCACACCTGAGCTAGATAACCAAAAGTCCAGCATCCGGGTATCCAGCACAAGTCTGGAGAGACAATGTCAGGCCCAAAACCTTGATTCCTTCCTGAAACAAGCAACTTAAACTCAGTCCCCCCTCAAAACCCAAAACCCAAAAAAAAAAAAAAAAAAAAAAAAAAAACACGAACCGAAATTCAAACAACAATCCCCATCTTCTCCAACCCCTCCTTAGCAGCCTCATTCCTCGCCGCCTTCTTCGTATTCCCCCTCCCGCGTCCATAAAACTCCCCATCCACCATAACCTTCACATACCACACCGGCGTCGTCTGCGTCCCCCTCACCAACAAATGCGCAGGAACCCCAGGGTCGCAGTACCCATTCCCACCACCGACGGAGAGCTCCCCGCCGTCCGAGTACACCCACTCGACTTGGCGGTTATTTTTCTGGAGCTGTTGGTTGAAGAGGGCGAGGTGCCCGATTGTTGCGCCGATGGAGGTTGTGGATGGGTCGGGGTGGATGGGGGATGGGGAGGGTGAGGATGAGGATGAAGGGGAGGCGGAGGCGGAGGCGGAGGGGGGTGGGGTGGCGAGAGGTGGTAGACCGTGTTGTTGGCGTACGATTCGGTATGCGGCTGTTACGAAGGGCCGGAAGAGCGGGTTGAGCCAGGCTTTGACGGCTTCGAGGCCTTGGTCGAGGTATAACCCGCCTACAAACGACTATGCGAACGTCAATGCTTGGTTGAATATAGGTTGGGCATTGCGAACCTCAAAAACATCGGCTGTCAGTGTTAAACATTAATTAGGGTTGTTTCGGGGAGATGGTTGGGCTCTGACCTTGGATATTGGTAGATGCACGCAACGTGATAGATTGAGCCGGGTGGAGGCGCAGTCGGTCTGGAAGCTTGTATCGCAGGGATCTACAGATAAGAAATAGGTTAACGTCCAGCCTCACCGCAGCATGCTTGGATGCAGTCCCACATTTCAGCCAGAGTGAAGTTTCCGACTATCATTGCTCGTATTTTCTACACATAAAACCATCTTAAAAGTGAATGAAGAAAGAGAAAGACGGAGGCTTACAGTGGAAGGACCAACACGAAGACCAGGGTACATTTCGAACATCAAGCTGGTCACCGACAGCCCAATGACTGTGTCTCCCAGATGTTCATACCTTCCAACAATAACGAGATATACATACCGACGAATCATTAATAATAGGAATGTACATACTTCTCGTTATCAGGACTCGGGTCATCCGGGTGATCTTCAAAGATATGCGTAGGCCTCGCATAAAAGCTGCGATGCGTGTACACCTGCTGCTTTATAGCGGGCGAAGATATATCAGGCAGGACTGGAAATAAGCTCTCGTCGATGCCGAAATCAGGACTAGTAGGTGGGTTTGAATTTTGAATTGGGTTAGTAGTGAAAAGGTTATTATGGAGTGTAAATGTTAGAAGTGTATTGCTCGGGGCCTGATCACATATCGAATACGCTCACTTCAGGGAGGGCATCTTGTATTCGAAATTGAATAGGTCACTACTTCGGATACCTTGTGGATCTGGGAGATTGCGGGGACTCGTTGGACGGGCTATCGATGCGCGCAGTTCACGGATGATTGAGGAGATGGCGCTTTTCGCTTGGGAAAGAGCGCGTTGCATAGCCCTTCTTGCCTGAGCATGAGTTCGACTTGAACTCCGCGTCAAATATTGAGCGCGACACTTTCAAGTTCAAAGGCAGCGGCTGCGGCAAGGCGCACCAATGGTGGCAATTGGAAGGATCTCCCACATTAGTCATGGGGATCAGCTGACGTCCGGTGCCAGTCCAGATAACTTTCCGCAATCTATGTCAGGATATACATGAATAATAATAAAAGCAGTTCAGACGGGAAGGAAGAGGATAGGATGGTACAGGGATATTGATTTGCGCCGTCTGGGATTTAGCACTCATTCGACGTACCTGCCGCCGTGAGCCTCGCCTGCGCCTTCATCGCAAAATAATCTTTGTGAAGCCCACACTCCGTCTTCTCCTTCCCAGCCCACCTCCCCGCCCTCTCATCTTGCCCCTCACCCACTTTAGACGTACTGTGCCAGTCTCCAACACTCCGATATCCTTGATCGAGCAATTTGTTTCGTGGGACTTTGTTTTCGGTGATATACCACTCGACGAGGTGGAAGTTCCATGAGAAGAGAGGGTTCAATTTTAGTAAACCTGTAGAGTCGACTTCGAGAGGTTGGAGGGACGCGCGGTCGCCGCCCTGGGATGCGCGACGACCTGTGATTACAGATTGTACGCCTAGTTCTTTGTATGCACGTCGAGCAGGTTCAACCTTTTGTTGGAGATGTGTGAATAAAGAATTTTTTAGGAATTTATAAGGCTGACAAACCTTGACAGCAAAGTCATATGAACTGTCATCCTTTTCCCAAAATTTTTCGCCATACTTCGCCTCAAAATCCGCCACGGTCTCGCATCCATCTGGCTTGTACACATGTACGGGGACGTTGTACCTCGATTCTACTTCTTCCACCAATTCATAGGTCTCCGAGAAGTGATATAGGGTATCGAGAAAAATCAGAGGTGGAGGTGATGATGTGAGCTTTGACAGCACATCAATGGCCACTAGGCCAGTCAGACCGAAAGCGGTGGTCTGGTGTAGTCCAGGGAGATAATCCAAAGCCCACCCCAAGATCTCTTCTGGGGTCATCGGGGAGAGGTGGATGTTGATAGCATCGAGATCCTCTTTCGAGAGGGGGAGTTGAATGGGTTTTGAGATATGGAGAGTCATATTTCCGATGGGTTGTAAAGCGATAGAGGATGTGGATGGGGTGTAGATAGAAGAGACGGAAAAACGAGTAAATGTCGGATGGCTCACATCATTCCACCTTTCTGACAAATCGAAACAAAAAGCTTCGTTGCCACGTGATCTACAGAGATTATAGCAGTCCAGACGACGCTAGCCGACGGTCGTCGTTGACGGAACTCCTCCAGTATGGCTAGGTGCACCGTTTTATGGTGACCGAGTTTCCGGTGAACCTCGTGATTCTGACGCTCGAAGCTGTGATCCATGTGTACCGAGCCAATCACAAGTGACGACGGAACAACCCCAATAAATTTGAACTCAACCCCAGCCAAACGCATATAAGAGACAATGTCGCTCGACCGTAGAGATAGCGATCCCCCAGACTCACCCTACGTCTCAGGTGACTCATCGCCCTCACCCTCGATGCCTCAAAGCCCTGGAGAAGAAGAGAGGGAAGAGAAAGAAGGCGTTCATTTCACGCCAAAGCGCGCCATGGCCTCGTTTGAGAATCTTGTTGCGATGGCGAACCACCAGGAGAGGCTGAGGGAGGCTAGGAAGATGGTATGGAGGGATAAAGGCCAGCCGGTCGTCGCTGTTGAGACGTTGGAGGCGTGTCTTGAGCATGCGCTTACTGGCGGACTTCGTGAGCTTTTCGCGTCATTTTGCATTGGCGCGTTCACTGAGAAGTACAAGGGTCCGCGACACTGGCATTCAATATGCGAGCGTGTTTGAACTTGGTGCTGGCTCTTCTTCGAATACACCGAGTACCAAGGTGCGCGAGAGCTCCTGAAAAGCAAATATATGCGTCTAATGTTATGCTCTAGAGATCACCGTTTCGCTATGATACGGCACGCCGTTTTCGGTTCTGATACATGGAGATTCGCAGCCATGCTTGGTGCGTCCTTTCCCTTGGCCAGTTACAGTTGACCTCACGTCCTTCGCAGGGACATTCGCATCTATTTACAAATTCCTCCTGAATGCCCTTCCTATCCTCATCCCCTCCATGAACCTCGGCCAGTCTGCGATAGAGGACGAAGATCTCGAAGAAGGTTCTACCCTCGAAGTTCCACTCCAGAAGAGGAAAGCTCGACTTTCCTTGAGCGCACGCGCACAAATGCAAATGTCGTTGATTCGAAAGAGGACGAGGAGGTGGCATGCTGCTTTGGCAGGGGGTATTGCAGGGGGTTTGGCTATTATATGGGAGAAGCATAGCCGACGAGGGATTATTGGACAACAGATGTTTGTTCGGTGAGCTCAGAATTCACCTGACCAGTCGTGGTCATCGTTAACGTGCCTCCATAGCGGATTGCAAGGATCGTATAACGCGTATACTACAAGCCGTAATATCCGCGTTCCGAATGGTGATGTACTGGTGTTCGCACTCGCGTAAGTATCTCGATGCTTTCAGGATTTCGGCTCTTTGACACTCTGGCATTAGCTGTGGTCAGATTCTTTATGGCTTCCTGCTCAGACCAGATACCCTTCCTAGATCATACACAACCTGGTAGGGTTTTCAATTCCCAAAGAAACGCTTCTGAACCCCTCGTTCACAGGATAGGACAAGCCGCCAAAGTTCCAGCAGAATGTGTTCGAATGAACCATGACCTTGTTCGCGACGGAGTATTCGACCTCGTAGACCTAGACAAACTTGCACAACGAGACGTCTGTTTCTTTCCTTTCTCTACTCACCCACCGAACTAACTCAAAAATGCGATCTAGGACATAACACGATTCAACAAATCCGACCTCCTCTCCCTCCGCTCCCAATTCGTCAACATCGTCCCAGGCGCTTCAGACACGCAATACTTCCCACATTACGCCCCCTGCTCTGCCGTCCACCCCGCGCTCTCCTCATGCGCTTCGGTGCCCCTCGATCGGTTCTTTGCCGTGTTTAAGTGGATGTTACCCATTTACGGTGCCCTGCACTTTGTACCAGCAGTGTTGTTCAAACGCAAAGCGTTCGCTGAGGATCCGGGAAAGGTGCTCGTTAGAGCGGGGATGGGGAGTCTACGCAGCTCGGCATTCTTGGGCGTGTTTGTTGTGATTTATCAAAGTCTGTCTTCTCCCCCTCCTTCCCTCATTCCCCACATTCATTCATTTTCTTCAACCCAGCAATATACTGCTACAAACACAAACTCCACAAACTCCTCACCCTCCTCCGCACGGGCGCCCTCCCCTCCAACATCCTCACAGCCCCACTCACCCGCACCCCCCAATGGCTCATCGACCTCCTCATCTCCAAGGCGTCTTTCTGGCTCCCTGGGTTCGCGGCTGGTTTGTCGTTGTTCGTAGAGGAGAAAAGGAGGAGGGGCGAGTTGGCGATGTACGTCCTCCCGAAAGGGCTGGAGAGCATTTGGGTTATGGCGCGTGGGAAGGGGTGGGTGTTTAAGACGGGACGATGGGGAGAGGTGTTGTTGACTTCGTTAGGGATGGCGATGGTTATGGTGAGTTTGCAGCTGTTCCTTTTTTGGTTTTGATGCTGATGAGGTGGTGTAGAGCACGTATCAGAACGATCCACAGCATCTCTCGGGCTTTGTTAGGCGCATTATGTATCAGTTTATTGGTCCGAATTGAATGCTGCATGTTGTATGTTAATTATTGGAGCTAGGGCTTTGGGCAGCCTCGGCCACTTCCTGCAATGCTCTGCACTTTGGTCGTGGAGGGCGGCGAAAACTCAAAGTTAGGCCTAGGGGCGGACGCGTCAGGTCACATCACCGTCACACGTGCATTTTGAAGCTCATTACTACGACCAATTGACGACCAACTGCGCAAAGTTGGCGAAAACGCGTAAGGTCTGTCTTTTTACGCACTTTCACTCCAAATTTGAAGTTAGCAAACTCATACAAGTACATCTTGCCAGTCGTAACAAGGACATCCAAGTTCAACGAACAAGTCAGGAAAGGAGAAGCCGCAGGCGAAAACCTCAGGGGTAGTCGACCCGAAAAAAAAGAAGCAGGGAGTCGCAACGGATAAGTTTCAGAAGGACATGAAGCTGTTCATGGAAGAGTTCGATGAAACAGACCTTGACTTGAGCTTGAACGAAGAGCTTGCTTCAAAAATGACCAAAGAAAGGATGCTCGAAGAAATCGCCTCTCTCCCTGCAGACGAGACGCGAAAACTGTTGATGAAACTCCTCTCGGAAGGCCAGGGTGTGCGAGAGACCATAAGGAGGGAACTCGTCAAAGTACGAATGGGCCCGGACGTCGCACCAGCAAAAAAGAAACGGGGTAAAAAATCTGCACCATTTGAATGGGTGGGCTCCTACGAAGCTTGTTCCACGGACCTGGCGGAGCAATGCGATGGACCCGAAGATGGGGTGTTGAAGTTCACGTTTCTCCCATCTCTCGGCTCTTCCCACCTTTGGGGCTCGTTCGACATTGGTGTCATCAAGGGTGTCATCCGCTCCCTTGACCCTCCCCCACGCGCTGTAGGCGATAAAATAAACTTCGTCTGGAGGGGCAGAGAGACTGGGGAAAGCGAGATGCTGCGCGACGACGACAAATATCGTGGTGTTGTTGTTTTTCTTGGGGATGCTGGGATTCAGGGGTCGATCGTCAGCGATGCTGTTTTTGAACAGTTTAGTTTCTTTGGGAAGTTGAAGAAGAACATGACGAAGTTGGGGAAGAGTGAACATCGGAGGAAGGTTGAGAAGGTGAAGAGTGAGTGGAGAGGGTTGTGCGATAGCACCGAGAGTCCTGATAGTCCAGCTGATTCGGATACGTCGTGGGGTCCGGCTGGGGATGGTAGTGGAGATGAAGGTGAGGACAGTGAGGGTGAAGGTGATGATCGTTCGGAAGACTCAGAAGATTCTGACGAGGAACGTGGTGGAGGATGGAGTGGGTGATTTGTCTGAAAAAAATGATCTTGTGAACGGAGAAAGATGTCTTGGACTATTCTTGAATTCAACGAAGGCTTGCTGGAATTAATATTCGCCAGCTAGTACTCGTCTTCCATGATCTTGACGGACGCCCCCAACGCGTCAATTATCGAAGTTACTACGTCACGTGACCGTGTAGTGGGTCGCGGCCCACTTTTCAAATTCATCGGATCTGATAAAGCCTTGAAGGAAAAAATATCTACAAAAAGAAGAACATTCAAGACGGGGCTCGAGATGAAGGAGAAAGGCGAGAATACCATGAAGTTTTTGGACGGGATCGACAACGCAGTCACCCGCCGCTTGGCAAAGGAACTGAAGCTTCTCGTCAAAATGACGAAAGCACGATCGCGCAAGGAGATCGCGACCCTGCCTGAGGACGAGGCGCGCAAACTCCTAACAAAACTTCTAACGGACATCCAAAAGGTCGAAAAGCCGTTCAGAAGGGAGATGATCCGTTTCCATCTGCGAGTTGATGAAGAAGAAAGGAGGACTCCGAAGACTCGTCCCACGAAGCGCAGGAAGGTTCCGGCCCTTGAATGGGCGGGTGCGTACGACGTCTATGCCCCAAAGCTTTCGGAAGAACATCAAGAGGCAAGAAAAATTCTTTCCTTGGAAACTGGGCCATCGTCCACCGCCTCCCAATTATGGGCTTCCTTTGACTTTGGCGTCGTTCAGGGCATCCTTCGCTCATTCAACCCTCCTCCCAAAGCTGTTGGTGACAAGGCCTATTTTTTGTGGCGCGGAAAGATCAAAGGCGACATGAAGTTCGGCGACGAAAATATAGGGGTCATCACCTTCCTCGGCGACGGAAAAATCCAAGGTTCAATGGATGGCGCAGGCTTCAACAAATTTAATTTCTTTGGGAGGCTCAAGTCCACAATGACTGGGATTGGAGACAAAGCACATCTCACCAAGGTCACCGGTTGGAAAGGGCAGTGGAGGGGAATAAATGCGAGTTTGCGTGATATGGAAATGCGCCAGAGACACCAACAATATTCAAGAGGTGAAATTGAACGCCCGGATAGTCCGGCTGTTTCTGATACAACAGCGGCGTCGGATGAGGAGGGGTCGGAGGACGACGAGGATGAGGAGAGCTCAGATGGCGAGGGCTCGGACGACGGGGGCAGATAATAATAAGTTTGCGGGGCCTTTTGACCGGATGCTCCTTTGGAATATTCAAATAAGCAGCGGGCCTTTTGAGATTTGGGAAACAGCTGGAGAACATCATCTGAGGCTTTGGGAATTCCCTGTATTCACTGTTGTAACAGCAAAGGAGGAAACTAATGAGTGAATGAAACATTGATCTTGATGTCACATATGGGTTATATAATGAATCAACTTTTGAATTGACTGTCGCAGAACACAGCACCCATCCTTTCAAAAGTTAGACCTTCCAGGCATTGAAATTTGAAGTTTCCAAATTCAGGTCGTCACGAACGCGTCAGTCTCATTCACGTGGTCGCGTCACAAGTTAACACTTTGTCTCCTGCCATCATGTCTTCAAATTGGGGTTACAAACAAGAATACGCTCCCGCTATCTCTATGGACGGGTTTACATGCACAGGCAACAGATTTTACGTGGTTGTCGATGGAAACCAGCACGAACGCGAGGGCGCTCAACAATTGTACAACCTCCTCACATACACACCGCCGCCACCAACGCTGACCAAGAAAGGCACGGTAGCGAAGAGACAGCCAGTTCCGCACAAGGATCACGCGGCTCACTTCTATTGTGCGCAACTCATCCATTATGGACTGAAGCCCTTGAAAACGAGGGAACCCGCAAAAAAGAGGCTTCTGGCGGCATTTGGGGCAGGACAAACGTTGTCGGTTCCGGCGAGTATCTTGCAACTTGAAATTTCCATGAAAGAAGAGTGGAAGAAGGCGAATAAGGTGGCGGAGAAGAAGTACCAGGAAGAGGCGGTGGAGAGAGACCGTAGAGAAAGGGAGGAGAGACAACAAAGAGACATTCGGGAGAAGGAGCGGAGGGAGGAGCAGGAAGAAGAGCAAAAAACCATGATGAAAGAATTTTTTGGTGTTTTCGATGCCTATGCACTTGATGATTCCGACGAGGACGAACCGGAGGCCCCAAGGCTAAGCAAGGCACAGATGCCCAAGGAAATAGCTTCCCTCTCCAATGATCAGATGCGCAAACTCCTCTTCAAACTACTCGCTGATGTTCCTGAGGTCGAGGATGTTATGAAGAACGAGATTGAGAAAGCTCAAGCTCAGGGGCGAAAATCGAAGACAAAACCTAAGGCCGGCCCATCGAAGAATCAAAAGGCCCTCTCAGTCGCCCAGTGGAAAGGATCATATACCGTCTATGCCCCAAAGCTTGCGGATAACTGGGACGACGCCGAGGGACCGCTTGAACTGGAGGTCTATCCATCTGCAAAATCATCTCACCTTTGGGCCGCGTTCAATTTTGGCATAATTTCTGGTGTCATACGTTCATCTGATGCTCCCCCAAAGACCATAGGAGACAAGATCCATTTTGATTGGAGAGGTAGGGAGAGTGGAGAGGGAGAGATGACCTTTGGGGATCGCAATAAGGGTGCCATCACTTTTCTTGGGGATGGAAAAATACATGCTCGCATGACGGGCGATCTCTGCAGCAAATTTGAATTCTTTGGAAAGCAATGCGCCGTGAAGGAAAATATCGGAGACCCTGTTGAGAAGGTATCGGAATGGAAACAGGAGTGGAGGGGGATAAACTGGTCCTCGTACAACGCTGCCAGCCAGGCAAGATGGGGTAAATGGGGAGGGGATTGGAAGATTGACGGTCCGGCGTATTCGGACACGTCAGAAGAGCGTCCTGGTTCCGACGACGATGAAGACAGTGAGATGTATTTTTGACTTTTTGTGATGTAGCATCTTGACCTCGGTCGTCTGGAATCGGATACAAAGGAAACAAGTCTAAAGAAGGGACGAGGAAACTAGTGCATTCGCATAAAACAAGGAAATAAACCTTTAGAATAACCTTCAATCCAACATTCACCACATGAAGTCTCCCAGACCACCACATTCAGGTTGGCCGTGATGCGGCACTTGACCACCGTGGTCCAGCCGCCGAAGCAACAAAGTCGGAAGATCCAGTCGTCTTTAATTCTCCTGATGAATTTTATGAGGCGGTAGTGGTTTCTGATAGTAAACTGAATCCTTCCACTCGCAATGACAGCTCTGATAGTAAACTGAATCCTTCCCCTCGCAATGATAGCTCAGCTAAGTCCCCGATCCAGCTTAAGTGTGCCTTCAGTTACGGTAGTAAAACTCAAGCTCCATGAACTTTGCAAGCAAAGCTTCACTAAGCTGCCGAGACGCTTGATTCTAGCATTGGAAAATCATCGTAAAGGGCCTGCATAGCCGTGTTGTTTTACGGGGGAATGGTCCATCGCATAGAGAATCGGGAAACTTGTAATGCCCTCCTTCAAGTTGTCTGCAACCACTGGGTCAGAATGCTTGCACCAAAGTCGAGAAACAAATGCACAGATACCACCAAGTCGTACTCCCACTTACGTCACTCCCCACCCTTATGCCCAACAAAATGTAGCCAGCACGCATGCACTTTTGGAGGAGGAAACGAGTTCGTGAGAACTTCGAATTTCGGCGTTTTCCGCATGCGATAAGATTATCATTGACTTGACCTTGACCTCCAGGACGACTGATCAGAATGACTCCACCCCCAAACCTCGGTAAGAACACGTTCACCGAAAATTTTCTATTCATATGGATTTTTTTTCACTAGTATTCGTCACTGGGAACGCAAACAAACTCCGGGAAGTCAAGGAGATACTGTCCCAAGGCGGTTATCCTATTGAAATCGATTCTCAGAGGCTCGAAAGTGGATTGACTGCTCCGTCATTTTTGTTCTCCACTCATCAAACCCAATTTTTCTAGTTCCTGAAATTCAGGGAACCACGATAGAAGTTGCCACAGATAAATGTCGAAGAGCAGCTGAGCTAGTATGCCGATGGTATTTGCCCGTTTAACTTTCACTGAAGTTCATCTCAGGTTGGAGGTCCTTGTATCACAGAAGACACTGCTCTTTGTTACGTGGCTCTTAAAGGGCTTCCCGGACCTTATATAAAGCATTTTATGGTAGCAGTTGGCCATGAAGGTCTGAACGCAATGCTGGACGGATTCCCCACAAGGGCGGCTGAAGCCGTATGCACATTTGCATACTCTGCAGGACCTGGTGAGATTGGTTTTTGAAATAATACATACCGTTTCTGAATATTAAATCTCATTTCAGGAGCGGAGCCCGTCATATTCGAAGGCCGCACGGAAGGAACCATCGTTCCTGCTCGCGGACCTAAGGTATTTGGTTGGGACGCCGTCTTTGAGCCCCTTGGCACTGGAATGACGTGGGTTAATTTTTTTGTCTTCCGTAGGCTCCGTATGACCTGTTGTGTCCAGATACGCAGAGATGCCAGCAGATCAGAAAAACAAAATCTCGCATCGGTACAAAGCTTTGGATAAGCTTCGTACATACCTTCAATGATCACTGTCATAGAGAATTCACTGCCTTATAATTGTTCCAAGATATGTAAATTGTACAACGTACAAGACAAGAAGTAGGTTTTGTCAGTTTTTTCCGGTTCCTGGAAACTTGTAGAAACCTGGAATGGGAATTTTCTAGAAAATCTACTAGCAAGGTGCGGATCAGGGGGCCCGGCTGGGCTTGGGGACATATGCAGGCTCCGGTTCCGATGTTTCCTGGTTTTTATGTTTTTTTTTCGGAATTTTTAGGGCTTCCTAGGTTGAGAAACCCGTGGACTCGGAAACTGAAATGCTTGAATACTGATGTTCAAGGCAGCCTACACCACTGATCAGAATGACTCCACCCAAAATCCTCGGTAAGAACGCTTTCGCCGTATTTTTTCTATATATCTTATTTATTTCTCACTAGTATTCGTCACTGGGAACGCTAACAAACTCCTGGAAGTCAAGGCCATACTGTCGGAAGGCGGTCATCCTATTGAAATAGATTCTCAGAGCCTCGAAAGTGGATTAACCGCTCTGTTATTTTTATTCTCTTGAACTCATAAAACCTATTTTTGTAGTTCCTGAGATTCAGGGAACTACGATGGAAGTTGCCACAGATAAATGTCGAAGAGCAGCTGAGCTAGTACGCCGATCGCCCTTGCCCGTTCAACTTTCATTGAATTCCACCTTAGGTCGGAGGTCCTTGTATCATAGAAGACACTGCCCTTTGCTATGTTGCTCTCAAAGGGCTTCCCGGCCCTTACATAAAGCATTTTATGGTAACAGTCGGCTATGAAGGTCTGAATGCAATGCTTGACGGATTCCACACAAGGGCGGCTGAAGCCGTGTCTACATTTGCATATTCTGCAGGACCTGGTGAATTCGTTTCTGAAAAATATACACCGTTTCTGACTATCAAGTCTCAATTCAGGAGCGGAGCCCATCATATTCGAAGGCCGCACGGAAGGAACCATCGTTCCTGCTCGCGGACCTAAGGTATTTGGTTGGGGCGCTGTGTTTGAGCCCCTTGAAACTGGAATGACGTGGGTTGATTTTTCTTTCTTTCGTAGGCTCTGTATGACCTGTCGTGTCCAGATACGCAGAGATGCCAGCAGATCAGAAAAACAAAATTTCACATCGGTACAAAGCTTTAGATAAGCTTCGTACATACCTTCAATCACTGTCGTAGAAAATTCGCTGCCTCATAATTGTTTCAAGATATGTAAATTGTACAGCATGCGAGACAAGAAATACACGACGGGGTTATAGAGTACAGTCAAATGTCCAAGATGATGTTTCGTAATTGTATGCTACAAGATATATATAAATGGTGATGGTCATCTAGCTTCAAGACAAAGGTATTGACGAAATCATAGCTTTGATTTTTCTGGAGAGGTTCCATTTTGCCAGGGGTTAACCGTCGAATGTACGGCCGAAACGCACAGATTACCGCCATCCCAGAGCTAATAAAAATAATGTTATCGCTCTGTGAATGAAAAAAGCCACACACAATGTTTCACCTCACACCTAGCAGAGCGCACCCGTCCGCGGAGGGACATCGATGTCGATACCACTCGTAACTTGGTGCCTCTGAAAACCATGTAAGACTGGGAAACAAGAACGAACACAAGGGGAAAAAGTATGTTAACGCACAGCCGAATAGATCTATGCCAAATGAGATTCATTGACTGAGATACACCAGTCCCATCCACACCAATCGTGCGACCCAGCGTAATGAGGGCAGACACCGAACATCTGCCACGATCAACTCTTACTTCAAATAAAAACCTTCGATAAATAGAAAGCGTACGGGTCGATTATATACGCCGCACAAGCACCGTGTAGTGTTCCGAACACGTTGCACATATCTATCACCGACCCCATAAGCCAAAATTCCATTGGCGAGCAGTCAAATCGTACCTTTATCAACCGTGATCTCGAATACGGTTTCCACATATGCCGCCGCAGAACCTTCCTTCCACACGTTCATCTCCAAGGGCTTCAATCGTTGTCCAACATTCGCGCCGTATGATTTGTCCGCGGTGCTCACGAAGTAGGTAAAAGCACTGACGCTGCGACGCTTGGCGTCGTCCGAAAGATTACCTGCGATATGGGAGACTTCGATGTCCTTTGCGCCTGCCGATATTAGTTCTTGTAATCTCCGAGATGACGTCGACGACATTGGGTATAAATTTTGACTCCGAGAAGACTGGGACGGGGATTTTTCCCCCAGCTTGAAACATCCATTCTTAAATTGGGATGGATAACTAAAATATGCATTCCATACCTTATTCCGGTTTCTCAGAATACCTACGAAATGCTGCCGTCTAGCTTGGATTACCGAAAATGGGTGTAAGGTGACCGTGTCAGGAAATGGAGGGCAATGATTAATAATTCCCACGATTGCTCTTAGCTTAAACCATACCGGCTCGTCAAACAGCCGCACCCGGCACGCTCTTCATGCTTCTTCATGGCATCAATCAATATTCCTCCATCCCTAGCGCCTGCGGTGTTAACCATCTTTTCAAAACTCTCCAGAGTCTACCCAAACAACAATGGCAGCCATTACTCCGTTACAATCCAGCCTCTCCGCGCAAGCTTTTATGAAACGCCCGCTTGACCTAGAAATCGTCAACGGGATAAAGGGTAACGCGCCTCCGGAAGTCAAGCAAATGCCGTTGAAGTGGCTTATGCTCTTTCGGCAGCGAGGGAATAGTTTTGCGACTTCCGTCGCGCAGCGCTTGAGGGTTACGGAGGTGAATATTCTTCCAAGCCCGGATGACTCAAAGAAACTGGAGGGGAAGGTGGTCTGCGAGGTCGATGTAACGCCTGGTATTTCTTGAATTATTTTGGGTAAAGAGACAGATTCTCCGATGGTGTGTGATATAGATATGTGTAGCGCACGAGGTGTATTGCATGAAGGCTGTATTGCGTTCCTTGTTGACGAGTGAGTTTCCTTTTTCAAGAACCTCTTTTAGGTCATTCCTGATTTCTTGACGCGTTCTTCAGGTGCATAGCGAGCTCTATGTCCGTCGCCATTTCTGCTGAAGGGAGAGCCTCATCGCCTGGCGTCACACAAACCATGAATCTCATGTTCCACGCGTCAGCTAATGTGTAAAGTTCAAATTTTACTTTTCCAATAATAATCATGTACTGATTGAAAATATGCGCTAGAGGGACGAAATTACGCATTGTAAGCACCACCATGGCGTCTGGGCTTCAATCAAATGCTGGACGATGTGAGGTAAGGGCCATTCATAACTAAACATCTGACTGTCAGACGTTAATTCGTGTAGGTCTGGGACTCGAAAAACCACCGTCTTCTTGCCTCTGGAGCAATGCTACTAATGCCTCCGTCATTGCCTATGAAACGGCCTTCATAGAGAGTGAAAAGTATCAGCTGTAGAACTAAAATGAAACGATAGATTCTCGGGCAATTGATAGAATATAAGTATTGTATGAATAATATTTCCGGCGCGGCGCTGGTGAATGACTGACCTTCGGTCAGATAATTTTTCTTGGCTCTTTCCTCCAACACAAGACTTCCGCAACTTACCGCATAAAATAGTTGAGCTAGACAAAAAATTGATCAGCAAAATCATGTGGTTCAAACCAGGGATCGTGGTGCGCTGATGATATATATGGAAAAAGGAAAGTGATAGGGAAAGAAACGTTGCTTTCATTTTCCCATGTCGCTCCGTCGAGAGGCCTATCGTGAGTATCTCGCCACGCCACTCAGCCCATCTGCGACGGCGCACATTGTGGGGAATGCGTCGCGGGAGCTCAAAGAAGTGCCTTTAAAATGGTATAACATCTTTCGAACACTTGGCAAAGGAGGTTTTGGGTACGAGGCAGGGAAACGCATTGTGGTGAAGGAACTTTCGATACAACCGACTGTAGATGACCCTAGCAAAATAGAGGCAAGGTTGGTTTGTGAGATCGAGGTTACTGCAGGTGCGCGCCAGCGTCGTTCAACAGCTGGCATGCTAATAAGCGCAGATATGTGCGATGGGATGGGTATGTTGCACCAAGGGTGTATGGCGTTTTTGATGGATGAGTACGACACCCCTCTCCGTTATCAGGAATGTTCGAGTAGATTTAATTTGAATTCGCGCCACAGGGGATCAGCAATCGCGCTCCTCGTGATGAACATCCATGAGGGAGGCGAGAACAGCATCGGGGTATCACAGACGCTGAACATCTTATACCACGCTGCGGCCCCGCTGTGAGCGCTCGTCTGACTCTCATCATCTTGATATCTCATATCTGGAACAGGGGAACGAGGTTACGGATAATTAACCGGTCGGTGACAGCCGGGGGGGAAATGGACTGTTGTCGCAGCGAGGTATGTTCATTGAAGTTCTCAGCGCGTAGCAGGCCGTTTATATACTATCGCAGATTTGGGATTTGGATAAGCATAGGTTGATCGTGTCTGTAACTCAGATACAGATGGCTCCGTCAGGGTTATTTCCGAGTTTTGAAGGGGCTTGAGTTGAGCTTGAGCTTCTTGGCCCTTTATTTGGGCTCAACGTGGAAGCCAAACAAAAACGTGTTTGTGTCTAATCCCAGAATAGACCTGTCGTGTTTCCCTGAGCCTGGTGTTTTTTTTTCTATTCACCATGGTCAATGGATGTTAAATAAAACAAAGGGCTCCTTAGCTCCTTCCCTTCAATACCTTTCATCTCAACCACCTACTACATCCTATCAATATCTAAGTAAGTTGTGCGACGCGTACTCCACTCCACTAGTACTGACGAAGTTGACCGTAAATTTAGTAGATCACTACAGTATTAGGAAAGCGTAGGGATCCACGCATTTTTACATCGGAACACTTGTACGACCAGGAAATTTGAATAATGGGCCAATCTTCCTCTAAACAAAAACATTACCCATTCCCTGTTCCAACTTATCCTGCTGGATATGGACCACCGCCCCCATTTGCTCCCCCTCAACAATACCCACAACCACTCGCGTATCCTACAGGGTACCCTCAAGGACCTTACGGTTATGCACCACCCGTATATGGACAACCTAATACTTTGCCACAACCACTTCTCAACTGGCTTCCTCAAGATAAGCCTACACGAAAACGTAAGATGACGAAGAGAGCCAACTCAGAGCAATACCCAACGGGATACGTTCCAAGTGAAAGTCAACACCATCGTATGCACGATCAAACCATTTTATTACGCTGTCTCTATCTAACTCGATTGCATAGGTGCATCCACCAGAACTCGTTCAATGCCCCGTCCAGTATCCACCCAACCTCAAGGTGGACCTGTCATCCCCGGCCAAAATACCCAATCCTATCATCCCACATCTCACTCTCACCGTCCACCTTCCCAATCTCAACCACCTCCACTCTTCACGCCAGGGGCGGGGGCAACGGGGGCACCACTAACCAGCTTCCCATCTCCTCAGGTAGCGCAAAACCCCAGACGTGCCGCAACTCCCTTTATTGCCCCGTTCAGTGACAGCTTCTCCGACGACGATGATGATGACCTGCCTCAAGATCATCAACAGACCTCTCGCTCCCAATCACATTATGTCAACCCGGTGAATCCACCCCCAGGACGGGTTCACAGTACAACACAACAACAACAACCCTCAAGTCGCCGTGAACCCATCCAATACCCACCACCACGGCCACTTCAAGCTGAACTCTCACACGTTATCCAGCCTATGTCACCTGCCGAACCCAGTGCTTTCGGTCCCCCAGACCTAGGACCGCATGCACCTATTGACAATCCCCTCCCACCACCACCACGCGATCTGTACGAGATGACTCCATACAAGGCGCTCCTCACCCTCCCACAGTCGACTGCTCTGCTGACAGCCACTTATGGAGCTCAGCCTCCGACCCAGACAATGCCAATTTTGGCCTCTGGTGCCCCGGTCACGCAAACGCAAACGCAGCCCAAACGCAAAAAAGGAGGGCTTTTTAGGGCTTTTAGCTCGAGGGGACGTAGTACTAGCGGTAGCAATGCGGATTCCTCATCGCAGCCGACAACAGTGCAGTATATCCCCGTGTTTGTGCCCCAGCAGCCTGGTCAAGCTTCAGCTACAGCGACAGGAGCTTTAGGAGCATCAGCGTCGGCGTCAACGTCAAACCTTGGACATGGGGGGTCTAATCATCTCCATGGAGGGTCTAATCATGGCCATGGAGGGTCTAATCATGGCCATGGAGGGTCTAATCATGGTCATGGAGGAAGGGGTGGTCATGACAGTCAAAGCGGGACTAGTACGGCTGCTTCGACACCTCTAACGCCAACTCCTACAAGTGCATTTGGGTCAGGCTTTCCCACCGGCAATTCGGCAAGAGGCTTTCCTACAGGAAACTCGACGACCACAGGATTTCCTACAGGAGGCACCACAGGTTTCACGTCGGCAGGGCTGGCATCTGCAGGACTCACCTCCGGTGCCGCTGGTCCTTCTTCTGCTGCCAACCGTCGTCCGGAATCCATGGCGTCCTCGCATCGCCCCCCTTCCATCGTGCGGTTCAACCAGCAGGGCACGTACGGAGGTTTCATGAATCACTCAACGCACCGGGTGTTGTACAAGAACCAGACTTACCCCAGCGCAACGCACCTGCACGAAGCCATGAAATACCTTGAACATCGACCAGACTTGGCGGAAAATATCAGGAATTGCAGGGATGTGAAAGACGTTTATCCGCTTTCTGCTAGGTACCAGCAGTTCCAGCGACCGGACTGGGGGCAGGTGTTTTTGCAATTGGTATGTTTGAATCGTCATCTTTATTTTGCGGGTAAATTCGTTGCTCAAGACGAACTTTTTTTCAGATGGAGGAAACCTTGTTTCTGAAATTCAAGCAACACCCTGACTTGCGCTGGTTGCTTACGGGGACGGAACGAGCCATGCTTATCTATGCTGATCCGAATGATTCATTCTGGGGCGAGGGTAATGGAACTGGGGCGAATGAGTTGGGAAAAGCGCTGATGAGGGTTAGGGAGAGGCTTGAGCGTGACAGGTTGGGCTGATTGAGACGTTTCTGCCCTCCTCGTTTCCCTTTTCTATTTCATTTCTTTGGGTTTCTGTGGATCTCTCGTTGTATCTGTCTGCTGATCTTTGCTTTCTTTTTTCTGCCATTCCACCGATATTCACACCTATGATACCCTCATTCTTTGCGACACCCAAGCCTTCCATCTCACGTATCTCAGGAGGAATTATATCATTAGATTATGTAGTTATGTAGTATGTAGCATTCTCAAGTACCTTATGATCAATCTGACATGCTTTATCTTCATCCTCCAAGTCTCTAACAATCGCTTCGTCAACGTTTCCGCCTCTTCTTTCTCTGCCTTCCCGCGTCTCTCTCAATATCCTCTTTACCACCATCACCTCCAGTCCCGCCACTCAAAGCCAAAATGACCTTTTCCACAGCCTGTCTCCTCACTTTATCCGGCACCTTCTGCCAATAAACCTCCTCCCTCTTCCCTTCCACCACCTCAATTATAATGGGCTTCATTCCGGAGTCCATCGATGAGATTGAGGTGCCTGAATCGTCCAATCCGCGGTCTTGAACAGTTGAATTTTGTGTGAAGTGCTGTGAGATGAGACGTGCATGCGCAGGGGTGCTCACGCGGAGATAACACTGCACGTATGTGAGAACGATGATAATAAAGGGATAGAAACTTGACCTACAGTGTCCATGCCTTTGTTAAAGTCCACATAGTCCAATGCGTCTCCTGCGTTATCCAGGCAAGAGGCGGCTTTGGATGCCTGTGAAAATAGGGCTCGCAGTGTAGTTTTGTTGGTCTCCGGGTGCACGTTCTTGGCAAATAAAAGACAGCCATAGGGGTAAGGCGACCATTGGTCGATTACTGGACTCCCGTTGTCCCCAGTTTGGTGCTCAGTGCTTCCTTCTTCCCCCTCCTTGTCCAGCTCTGCCACCTTTTCCGACTGTCGCTTCGTTTTCCCAGCTACGCTTAGAGGTCTCGTCTCTTCTCCGTCGGATAGCATTGATAACAAGGTTCCTCCAACTATTTGTCCCAATGCAGCGTCACTCTTATCCTGAAACTTGTTAATTTCATCAACAAGCTGCGTTCGGTAAAGCAGATATTCCGCCTTGAGCTCGTCCCACCGTGCTTTAGGCAAAGTTCTGAAACCGAATTTCAATGCCTCTTTGGCAATTTCTGTTTCTTCGCCTGTTTCATCATTCACATCGTCACGATCCCAATTCCAAACTTGTACAAGCTTTTCAACGTCCTCTTGTGTTTGGAGCGTGACTAGCGCAAAGCCTTTACACACAGGCTGATCTCCCGCGTTATCTTGGTGGTGAGGAGGGAGGGAGACGTGCTGGACGCGCGTTGGAGATGGGTGGTCGCTCATGCCTTTCGAGGCGACTGGGTGAGCTAGCAATAGCTGCGTAAATCGACAGATTCCAGGAATACTGCGGTACTGTATCGGAATATTCTCCTGCATCACTCACAGTCAGCCAATATCTGCGTCAAGTTAACCGTGAAAAACAAACCATATATACCGTCAGGTTTTTCCAATCACTCTTGGAATTCGTGCTAGACGCATTCCGACAAGTTGTAGCCCAGTCTTTTCTAAGTACCTCGTAACCTCCTTGTGAAGGCCTTGAGCCAGACCCGTCGCGATACCATCCAGAAGACGAAGGGGCCGCAAACGAGAGCCTAACGTCAATAAAATCTGCCGCGTAGGTACGGATGGCCTTTATGATTGTCGTTTCGGGAATACCAGTGAGAATGGGCGAAAGAACGTGCGAGTGCTTGATGAGGTAGCTAAGTGGTATATCTGAGGAGCACGGGTAAGGAAGCCACAGGAGAGATATGTGAACAGAAAACGTACATCCTGCATCCTGGTCAATCGCTGTCGCGTTGCCAGTTCCCTCTCCAGACTCTTCGCCCAATGCTACAGCCTGCAACTGTCCTTGATCAATTCTTCGCCGCAGATCCGCGTCAGACCATAATGCATAGTCCGAAAGAGCGAGACACACAAGGGAGGCATGATCTTCATCGGTAAATTTGGTTGTTTGTTTCGTCTTCGTTCGACCTAGATGTTGCACACGTTCATCCTCATCTAGGGCTCTGTCCTTCCCCTTCTCCTTCGCTGTGATGGTGGGGCACGCTGCAGTTGGAAGAGAGGTCGCTTCAGCATTTTTGGAGACTGTCGCAGGCCGGAGAGAAGATTTGGGCCGAGTCAGCTTTCTCGGTATGAAGGTCAGAGGAGAGGACATTGGGCCGCTCATGGCGCGTTGTTTGACAAACGCCACGGAGCCAAATTAGAGCTTTGTCGCATCCACCAGCTTGTTGAAGTTCTTTGGGACCCATTCGGCTCGACTTTGGTAAATGCCCATATTATTTACTCTGATACTTCACTGAAATTATATTCCAAGTCGAATAATTTTTAGGATGCAGAGGTCCAGGAACGAAACGAAATCAATGTACAATCTGAATGTTACACGTTTGGGGGATTTACTATGTTTATCTTCTCAGCCAGTCTTTTTCTCCAATTCTCAAGCTCCTTTACGGCAGTGCTTTTCCTTGATTAATTGCGTCGGCGACCTGGCTTGTGTTTGGTCTATTGAACGCATACCTGGAGGATAAACCAAGGCAAGCAAAACAGAAGGTCAGAAAATATCCATCTCAGAACACTGACTCTGAATAACAAACCTTTCGTAGCTGTCCAAATAAAGTTGTTCAGCACTGCAAGTTGCCTTGAACGCAGGATGTTCCAACAGCCTGTTTACCCAAGCGTTGAATCTTTCCCCCTTCGCAAGGTCGAACCCACGGTAGTGTCTCAACACTATCTTCGCTCTTAAGATCCCTAGAGGGAATCGAAAGATCAGTTTTCGAGGGAATTGTTGAAGATGACGGAAAACTTACATGGTGCAACCATGACATCGGACCACCCCAAATCCTGTCCTCCCTCCGATTCAATCCAAAGTCCTAAACCCTTTTTCAATGCGACCCGTTCACCAGCTCCTGACTCTCCTCCTCCACCCAGTATTTCCCTCTCCGCACGTTCGAAGAGCGCCACAAGACCGTCAATAGCAGCATGGAAATCCTTCTCTTTGGCGATTTGTTCCTCAGACTCTTGCGCTTGAAGATATCTGTAAAAGGCGGGTACAATAGTACGACTTATGTGGTCAGCCTGAAGTCGCACCAGCGCCCGTGCGTCTAAGCGTAAGTCAATCGTAATGAAATTTACTTGAATGCTGAGGCAACGTACAGGGATTGGATAGAGGGGGCAGCAGAGTCCGTTTGGTTGTTGATGATGCGAGACTTGGAGGTTGAGATGATTTACGCCAATTCACGACGAGGAACTCACTCCTCCAAAAACTCCATGATAACGGTACTTTCATTCAAGGCTCTTGGCGGGTTGTATCTGTTAAATCGGAGCGCGGGTACCAGCCCTTTCGGAGATACTTCCAATAGGTCTTGGGGTTTCTTATAGGGATCCACTTCGTCTGCGTAAAAAAGACCTCATCATGGGCCGCCCCCGCAGAGACCTCATGCTGCTTACAGTACTAAACGTCGTTGGTCACGAAAAGATGCCATCGTATTGTATAATTTAGGACAGACCTTGTATGGAATGCCCATGTATTCGAAAGCAACCCAGACACGCTGGACAAAGGGACAAAAGCAGCCGCCGAAAAGCGTTATATCTGCTTCACCCTTGTGCTGCGACACTGTGGCGAGGGCAGGACCTGTACATTGGGTATGATAGGGTCGACCTCTGTCGTTGTCATTGGCGGTAGACATGGTGGTTGGCGAGAAGCAACCTGTTATAATCAGTGATGTCATCAAAATGCCTTTTCACGCTTTTCGCACAAGAACATGACATAGAAGACGATTGCAGTCCTTACTCTACTATAATTTGTCTGATATATATATGTGTGGCATTACACACAGGTTCATGACTTTTCCGCTGTGGTTCTGGCAGGATGAGGAACAGCATGCCATCATCTTGCACCTTCCACAGACCAGAAGCTCTGGGTTTCCAGGCTTGACACATCGAGAACATTGTTTGCCACTCCCTAGTTGATTCTGACGAGGAAGGATTCGGCGATGTCGTTTTTGTTGAGGGGGATTCTGGTGGAAGTTTCGAACCTTGCTGAGGTTCTGGTAGGAGGTTCCCCATGAGCCTTGATGAAGAAGAGGAGCCCCCAACGCAATTCTGGTGAATAAAACCTTCCAAGTAGAACACTTGGTGAATGATCGCCCTTTCCAGCCTCAGAAAGAACTTGGATAGGACCTTCGTCAACCTCAACAGACAGGGATGTCTTCACAAGGTATTCGTACCCTTTCCCGTGTTTCAAGGCGCTGACGAATACGAAGACATGGAAGCTGCTTTTAGCTGGCTCGAAGAGCTGACGACCGCAGGATGTCCCTTCGCCACGTGATAGAAAGCGGTGAAAATGAACAGGCCCAGTCTACAAGAGTCTTACTTTGATGTTCAAGAAGGTTCCCCGTTCAGACGTTCCTCCAAAGCTCTTTCATCGTCCGACCTGTCAGGTCATCCTCAAATGAATGCTGTCAAGCGAAGTCATGTCCGGAGTAGATGGAATATCCAGCCACGGTAGTTCGTCCAGTCCAAGGTAACGACTCCTAGTATTCAACTTGTATTCAACAATTGTGGTATGCAATTCTTCAGGAGGACTGGGAAAGGTCTTGGGGGAAAGTCGGGTCAGTCACTGAGTGGGTTGGCTCGTGTAAGCGCTACTACCTGCAAAAGCACCCGGATAAGTTCTCGTCATTTCACCGGAATCCAAAACATACCTTGATGTATGAGGACTTGCGGGCAATCCTCGTTTCTAATCGAAACCCCTCAATATGAACGGGAAAGGAAAGAGTTTTGCGGAATGGCAACTGCGAAATTTGAAAGCTGCTTTGTGGTCACCGTTGAATTTCTAGTGAGGTTGTCTCGTGCTTCTGATACAACAGTGTCTACCCGCCGCCCAAGAGAGGAAGGCTTCAGGCCCGTCGAATACGTAGTCGCCGTGAGGGGACCTGATAGCGTACGGTTTTGGATAGATCTTGGATGGTCTGGATGAAGACGCACAAAAGACGCACAATAAAAACATGTTCTATGTCTGTGGCCTTTGTAGAGTGAATGTTGAGCAAATTCTTAAAAGCCCTGGCAATGCCCCGGCCGAGCATCATTATGGTAGAGGTTGACTGCCGAACACCGAAAGATCTCAGTTGTTTTCGGATCCAGCATGAGAACTGCGAAGGCCATTAGAATGAAAGCACCAGTGCCAGAGAGGTGCCGTTTCACCCTTGCGTCCTCATACCGAGGTTTTGTAGTCGAGGAACAGCGAGAACAACACAAACAACAAGTGGTACATCCTTCCAATCTTGAAATAGTTCCTGCGAGAGGGTGTGCTTTGGTCTAGAAGAACAGAGTGGGATGAAGGGAGTGGGCGCCGGCGTGGGACGCGCTGTCAACTGCTGTCAAACCTCTGTTTGAAATTGGCTACTGAGTCCGAATCGTCAAACATACGGTCAAGAGTATTTGGCGAAATACTACATTTTGAATGCCAACAAATTGTCAGTTACATAGCTACTTGATAACAGTGCAAGAAGCCTTGTGCTTTTTCCAGTCCGCTTTTTGGCATGGGGCAGAGCAGTACTTAGCCACCTTACAAGCACTACACGCCAAAAGTTTCGGGTTGCCTGGGTTTCCGCAGTGCATGCATCGTTCCTCCCCAATGATAGCACGGTTCAAGGCTTCCGAATGAGCGGAGAGTGTACCTTCCAAAAACGACGTGCTGAATAGGGGTGCAAGCGCAATCCTGGTGACAAAAGGGGCGAAGCTTTTCCAGGCCGAAGTTTGAGAGAACAGGCCAAGATTTTTTCCCTGTCCGCATCCACAGAGGGGACTCTCCTCGACCGTGACGGACACCGGAATCCCTTTCGAGAGGTATTCACAGTTCACAGTGTGTTTCCATGTACGGCACCTCTCCGCGAATGCAGGGAGAAGCTGTTTCCAAGCAATAACCTCATCCTCAAGGGTTTCAACTGCGAACAAGTTACAATCTAATATCTTTCGAAGGCCTGTGGCAATCAGTGGCGCGATAGAGGGCGTCAAGGGAAGCACACATGCGTCTGCGACGACTGTATTTGATGTCAAGTCGAGTTTGATTTCGCTGACAAAGATGAGAGTATGGATTTCCCCTTGAGATGAACAGGAAAGCCCTGCGGCAAGAGGTTGACCTTTTCGGTGAACGGAAAATTGTTCGAGAATGCGGCTGATGGTATCCTTCAATTCCACAAGGGTACCTCGAGCCTCTTTCTGGTATAGTTTCGTTTTCTCGCTATCTGAAAATGCCATTCCAAGATGCATGCGAAGCCACTTCAAGTTGTAATTTGAAGCAAAGTCCAGGGCGGGTAACCGGTCTAGGTGAAGGTAGTGAACGTTAGATAGCTTTGGGAGCGAATTATCGAGGAAGATTGGGAAAGGATCAAAGGAGAAGTTGCGACGATGAAGCGGATCTGCTAAAATGTGTGCTTCAACCTGAAATGCTCATTTCGGTCAGATTGGCAAAATATCCGAAACACAAAAACCCACTTCGACGTAGAAGGATTTCCTAGCAATTCGTGTCTTTAAGCCACTACCATCCACCGGGAGAGGAAATTCAAGAACTTTTTCATATTCGTCAAAAGTAACCAGGATAGCAAAATCTGAGATTTGTTTTGAGATCACAATAGCACCTGCCGAAAGTGCATCGCGATCCTTGGGATTCACGACATTAGCCCTATTCGTAAGCGAAGATGCCTGCATACGCAAGGTGTCAAAATTCACAGCAATAGTTTCCAATACTGGAGAGGTGTGATTCCTTCGCTTCAAGGCGCGCGACATAGCAAGCAAACTCTGAACCTCACCCAGATTGTCTGGGCGATGGCGAGAAAAAAATACATGCTGTCTGTCCATGACACTAGCCGAGTACACTGTAAGAAATTCACCCAGTTTAGGCTTCAGGGTCGTCATAGTCACAAGTGTAGAACGGAGAGAGAGGACGACCTCGGTGGAAGTGGATAGGAACCAGGCAGGGACATAGAAGGAGATTGTCAACGAGGATGATCCATTCCAGCCCTTCGCGTCTTCTCGGATGTTGATCTTTGACTCAGTGCTGCGACCTTGGGTCTCCACACTTCCAAAAATTGGCCGAATTGAGGAAAATATGTTCTGAACTACTCCGCTCCTGGTCTCGCACTGTAGGATAGGTGGCGTCATTTCGTCTGGGAGCATGTCTTCGAGGGACTTGAGAGATTGACGGGGTACCACAAGGATAATACAAACAACCTTAGGGACATCTTTCCATCCGAGTCCTTGAAAAAGATATGAAGAGGCTTGCAATACAGATGGAACGTAGGACTCGACATCCCGGAGGTGGAGACTACAGGAGAGGTCTTGGTAGTTGTTTAAGCCCATCAAAAGAGTTTTGTCCGACTCGATGCGTGAAATGAAACGCTTCATTGCTTTTGTCCAATCGGTCTCGACTCGACTCTTTGCAAGGTCAAGGAAAGCAACGAAACTGTGCCTACTATAGTGAAGTATCAAAGTCTGTCGCAGCTTGCCAAGCCTAGCATTTTTCAACATTTCCATCATGTTCTCATCGGCGAACATCTTCAGATACATGGCAAAAAAGAACTCTCCTAATCGGTTGGCATCGCAACGAAGAGGCTCATCTGAGGATATTTTTTGCTTCAGGGGTTTTTTCCAAGAAAGTAAGTCATAAAATTGGGTGTCTTTGATAGTCGACATTCGGAGAAATTCATGAGTAGATGAGACGGATGTGATTTCGGAAAGATGGCGGCAAGGTACCAGACCAAGTAGCAATGAAAGCATAGGGATATCGGCGCAAGCCTTCTCAAGTAGTCCCCTCTGCAAATTTTCGTGGGCTCCGGAGAGGAACAAGGAGCGCAAGGAGTGGGTATGAAGAATTGATGACCAAGTATCGCGAACTAGACGCGTTGTGGCGAAGAGGACATTCAAGAGGCCCAGATGGTCGGAGAGGTTGGACGTGTCAATGATGTTAAAGTTGAGGGGAGCTCTGTTAGGCGCGTCAAGAGAATAATCTTGGTCACGTAGGTGGATCTTGGAACCCCCCCAAGGCGTAGTATAGACACCTGTTTCCGTAGCATCCAACAATCTACAGTGGTAAAGCGTTTGGCAAAACGCGAGTGCGTCACCGATGAAATATCTGATGACAATTTGTGGCGTTTTTGCCAAAAGCCGTGTCCTAAAACTGGTGCACCACGCACGGAATTGTACTTTGATAGCCTTGTCAAGTTCGTCTAACTTGGTAACCGGAGAACGAGGCGGCAGTTTTGTCGGAGCGAGGGGAACGGCCAGGTGATAGGAGAGGAGTGGGTCTGTCCCATAATGAGCATTAAATCTTCGCCCAGAAAGTGAATATGCGAATGTTGGGTTAATGTGAGAAGCCGGTTTTGAGGTAGTGCCTGTTGTCCAGAATTTATCAAAGTGATCTGCTCCCATCGACTCTAGATTTGCCCAGAGGGGGCCCGCTGATCGGAAAGCCGTCGTCGTGACGCCCTTTTGCGTCTTCAAGACATTTTTCATTCCCGCAGAGAAAGACAATGAAAGTGCTTCCTTCTCACTCTGTGAAAGGGTCTCCGTCTCCAGATATTTTATCCACATATCACGAATTTGCAGGAGCGACGCATCCGTACAAAACCGGAACACTCCCCCATACTTCGAAGAGCTCCACGATTCAACGGTAGTTGACATGTCAACGAGCTTGCGGCATTGGTCAAGAAGACGATTCAAGGACACCTTGTCCAGGTAAAAATGGTAAAATATGGTCCAGACGTTATCTAGCATGGCATCGTTGGGGTCACTGTCAGCAACCATGGTGAACAAAATGATGTTGCGCGCTGCCCATATATCATATCAGAATTGGATAGGTAGTCATGATTTCTCACCAAGAACAGCGGATTCTGCGTCACAGCAAGTGAAATCCAATGCGCGTTTGTCTGTCAGTAGTTAACGCGATCGACCTTGTTTCAGGGAGAACGGTACACACCACCTAAATCGACGTGCACTGTGAACATGATGCTCCTTGGATCACCACATCCAAGCAGAAGGACGTCGGCTGCATCTTCTGGTGCCAATTGTTGAGTGAAGCAAGTTGCTGGAGTGTTTCCAATCGGATAGAAAAATTGTTTCTTGGGCCACAGGAGGGGGTGCGCCATTGATTTGAACTACGAATAGGCGAGGAATAAACGTGGTGGTAGACCTGGCGGCTCTCTGGTGGAAGTCAAAGTCAAATTCCTTTAGCTCACACGCAACTTCGAATCATGAGACCCTCAGCAATGATTGGCGCTTAGATTGTGACAATGAGCGGCTAGCGAAGATGGGACTTCCGTAGTTGAAGAATGTGCGCGGAATGAAATAACATGGTCTGGAGAAACCTTTCGACGATTCTTGGTCTGGTTGGAGCAGGTTCGAAGTGTTGAACATTGGACGAGGAACCTTGGAACAATGAGTGTGGTGGCGGTACCGTTTCAAGCGTTTGCCTATGTAGTAATGTGATCAATGTGTGATCCTGAAGTTTCCCTGGGTGCACTCCGCAAAGCAAGTGTCTGCGTGGCACTAGTACTGCTGAGTTAGATTGAGTTCATATGAGCATGTTCGACTCCTCAAATGGACGCTGGCGAACAAAGACATCGAGGATATTTTGGGCTAAGTACTACATACACTTTGCATTCCAACGAATTATCAGATAGCTACTTAGTGACAGTGCATGAAGCCTTGTGCTTTTTCCAGTCCGCTTTTTGGCAGGGGGCAGAGCAGTACTTGGCCACCTTACAAGCACCACACGACAAAAGTTTCGGGTTGCCTGGGTTTCCGCAGTGTTTGCATCGCTCGTCCCCAATAGTATCACTGTTCGAGGTTTTCGAGGAAGAGAGTGGGTTATTCACAAACGACGTGCTGAATAGGGGTGCAAGAGCAATCCTGGTAACAAAAGGTGTGAAGTCCTTCCAGGCTGAGGTTTGAGAGAACGGCCCCAGATTTTTCCCCCGTCCGCATCCACAGAGGGGACTCTCCTCATATTTGACGGACACTGGAATCCCTTTCGAAGGGTATTCGCAATTCACGGTGTGTTTCCATGTACGGCATCTCTCTGCGAACGCAGGGAGAAGCTGTTTCCAGGCAGTTACTTCATCCTCAAGAGTTACAATTTCCTGCAGATTTGTTATCTTTCGGAGGCCTGGAGTAATGAGTGGCATGATAGAGTGCGTCAAGGGAAGCACACATGCGTCCGCGACCACTGTATTTGATGTTAAGTCGAGTTTGACTTCACTGACAAAGATGAGAGTATGGATTCCCCCTTGAGATGAACAGGAAAGCCCTGCGGCAAGAGGTTGACCTTTCCGTTTGCGGCAAAACTCGATGAGAATGGCGCTGATGGACTCCTTCAAATTCACAAGCGTACCTCGCTCTTTTTGGTTTGATTTCGCTTTGGCCCTTATCTCGCTATCTGAAAACGCCATTCGAAGATGAAAGCCAAGCCAGTCCAACTTGTGATTAGAAGCGACATCCAAGGTAGGTAGTCGGTCCAGGCGAAGGTAATGGATGTTCGATAGCTTTGGGAATGATTCGTCGAGGATGATTGGGAACGCATCGAGGGAGAACTTGGTACGATCGAGTGGGTCTGCCAAAATAGGTGCTTCGACCTAAAAAACACGCTTGGATTAGCTCAATGATAGAGATGCAAGTAACAAAAACTGACTTCGACGTAGAAGGATTTCCTAGCAATCCGCGTTTTCATACGACTACCATCCACGAGGAAAGGAAATTCAAGAATTTTCTGATACTTGTCAAAAGTGACCAGGAAAGCCAAATCCGAGATTTGTTTCGTGACCACTGTCGCACCTGTGGCGAGCGAATTGCGATCCGTCAAATTTTTGAGATCGATTCTTTTAATGAGTGAATGTGCCTGTATATGTGAAGTATCGAATTTCACGGTCAGAGATTCTAATGTCAAAGAGGGGGGGTTCTTTAACTTCAAGGTGCGTGATACCACAGGCAAACTTTGAATTTTATCCAGATTGTCTGGACGATGGCGGGTGACAAAAACATGCCGTTTGTCCATGGCACTTGCGGAGTACACAGTTAGAAACAAACCCAATTTGGGCATAAGGCACATAGTACTCGAAGGAGTTGGACGAAACGAGAGAACGACCTGAGTCGAAGACGGCGAGACCGTAAAAATCCAAGCAGGGGCATAAAAGGAAACAATCAACGGAGATGATCCTTCCCAGCCATCTGTGTCTTCCCGGAGGTTGACCTTGGACTCGGTGCTGACACTGTCAACTTGAACTTCTACACTGCCGAAAATTGGCCGAAGAGAATTGAATACGTTCTGAAACCCAGTGCCCTTAATCTCGCACTGCAAGATTGGCGTCTTAATCTCGTCAGGGTGCATGTCTTCGAGGCACTTGAGAGATTGACGGGGTACCACGAGGACGACACAGACGACCTTTGGAACATCTTTCCATCCTTGAAAAACGTGTGAAGAACCTTGTGACACAGTTGGAAGGTAGAATTCCACTTCTCGAAGGTGGAGACTACAACAGAGATCCTGATAGTTGTTCGAGCCCACCAGGAGTGTCTTGTCTCTTTCGATACGCGATATGAAATGGTCCATTGCTTTTGACCAATCACTCTCGACCCGGCTCTTTGCAAGGTCAAGAAAAGCGACAAAATTGTGTCTGCTGTAGTGAATTGTCGATCTCTTCTGCATCCAGTCGATGCTAGTGTTTCGAGATGCTGCCATCACGTTCTCGTCGGCGAACATTTTCAGATACATGGTAAAAAAGAACTCTCCTAATGGGAGGGCTTCGCAGCGGAGAGGCTCATTTGATGATATTTCCTGTTTCGGGAGTCTTTTCCAAGAAAGGGAGTCATGAAACTGGCCGGACTGGGCAGACGATAGCATTATCTCATGAGTAGATGAGGTAGATGTGATTTCAGAAAGGTGTCGGCAAGGTACTAGGCCAAGCAGCAATGAAAACATCGGAATATCGGCACACGTTTTATCAGATAGCCCCTTCTGCAAACTAACGTGGCCTTCAGAGCGCAACAGGGTATGGGTATGAAGCATTGATGACCATGTATCGCGAAGCAGAGGCATTGTGGCGAGGAGGACATTCAAGAGGCCGAGGTGGTCTGAAAGGTTGGATGTGTCGATTATGTTGAAGCTGAGGGGAGCTCTTTTAGGCGCCTCGGGAGAATAATCCTCCACGCATAGGTCAATCTTGGCTCCTCCCCAAGGAGTGGCATAGACACCTGTTTTCGTATTATTCAACAATTTACAGTGATAAAGCGCTTGACAAAATGCCAGGGCTTCACCAACGAAATATCTGATAACAATCTGTGGAGCTGTTGCCAAAAGCCGTGTCCTGAAACTGGTGCACCATGCGCGGAATTGTATTTTGATAGACTTGTCAAGATCCTCCAACCTGGTAGCCGGAGAACGAGGCGGCTCTTTCGTCGGAGCAAGGGGAACAGCCAGGTGGAAAGAGAGAAGTGGGTCTGTCCCATAATGAACATTGAATTTTCGACCGGAAAGTGAATATGCGAATGTTGGGTTAATGTGAGAAGCCGGTTTTGAGGTAGTGCCCGTTGTCCAGAATTTATCGAAGTGATCTGCTCCCATCGACGCTAGATTTGGCCAGAGGGGGCCCGCTGATCGGAAAGCTGTCGAAACGCCCTTTTGCGTCCTCAAGACCTCCTTCATTCCTGCAGAGAAAGACGATGAAAGGGCTTCCTTCTCACCCTGTGAAAGGGTCTCCGTCTCCAGATATTTTATCCACATATTGCGAATTTGCAGGAGCGACGCATCCGTGCAAAACCGGAACACTCTCCCATACTTCGAAGAGCCCCATGATTCAACAGTAGTTGACATGTCAACGAGCTTGCGGCATTGGTCAAGAAGACGATTTAAGGACACCTTGTCCAGGTAAAAGTGGTAGAATATGTTCCAGACGTCATCTAGCATGGCATCGTTGGGGTCACTGTCAGCAACCATGGTGAACAAAATGATGTTGCGCGCTGCTCATAAATATATCAGAATTGGATACATAGTCATGAATCATTTCTCACCAAGAACAGCGGGTTCTGCGTCACAGCAAGTGAAATCCAATGCGCGTTTGTCTGTCAGTAGTCAATGGGATTGACCTAGTTTCATGGAGAACGGTACACACCACCTAAATCGACGTGCACAGTGAACATGATGCTTCTTGGATCACCACATCCAAGCAGAAGGACGTCAGCTGCATCTTCTGGTGCCAATTGTTGAGTGAAGCAAGTTGCTGGAGTGTTTCCAATCGGATAGAAAAATTGTTTCTTAGGCCACAGGAGAGGGTGCGCCATTGATTTGAACTGCGAATAGGCGGGGAATGAACGCGGTGGTAGACCTGGCGGTTCTCTGGTGGAAGTCAAAGTCAAATTCCTTTAACTCACACGCAACTTCGAATCATGAGACTCTCAGCAATGATTGGCGCTTAGATTGTGACAATGAGCGGCAAGCGAAGATGGGACTTTCTTAGTTGAATGATGTGCGTGGAATGAAATAAAATGGTCTGGAGAAGATCTTTTGACGATTCTTGGTCTGGTTGGAGCAGGTTCGAAGTGTTGAACATTGGACGAGGAACCTTGGAACAATATGAGAGTAACATAAACGCGGTGCGTGGGACAGGCGTGGTGGCGGTACCGTTTCAAGGGAAAAACGCGTTTGCCTAATTGACTCACAACTTTCTCCTCCATCATGGCCTCAACATCTGCAGCCCCGGCCAATGACTTCGCGAACATGCCACCTCGGACGGCGGATCTGGAGGAGACATGGACGTTCTTGAATGGAGGCGTCGACCACATCATGACTAACTTTGAGACGGGGTTGTCCTTCAAAGGGTACACGAGTTTATACTCGACCGTCTACAACTATTGCACATCGACCAAAATGCATGGAAAGCTAGAAGGCAATCGCAGTGAGTTTTGCGCGTCGAGTGATGTTAATATCGTCAAATCATAGTCCACAGCTGGCGCTAATTTGGTTGGATCCGATCTCTACAACAAACTCAGCGGATATTTTGTTGAGCATTTCAAAGGAATGCTTGAGGTGCGTTCCGACTAGCTTAAGACATTTATGATTGTCTGAAACTCGTCGTCCAGAAAACTGAAACTCTGCAAGATGTCGACCTCCTGCGGTACTACGCCACAGAATGGGATAATTACACTAGAGGCGCTAATTATCTCAACCGTCTATTCACATACCTCAATCGATACTGGGTGAAGCGCGAGCGAGATGAGGGAAAGAAGGCCGTGTATCAGGTGTACACGGTGACTGTCACTCTTTCGGAAAACAACACAGCATTCTAATAACATTGCAGCTTGCCCTATCACAATGGAAAAGCCATTTCTTCATGCACATACAAAATGACAACGCGAAATTGGCTGGTGCTGTACTTCGTCAAATCACACAGCAAAGGAATGGCGAGGTCGTAGATCAGGGTCTGATCAAGCGGGTTGTGGATTCATTCGTGTCACTTGGCCTTGATAACGCCGACCCTAATAAGGAATGCCTCGATATCTATAAGGACCAATTCGAAACGGCATTCATCGCTGCCACGGAGCAGTATTACAAGAAGGAATCAGATACCTTCCTAGCTGAAAATTCAGTCTCGGACTACCTCAAGAAAGCCGAAGATCGCCTGCGAGAGGAGGAGAATCGTGTTGAGCGTTATCTACACAACAAGACGCGAAAAGAGCTTGTCAGCAAATGCGAAGAGGTCCTGATTCGCGAGCACTCCGAGTTGATGTGGGAAAGCTTCCAATCGTTGCTCGACTTCGACAAGGATGAAGATCTGCAACGGATGTACGCCCTTCTCTCAAGGATTCCAGAAGGTTTGGAACCTTTGCGAAAAAGGTTTGAAGCCCACGTCAAACTATCTGGTCTCTCTGCTATCGAGAAGTTGGTTGGCCAGGCCGGCGCCGCCGCTGCGAATGCGGAAGTTGACCCCAAAGCATATGTGGATGCGCTCCTCGAGGTTTACCACAAGAACTCAGAGACTGTAAACAGAAGTTTCAAGGGCGAGGCAGGATTTGCGGCAAGTTTGGACAAAGCCTGCCGAGAGTTTGTCAATCGGAATGCGGCTACTGGCGGCTCATCGACCAAATCGCCAGAGCTTATTGCCAAGCACGCGGACATGCTTTTGAGAAAGAACAACAAGATGGCAGAGGAAGACGACCTGGAGGGTGCTTTGAACCGTGTTGTACGTTTATGTTGTTGTCGTGTCTTGATCAGCAGCCTCAATGCCGTTTTTTCAAAGATGATTTTGTTCAAATACCTGGAAGACAAGGATGTGTTCCAGACATTCTATACCACCAAGCTTTCAAAACGGTTGATCCATGGTGTCTCTGCGTCCGACGAGAGCGAGGCCAGCATGATTTCGAAACTCAAAGAAGCTTGCGGTTTCGAGTACACCAACAAGCTCCAACGCATGTTTACCGGTAAATTTCTCAAACTCTCTCGATTTTGTTTGTTTTGACGTGGAATTCAGACATGAGTTTGAGCAAGGATCTTACTGACTCATTCAAGGAACGCATGTCGCAAAATCACGATGACATGGACATCACCTTCAGCATCATGGTCTTGGGAACTAATTTCTGGCCACTCAATCCACCACCTCACGATTTCGTCATCCCCACCGAGATCGTGCCCACCTACGACCGATTCCAGAAGTACTACCAGACGAAGCACTCTGGCCGTAAACTCACCTGGCTATGGAACTATTCCAAGAACGAGCTGCGCACGAACTATACGAACCAAAAGTACATCCTGATGACGAGCTCGTATCAGATGGCGGTACTGTTGCAGTACAATCGGACCGATACGCTTTCGTTGGATGAACTGGTCACTGCTACTTCGATCACGAAGGACATCTTGACCCAGGTTCTGGCTGTGTTGGTTAAGGCGAAGGTGTTGATCAACGAGGAGAAGGATCAGTACGATCTCAATCCCAGTATGCTCTTCGCACTTCTCTTGAAGCTTCATGAATCTGAATGTTACTTTGTTAATAGACTTCAAGTCGAAGAAGATCCGTGTCAACCTGAATCTGCCAATTAAGGCCGAAGTCAAGGCTGAATCTTCGGATGTTTTGAAGGCTGTTGATGAGGACAGGAAATATGTCATTCAAGCCACGATTGTTCGGTATGTCAGCTTACTGTCATCTTACTTTTACTGGAAATCTCATCGAGCTCTGTCGTGTAGAATAATGAAGGCAAGGAAGACGATGAAAAATCAGGCTTTGATCCAGGAAGTCATCTCTCAGATCTCTCAACGATTTGCGCCAAAGATTCCTGACATCAAGAAGGCGATCGAAACCCTCTTGGAGAAGGAATACATTGAACGAGTCGATGGTTCCAAGGACACGTTCGCATATGTTGCTTGATCTCCCTTCCTCGTCCCTCGTACATGTGTTCAAATCTGCCCCTCCTCCATGTCCAATCATCACTCATTTGAGCATGTCCATCCAAGCATTGTCGCTTTCCATCTCCATTTGTATACCATAGACCGCTGCAGCTGTCGATAATCAATCTCACACATAATAAAACATTCCAGATAACAAAAATGAGCGATTCTTTTTGCATGGGATACAGTGTAGGTACATGCAGCAGATCTAGAGGGAAGCTACGCCGTCACGCTGGGTTCAATCTCTCCCAGTAGCATGGTACCGTCTTTGCTTCCTGTCAGAACTTGAAAAGTAAGGAGTCAATACATGTCATCGATCAAGAAAAGAGGTAGGCATACTGATAGGTTCCTTGGGGTGGAAATCTACAGACGTCACCGTACCCTTGTGGCCAGGAAGCTACGAACATGGTACGATGAGAAAGCAACGCAAAAATGAGCAAAGGAAAAGCCAACCTTGTACTGAATCCTCCCACTATCCACCTCCCAAATACACACCATTCGATCCGCACCACCCACGGCGACCCTTCGTCCACCATCATCCTTACTCCACGCTCCTCGCAACAGGGTATTTTCGAACCCTGCCGGGGCGCCCATCAGGACTCTATGTATCCGTGATGGCGATGGGGAGAAGGGCCGCACGTCATGTATGATGGTTTGAGATGAAAACGACGGGGAGAGGAGGAAATTCCCATTGGGAGAGAGGGAGAGGGAGGTGGGGGTATCGTTGTGTCCTGTGAGGGTGTATACTTGTTCGCATTTTCGAAGGTCGTATACCTACACGCAAGTCAAAAAAAAAAAAAAAAAGAGTAAGAGATAGGAAGAAGAAGAGAGGGAGAACGTACGTGGATCTCATTATCAATAGCACCAATATACACATTCGCACCATCCGCACTCCATGCAACAGCCGTCACCGGGCATCCCACATCAAACGTCGCGACGGCGTACTTCCCCGCGTCCTCGCCTCCCTCCCATATCTTCACCGTACCATCGTCAGAGCCCGTAGCCACCAACTCGGTCCCAGCGCCTCCTGCCATCGTCCTATCCACAGAATTGATAATCTCGCGGTGCGCACGGATGCGGCGGTATCGTTGGCCGGTGGTGACGTCCGTCATGGAGAGCATGTGGTCTGCGGAGACGGTGTAGAGTGTTGGTGAGCATAGGGACCATTGGAGGTCGAGGATGGGAGCTTTGGTGTGGCTGGAGAGGAGGCCGTAGTTTGTGTTTGGTGGGTATGTGCGCCAGAGGGCTAGAATTGGGTTAGGTTAGCGTGAAAAAAAGGCAGCTGGGGATAGAGAAAGGTATTACTTACAGACGCTTCGGTCAGCGGAACACGCTGCGATGTTTTGTCCTGACGGGTCGAACCTACAGCTCAAAATTTCGGCCTAGCAAGAATACGCATCAGTCGTCCCATATACACCGCGTTTGGACGTCGTTGAAACACACCGAGTGTGAGCCAGCTAAGCTGATGATAGGTGCTTCAAGGGCGCTGGTGCGTTGAACGGTTCTGATGAGGCCTTTGCTTCGCTCGTCGTTGCTTGAGGAGATGGCAATTTGGTTGGACGGTGGGGGGGTTGCTTTGGCTCTTTTGACGAGCGCGCCCCCTGCGGGTGGTGGGGAGTGCGTGCGTTTTGACATTGATTGAAGTTGAGCGAGACTTCACGTTGAGGAAAGTTGTTGAAAAGCAAGCGCAAACAAGCAAGTGGGTCCAAAACTCAATGTACGAGCCTTGTATGAGCCACTATGTATGTAACGATAAATTCTGGTCTAATATTGATATATGTACAGGGGATTGTGGACGTACGAGATGAATATGGTACAATGTCAAGATCCTTCGACAGCAAGAAAGCAAGAAAAACCAGTCCAAAAAACTCACTACACAACCTCAAGTTTCAACCTCCTCTTTCGCGGCACCAACAACAGCCCAAAAACTCGGAACAGTAACAGTCAAATCATCAACATACCAATACCCCCCCTTCTTCAACGCCGCACTCGACTTGCTCTTCGATTTCTTCTTCTTCTTCGCCGGTGGCTCGCCCCCTTCTCCCCTCTCAGCATCAGCATGGACAACCTTGGGCACGCGCACGAGCTGGACCCAAGTCCCAGCTAACCCCACACCCTCACTCAACTCCTGCGCAGTCGAGAGTTTGAGAAGGACAGTGATGTCGTCCGTCAAGGGATCGTGTGGTTTCTTTGCAGTAGTCCCAGCTTGAACAGGGGGAGGAGAAGGGGCAGAGGAAAGCGGGTCAACGACCTCCCCAACACTCGACTCCAATATCCTGGGTTTCGAAAACGCCGGAATCTCCCCCCCATCCCAGTCCAACCAAGGGCTCAACACAACCCTCGCAAACCGCTTCTCCAGCTCTAGCTCCACGGCCTCTGCGTCTGGCCCTCCTTCAGAGACGGGGGCAGTAGCCACTGTTTGTGGTGGTAAATTAATGCTCTTCACGCGACGCATCGAGGACTCTACGATCCCTGGTACGTGTGTTAGAGGGAGAGCGGTAGGTCCCAGGAGGGGGAGGAGGGACGTGGGTTTGGAGGAGCTCCAGATGAAGTCGTCTGTTGTGGGTTCTTTACCACCTGGTTGAATGGTGTTGCTGTTACTCCAGATTGAGCCTGCAGAGTCGGAGGTGTCGATTGTTCCCCAGCCAGACGAGTTGGTTGTTGTTCCCCAGCCTCCGTCGTCAGCTCCAGGCCAGGCTGATGCGCTATTGGCGCCCCATCCACTCTCGTCGGGTATTTCCGTGGTCGTACTAGCTTCCGTAGCTGCAGAGGTTTCCGTGTCTGCCACTTCGGTGATATGTCCACTGGACATGGTAACGTCAGTGTCTTCTGCAGGCACAACCGGGGCAGGAGGAGCAGGAGGGAGATCTAATGTAAGGGTCTTGTACCCATCAGCTTTGGTACCCCAGCATTCGTTGCATCCAGCGCTGAACTCATCTGGGATGATTTTGGATATCTTGGCTGTCAGAGGGTATTCTTTGAGCGCGAGGGTGGTGACGTCTTTTGCTCGCTTGAGTTTGCCGACCTCGGAGGACGGGAAAACTTTGTTTCGAAGGAGAAAGTCGATCCAGAAACCCATGAGTCTTGGGATTGCTTTGAGGTTATCCTCGGCCCTGTGTCGTTATCAATAGCTGTTCGATGGTTATGTGGGAATAAGACTTACCAGATGAGACCTTTGTGTCTGGAATAAGACGACATGAAAATCTTGATGGTCGTTTCTGGATCATCTACGAATGATGATATCTTGCGCTCTTTAACGTTGGCGTCTGCCAGCTCCCCATTGTCATCGTCGGAAAAGTCATCATCGTCATCATCGCCATCCGCTTTGAAGGCCTTGATGTGGAGTTTCTTCTTGGGTTGGGGTGCATTGTCGCCCAAACCGCAAAAGTTGAGAAACTGCAGAGGTATTAGCGCAAGATTGTAGGTAATGGTGAAAGGTCATACCTGATGCCAAATGCGTTCGGGGTTGTGCTGTGAGTCGATGGTTTTTGGCCATGGACGACCAGACCTAAAGTCAGCAGCAGCCTGCTGTATTTTTTCGCTACTCGTAATATGCCTGTTACGCGTTCAGACACGTCGACTCCAAAGCAAGAAATGCCTACACATGAGCGGTAGTCATCCTTGTGCTCTCTTTGTCCTCCCATTCCTCCCAGAGATCCTTCTTGATGCCAGCAGCAGCCTTCTTCGCGTTTTCTTCTGCCCTCTTCTTCCTCTTGGTGTTCGTCTTGCATACATCATTGCTATGCCTGGTTTTGACGGCGACGGTTATGATGCCAAGGGTATCGACCTCCTCCTCGTATTGGCCTGGTACGATCTGTATGCCGCGTTGCTTGAAATTTTTGAAGGACATGATGGTGACGCCTTCTGGAGGTGCTGGCCAGGGTGGAAAAGTGAACTTGTGACGAGGGATCATAGTGACTAGTGTGTTTTCGGTTGACACGTCGATGAGTGTTGGATCTGGTATGATTTCAGCTTGATCGGGCATTATGGTGGTTTAGAACAAAGTTTGTAAGGATGAGAACAAAGCGCTGAATCCATCTGAGTAGAGTTATCTATCTTACAATCGCCCATTTTGGCAAATGATGTGTGATGTGATTACCAACCATTCTCGCAGCAGCCGACGACGACGACGAGCGACGACAACCACCGTCGACGGTGTCCCGAGGCAAGTCCGTATTTCGACACTAGCGAAACCCCAAGACGGGGTTTATTACCTCGTTTACCCGGTCCCTGATATACGAAAACCTGATCATCTCGCATCATCTCGGACAAACGAATCACATTGTTCACTCAGAAAGACATACGATTATCACCTACCATTTTTTTCTTTTAGGCCTGCGTATCCCTTTTCAATTCACCACGACTCCAATACCACCAACCAACCACTAATTTGCGACAGGGATACACTATTCTGGAGTGATGCCAGACTACGTATATGCCCTACATGATTTCCTCCCAGAGAACGAGGATGAAGTTTCCTTTCGAGCTGGAGACAGGATAGAGGTCGTCGAGAAGGACGACATGTACGGTGATGGCTGGTGGCAGGTGTGTATCTTTCTATCTACACCTGGGCGCTACGTCCCTCCGAGACATCCACTGGCCTTGCCCTCTCAATGAGAATAACTGATGACACTTCTCATAGGGACGGAATCTCGAAGGAAAGGTCGGCCTCTTCCCAAAAAGCTACACCGCCCCAGCCGCCCCATCTACCGAGGTCCCAGCGCCTCAATCCGCCCCATCCGCTGCCGCTGAGTCTTCATCCGCACCCACCGGAGAACCAGAAATCACCACCACCATCGCCTCTCCACAACCCAAACAACCCACAGCAACCTTCCTAAGTGGGCCTCACGACGATGAAGGCGATATGGAAGGCCCAGATAGCGGCGATCTGCAGGGCAACGGTGGAGACGAAGTTATGAAAGCCACAATGACAGATGTGCAGAGGGCTATTGAGCAGCTTGGGAGAGGGGGCGCGGATGGGGAGGGGAGTTTCACTTTTGCAAGCTCGCATGGCGGGGACACGGAGACGGATGATACGGACTTTGAGATGAGCGATACGGAACGTGCGAATGATGTGAATGGCGCGCAGGATTGGCATAAAGGTGCAAGGACGAAATTGGCTGAGAGGGCAAGGAGGGCGGTGGAGAATGCTGAGAAGTTGGAAGCGATGACGACTGGCATTGGGTCGTCTAGCGGTACTGGAAGGGTGGTCAGTGCCCCTCCGATTCAGGCCGAGTTGAGCGACGAGAGTGACGACGAAGAGGACCCTTCGGATCGGATGGATTTTACATCCCGGTCAAGCAAGTTCCAGAGGGACAATCCTTACATCCTGGAAGAGGACGAGGAACTCGAAAATGGCGAGGCTAGCAAGGGTGGCCATGTACAGGATGTGTCAATGGACACGGCTACGACGATCACTCATTTATCGTCTGATCATGGGGACTCTCTGCAAGAGGAGGCGCAAACCGCTACAAAGGCGTCATTCCCCGTCTTCGAGTCGCCTCCTCCATCAAATTTGCCGCCTCCAGAGACAAATCTTTTGGACGAAAAGATCCCTTCTCCTGCCAGGTTATCACTCCCCTCGCCCATCTCACCCAACTCGGCTGTTAATGAACACTTCGCAATTACACCGATCCCGCTCTCTGCACCGGACAAGTGGAAACCTAGTAGCATTCCGACTACTCGTGAGTTGCCGTTATCCGGGTTACCTTCTCCTGCAGCAACAGACCCAACAGCTGCCTCTTTATCAAAACATAACAGCGTCATGTCATCGCTTTCGAACGCACCTAGTCTTGCTCCTGCTTATCAACCTATAGTGGAGGTAGGGAAGAAGGACCCTAGCGAGTGGACAGTCGAAGAAGTCGTGGAGTGGTTGAAAAGCAAAGGATTTGACCAAGCTATCTGTGATAAATTCATCGGTGAGCTCCTTTATCCACAAAAATATACCACAATATCTCACAAAGAAATCACAGAACAAGAAATAACAGGCGACGTCCTCCTCGAACTAGACGTCAACCTACTCAAGACCGAAATCGGGGTAATGGCATTCGGGAAACGCATGCGCATCGCAAACGCTATAACGGACCTACGCCGCCCGCCATCTATAGTCTACTCTGACCATCCCCCAACGACGGAGATGCCCTCCCCCTCGTCGCCGATGTACAACACCACCAACACCACATCCACGCCACCCCGCGTCCATTCTAGAACGCAAAGCCAAAGTCATTCTCATCATTCTTTCCTGGGACATAATTACAGTCAGAGTGTACAGAGCTCGCTTGGGAGTCCGATTGGTTATGTTGCTGGGACTGGGATGCCAACACAGTTTAGCTTTGGTGGGCCGGGGCGCTTTGAGCCTGTTGCGGAGGGCGGGTCGTCCTCTGGTGATATATATTCGCAGAATGGGAATGCGAATGCGCAAGGGCTGGAGATTCCGCCTGTTGTCGGTGAGGGTGGTCCACCGGGATTGGGAATGTTGACTTTTGAAGAGGCTCTGGGCAAGGGAACGGTATGTTGTGGTCCTTAATTTTTTGACCTTGCGGTAGGCTGATTGTGATGTGTGGTTTTTGAATTTGAAGAAGGCCCGTCCGTCACAGTTGACACTTTCGCCTAGTGATGGTGCGTTGAAGGAGAAAATCATTTTGCAGCCTGAGCAACATGAATATGAAGATCGTGGGCATCTGAGTGAGGTTTGTGATGCTTCTTGTGTTTTCTTGGTTCGGAAATGACCTTTGTGATAGGGAGAAGTTGTTCCTTCGCAAAGCATGCGACGGCGCCTATTTGGTCGCTCGCACGACTCGACTACATCAGGTGGTCATTCATCATCCAAGCACTCCAATGGTACCTCCTCACCAGGAGCGCATACTCATAGCCACGAGGATAAAGACACTACTTCCTTAACGAATGGGTCAATAAAGCATGCCCGTGTGCGAAAGAGCATAGATGGGGGTAAGCCCAGCGACAACAGGTTGAGCTTGTTCGCCGTGCCATTCGGTGGGAAGAGTAGGAAGCCACCCCCTAGCGCTGGCGAGCACGAGTATCACGCTGAAAGGTCATCGATGTTCGGTCTTCCCAAGGGGATGCGGAAATCGTCCTCTACACATTCTCAACGACCGTCTACGCCTACTGGGTCGCCAAAGGAGAAATTGAAGGAACCACAGTCTCCTTTCAAGGATCACTACCACCACGAGAAAGGACAAAAGGAGGAGGTTGCTGCTGAGGTTGAGCGATCGACTTTGAGGAAACGTGTTATTTCTTCTGTTCAGCAGAGTAATGGGGGGTCTTCGTCGGTGGATGGGAAGAGTTTACTTGGGGTTGGGGGTGGTGTTACGCAGGGGCAGAGTATTCTTGGGCAGATAGGCGAGCCTGACCATGTTGGGTGGATGCGCAAGAAGAGCGATCGGTATAATTCGTGGAAACCGCGGTATTTTGTGTTGAAGGGTCGGTATTTGTATTGGTTGAAGAATTCTAGCGCTTCGGTGGGTGTTTTCTTCACGTTAGATGGAGTTTTTGTGCTGATTTTGTGTTTTTCTTAGGAAACGAGGTTGAAGGGATACCTTGACATTATGGGGTATAAAGTGACCGTGGACGAGACTTTGGATCCTGGTCGATATGGATTCAGAATTGACCATGATACAGACAAACCGCATTTCTTCAGTTCTGATGAAAAGTCTGTCATTCGTGAGTGGATGAAGGCGATCATGAAGGCTACAATTGATCGAGATTACGCGAGTGTGTTGTTTTCACTGATTCTTCTCCTTTGATTTTGTTGACTTTTTTTTTTTTCGTTCTATAGAACCAGTCATTTCATCATGCAACATCCCAACCATTCCTCTGGTCGTCGCACAAGCCATGAACCCCGCTCCACGCCCGCCATCACCAACTGCTCGCGATGCTACTCAAAGAGCACTCCGACGTGAAAATCCCAACCAGCTGTCAAGTCGTGATGCTCGTGTACTCATGGGGCTTTCTTCTGACATGGGTAGCGGCCAAACTCACTTGGATTCTTTCTTTGCTGAACATTCAGTCTTAGAAAACGAACAAGCTATTCCAACGTCACCAAAGTCTGCTCCCCCGAGACCGTCGAGGGAGATGCGTAGAGCCAATTCTGTACGCTCGGCGGTACGTGTTGTCGGCCGCCATATACGTTACATGATTGTGCTAACTTTTTTTGTTTGTTGAAGCAGCTCAGTCCGGCTGATAATGCCTTGGTGGAATGGGCCAACTCCCATCTCTCTGCTTCTCTCCAACTCGAGGACCCCACCGTTTCCTTCTTTGGCGGTCTTGCCCTTCTGCGTCTTGCAGAATCTATCAAAGGCAGACCGTCTTCGCCCCCTGTTCCTGATTCTGCTTTCCCAGTGGGTCCCACGGACGATAAGCTCGATGGCCTCTTTCGTTTATTCGACTTTTTGCTTGATAATGATGTGAAGATGGGGAGCGTGAGCATCAATGATATCCGACAAGGAAAGAGGGACAAGATCCTGCAGCTCTTGAAGGCGCTCAAGTCGTGGGACGATAAGAGGCGGGCTCTTGCGCAGACGATGAATGGGACGTTGAACCCTAGTGGTGGTGGGGCGTTCTTGATGCCGACAGGCATGCAGTGGGCTAGTATGTGATCATACTCATAACACTTTTTGTGTCCACCATCCTTTCTTTTTCTTTCCCTTTCCCTTTCCTTTCGCTTCTATACCCGCCCTTTTGGCTCATGACTTCTTTCATTTTTTGATATACCCATTCTAACTATACTATTTTTTTTATCTAGACATGCACACTCAGCGATACTGACGAACTCACTCAACCTGTTTTCTTTTTTCTTTTTTGGTTCACTTGAATCTTTACACCCTCCTTTTGTGTCTTTTTCCCCTCTATCTACATATTCAATTATCTACTCTTCCCCCGCTTTTTTTTGTTTTCAATGTTTCTGCTATACAAACCACAATCTTTTCCTTGTAAAAAAGAACTTTTCAAGCCTACTGGCTCACTTCCCTTCCTTCCTTGTCTACTCCAGTAATTACTCATCTATCCTGCATATATGTATTCATTCTTGCATTCCATCTTCTTTAAATCGATGCTTCTTTCACTGTGAGCTCTTTTCTGTAGGCGTAAACTAAGTAGGGGACAAGTATAGGGGACTTTTGATGGAGAATAAATGACTTGTATTGGATTGCGAATTTAGGTGAATTTAGGCGCAAGCGCAAGAGGAAGATCATCATTGTAGTACCGAATATCGCATTACCGAAGATTGCCAGCAAAGTGACCTCATTTGTTGCAACGTGTTAGTAACGTGTGCGTGACTTAACAAATCTCAACGTGATCAAAACCGTGCTCTTCCCAAGGTCTTCCTTTTTTACCAGTTCTGACTCTTTGACGCGAGAGTATGACTCGTACGAACCAGTGAGCCCGTACAAGACAGTGATGCATCTTTCGAACGCCGATGTTCAAGTCAACGTGCAAGTAAAACAGGTCTGCAACCAGGAAGGCCGCCGGGGATCTCCCTTTGATCTCCCTAATAAGTAGTCTTCCGGAAAATCCAGAGGAAGGGAACAGGTGAAAATCAGTGAGAACTTTGACGAGAACGGACGAGAACTTGATCTCCAGATAGCTTCGGTTTATTCTCGGATTGCAAGTTTGCTGGCTCGGTGCGAACTCGGAAAACAAAGTTTAACAAACTACTTTCTGCACGCCAACCTTTCTGAGAGGTTGCTTCAATTTTAAATCTTGGAGATGGCTATGGTTGGTCTCACTCAGATATCACGGCGTCTCCGCTTTCTACCCCTCCCCCACTTACCGCATAAATAGGCTGACCTCCACGGTAGCAGATTGCCACATTATTCCGGAAATACTTCCACAAAAATCATGAACCCTGATCCCCGGTTTGCCGTATTTTTGGACGTTTCCGTGCGATTTCGAGAAAAGTGCCTATGACGAAGCCCAAGCTCGGGGAAAAACTGGACTCTACACGAATGTCGGACAGGGTTGGCGTTGACCTCCATTCTCTGCTATCGCAACATCTCCGACAGACGCTGAATAGCGTTTAATTCCGGAAAATATGCGTCTATTTCACTGTTTCTTTGCCATTCTGACAACTTCTATGCTGCCGTGGCGTTCATTATTCTATTTCCAGCAATCTGGAACACCGACCCCTGATGATCACCCGTGCGACGCCTACAGATACGCCCGACCGATCTCTTCAACAACGAAAGATAAACAACCAGTTTTATGGCACTTGGACCATATACTTGCGCCAAATCCTCACGTCAGCATCACGATACAGGAAGTTGCAGTCGAGGCACCCCTCTTGAAGTGATGCCTGAATTTGTGACTGCTCTACACGACTTCGTGGCAGAGGATGAAGAGGATCTTCCATTCCGATCTGGGGACCGTATAGAGGTCATTGAAAAGGATGGTTCGTATGACGATGCCTGGTGGAAGGTGTGTATCTTTTTGCTCAGGAGGAGATAGAAGGACTTGAAGTCCCTCTGAGTGGATGTTTTCCTCTACTTTTTGTCCTGTAATCTCTCTTAAATGATAATGACTAATGACTTTCTCAAAGGGCCGCAATCCACAAGGAAAAGTCGGTCTCTTTCCGTCAGTCTTCACCGCACCAGCACCATCTTCCACCGATCCACTATACGGTAATATTTCTCCTTCATTGCCGTCTCCTGCCAACCTGAGCAACCTACAGATATATTTGAGGAAGAGGAATCGGGTAACGAGATCCACGACGAGGACCAATTAAGCCAGGGGGAAAGTTCAAAGCACGAGGCACACACAGACCACGAGGAACAACACCCAAAGGACGAGAATCAACCACAGGTCGACGAGGTTGATGAACACCAAGTCGAAGGGGAACATTTAAAGAGCGAGAAACAATCACAGGTCGAACAACAGACAGTTGTCGAGGAACGCTCAATCGACAAGGAACAGCCGGACGATGAGGAGCACCCACACGACAAGGATAACTCATACAGCGCTAGGCGATTGGAGAGAGCCCATAGACGGAGAGGCGCCATAATAGACCTACAGACAGCCGTTGAAGCACTCGGACCTAGGGTGGCGGAGACTCGGGTATGTGACGGGAATGATGACGAGGGTTCCCCTCCTGACTGGCTTGGCTATACATTCCAATGGGAAGGGTTCCGGGAGATGCTGCAAAATGCATGGCGGATGGCAGATGTGCAAGACCTGTTGACCGAGTCTGCTACGACAATCAGTCACATGTCGTCTGGTAATGGGGCTATTAGTGATACTTTGTCAAAGGACAAGGCGGAGACGCAGAATTCCACGACATCGTCGTCCGGCGTTTCGAAGGTGTCTTCTTTGAACCTGCTATCCACGAAGACACCCACCACAGAGAAAAAGATTCCTTCTTTTGGGCTGCTTTTGGCTGCATCAACGTCAACCAACACTGTTGCGGAAGATAACTCTATTATCGTGACCAGACCTCGTTTACACCGCACAAAGCACAGTGGTGCTATTCCTACTGATACCTGTGTGTCATTTGGTTTACCCTCCCCCGCCACAACCGACCCAAACTGTGCCTCTCGCCCGAACACCGAGAGCGCCCTTTCACTGTTCTCAGATAACGCCTTTCCCTCTCAACTATCTTCCCCGCTACCTGCAGCCCAGCGTGTCATCAACCCACCTGGTGCCTCCCGTTTGAACACCGACAGCATGGTTTCCTTCCTCTCAACCAACACCTCTCCTTCTGAAGGATTGTCTCCGCTACATGCAGGCCAGCGCCTCACCAAAGCTGGTGCCTCCCGTTCGAACATCAACAGCGTTGCTTCCTTATACTCGAATAACTCCTCTGCTGAGCTATCTTCCCCATTACCTGCAGACCAGCATTCTACTGAGAAAACTGACGACTATGTTCACTTGTTGTGGAACAACGGCTTTCTTACAGAATTACCTTCCCCATTCCTTACAAGTCAACACCTCATTGCCGGAAATAAAGCGAAACAAAAATTACCAAGCGATTGGACGCTCCAAGAAGTCGTCGAGTGGTTGAAGAGCAAAGGCTTTGACCAGAACGTTTGTAACAAGTTTATAGGTGTGCTCCACTTCGCTACAACACACCGCTGCAACTGACTAACCCAATCAATCTATAGAACATGAAATCACTGGTGATGTCCTCCTCGAATTGGACGTCAACCTACTCAAAACCGAGATCGGAGTGATGGCGTTTGGGAACCGCACGCGCATCGCAAATGCCATCACTGACCTTCGCCAGTCCCATCCTGTAAATTCCACCGACCAACCTATGGCGGGGATATCGTCTTCCTCATCTCCCAATACCCCGTCGCACTTTGACACTCAAGTTGAAGTTTATCAAGAGAGATCTTCAATGCGGAGCTCGTTGCCACCTCCCTCATCTCCCGAGCAGTATACCCCGCTGCATTTTAGTACACAAGTCCATGAAATTCGTCTGGAGAGGTCTTCGATGTCTAGCTCGCTCAAGAGCATGGTCTGGCAAAGGCGACCAACCTCGCTACCTGTGCATCCCACCCCATCAAAGGCCGATATCAAAGTCCACGAAACTCGTCAGGAGAAATTTTCAACGTCCGAGTCATCCACGGGCGTGGGTGGGGAAATACTGTCTGCCTCACTGCCACTGCGTCGTTCCTCGCAACGCTCTGATAAAGTTTCTGAAATCCGTCGGGAGAGCCGTTCGCCTCCTACTCCCCCAAGGACCATGTGCCGGCCGCTGCCTGCCATTCCCCAAGTGTCATCAACGCCCAGCGACTCGCTGAATGGGGAGGCAGAGGAGGCTCGGACTTCGTTCAACGACTCTTGGCAAGCAACAGAAGAGGGAAAGAAAATAGAGAAGACGACTCCAGACATGGCCTCTATCAGGCGCAACAGTGCGGACAAGCGCAGGATAGCTCAAGCAAGCAACAATAGCGATCTACTTGTCAGAAAGGACTCTGTCGGTATCGGTGCCATGCTAAGCGGGAGCACTCTTCATCCGATTGGTGAACCCGATCATGCTGGGTGGCTGCGCAAGAAGAATGATCGATATAACTTCTGGAAGTCGCGGTACTTCATCCTCAAGGGTCAGCATTTGTATTGGTTGAAGAGTGCCAAACCCTCAGTGAGTGCTTCTCATCTTAAATTTCACCAGTTCGACCCATCTGTGTTGTAGGAAAAGACCCCAAAAGGAATTATCGACATTGTGGGTTACAAGATCACCACCGTGGATAACACCTTTGATTCTTCTGGTCGTTATGGATTCCGGATCGACCGTGATCAAGAGAGGACATACTTCTTTAGCTCTGACGACAAAAATGCTATTTGCGATTGGACAAAGGCCATCATGAAGGCTACGATTAGCTGGCAGGCACCTGTTGCTTCGTCGTGCAATATTTCGACGGTTCCCTTGTCTGTTGCACGAGCCATGAACCCAGTTCCGCGTCCACCATCACCAACCGCTCAAGAGGCTATTCAGAGGTCGCTCAGACGGAGAAACACCGACAATCTATCAAGTCGTGATACCCATGTTCTTTTGGGACTTTCCTCCTACAAGGGTGATGGCCAAGCTCTCTCGGACTCCCCCGCTGAACAATGGCAAGATTGTATATGGCTGCAAAAGCAAACGTCCCCACAGAAATCCGTGCTTCGTCGTCCCTCAATGCCGGAGATGCGGAGGGTAAGCTCGACACGCTCCACGGTTAGTGCGTTTGCACGCACTCTCGCATTGCGTTTTAACACATTTCAATATACAGATCAATTCAGCAGAAGTGGATGCATTGGTACAGTGGGCCAACTCTCACCTCCCTACGTCCCTCCAAGTGCAAGACTCCAGCGCCTCCCTCTTCAGTGGCCTTGCCCTCCTGCGCCTCGCAGAGTCCATCAAGGGCCCATGCTCCCCCCCAGTCCCCGACAACGCCTTCCCAACTAATCCCGGCGACGAAAGAGTCGAAGGCCTCTTTCGTCTATTGGAGCTTTTGCTCAACAATGGTGTGAAGATGGGGAGGCTGAGCATCAATGACATTCGGCATGGGAGGAGGGATAAGATTCTGGCTCTTTTAAAGGCACTCAAGACCTGGGAAGGACAGTTGGTAGAAAGTTATAGGGAACGATTTATCGTTCCCATTAGTATGTAGTGCGCTTTCGATTTATATTACGTTCGTACAGTCGCTTACTTGTAATTTCACCCTTCTCTCTTTACTCCATTACAATTTAAGTCCAAATTTATGTAACAGCTTTGACATTAATTTGGACTTCATACATCGTCTACATTATTGGCACGCATAACAGATTTATAATACCAATGTTTCCTTCGTTTTTGCAGCGTGTCGCCAGTTGGTCGTTATGTCAGTTGTGTCGGGGGGAATCAAAAAGTCATGAACGTTGAACGTCCAAGCTTCCAAGTCCAATCGTCCTTGAGTATAGGTACTCTGTTTGCAAATCTCTTCTTCTCTTTTGAAGGAATACACCGTCTACGTAGAATCTACACATGATTTTTTTACAACAAGATCGCAAGGTAGAATACCACCAAAAAAAGACCTATTCACAACCCATCAATGCATCTCCACCCACTCAAAAATCAGCATACGCATCTTCACATACCCCCTCTACACCCTCCCCCTCCTCCTGCGCAACGGTCCAAAAAGACGGCACACCCATCGCCAGCTCCTCAACGTACCAAAACCTCTCTCCTCCTCCTCCCTTGCCCTTCCTACTCATCCCCTTGCCGCCGCTTAAAGGTACAAGCTGAACCCACGTCCCAGCCAACCCCATACCCACACTCAATGATCTCAAAACATGCGTTTCCACAAGGAGCGTGATGTCCCCTTCCTCAGTCTTATGTTGTTGTTCTTCATCATTAGACGGAGAAGGAGGAGGGGGGATAACGCTAGCTTTCCTAAACGCAGGCGCCTGCCCACCGTCGTCCCATTCGCCTTTATTCCAAGGCGCCAGCACGACTTTCGCATAACGCGTCGTTAATTCCCCTCCATGGTTCGCGCTTCTTGGCCCCTCAGTCAAATTGGAGTTGGGCTTGGCACCTGGCACGGGTTTCATCTCCTTAACCCTCCTCACGCTCCTCTCCGCAACACCACACCTATACCTCATTATTTCCGGGTCAATTTGAACGGCGGGGATAGCCCACTGTTCCAGCTTGGCGGAACCCTGGAACGGGTTGTTGTTGACGTGCGCATCGTCGTCGTCGTCGGGAGCGTCAGCCCAGTTGGGTGTTGAGGCGGTGTGGGTTGTTGTGCTGCTGGGAGTGGGGTTTCGGTCAGCTGCAGCTAAAGCGGCCCAGTTGGGTGTTTCATGCGTGGTGGTGGGTTTAGCAGGTTGAGGAAGAGGGGTTGGAAAAACAGCGAGAGAGGGCACCGATGGGACGATATCGTCCACCTTGAGCACTTCCACATTCGCCGCCTTCAATTCCGCCTCGAACTGTTCCACCAAGTCCGTGTTCTCCACATCATCATCTTTCTCAATCTTCTTCTCGTCCAAAGCCCACCTCCTCGCGCCAAATTTTTCAACACAGCTCAAACCGAGCTTGTCAGGCAGGACTTTACATACGCGTCCTGTCTTTGGGAGTTCCTCCGAAGCGAGCTTGGCGACTGTTAGGGCTTTATTCAGTGCGCGTTCGTGTGTGGGTTCGGGGAGGACGCGATTTCGCAAAAGGAAGGTCAAGAAGAAGACGAATAACCTTGGGAGAGTGTTCAGCGCAGGCGCAGACCTACGTGTGTGATGTGTAGATTAGACATTGACAGCAAAAATTACTCTCTGGACAAACCAGATTAACCCCTGAGAGCGCATGTAAGAGCTCAAAAACACCTTGACCGAATTCTCTGGATTGTTAAGAAACGAAAGGAGTCGTTCTTCCTTCCGCCCTTTCTCGTCCTCAAGTAACCGTTGCACCGCGGCGTCGCTGTCCACTTGAACGGGGGTAGCACCGTAAAGGGCATACGGAGGCCGAACATGAAATCTCTTGAACGGCCTACGTTGTGGTTCGTCTTGTTGAGCCTGGTATACGTTCCTGGTATCGGTGTCAGAGTAGTCGTCATCAGACTCAGAGGTGTTTTCTTGTGGTGTCTGAGCAGCAGCAGTGGGAGAGGATGCCAAGTCGGTTCTGTGCCAGACGGGGGTTACGCCTAGGAGGCCGACGTACAGCCGGATCTTGGTGGATGAGAATGAACGGTGTGTGGAGAAACAACAGAAAGAAAGGACGTACTTGGTCCCATAGATAGGGAACCTGGGACTTGACATGCGGCCAACGGCGGTTCATTCGAAAATCAGTGGCGGCTTGGTGGATCCTGTCCATTCGCGATACGTTCCTTGCAAGGCCATTTGATTGTATGAGTGCAACATGAATTTCGGAAAAAAGGACATACGGATTGTAGGCATTGGATGAACCGCGCGACTCTTCGGCCTCGGCCCACTCCTCCCACCAATCCCTGCGCTCGTAGTGGTAATACGTGCGTTTAGGATTAGGATTAGGATCAGCCACTGGCACTACTTCCTCCTCAACCTTCTTCAGGTTCTTGATGCTGCCACTCCTCTTCGTCGCACCCGTCTTACACTCATCCGTATCATGCGGCACGCGCAGTTCTACAGTGGGAATCCGAAGCCCGTCGACTTCCTCCCCGGAGTGGCTGGGGGCGATCTGGATGCCTGTTTCCTTGTACGAGGCAAAAGGGAGGATGGTGGTTCCTTCTGGGACGGGTGGGAACGGGGGAAATTTGAGGAGAGGTTTTGGGGTGGGTTCAGGGAGAGACATGGGGACGATTATAAAAAGTTGGAGCTATAAGGGATGTCATTTTGGACCTTCTTTCTTCGTTCAAAGGTGATTGTAATCGCAATATCAGTCACGTCCTTTTCAAGTCACGTTATTCGCCATCGCGATCACGCGACAGCCAGTCGCGTGGATTTCGCCCTCTCTATACCAATATTTGTTGCAAAAATCCAATTTCTATCGTATAGTTTACCCGAAACATCGAACAAACTACATCGTTTGAATGGGCCCCGGCCCTTGACTCTTTACTTGCAATAGCCCACGATGTCACCTGGTTGATATTTACTTCGACAGCAATCCAAGTACGAGCTCGTCTCGCCAACATCACACCAATCTTTTCCCGTTATGGAAAGGCCCGACCAGCCGCCATCCATGAGACCATGCCCAGTTACTGATTTGCAGCACTCCGTCGAAAGCGCTTCATTCCACCAATCCTTCCTTCCAATGAAAAGCCAACCGTGATCTCCATCTTTGACGTAACATCCACACCACTTGGCAGATACCCCCTCCATAAGCAAGAGAGAGATGAAGGTGAGAAAGCTGGATTTCAAGTTCATGACGAGGCGCTAGCAAACACAGGTCTGTTGGCCCAGGCACGTGTAGACAAGAGTGAAGACGTACCCTGGAGATGTAAGCTAGCTGTTTAGGCAGAGACTTCTTGTCTGGAGGAGCATTCCAATATCTCGTCTTATAACAGCTCGTTGTCTTGATTGACGTTATGAAGGGCCACCCACTTCAAAATTAGTTTGCATTACACTGTCACTGTCAACGAGGGGCGAAATGACAAGGTAAAGTAGCTAACCTGATGTGTATGAGTCGAGGATACAACCAACGCATTCGAAGTAAAGCGCAAAGTGTGCACCGTCGTATCGGTTGGTCAAATTTCACGACCACTGTCTATCGGGGAGTTAAGCGTACACTTGCAGAACGAACGTAGGGCTTTCAGCAAGTTTCAATCCGTTCCCTGAACAGGCTAGCAGGCATTTAGGGCAAGAACTCGACCATGACTAACCGTGGATGAGATTTTACTTTGGGCTAAGATAAATCCTAGGTTGACAGGGAATGGAAGGACGAGAAATGGAGCTGCGAGTCAATCAGTCACGTCCTTTTTAAGTCACGTTATTCACCATCACGATCACGCGATAGCCATCGTCGTACCTGTGCAGGTCCTGCAGGAGTTTGAGATTCGCTAGCGAAGCGAGGAACGAGTGTAGCGTTAGAATAGGGTCTTTGAGCGAACGAGTGGTGCGGCACGTGCCGTTTTCTCTTCTTACCACCACCTCGTTCGCCACACAGAAGGAGTTCATTAGCTCCTTCCTCATTTTTCATTGCCTACTACACTCTTTAGAACTACACACAGTAACATTCCCTACTACACATCCCCATGCCGCGAATTCTTCAGGACCCGACCAATGTCCCATGCCCGGATTTCGCAGGAGCAGGACACGCCGCTGTCAGGCAAGTCCTGTCCAACAACGGCCAGGTAACCAACGACCAGGCTATACAACAACTAACCACTGCTTGGAACCAAACACACGAGCTCGAAGTCAAAGCTTGGAACCAGCAAGTGCAGACAGAGCTAGAAGAGCACCAGGAGCAGGCCAGGCTGGTGGCAGAAGAAGAGACGAGACGCCAAGAGGAAGACCGACGCCTAAAGGACGAGGAAAGGAAAGAGCAAGAGAAGAAACGGCCCAAAATCAACGACTTCGACGAGGGCAAGATAATCGCCGACCACGTCATGGCTCGTCCGTCACAGTTTGCCATCGGAAAGTTGAAGTCATTCAGCTATGTCGAGTTATGGTACTTTACTGACGAAGGATGTGCTGAGGCACAGGACGCCAGCAAGGCCCAATCAGATGACGCATACGGCATCACCAAGGTCGACGACCTAGTCGCGTTCAAGCCCGTTGGATCCTTCAAAGCATCCCGGAACGTTGTCCCAGACGCTAACCTCACCTGGACGCAGATGAACATCGCGAAGAACATGCTAATTCAGTACATGGGCTTCTGCGACTGGCCCCAGAAGCATATCCAGTCATTCGCGCATTTCTACTTCAACCTCGAGCTTGAACCGATACGCTCACGGCCCCACGGTGAAAAGGTGCTCATTGTATACCAAGCCAAGGCCAGGAGACTGTGGCACGATGAGCTGTCGAGAGGCACAGGCTTTAACATCGCGCCTATAAATAAGACGCTCCTCAGCACCATGGCTGAGGAGGTGTGGGACATGGTCAGGATGGATTCCATCAAAAAGGTCAGTTATTCCCCTCCTTCCCCCCGAATTTCCAACATACGCTGACTGCTTCTACCCACCCTTCCCCCCCACCCTTTTTCCTCCACGTCTGCCATACCATGCCATCCCGCCACCTTATTGCCATCTGCCATGCCTTGCCATCACGCCAAATGCCCACAAAACAACACTATAACACCTGAATCCGACGCCTCGCGATGCCACTATCGACAACAACCATGCCTCGTCACTCCACACCACTGACAACCATGCCACGCCATGCCACTAACGACATTGCCATTGCAGCATGATGCCATAGCCATGTCCCCAGCACGGGACCGGGACAGGAGAAGCTCCAGGATGGGCTCATCCTCGTCTCCATCCAAACGAGGTCGCGCGCAATCCCCCTCACGCTCGCGCTCTCGCTCGCGTTCGCATTCCCCTCCCCGCCAGCGCCGTCGTCGTTACGCCTTGCCAGAGCGCTCCTCCAGAGATGCTGGTTCACAGGGCAGGCGCAACCGTCAGGCCACAAACGGCAGAGGCAGAAACAGAAGCGGCAATGCTTCGTTTTTTCAAGGGGGCACAGCGGGACGTGGCTCCTCCGCCTGTGTCGTATGCCTGGGACGCCACGAGCACGATTATGCCAAATGCTCCGCCACCAAGCTATGGAACGGGGGGAAGGTCTGGGTACGAAGAGCCGACAATGGGCGACTCGTCTCCATCGACGGGCTCCCCATTTGTTTCAGCTTCCAGACCTCAGCAGGATGTTCAGACACTGTACACCCCTCTCGGCACACCTGCTCAGGGTGTGGGAAGTCAGGGCACGGCGCTCAGCAATGCCCTCAGGTCCAGAAGAACTAACCCCCGCACCCCTTACAAGCCAGAGGCGTGGCGTAGTCAACTCGACAGACACGGTCTCGACTCCCGTTATCCAACATTATACCACAGCCTTACGCACGGCTTTGATCTCGGGATTCCTAATATATCTCAATCATATGTTCCAGCTAATAACCCGTCTATTAATAAGTTTCTTGAAGAATATGAGGAAATTGTGGAGAAAGAATTCCGGAAGGGCAGATACATTGGCCCCTTCTCCAGGGCAGAACTGGAATCTGTCATTGGACCCTTCCAGTCATCCCCCCTCTCCCTTGTTCCCAAACCTGGAAAACCGGGAAAATATCGCGGGGTGCATGACTTCTCCCACCCGCGTCAGCCATCGACAAATCCAATCTCATCTATCAATTCTGCCATCAATGCACATGATTTCCCCTGCACATGGGGGACCTTTTCCACGATATGCCTCATCATTTTCCGACTACCACCCGGCTCCCAGGCCTCCATTCGAGATGTCGCTGAGGCTTACAGGACCATACCTGTACATCACAGTCAGTGGCCAGGTTTGGTCGTGCAACTACGAGGTGCAGACACCTTCGCCGCCAACACATGCAACAACTTTGGCCTCACCTCTGCAGGTGGGGCCCATGGACTTCTTGCGGATGCAGGAACGGACATCTTCCGTGCGAACGGAATTGGTCCCTTATCAAAATGGGTCGATGACCACATTTTCTTTCGAATTCCCCGCTCCTGCCTCAGCGTGTACAATGCCCAGCGCCAATCCTGGCATCAACTGGTCAAAACCAATGGAGGACGCCTACACGAAGGTAGTCGTATTTGGTACAGAGGCGACACCATGCCTGATGGGTGCCCAGAGGAGTTTGACGAGGACATGGCCAGCCCCATACGCGATCTCTCAAGCGTATCCGCACGTTCTGCCAATGATGCTCTTTTTACATACGCTGACGAAGATATTGATCTTCTTTCAGATGAATTGGGCATTCCGTGGGAGAGCTCCAAGACCATCCCCTTTGGCTCAGTGGTCCCATACCTCGGCTTTGTATGGGACCTCGAGGTGCGCACTGTGGCCATCCCAGTGGAGAAGAGGCGCAAATACCTCAACACGATTGAGGAATGGGGGAAAAAGCCAACACATGCACTGGCAGAAGTACAAAAGCTATATGGTAAGTTGTTGCACGCTTCCCTCGTCATTACTGCAGGGCGCGCGTACCTTACGAATTTGGAAGCCATGCTCTCAGGTTTCAATAACAGTCCTTTCGTGCCACACACCCCACCCCGCAATACAGCTGACGACCTTCAATGGTGGACAACACGCCTCCAATCTCCCACCCTCTCAAGGGACATTCCTGGCCCAGTACCACTCAAGGACCTCGACGCCTTCTCTGACGCTAGCTCAGGTTTTGGCATCGGCATCACGATTGGAAAGAGGTGGCGCGCCTGGCGTTTACTCCCTGGCTGGAAAGCTGACGGACGAGACATCGGTTGGGCAGAGGCAGTCGGATTCGAGCTCCTCAGCCTCGCCATACTGTCATCCGGCGACAGAAGTTCTCACTTCAAGGTTTATGGAGATAACAAAGGAGTCGTCGAAGGATGGTGGAAGGGACGTAGCCGAAACAAGCAGACCAACATCGTCTTTAGACGTGTTCACGCCATTCTGGAGACCCGGCAGTGCACCATCCACACAAGATATGTCCCGAGCAAAGATAATCCCGCTGATGAACCATCCAGAGGAATATACCCACGTCTTACACATCTCCTGCCCCATATTCCCATCCCCCCAGAACTGCACCACCTCATCGTCGACTTCGACTCTGAACTTGCCATGGCACGCTCTGGTGAGCACCTCCTACCAAATGCCCAACGCAAGCCCCAACACGAGCTTTCAGAAAACGAACGAGCCTCAATCAATGCCGAGCTTGATCGCCGGGGGGAGGAATTCCTCTCCTGTTCCTCATACGATTAACCAGGAACGTCGAGCCTGGAATGCTCAGCTCCCAGCCCCAGCCTCGGATAAGCGTCCACGACCTGCACCATACCGCAAGAATCTTACTCCTCTCCCTTCACCCCTTCGACCGCATTGCCCAGCCAACCAAAGACTACGCCTATGGCGCCCACTAGTGCCTCGTGCCCAGAGGTCCGCTCAAATGTCGGATGAAGACATCAAGCGCATTGAAGACGTCCTAGCCTATGCATGGGAGTTGGATACACACGCAACATATGCCTCTGGCCTCCTCAACTTCATGGTTTTTTGCAACCAGAAGAACATCCCTGAAAAAGACAGGGCCCCAGCCAGCCAAGTACTAATCATGTCCTTTGTGTCTACTCTAGCCGCTGCATACTCTGGCTCAGCAATCAGCAACTATGTCTACGGTGTACGTGCATGGCATTTACTACATGGTGTTCCATGGAAGATTGACAAACCCGAACTGGAGGCCCTTTTGAAAGCAGCTGAAAAGTTAACCCCCTCTTCCTCCAGGAGAAAGAAGCGGCGACCCTATACAATTGATTTCATGCTGGCCATCTGGAACAACCTAGCCTTGGACACCCCCCTCGGAGCTGCCGTCTTTGCCTGCCTAACGACCTGTTTCTTTGCAACCGGTCGCGTTGGAGAATTCACAGTCCAAAAGCTCGACATCTTTGACCCCAGCATACATGTCTCCAAGGCCCGTGTCAGCTACGACCAGAACAGAGAAGGGCAACAAGTCACGGTTTTACACCTGCCGCACACCAAGTCAGCGCCACAAGGGGAAGACGTATGCTGGGCAAAACAGGCAGGGCCCATAGACCCGAATGCGGCGTTAGCCCATCATCTCGAGGTCAACAACCCTCCCCAGGAAGGCCACCTTTTCGCATACCGCCACAAGAACAGCCACCGGCCGCTCACGAAGTCCAAGTTCCTAGCGGAACTGGCGAAGGCCGCACGTGCAGCTGGCCTGGAGCCCCTGCAAGGGCATGGCATCAGAATTGGCTCTACGCTCGAATATTTGCTCAGAGGCGTGCCTTTCGATGTCATGAAGGTGAAGGGTCATTGGTCCAGTGACGCCTTCACCCTGTATCTACGAAAACACGCACAAATTCTCGCCCCATACATACAAGCAGTGCCAGCCGTACACGACACGTTCGTCCGTTTGACCATGCCAGCAGTGCGCTAACAAGGTAAGCATCCGAGCTTCTCCTAATGGGTTGGGTCCGAGACTCACTCGCCGCGTCGAAGACTCCAGATGCCATGGGTGTCGCAGATCGCCTCGGACCCTCTGGGAGACTCTTTGCCAGATCGGAAAGTGCTTCGCACTTTCGCCCACTTGCTTGCCTTATCTACATATTTATTCATTCGCTATTATCGCTCATTACAAATACTACCTCTAATCAATCGATTTTAAGTGTCATTCCTGCATCTCCATTTAGGCTCAATCTCTGTGCAAACACACAGTGATACTCAAAGAATAATTACTGTAGCATTTCATTCAATTCGACAGGGCCCGTGATGCGTGACAGGTCTGTCGAAAATTTGGTTTCGACAACCTCACAAATTCGCCGTGACAAGCCGAAAATTTGGGCAAATTTTCGACCATTTAACGCCGCAGGCGACGAAAATTTTCGACATTTATCACATGAGCCCCAGACGATTTCGACACCTTACAAAAATCTGCGTGACCACCATGACATTTCGGCAATTTGGGACCGTCTGACCCCCCGAAGAGTCGGCTACTAGCCTTGAGGCTGGTAGCCTGGGAACGATCACCGCATCATTCGGCAAAGCCCGTCAGCTCATCAGAGACTCTGCTCTACACAAGTCTACACAGCAACTTACGTAGATTTTTTGTCGCGACAACCTACATCTCAAAAAAAAATGCCATGAATTTCGAAAACAGGGATACTTTCAAATTTCAAACGACTGTTGTGAAAGATACCTCAATTTTTTCTATAAATGACACGGAGTGACGGAATCAACACCACCAAACAGTTACCAAATAGAATGTTAGAACTTAGCGCTGTATACGCTTTATGATATGCATTTTGTGGCGACGGTAACGGATTCCACGAGGAATAACTTTACATTGTTCTAATACAAATGGATAGTGAAAGGTATAAAGAAGAACTTACAAAGTCAAGCTAAGCATCAACCAATCAACAACCAATAACCACAAAACTAGCAAGTAACAAGTCCAGCACCCAACTTAAGCATGATGCATGATGTGTTATATGTGTCTAATGCATTCAATGACTCTTCATATATGTGGAACTGAATGTTTGCGAGCAGTGTGATAATTACAAGAGGCTCGGAAACGAGATGCGACATGATACATTAACGCAACGGACCCTTCACTATGTCACGTTCAGCTATGGCCGCACGTGAGGGCATCAGCGGCGTTTTCCGAGGGAGCGTCCAGGCTTGTAGCACTGAGGCTCGTGGCCAGGTCAGCGGGCGGTCCGACATTCTGGGCAATTTGAAGGGCCCCGTGACGCGTGACCGTCGAATTGAACGAAATGCTACAGTACGCCCTCCCTATACCAATCCTATATATAAATGTACAACGCTTACTAAGAATTATGTAATAGATCATGTAAGCAACGTTCTGACTTTGTGTTGAGTGTGTCGGTAACAAATAACCCTCATTATCAACAAACAAAGGGCAGAAACACAAGGTAGCCACATGTTAAATTTCCTCCACCACAACACATTGCATTGGTGTTTCCTGCCCCCATCTTACCTTCCAACCATTCAATTTCGCTTTTTTGCACCATTTTTTTTCACCCACCACATCTGTGTGGGGGTCTTTGTCAGTGTATTTTCGCTTTTTTTGAATCATTTTAGGCTCATTTTACACCATATCTTCTTTTTTGACCAGTTCTATCTATCAATCCAGATCTTTTGACTTTTCTCCCTGACTTGGATTTTCCAATCAGGGTATACTTGGGGTGGGTGAGGATTCTGCTCCTGCTCCTGTTGTGAGTTGGGTTTTGGGGAGAATTAGAAGACCAAGGTGAAGCCCAGTGAAGTCCTACCTCCCTGGCCTCTCTTTACGAGTGTCTGCCGGTTGCTATCAAGACTTAGTCTTGGACCACTCTCTGGGCACAGTGTGTAGGGAGATTGGTGGGCGGGTTTACAGTTGCCCATCCTTCCTTTTTGGAAGTTGCTCCATTATCAACTACCATTGTTCACACCGATTTCGCTTTTTCTCTGCCTTTGCCTGATTGAACGTCAGGACCTTGAGACTGTCCTCATCCTTAAACCCCAGCATATTTGATTTCTCAAGATGTATGTATCTAATTGATGAGATTTTTCAGTCTTGAAACTGATATAACTAAAATTGAAGGTCTGAAACTCCTCTGAATACTCCTCGACGAGTTCGAATTGCTGCACAGAGTGCAGAACGTGACAATCGCACATTGGATAGCCCCCAGCGTCGTCGTGCTCCTCATGGTGTGCACTCCCCAGAGCATGTTGCTCTTATTGATTTGAGAATACCTCAGCATGCCCCAGATCCTGCTCCTGGAAATGATCCTTTTTTAGCTGCTCCTGCTCCTGCTCCTGCTCCTGCTCCTGCTCCTGCTCCTGCTCCTGCTCCTGCTCCTGCTCCTGCTCCTGCTCCTGCTCCTGCTCCTGCTCCTGCTCCTGCTCCTGCTCCTGCTCCTGCTCCTGCTCCTGCTCCTGCTCCTGCTCTTGCTCCTGCTCCTGCTCCTGCTCAACAACTTGCTGCTATTCCACCTGTTTCTGCTCTGAATAATTTAGAATTACCTCTGCATGCCCCACACCCTGCTCCTGCTCCTGTTGTATACAATGGACAGCAATATAATCATCTACCAGCTGCTCTAGCTCAGCAGCTTGCTGCACTTCCACCTATTCCTGTTCAGATAGGTCGAGGTTGAGGTTGAGGCCATGGCCGTGGTCGTGGACATCAGGTTCATCCACATCCTAATGTAGTCCATCCACCACCAGCTCAGCACAATGCACCTGCACCTGCTGCTATGGTATGTTGATTTGATATATCTCAGTGTTTGTCACAGTTTAATTCTTTTTCCAGTATCCCAATCTACCTGCACATCTTCAAGTTGCTTACCAGGCTCTGGCCCCTCCTCATCCTAATTTGGTATGTTGATATGATATATTTGGGTGTTTCTTACAGAGTTTAATATATATTTTCTGCAGTTTCACAATTTACCTGCATACCAGGATCTGAATCAACATGCTCTTCCTTTCCCTCCTCCTGAAGAACCCCCTCTGCCTGCTCCTGCTCCTGGAATGGCTTTACCTCAACCTGTTCCTCCACCCCCAGTCCCATTTGCACCAAATCCTCTTCCTATGCCACCACCTGCAGCAGTTGCTCAAATTCCTGAAGCACGAAGGCCCTTTAGTCCTACCTGGCAGGTACATGATTTAGGGCATATGAATGTGGTCTGCTCTCAATGTGGTGCATTTCATTGGATGGATGAGAAGCTATCTTCTTCACACCAAAATAATATAAAGTTTGGCATGTGCTGCTTTAGTGGAAAGATTGATCTTCCAAAATTGCATGAGCCTCCTCCAGAGCTTCTTGAATTGCTTACTGGAACTGATGATATTGCAAAGAATTTTCGTAAAGACATTTGTCGCTACAATAATGCTTTGGCCATGACATCTCTGGGATGCAAAACAGATGATTCTGTCAATCAGGGTGGAGGGCCATATGTGTTCAAAATTCATGGCAAACTTACTCATCAGGCAGGATCATTGCACCCTGCCCCCAATGCACATCCCACATATGCTCAGCTATATATCTATGATCCTGCAGAGGCTCTCAACTACCGTATGGGACATAGGGCCAACAACACTCTTCATCGTGAAACAATGCAGAAGCTTCAGGATATGCTGTGGCGTAAACATCCAGGAGTTCAAATGTATCAGCAGGCATATGAGCTCACATGTGACATGGGGCAAACTGAAGAGTGTAATATTGCTCTTTGATTTGACAAATCCTGTGATTGTCGTCGCTACAATCTTCCAACTGCCACATCAAATGAGATTGCTGTAATTCTTCCTGGCAGTGAGGAACAGCCACAGGGGGACAGAGATATCATTTTGCGAAGAAAGGATGGAGCATTTGTCCAGATTGATCAAAGGCATCCCTTCTATGTTTCACTCCACTATGTTCTTCTCTTCCCAACAGGCCAGCTGGGATGGCATCCACATATTGAATACAGAGGTGGAGAGATGGTGCCTGATGCAGAAGAGCTTGATCCAGATGCAGGAGAGAACAATGAAGGCCAGGTTCAGCCCACAAAGAAGAGAAAGTATATCACTCAAACAGAATACTTTCGCTACCGCCTTCATCCCCGCCATGATGAATCACCCCATATTTTTATGGCTGGCAAGCTTTTTCAGGAGTATATTGTTGATGCATGGGCACTCTGTGAACAGGCACGTTTGCTGTACATCCAGTTCCACCAAAGAGAATTACGGTCAGAGTTATATCAGGGTGTCATTGATGCTCTGGCATCAGATGCAACAGCAAATGAAATAGGGCAGCGCACCATTCTTCCTTCCACATTTGTTGGAGGTACACGCTATATGATCCAAAACTGCCAGGATGCTCTTGCAATCAATCGTCACTTTCATGGTGCTGATCTCTTCATCACCATCACTGCAAATCCCAATTGGCCAGAGGTTACTTGGGAACTGCTTCCTGGACAAACTGCTGCTGATCGTCCTGATTTGGTTGTTCGTGTCTTCCATGCAAAAGTTACTCAGCTGCTCAAGGATCTGGAAAAGCATGGTGTTATGGGGCGCACAGTTGCCAGAGTGTGGACAATAGAATTTCAAAAGTGTGGTCTCCCTCATATGCATCTCATCCTCTTTCTAGATCCTGCACACAAGCTTCAAACTCCTGAGGACATTGACTCACTCATTTCTGCTGAGTTTCCAAATGAGCAGGAACAGCCTGAGCTCTATGAATTAGTCAAAAAATTCATGGTTCACAATCCATGTGGCACCCAGAATCCTCAGTCACCTTGCATGGATGGAAACAAGTGCTCTAAAAGCTTTCCAAAGCCATTCCGAGATCAGACCACTGTCAGTGATGACTCTTATGCTAACCTTCGGAGACGAAATGATGGCAAGCAACATATAGTCAATGGAAAAGAGGTTGACAATTGCTGGGTGGTACCCCATTCCCCATGGCTCATCTGGAAATATCGCTGTCACATCAATGTTGAGTGCATCTCCTCAGTCAAAGCCATCAAGTACATCTACAAATATGTGTACAAAGGCCATGATCGCACAACTATGGAGTTTAGAACATCTCAGGATGAGGTCAAACAATATCTTGATGCTCGCTATGTGTCTGCCTGTGAAGCTCTCTGGAGACTCTACCATTTCCATATGCATGAGGAGCTTCCAAGTGTTGTTCAACTGCAAGTCCATCTTCCAAACCAACAGTTGATCTCCTGGGATGAGCAGCATGCTCCAGATCTTCAGCAAGTTGTTGCTCAGGCAGCTGAGAGGAACACCACTTTGACTGCCTATTTCAGGGCAAATGAACAAATTCCAGAGGCACGCAATTATCTCTACCAGGACTTTCCTATGCACTTTGTTTGGATCAACAGAGGAAACAGAAGGTGGAAAATTCAGGAGCGAAAGGTTGCCATTGGTCGAATGTTCTATGTTCATCCAGCCTCAGGGGAACGGTTCTATCTCCGCACTCTTCTCACAGCTGTAAAGGGGGCTACATCATATGAGAATTTGCGAACAGTAAATGGCATCACTCATGCAACATTTCGAGAGGCATGTATTGCACTTGGTCTGCTGGCTGATGACAATGAGTGGAGGCTATGTCTTCAGGATGCAGGAGCTATGCAGAGTGGGCATCAATTGCGCAATTTATTTGTCACAATCCTTCGTGACTGTAGTCCCTCTGATCCTGCTACTTTATGGTTGCAATTTCGAACACAGATCTGTGATGACCTTCGTTGGGCCCTTCAACAAAAAAACATCCGCCAAAATCCAACAGAAGAGGATGTCTTTGACTATGGTTTATATCTCATTGACAAACTTCTCCGCAGCTCCAATGCAAATAAGGGACTGGAGCACTGGCCAACAATGCCTCAGCCTCAGCAAAATTGGGCTCTTCATGTTGGAAATCACCTGATCATGGAACAGCTTGATTATGATGCAGAAGAGCAAACACGTCTTGCCAATGAACGGATTCCAAAGCTAAATGAGGAGCAGCGGAAAGCCTTTGATGAAATAGTTGAAGCAGTCAATACCAAGTCAGGACAGATCTTTTTCCTTCATGGTCCTGGGGGCACTGGGAAGACCTTCATTTACAACACTCTCTGCTACTTCCTGCGTGGTCAACATAAAATCATTCTCTGTGTTGCATCTTCAGGGATTGCTGCTATTCTTATCATTGGTGGCCGCACCTCTCACTCATGCTTCAAAATTCCCATCATCATTGATGAGACTTCTACCTGTCAATTCAGCAAGAACTCTCTTCTGGCAGAGCTCATCAGATTGGCAGATCTTATCATATGGGATGAGGCTCCAATGCAGCATCAACACATCCATGAGGCTGTTGATCGCACACTCCGTGATGTGAGGGACTGTGATAGGCCATTTGGAGGTCTGTCTGTTGTCTTTGGGGGAGACTTCCAACAGATCCTTCCAGTCATTGTCAGAGGGTCATGTGCTCAGATTGTCAATGCATGCATGCAGCGGTCCACTCTTTGGCAGTCTATGAAGGTGCTTCGTCTGACCAAAAACATGCGACTCAATGTCGATGATGCACAGGAGAGAGATTTTGCACAGTGGCAGATTGACATTGGGCATGGCCGACATACAAATGAGTCAGATGATGTCTCTTTGCCAGAATCATTCAAATGTGCAGAAAACACAGTCCAGTCTCTGATTGACACTATCTATCCTGGAATTGGTCTATTGCCTCATCCTGAAGATCACTATTTTTCTGAACGCACTATTCTCTCCAGTCGCAATGATGATGTTGATGAGCTTAACCATGCTATCCTCAACCGCTTTCCAGGTGAACTTCAAGTGTTCCAGAGTGCAGACTCAATTGAAGATAATGAGGGGCATGGAGAAGAGGGTATTCTAATGTACCCAGTGGAATATCTTAACAGCATCAACTGCTCTGGGTTACCTCTTGCGAAACTTGCTCTGAAGGTTGGGTGTCCTGTCATGGTGCTGCGAAACATCAATCCAGGAGATGGGGTTTGCAATGGATCACGTGGTATTTTAACACGTGCAACACCACAAGTTTTGGAGGTCTGACTTCTCACTGGAGAACATGCTGGAGAGCTGATCTTCATTCCTCGGATGGGAATCATTCCTAATGAGACCCAAGTTCCATTCAAACTTAAACGTCTACAATTTCCAGTTCGACTGTGTTTTGCTATGACTATCAACAAGTCACAAGGACAATCTGTGAATTATGTGGGGATAGATGCTCGATCTGCTGTGTTCACCCATGGGCAGTTCTATGTTGCAGTTTCACGAGTAACTTCTGTTCATAACATCAAGATAATATGGGATGATCAACTTCCAAGTCCTGTTACCAAAAATATTGTATATCCTGAGGTACTTCTTGACTAAATTTGATATTGTAGATTTATGCTATGATTTTTGTACAATTTTTTTAATTACTGTAAATAAGTGTATGTGAATGGATATAGAGATTGGAATAAAAGAAGTGTACCAGAACTGGGATTTAAGATGAGTACCAAAACTGGGATTAAAGATGTGTACCAGGGGGTCCAGGGGGCGTGCCCCCGGCAAGCTGTGACCAGTGCTGGAGGAACGGCCGAGCATTAGCGAGTGCCGTGCCGTAGGCACGGGTCTAAAGCTTGTATTTGTTGTAAAATCCCAATTTCTATCGTATAATTCGAAGCATCTGATTGACTCTTTACTTGCAATAGCCCACGATTGTAGAACCCCCTGGTTGAGATTTCCCTTCACAGCAATCCAAGTACGAGCCCGTCATGCCAACATCACACCAATCTTTTCCCGTTATGTAAAGGCCTAACCAGCCACCATTCATGAGACCACGCCCAGTTACTGATTTGCAGCACTCCGTGGAGTACTTTTCATTCCACAGATCCCTCCTTCCAACTAAAAACAAACCGTCATCTCCATCTTTGAGGTAGCATCCACACCACTCGGCAGCTACCCCCTCCACAAGCAAGATAGAAATGAAGGCGATAAGGCTGGATCTGAAGTTCATGACGAGGCACTGGCAAGGACAGGTCTGTTGGTCCAGGCAAGTGTAGACAAGAGTGAAGACGTACCCCGGAGATGTGACTTCTTGTCTGGAGGAGCAGTTCGATATTTCGTCTTTTAACAGCTCGTTGTCTTGATTGACGTTATGAAGCGCCACCCGGTTCATTCCACTTTTGACCTAGTCATTCGGACGATCATTTGATGAAATTTAGTTTGCATTACACTGTCAATGTCAACGAGGGGCGAAATGACAAGGTAAAGTAATAGCTAACCTGATGGGTATGAGTCGATGATACAACGGACGCATTCGCAGTGAAGCGCAGAGTGTGCACCGTCGTGTCGGTTGGTCAAATTCACGACCACTATCTACCGGGGAGTTGGGCGTACGCTCGCAGAACGAACGGATGGCCTTCATGAGCAGGTTTTAATCGGCTAGCGAGCATTCGAGGCGTCCAAGTCGAGCATTCCACTTCCAAGAGCTCAACGATGATTAACCGTAAATGGGATTTTGCTTTGGGCTAGAATGAATGCTAGGTTGACAGGGAATGGAAGAGAAATGGAGATACGCATCAAGTTCTAGTCAATGATTGGAAATGTGAACAACTTGTCACGTTACCTCGTTTATCTCGATCTTACTACGCGCCCATCTCTGAGTCTCTTGTCTCTCACTTGCCACCACATGCCTATCATCGACTCGCGACTCGGAATCTACGTCAAAGACACAAAACCCACCCGGATCTGCCGTTGGCGCCAATGTCCACTTGTGGGTAGCGACTATGAGGGTGTCAAGCTAAAGGCGTGTGCGAGGTGTAATTTCGTTCGGTATTGCGTCAGTATATTACTAGTTTCCCTCGGATGTGGTTGCCTATACGATATCTACTAATCATATCGTTTTGAAGAGCAAAGAATGTCAGAAGAGCGATTGGCCAACGCATAAAAAGGGATGTCGAGTGCCCCAGTTCGTAGATATAGGCTCATGGATCCGCGTTCGTCCCCTTACTAGTACCTCAAAGTACCCTCATCACTCATCCCGGCACTTAGGCCTACGAATGGCTCCTGAAATGGGCAGCAACTGAATCCCTTCAGATCCACACCCACCAATCAAAAATCCACACCCACTGCCTCGTCGTCAACCTCCTAGCCGTCGAACGCGTCGTCGGGCCCGTCCCCAGCCCATTCATCATCATGAACGCACACGTAGCGGAGACGAAGACCGTTTTACCTGATTCCGGGAGTCATGTGAACGACACGCGCACGTCCGAGCGGATAAGGGACGAAGGGGGCGTAGGGCAGGCGATGGTTGTGTTGCAGTGTCATATGGTTAATGGGTCGGTGATGTTTATGGTTGAGCGGTTTGAGATTTGGGAGAGGAAGGAGGGGGTTTATGAGCATTTTGGAGGATGGGAGGGGCTGTTGAAGGGGGTTGCGAATGGCACGATTGGGTTGGCTGATATTTCTCATCAGTTGCAGTTAGGAGGGGACCGTGAAACATTTACAGACGTTCTAGAGAGTATGGATAAATTAGCATTGGAATAAGAAAGAAACCTTTTGCAGCTTACTTTGTCGGTGAACTTGAAGGAATGAGTAACGCCAGCGCGCACCTGCCCACCAATCTTCTCTCCTCTCTAAACGTCTTTGTTTCACCCATTCTCCGCACAAGCTTTGATGTGAATATTCGCAAGTGCCGAATATTGCAAATTATTTCACAATGTGTCCCTATTTTGGTTCATCTGACATACAAGAATATGGGCCGAGCTCGGAAAGTGGAGGGGAGCGGTGAAATGTCAATGTGACTCAGCAACGTCAAATGCGACTGACAGTTGTTTGGCGTGGGATTCGTTGACAAACAATGTGTCAGCTACCTCCTTTAGCCTTGCTCCCTGTTGAGCTCAACGTCGACCACAGCGCCCGAACAGCGCACCCATGCTTTAAGGTCCCTACGGTGCGGTACCAGGCTTTTTGGCGAAGCTTTGGAAGCCCTAAAAGACCACGCGATCACTGAGTACTGTTGCTCAATTTAATTACCTTTCGATGCCTCCCACAGTTGGGACTTCAAGACAGACGACGACCGCCTACGACTCAACAACCAAGTTAGTAGACGACGATGAAGCGCGACCGTACGTTATAGTCAGTATTCTGGGGAAGGGGAGCTTCGCGACGGTGTATAAGGGATACCACGAGGTGAGAAGTGCAATCAACATCCCAGTGCTTGTGCTCACCATATCCAGGAAACGCGACATCAAGTCGCCATCAAGACCGTCAAACGCGGAGACCTCAGCGCCAAGCTTTTTGACAACCTCCAAAGTGAAATCCAAATCCTAAAGTCACTATCACACAGGCACATTACCAAGTTAATCGACATTGTACGCGCGGACAAGCACATTTATCTGATAATGGAGTATTGCGCCGGTGGAGATCTCACAAATTACATCAAGAGACGTGGTCGTGTTGAGGGCCTCGAGTATATACCGGCCCCTGGCGCGGCACTTCAGTACTATCCGCATCCTCGGACAGGCGGTTTAGATGAAATCGTCGTTCGGAGTTTTCTCCGACAGCTTGCGCGTGCTCTCAAATTTTTGCGGCACCGAAACTTGATTCACAGGGATATCAAGCCACAGGTAAAAACCTTCACCTCCTGCCATAATTCTAACTTAGACATCTTAGAACCTGCTCCTCAATCCCGCCCCCCCTGAAGAACTCGCCCGTGGGCACCCTTTAGGTGTACCCATCCTTAAAGTGGCAGATTTTGGTTTTGCACGGTCGTTACCCAATGCGATGATGGCTGAAACACTATGTGGATCTCCGTGAGTAGGGTGGAATTAGCCATGATTCAATCTCGTTTAATGTTTTGCAACAGGTTGTACATGGCTCCTGAGATACTGAGATATGAGAAGTATGACGCCAAAGCTGACCTTTGGTCAGTAGGCGCTGTATTGTATGAAATGGCGGTCGGAAAAGCACCCTTTCGAGCTTTGAATCACATCGAGTTGCTGAAGAAGATTGAACATTCGAAGGGCATCAAATTCCCTGATGAGGATCCTACAACTGCGAAGACACCTGGGGGTGGAAGTGAGGATTCCCCGGTTCCAAGCGATGTCAAGAAACTCATCAGGACACTTCTGAAACGGAACCCGGCCGAACGCGCAAGCTTTGAAGAGTTTTTTGGGAGCACGGCGCTGGCAAAGTCAAAGTTTCCGAAACCGCGGGAGTCGGAGCCGGAGCCTGCTGAGAGCTCGTCGTCGACTGCACCTGAACAAGACAAGCCTTGGACTGCGCGACCCTTGACTCCCGAACATCATCGGGTGATACCGCCGGAGGTTCTCGACCCAAAGGCTATGATCCCCCCAAGCAAATTTAATTTCAGGAGGGTTTCTGGTGGGGCAGAAGAAGGAGATGGTAGTCCCCATTCTGCAAATGGGGCACTTCCCAGGGACAGGTGGGTGCCTTGCTTTCGTTGAAAACGCCCATTAATATCTTTTCAGTCAATCGTCATCTCGAGATAAGGTCGTTGCACCTGTCACTAGACCACGGAGACCATCATTTACGGGTGCGAATGAGCGATTCAAGCCGCTCTCCACCGAAGGCTCCTTTATACCTGGAGAAACAGAAGAAGATGGCCAGCTGCGTCGTGAATACGTGCTGGTTGACGATACTCGAGCTGTCGAGTTCAACCGCGCTGTCGATGGTGCGTCTACCCCCTTCTCCATCGTTACCCACCTGACTCATTACTCTAGAAATCACATCCCAACCCCGACGACCATTACACGACCGGAAGATTCCTCCAACACCCTCAACGGACCATTACCCCCCAGAATACCCCATACCCACGAACAACAATGGCGCTAACAATGTCAACATCACATTCCCACCACCACCCAACATCTCTGCCCCACCTCTCTCCTCCTCCCCTTCCAGCATGGCTTCACGGGCGGCATCGAACGCTCTTAATAGAGCTTTGAGCCTTGCGTCCAAGAAGTTGTTTGGACATTCCTCATCAGGGCACTCACGCGCATCTCCGTCAAGAGATCAAAGCAGTGTGCCGTCGTCGCCTCGACGGCCGCAGATCATCACGTTGGACGGGGAAGGGGAGCGGGATCCACTTGAGGATGATTTGCTATCTTCCCTTGAAGAGCTAGCGCAGAAGACGGACGTGCTTACGCACTGGGCGGATGAGATGTATGAGTACGTCAAGGCGGTGCCTCAGAGTTAGTTGTCCCCTCTCCTGTGTTGGCTGTGTGCTAATCTGATTATTAGAGCCTCTACCCGATCCTACCAAGTTCATCAAACGCGAGGGCGAGGCAGAGAAACACGCGAAACGGCGGAAACACGCTGACATAGAAGCGGAACACAATGCCGTTACATGTGTCGCAGTGTACATGCTGCTCATGTCGTTCTCGCAGAAGGGCATCAATAAGCTGGGGAACTTCCAGGAACATATGAAGATGTGCCATCCGGATGGGAATTTTGTCGTCAGTGATGGGTTTGATGATGGTAAGACTATTCCTGGCCTCTCTAGTGCTACTGACGACGTTGGGATAGCGCTGTGTTGGTTCAAAGACCACTTCATCAAGTGCAATGACCGCGCAGCCTTGGTGAAGACATGGTTGCCTGTTCAGTACGATGGCCCGAAGAGTTGGCTTGACCAACTTGTGTATGATCGTGCTCTGGTTCTGGTAGGTCCGAGATTGTCGTACCGTCAACCAACTTACGCCCCTGCCTTCAGAGCCGAACAGCTGCTCGGAAGGAGCTCCTCGACCAAGCGACGAGCCCAGACGAATGCGAGAAGCTATACGAAGAATCCTTGTGGTGCCTTTACGCGCTACAAGACGACCTACTGCAGACGGGTAATCCATACATGGATGAGGATCGGGAAACAATCGGTACCTGTACGCTGCCTTGCTTCAAGTCCTTCTAGAGCGTCCTCTGATAGCCCTCCATGTTACAGGGATCAAACGCACGAAACTGCGGTTATTGCGGTGTCGTGCCCGAATGGGCATGAATGACCACGATCGTCTGAACGACGCGAGAGCCGACCAGAACTTGGCTGATGTGGCACGGATACCTGCTCCATGGGAAGCAAAGCCTCTATCAGACACGTCGCGGAACTCTCCAGCTCCTACATCGTCATGAAGTACCTGCTTTCCCTTTCGCATTTCTGTGTGAGTAGACTCGATGACACGTGAGACTATATCTATTGGCATTCAACATTCATCCTCTGTATTATATATATGGAGACGATTCTCATCCGCATCATCCCTCGTTTTTATTTGGATGGACTCTGCTATTACTTTTGCTTTATCTTCATTTGGTGTCTCGTTGCATATGCATCTTATATCATTGTGTCGTTGCTGTATTAACCTTATATCCTATCTGATGCGTTGCATCCGAGTCGTAGAGCCAGAGTCCACTACTGACGCAAGGAAAGACAGCATGTTTTTGTCACCCGCCATCGTCCAGACAATCTGGATGGAATTCAAAGTTTGCCTGTGGTATCACGCACCTTGAAGCTAAAGAATCCCTCCTCCCCAGCATTAGAATCTCTTACCGGCGTGAATTTCGATACTTCACATACACGGGCATATTCACTCACAAAAAGAATCGATCTCAAAAATTTGACGGATCGCACTCTCATCTTTGTCAGTGAAGTCAAACTCGACTTGACATCAAATACAGTGGTCATGGACGCATGCGTGCTTCCCTTGACCCACTCTATCATGCCACTGATTACCCCAGGCCTCCGAAAGATAACAAATCTGCAGCAAGTTGTAACCCTTGAGGATGAAGTTACTGCTTGGAAACAGCTTCTCCCTGCGTTCGCAGAGAGGTGCCGTACATGGAAACACACCGTGAATTGCGAATACATTTCGAAAGGGATTCCAGTGTCCGTCGAATACTTATGAGGAGAGTCCCCTCTGTGGATGCGGACAGGGAAAAAATCTTGGGCCGTTCTCTCAAACCTCAGCCTGGAAAGACTTCGCACCTTTTGTTACCAGGATTGCGCTTGCACCCCTATTCAGCACGTCGTTTGTGAATAACCCACTCTCTTCCAAGTTGGAAACCTCGAACAGTGATACCATTGGGGAGGATCGATGCAAACACTGCGGAAACCGAAACTTTTGGCGTGTGGTGCCTGTAAGGTGGCTAAGTACTGCTCTGCCCCATGTCAAAAAGCGGACTGGAAAAAGCACAAGGCTTCTTGCACTGTTACCAAGTAGCTACCTGATAATTTAACGTTGGAATGCAAAGTGTAGTACTTAGCACAAAATATCCTTGATGTCTTTGTTCGCCAGGGTCCATTTGAGGAGTCGAGCATGCCCATATAACCGATCTAACTCAGTGCCACACAGACACTGGCTTTGCGGAGTGCACTCAGAGAAATTTCAGGATCACACATTGATCACATTAGAGCCTGTTCAGTACAGATCACTTTCGGGTCCAGTTCGGATTTCAGTTGAAGTTCAACTGATGGGTGACCTTATGTAATGCCATCAGCACTCGGCAATTAAGAACCCGGTGGATGGAACAAATAATGGTCAAACAGACCCCCACATTTACAGTGCCTTGCATAATGCTTTGCAGCGTGAATTTTTTAAAATGGTATTTGGCTGTGTTAAACTGGACCTAATATGTCACACTCAGGCCTGGGATTATTTCATTGGGCCTTGGTTTGTGACCACTACAAATATAATCAAATACGATTTGAAAAAATTTGTGCTGCAAAGCATTATGCAAGACACTGTAGTGCCTGGATACCCAATAATATGAGCCTGGCTAAATATAATAAATTGGTTCATAACTAGAGACTGTACAACTTTGGCAAGGTTTTGGAGGTTTTTACAGCAACCCAGTCAGCTTGCAAGGCTGAAAATTAAACTCAGGACAAAATAAGACTGTTTCAATCATATTTCAAGCAATATTTCTTCAAAATAGTCGGAATTGGTTTATTTTAAACAACAGTTATTGTATTTAAAAAATAAATGGCTAGAACCTTTCGGTTTTGAATATAATAACTGGCACTAGCTGATCTGATCACGATGCCTGACAGCGTCACACTGCACATGATTGTCATCACACTGAGCTTCAACTGAAATCTGAACTGGACCCGAAAGTGATTTGTACTGAACAGGCTCTTAGGCACTTGAAACAGTACTGCCACCACGCCTGTCCCAGGCACTTACTCTCATTGTTCCAAGGTTCCTTGTCCAATGTTCAACACTTCGAACCTGCTCCAACCAGACCAAGAATCATCAAAAGATCTTCACCAGACCATGTTATTTCATTCCACACACATTCTTCAATGACAGAAGCCCCATCTTCGCTAGCCGCTCATTGTACTTAAGTGCCAATCATTCCTGAGGGTCTCATGATTTGAAGTTGCATGTGAGCTTATGGAAACAGTCTTCCGCCAGCTTCGGTTTTCGAATAGATGCCATTGTTTGTTCAATGCTGATGTCATGCTGGTTAATAATAATATAGAATTATAATGTGTAGAATAAAGAAATAGTTGATTAAATTGTGGGTGCAATATATCCTTGAACGGTTGAATGCAAATTCAACTCTAAGTGTGGGGAGAGTTTGACTGGTGTTCCAATTGCCACCTCCTCTTCACAATACAAAGAATGAATAGCTTGAGGACCAACTCAGATGATCCCCTTCTGAGGAAGACCCAATGCCATTCCAATCAGTGCAAACCCACTCGTACATTGCCTGTTGTCTTTTTCCATTTCATTTCTCAGTTCTCTATAGCCTTGGATGAAGATCTATTTCCCATGGTGCTGTACTACTGGCGTCTTGGCCTGAGTGATGAAAAGATTGTTGAACATGCCTGTGATCACTTTGATAGTGCAAGCTTTGGGTTCAGGTGAAGTAGTCTTTGTATTTATGTCGTACGACAGTTGGGACTTAATATTGATTTAGCAAACGTTCCTTGGAGTGGCATTGAAAGGAATGGGGCCTTCTGGGTACTCAACAGCAAAAGCATACCTTCCACACGATTGCTCCTTTTGTGAAGGAGGTGAAGGATTGTTTTCCCACTATGGGCGCATGGCAACTGGTGGTGACACTGTGTCAAGACTACCATCTGAAAGTTTCCAAGTATGTCTGTTGTTCTTTCATCTTGGGTTGACTTATTCTTTGCTTTCATCTAGGAAAATGGTTTTGGCATATCTCAACCTCATGGTGCCAGAAGCCATCAACTTTTGCAAACGGAAGTGCTTCCATCGGAAAAGGTTCTGGTCAGCCAGGGTGATGGATATCTGGTTGTGCGACCAGCACGACAAATGGAAGTAGTGTTCGCAGGTCCAGTTAAGTCCAGTTTTTTACCTCAAAACGACGCAACTGGCAACCGCAACCGGTCTAGACCGATCCAAATATTGAGGGACCGCAACCGGACCGCTTTGGACCGGTCTTTTTCGGTCCACAACGCAAAAAAAACCGGTCCAGACCGGTTGCGACCGGTCTTTTGTTGAAAAATTTATTGTGCCAGATATATTAAATGTTACCTCACGTACATAGCATGCGTAGATAGATAATTTAATTCTCCGTACGCTGGCCAAGATTTGAAGCGAATCGGTCAAGATTTGACTGAGATATGGTGAAAACGGAGAGAACATACATTCAAATTGCGTATAAAAATGTTTTTGGCCATATCTCAACCAATTCTTGACCGTTTTTGATGATTCAGGGACCGAAAATTAAGTAAAATGTGCACGAGTAAGGTACAATATGTGATGAGACGAAAGACCGGTTGCAACCGGTCTAAACCGGTCTTTTTCGGTTTTTATATATTTACAAAAACATGGCAACTGGCAACTGGACTGATCACAAATGTGGGCAACTGGCAACTGGAAAAGACTGGACTGTGGTTCAGTCCAGTTCAGTCCTATGTATATTTTCAGTCCTGTAGACTGGACCTGCGAACACTAAATGGAAGCAGTTTGGTTTATGGCTGCACCTGGGATTTGACCCATATCCTGGCGAGTTGCAGTGGCTCAAGGTTTCGTGGTTGAATTGTAACCCACAACTCATAGGCAGCTATTATCTTGAAGCTGCACGAAAAAAGGAGGTGCGAGATTCTCAAGTTTGGTTTGCAATATAGTTAACTCTTTCTAGGCTCTCCTCTTATTACACAGAGTGACCCCAGATGGGAAATGTACGTTGTCACCAACATACACACCAACATTCGTCACCAGCTTTACCCTTCGTTATGAGACACCTTACAGCATCACTGGTGTTTCGGAAAGTCTAACATAAAGCCTGAGATAGTGTGGACCCTCCTTTGATGCCAGTTTACTCCTGGATTTGAGGATAAGCTGGACTATGGATTAAACAATGGGCTGTACGATCCCAACAATCCTTTGGAAAAGTATGTATAAAAACTCTCCACATCATGAATTACAAGATCAATTCTTTGTGCAGATTGGTTTTTCGCTGGCTTGCAGTTGCTGCAATGTCCTCCCCTTCCACATCTGTAGCACTCTCCTGAACCAGGGGCTGCACCCCCAGGTTGTACTGGAAACCCGGTGTTTACTGTAACCTTGGCAGTTTCACCATTATTTGTCTTCCATTCCCTGAGTTGGGCATGCCATGCTACAATGCCTGCTTTGGTGTTGGGTTGCATGGGGTAGAGGGCCAGGCTGCAGATTAATGTGCCTTGATCAGCTTCAGTGATTGGCGAGGGAGTCGGGCAGGGCAGGTTGCCTTGGCTGCCTGACGGGCTTGTGTATGTGTTCGTGTTGGTTGAATTGGATTGTGGGGTATTGTTACGTTGACCTCACAGGGTTGACGACTGCTGGGTTTGACTGGCGTTCAATACTGAGGGCGTGAGTGCAGCTGATAGGTGATGTTGCCCCTGCAGGTGTAAGCACTGTAGGCTTAGTGTTTACAGGTCTTGTCCATAGGACCGAAAAAAACTGGTGGACTGAACTGAACCGGTCCATGGTCCGGTCTTTTTTTCGGTTGCAGTTGCCCAAATTTGGGGTTGGTCCGGTTGCGGTTGCCTCATTTCAAAAATCTTTTAAAACTGTTCAAAGACCGGTTTAAATCGGTTGCAACCGGTTAAACGGTCATGTGCGTTATGTAGCCTTGTAACCACGTCTATTACCTTTAATTGGGTTTTTAGTTCATCAAAAACGGTTAAGAACTGAGAAAGATATAACTAAATCCATTTTGGCACAAATACTTGTTTGTGCAACTTGTACCAGAATGACTTTAATTCTAACTCACTCAAACTTTCATCATTTTGCTTGATTCAATTTTTGGATATTGACATTTTAAGTATAAAAATATACTCACCATCTATCAATATATGGTATGCATCAAATAATTTACAGTTGCTGCATTACATTTTGCCTGAGTCTTTAGGAGATGTAATTCAGTTTCAGTCATAGCTATGTCAAACCTTCATTAAATTTCGTGGAATGATGGGTATTTATATGTTATACTATGATATATAACCAGTTTATTTTTTAGAGTAATAATAATTGAGATACAAATGGTTTATATTGGTATGACAAATTTTACGCAAAAAGACCGGTCTGAATCGGTTTGAACGCGGTCCATGGACCGCAAAAGACCGGTCCTAGGTGGTCTGGTTCAGTTCCCTCAATATCTGGGTCGGTCCTAGACCAGTTGCGGTCTGCGGTTGCCTGTTTTCAGGGCAAAAAACCGGACTGAACCAGACCTGCGAACACTATGTAGGCTTGCTATGGCCGCCTCTGTCTTCTCCTTCTCCTCCTTCTCCTTCTGATGCTTCTTCACCCCATCCTGTATACGAGCCATTTCCACCTCCTTGATAGCTGTACAAAATTCAGTCCAGGTCGAATAGGTCTCCTTGACCTTCTGGTGCATGATGTCGGGAAGCTCATCTTGAACCTTCCAAATCAAGTTTGAGCTGTTGCTGATCTCAGCTTGCTTTGCCAGGCTGAGTGCTTTCTCTGCAAAGATAACGTGAGTGTACACCTCCTTGCCCACATACTTTTCCTTTTTCCCAAGATCCTCTACTCTCAGCCTCAACTCACACAACTCCCTCTCCAATTCTGTCTCCATCCTCTTGGCTTTCTCGATGGGTAGGAAGCGAGTCAAGGACTCGGCTTCCACCTCCTTCCACATGGTCTTCTTGGTCAATTCCTTGAACCATTTGTCCACAGGGGACACAAACTTCAGGTTGTCTCCAAAGGATTTGATAATGAGGTTGTTATCTGAGATGTGGGCCCACATTATGAAGTGACGGAATGTCTTCAAAAACTCACCAGATTGGATGTCATCATCTGATTCACTGCTAAAACTATGGATGGTGATTGGGGCTGCCATGATGGGCGGATGGTCCTGTGGTGGTTTGACGAGGTTAGACTGATTGTGTTGTTGCAAGAGATCCGACTGGGGTTTGGCGTGAATTCAAAGGGGTCCTCAAATGGAGAGGCTGAATCAGGCAGTGATAGGGTGAGTGAGCTTTTGGTAGATGGTGTCGATGCACCTGATGAAGTGTTGGATGAGGGTGTGATTGTTGTGGCACAGTCTCTAGGACGTGGGACATTGGATGTGAGGCATTGGGCAGTATGACATTGACGTGTGATGTTGATGTGAGATGGTGGATTTAAGACGGTGATAGAAGGATGTTTTCAAATGGAAGCAGTAGGTGTGTTAAAGAACAGATCATGCTCTCATCACCAGGTGGAATGGGCTCTAGTGCTTCTGACGATGCAGATGTGTGGTGAAGTTGTGGTGATTGCTGTCTCTGCATGCCCTTCTACTCTACTAGCTGACTAAGCTATAGCTCACATGCCTCTCTGGGGGGAATGCCCCACTCCCTATTCCACTGTCATGCATCACACGCCTTGTTTGCTTCTATCCATCAAAGTCCAATCCTACAATGGTTCTAGACTCCACCTTCTTGAACTACATAACCTCTGAAAAACTAGTTTTCAAGCATGGTTGCTCGAATGATTCTGCAAGTATGTATGCTATCTGCTACACCAATTGTTTCCCCCCAGCAACCAAGTCCTATGTGGTCAACTCTCAAGATGAACCGATGGAATTCAACTACACCCCGTCCAATTGGGGGGACATCTCCAAGAGCTGTCACAATCGCCAGGTGAGGCTGAGGCTAACGGCCTTGGTGACAATCAGGGCTCTGCAGGGGAATGTTGATGACATGCTGGAACTGGCCATCTGGTGTGAGATGTTCAATGTATCTCTTTCTTACCCACTGATGACACACAACAGGTTATGGGCAGGTGTAGACACTGATGTCGATGTCCAGCAGGGTGCCAAACTGATCCGACACTGATCTGACATGTCTACGAAGGACCATTCCCACCCAAGAAGAAGGGTGTCATAGCCAGCCTTGTGTGCTACCTTTTTGTAAGCTGTGATGACCCACAGGGTGAGAGTTGGCAGGGTATGAATGAGCCTTCCACTGCTGGGTTGCAGGCCTTCACTTTGCAGCACAAAGCTGCTGCCTGGGTCACTTCTCATTTACGTGCAACTTTGTGGTGGAGACTAGCTTGAAAATCAGCACCGAGTTCCAGCCCACATACGACCAGGGGCTGTGGGAGGAGCTTGCACACCACCAAACCTTTCAGGAGGCAACAGGTTATCAGCTGCACAAGCCACAAATTTGTGCGCACTGCTCAATGATGAAGCTTAAGGGGTCGCTCCTTCAATGCGCAGGCTCCTGCGCAAGTATCCGGAAACCACAATATTGCAGTAGAGAATGTCAAAAAGCAGCAAGCTCTCTTCATCCTCTCTTACTTGTTCAGCATCTCATGGATTTTTTTTTGTTACTTTCTAGGATTGGAAAAAACATTGGAAATGGTGCAAGAAAGAACCCGATCTTACTACCCCAAGTGCAGCAGATGAAGCGATGTTGTACAGCATGCACATGATGAACGACGGCTCCTCACAGTCATGAGAGTGAAAATTTTGTACTTCTATTACATTTCACTTGCCTTTTCAAAGTGAAGAAATATCTTTCCTCCTCTTTAGAGCATAGAGCCAGTTGTCATTTGGGAGTGCTTTCCCAGAGAGTTGATTGCTGATGCGATGGACTTGCAGAAACCACAATCTACTCTTCTGATGGTAACATCATTCAATTTTTATATGGTTAATTTGTATCAGTGATTGAGAGGGAGGAGGGGAGGGAGGGGGCATATGAGCATTTTGGAGGATGGGAGGGGGTTGCAAATGGAATGATTGGGTTGGCTGATATATCAAGTTGTCAGAGTTTTGGGGTGATCTAATTATAACTCTGACACAATGTGTTTCTCAAATGTCTGTGACTGTAAAAAGTTTATCTGGATAAATTAGTCCTACAGTAAGTACTACAGTTGCAGACAAGCAAAGTCATCAAAAAATTAATGTTTTTAAAAAGCCCCCAAAATAGTTGGAATTGACACAGATTCACAAGAGCTTTCCAGCCATACCACTTTCATCAAATTCTATCAAGCCAATCCCTCAGAAATCACCAAAATAAGGTTTTTCTGCCTCAAAATATTGGCGGACCTCTAAATTTCATCCAAAAATCATGAAAAATAGTGCAATTGACTCCTTTTGATGAAAGGGTTATGATCCCATGAAAATCAGCAACTTTTATCATTCCATTTCGGGTAAATAAATTCATTAATAGTTGCCAAAAATGGTAATTGATTAGTGACCAACCATATTCAGTCTCTGCACCAACCCCTCCAGAGTCCCTGACAAGTGGTCAGTCTTCTTGTTAGAATTTCTGTTAGGTCACTGCTATCACTGCCAAGAATTTTACCCCACAACTGATGAGATATGAGTAGTTTTGGTAGTGTTGATGGCGAAACCTCCCAAAGCATTCACCATTCGCTGGCATGGTGAGGCAGCTGGTGTGGGAACCTGGCAAATGGTGGTGAGATTGGCGAGATGCAAAAAATCAATTTCTATGAGATCTGAGTCGCTTAGAACAAAATAAAAGTACTACAGAACTCTAACTAACACCAAGGGATTGTAGTTCTGAGTTATTTACAACAAAATAAAAAAACTATAGAACTCTAGCTAACACCAAGGGATCACATTAACAAAGCAGCATCCCATTTATCATGGGGACCTGCATTTTCAATGTGTAGATTGAGTTCCTCATTGATAGCGAGTGGTGCATTGCCTGCCTGGATGCTGTTGAGATGGGAGGTATCAAAAACCTCTTCCATGGGAATTGTCGCGTCAAGTCCATCTCCCTCCCCCATTGGCATAAGTGATCCAATCTTTTCAATTCCTTGTCAAGCTCTTCTTTGGTCAACTCTTCAAGGCCCTCGAGGTCGGCATTGAAATTAGGTGGGAGTGGGGTCCAATTGAATGCCTTTACCAAATCTTCTGCCCGCCCTACATCTATTCCACCATCAGGTTGGGTGTGCATATGAGCATGTTTGTGACACGTTGATTTTCCGGCGGTGAGCGCAGCCTCGTGAAGTTAATGTGTGTAATGGTTCCAAAGCATTCCCAATGTTTCCATATGAGAAACCATGAGACGCAAGCGCTTGACACTCTGAACACCACCTAGATTGGAAAAAAACTGCTCGACCTCTGCTGCATGGGGAACAATACTAAACAATTTGACAGCCATGGCTTTGAGAGGGTCCGATGTGACATTTACCAAGAGGGATTTCCACCAGTCTCTCCCATCACCCTTCCCACCCTGAAACGGCGCCTGTGCGTGAAAATAAGCCTTGACATCGGCAGCCAATTTCGTTGCCATCTCCTTAGTCCATCCCCAGAGTAATGCAATCCCAAGTGAGATTTTATAAGCATCGTTGAGTTTTCAAGAGTGGGGTGAGTTAGAGATCACGAGTTTGCAGCAAAGAGGATGGAGAAAAAGGGTAAGCCAATGAATGTCGGTGTTTATTTCATGAAACTGGGCATTCACAATTTTTTGAGCATGTCGCAGAAAGTGTGAATTGTCTCCAGGAATGTGAGGTAATTTCTTGATTTGTCAATGAGCCCAGATCAGTTGGAGCATACAATTGGCAAGTGACGCATCTCGAGATTCAACATCGCCGATAATGTCCACTAAAGGCTTGCAGACACGGATCAGCTGGTCAGTTAGTTGCCACCGCTGGACATCAAAAATTGTGGCGAGAACATCCTTTGAGACTGCGGTTAGGCTGCCCTGAGACTGCTGTTCATCATCTCGCACACACAGAGTCATCAAGGAAATCTTGTGTTCATGGACACTCAGGGCTTGGAGAATAAGGGCGTAGAAGCGGGATTCTGTGTTTGTTTTTAGACCACAGGTTACCCCATTCTCCTTGCAAATTTTCTCGAGTTGTCCTCCCCAGTAGTGTGATGAATTGAAGAAGGAAACGATCTGTGAATTCGAAGTAATTTTTTTTGACCGAGGGGTAGCTCACGATTTTACCAATAATCGTGTTGATACTGTGCATGAAGCAGTGAATGGCCTAAAATAAAATTCCCTGAGAATCCAATTGAAAATAAAGTAAATAGACTCACAAGAATCCAGGAGTGCTGATTTGTCCATTTTCGATGAAAGGCAAGCATCATGGTTGGGTTATCTGTACAAACCGCAATGATTGCCTTTGGGTCAAGGCTCTTCTTTGCAATGGCCTTATTGGCAACTTCGACGAGATTATCTGTGGTCCCCCGGCTGCCAGTAAGTTCTTCTAATCCAAGAACCACATCAGGAAAAAAAGCAGTTGCAACATAGCACAGTATAGTTTACATGGCTACAGTAGCACTTTTGCAACCCCCCCTTTATATAGGACCCTGTAGCATTACCATTAGTTTATAAAGCACTACAATTATATATGTACCTTTACCTGTTCACGACATAGCTCCCCATAGAATTATAATATGGAAGTCTTGTAGTTATACATAGTCAGATATAGACAGTATTGTAGGACATAACACATATAGGTATTAGGAACCAGCTTGGATTGAATGCAGAAAAGCTATATATTTCCTCTCTCGGGGGATTACAAGATGAGACTACTAATCAATAAGCATGTCACCATCATTGTCCGTCTCTGAGTTCTCCTCGTACTCCTGTACAGCAGCCGCAAAGGCAGAGATGGGGATAGCAGGAATGTCTTTGAGAGAGGCGGAAGGTGCACCAGCATGCTGACTATGACATAAGCAAAAGAATTGTCAGTCAAGCAAGTATTATGGAACAAAGTAAAATTCTTTACTGCCCATAGTTGTACCAATGCTGCCGATGCCATTTGACGATACCCTGGTCACGGCTATAATCTGCAAAACCCACCAGAGACTTTAAATGTGAAGTGTAGACGTTCCGGTATTCATCAGCAAAGAAGGAAGTGGCGACCCTAATTCCTAGTGTTTAAAGGTTCAGTCCATAGGACCGCAAAAAGCCGGTGGACCGAACTGAACTGGACCATGGTCCGGTCTTTTTTTCGGTTGCAGTTGCCCCAATTTGGGGTTGGTCCAGTTGCCAGTTGCCTCATTTCGAAAATCTTTTAAAACCATTCAAAGACCGGTTTTAATCGGTTGCAACCGGTTAAACGGTCACGTGCGTTACATAGCCTTGTAACCACGTTTATTGCCTTTTATTGGGTTTTTGTTTCATCAAAAACGATTAAGAATTGAGAAAGATATAACCAAATCCATATTTTACCCAAGTCTCTAGGAGATGTAATTCAGTTTCAGTCATAGCTATGTCAAATCTTCATTAAATCTCTTGAAAATTGGTAGAATGACGGGTATTTATATGCTTTACTATTTTATATAACCTGTTTATTTTTCAGAGTAATAATGGTTGAGATACAAATGGTTTATATTGGTATAATAAATTATACGCAAAAAAACCGGTCTGGATCGGTCTGAACCGGTATCATGGACCACAAAAGACCGGTCCTAGGTGGTTCGGTTCGGTTCCCTCAATATCTGGGTCGGTCCTGGACCGGTTGCGGTCCACAGTTGCGCGTTTTCGGGGCAAAAAACCGGACTGAACTGAACCTTTAAACACTACTAATTCCGGTCAGCCATTCATCAATATTGGCTTCAATCTAGACCGGCCGGTTGAGTAATATAGTGTAGTATAAAAAAGAATATGTACTGCAGTCAAGAGAAGCGCAATTGCTGGAAGGGGCATGCCTTTGAAAAAAGTCTCAAAGAGAATTCCTTCGTCACGTCGGTTTTTGAACCACATGCAATTGATGGCTTTTTGAATGATGGGGTGCTGGTACATCCCCTTGCGATGACTCTCAGGATCATTGAGGTCTTCGAGTTCCTAGAACAGAAAGAGCGTAAAAAGGTGGAGGAAGTAGCGAGCACATTCATTACCTTGTAAACAAAGCCCTTTTCAAGCTTAAGGCATTCAGCCTTATCGCAGTTTTTTTTTATCGCTGATTTGCCACAACCTGAATCGAACCCGTAAAGAACTTCGACCAAGGACTGGGTCTTGGACTTGGCCTTGCCGCGGGCTTGAGATCCATGAGCCTTGATCTGAAAAAATAAAATTAATGTACTATTGATGAAGCATAGAGAGAGAAACTTACAATTTTTGCGATGTCGGAATCAAGAATCAGGTGCTCCATACCTGAGTCATCATTTGCAAGCTTCCAGGCTCAACGGATAAATTGTAGTTCAGTAGTGGAGTCGGGGAAAGCATTCTCCGTGAAAAGAAACACGCGGTAGTAGCTTGCTGTGGCGAGGATGGTGTCTTGGGTTATACTGTCATAGTCTCTAGCTTTGGGTTGCGAATTGTCATTGGTGAGTTTCTGAGCATGGACAACAGCCGGAGTCAGATCATGGTGATGATCAGCTTCCTCGTCCTCCTCGTCTTCATCACCATCATTGTCAAGCAAGTGAGCACGCTTTTTGCCGGACTGCGGGGAACCTGAGCGAAGTCCTGGTGCAGATGTAGCAGTGCGAGAGAGGGAGCATGAGTTGGATTGGGATGGAGGGTGAGAGCGGGAGCGGGAGTATGAGCCCAAGCATGAGTGTGAGGGGGTGCCCAAGTGTGAGTGCGACTGGGAGCATGAGGGTGTCTGAGAGTGCGAGGGAGACTCGAGGTGAGATGGAGGTGGTTGGCGTTGGGTGGATTGACCATGTGAAACTGTTGCAGGAACCAGAACAGGGGCTGGTGGAATCCTGCTTGCACAGGCAGCCAGTTCTGCAAGTTTTGATGTGACTGTATGAGAAGTGAACTAACAATGTGTTAGATTAGATATTATAAAAGAGTTAATGAATTTTCACCATGGCATCTGGCAGCTCTTCAAGCTCATCGTCACTAGTGTGAGGCTCCCCCGCCTCTCTGGTCTCCTTGCGTGCCTTCTTTTTCTTCTGCTCTTCTCACTTTTTTTTCCTTTTCCTTTTCAAGGCGATCCTTCTCCTGCATGACAGCCACTTGAGAACATAGTTAGTCACAGATACCTAGTGCCATAAGTAGAGATAACTACGTTGTTTGGCTACCTTCTCAGAAGGTTTACGTACATGACCTTCACTAGCTCGTTTATCAGCAGTTACAGCTGAAGGGAGGCAAATTAGATGAGGAGGGAAGTTAGTAAGCAATTACACACCTGCATTCTCCTTGTTGGAGGATGTACGTCCAGTGTGATTGTGAGTATCTGGGTATAAAGTATTAGATCATGTTGTTTAGTAGATGTAATTGAGGTATTATCTTCTTCTTCATGGCTACGGGAGGTGGGTGTCACTGTAGAGGCAGTGGTCTTCACCACAGCTAGAAGAACCTTGGGTAAGTATGACACACACTGACATTGTATGACACAACATACCAGCATAAGTCTTGCGAGCAGTTGGCATTGTTCAGGATACGAAGATGGTGTGATTTGAGAATAGTGAACACTGTGAGGTAAGGTAAAATGGGAGTATGTCGTTCAAAATGAGAGAAGTAAGGACTCACAAGCATTTTGGCGACCTTTTATATGGATAGAATCCAAACATTCAACAAACACTAATGCATCAACAACACGTCGACAACACGTTGAGGACATGACTTGGTCATGGTTGAGGAGAGAGTTGGAAAGGGGCTGAAAGGGGCTGCAGAATGAATGGGCCAATAGCATTTTGAATTTTGTCGAGCCCAGACTTCACATTCATCAGCACAACTGAGTGGGCCAAAGGTCAGACCTGCCGTTTACCTGACTATACATTCATCAGCAGTTGAGACAATGACCAATACAGATAACTTACCACACCAAGGTCCAGAATTTTTGTGTAACCTTCGTCGACGAGCCAACGATGCCTGCGGTTCGCTGCCCTCATTGCTACACTCCAAAACCTACACAGAAAGCCATCAATCAACATATCCAATCGACACCAGCCTGTAAAAAGGCATACAATGAACAACTTACTGTGATTCATGGGAGTCCCAGCCCTCATAGCCGTAAACGCAAAGAACGGTCACAGTCACCACCACCTCACATACTCGATGACAGCGATGACACTGGAATGCAGGCAGCAGATGATTTCATGCCTCCCATCGATTCAGTTCCTGTTCAGCCGCAAAGTAAACGCGCACACATTGAAGAAGTTGAAGACAAAGACACAGCCATACCAAGGCCACACTACACCTGTTTTGTGAGGCCTTACCCATGTCCTGTTGCAACACCTATTCGCAACAGAAAAACCAAGTTTGAGATGTTGTTGGAGCAGCAGACTGCTGATGGGAAGCAGCCTTGGGAGCCATTTGCAAGCAAGGAGGAGTGGCAGCTGGCGACGTGGCTGATGGCCAATATGGGACAAACCTCAACTGATGAATATTTGAAGCTGCCAATCGTGAGTAAAAGAAGCAAGACACATTGATTATTAGCTTGCTCACCCTCACATTGATTATGTTCGTGAGAGAAGTAACCTCTCTTTCCATAACAACTATACGTTCTTGAAGGAAGTTGATGTGTTGCCCACTGGCCCTAGTTGGAAATGTGAAATCTTGAGAGCCAAAGGTGACCTCATCAGAGATGATGGTCAGCCACTTGTCGAGGAGCTGGAGCTGTGGTGGAGAGATCCAGTGGAGTGCGTAAAGGAGCTTGTGGGAAATCTGGCCTTCAAGAAATTCATGTTGTTCATTCCCGAACAGGTGTTCTCGGATAAAGAGGGCAAGGAGAGGGTTCTTGATGAGATGTAGACAGCCGAATGGTGGTGGAATACCCAGGTGAGAAGTTCTTCATAAAATCAGTCAGATCCGTATGATTAGCACGAAGAAAATAATAAATTACCTGACAGCACAACTATAGCAGCACTCATCCTTAAACCCAGCTCATGCAATTTCAAGGTGATAAGAAAGCCTGGCCAGTCTACCTGACCATCGGAAATATTTCAAAGGACATAAGAAAACAAACCTCGTCTCATGTGACAATTCTCATTGGCTACCTCCCTGTGGCCAAACTTCATTGTTATTTGGAGGCCATGTGATCCTTGAATGGGTACTGCCTTTTCCACAAGTGTATGTCAATGATTGTTGCAGGGCTCATAGCAGCTGGGAAAGAGGGCATTGAGATGGTATGCACAGATGGTAAAGTTCGGAGAGTTCACCCTCTCCTGGCTGTGTACGTCGCCGACTATCCAGAGCAGTGCCTGGTTGCATGCTGTAAAGAAAATAGGTGCCCACACTGTCTCGTTGATTCAGATGAGCACGGCAGTCCGGTCGAATCACTTTTTCGAGAGGTCAGGGCCACGTTGGAGATACTAGATGAACACAAGAGAGGTAAGGATACAAAGGAGTTTGACGACGAGGGATTGCGCACTGTGTACTCACCATTCTGGGCTGATCTCCCCCACTGCGACATATTCTCCTGCTTCACACCTGACCTCCTCCACCAACTTCACAAGGGTGTATTCAAGGACTACCTTGTCGAGTGGTGCACAACCCTTATCGGCGCGGAAGAGCTTGATGCATGCTTCAAAGCCATGTCTGGAAGCCCTGGCCTTTGTCACTTCAAGAAAGGGATTTCGGGTGTGTCACAGTGGACCGGCACTGAGCATAAAGAAATGCAGAAGGTGTTTCTCAGTGTTCTGGCTGGTGCGGTCAGCTGGGAGGTCTTCAGTGTTGCATGCACTCTCATTGATTTCATCTACTACTCTCAATTTCAATCCCACACCACCACCTCTCTCAACACACTTGAAAACTGTCTGAAAACATTTCATCAGCACAAAGCAATCTTCATCCGCCTTGGTTTTCGAGAACACTTCAACATACCCAAACTCCATGCCATCCTTCACTACATCAACGCCATCTGTGCCCTCAGTTCCACAGACAGCTACAATTCTGAATCCCCCGAGCACCTGCACATCGAGTTTGCAAAGGAGGCATATCGCACTAGCAACAAACGAGACCTGACGGAGCAAATGGTGCTGTGGCTGCAAAGGCAAGAGGTGATGTGGATGCGGGAGGGCTATGTGATGTGGCTTGAGAGTGGACTTGAAGCCATGCTGTGTGAGAGTGGGGTAGATGATGGGGTGGATGGAGAGGACAATGATAACACTGGTGTGGACGTTCCCACATCCACCCTGGATGCGCCCACAACGTCGTACACAATTGCCAAGAAGGCACCCTTCAAGAATGTGCCTATCTCACGGTTAGCTTCCGACTTCAGCGCTGTTGACTTCATACCCGCACTCACCACCTTCCTTCGTGAACACCTTCCTCGCTGCAACATCACCCCGAATGTTCATGACACATATGACCTCTTCAAGCAGGTCATTGTCTCACTCCCTCCCAACTGATATCTCAGTGAATCACCCTTAGCTGTAGCCATATACCATATTGACTAGACCCACCCACCTAAGTCCATTGCTGGGAGGGTGCATCCATGCATTGGCCCTAAGCATAGGTTTTTGCAGTAGATATATTTATTTCAGTCGATAATAGATCTTGCTTCTTTATGTCTAAATATATGTCAATAATGAACAGTTTTAAATCTGAGGAGATATTTCTGCTCTACAGCTTTGTTTTTTCTAGAAAGAACCTCTGAAACTTCACCCAATATATCTTTAATTAGTGTTTACTATGGACTGAACCTTTAAACACTATCTTTAATAATGTTCTGACACTTCCGAATAGTTTCCCTCCGTCGATTGCAACCATGATAGCTGGATTCGACAAACCTGTTTCGGATGATGTTGGCCTTTTGACGCCTTTGGTACACAATAGTAAACAGTGGTGTTGGGTGGATTTGATACTGTGCGGCCACCTCCATGTCTGCCAGGCTTTCCTCAAAATGGTATATATGGCAAGCTAAATTCATTTCCTCTCTTTCCTGTACTATAACTTTGGTCTTTTGCACTGTCCTGGTGAATAAGACAACATAACTTTCCTATGCAGATTTGAACGATGCCTTCGGTACACAAATGTAAACAATGGTTGAAGTGGCTACCAATCACCCAGGCCAATCCACCCTTCCAATATAAGAGCAGGAGAAGTAGATTAAATGTTACATTGACTCATATGTAATGTTTTTATACAAGAAAATCGAAGGACAGTGTCAGCTACATGATAATTCAGTCATCGTCCTCCAACAATGCCTTGACGGCCGGATCGAGGACCATCGCGCTTCCCTCACCACTGTCCTCATCACGCGTAAAGGGTACCAGAGGCGAGTGAACCGTGTGTGAATATCACACTGGATACTAGCCTGTCGCGCTGGATACGCCTTCACCCCTTCGCATGCTGCTGCGTGTAAACCCTACCATCCTTCTTGATGGTCGTATCGCCATGTGGTCGTCGTCCTGGTTCGTAGTCACGTTGTTGTCATCCTGGGTCATAGTCGCATCCTTTTTGTCCTGGGTCATAGTTGCGTCGTTTTTGTCCTGGGTCGTTACCACGTTGTCAAGTCGTTTGTCTAGGGTGTTCTGGTGCGGTTGGCCTGTTTCCGTGTTGTCATTGCATCGTCGTTCCCTGGTGACATTGTCCTGTTTCATTGGTGACCTGTCCTTGTGATGTCCGAAGTCTTGTTGGTCATCTGTCGGCGTGCTGTGTCGATCCGATGACACCGAACGATGAAAGAGTCATTGTACATTGTTTGGTTGCCAGGTGGCTGTTGGCAACGTGGCACTTCGGATGAGTATGAGTATGGGAATGGGGGGAGGGGCTAACATCAACTCACCTGGGCTGTTGATGGTGCTGGTGATGTGCTCTTGTCCCCCATTGTCGTTCAAGTGGAGTGGTGGTGATGGTGGGCACTCATCGCCGTCCGTGGGTGGTGGGCACTCGTGGCCTCTTGTTGTTCACTGGTGGGTGGTCCGTAGTGGACGGTGGTAACAGTCGATGGTCATTGTCGTCGGGCCTTGGTGTCATGGGCATTGCCCTGGAAGTCAACGTTGACATTCGTGGAGTGGTGGTGATGGTGGGCGCTTGTCGCCATTCATGGGTGGTGGGCACTTGGGGACTGTGGTTGTTCGCTGGTGAGCGATCCGTGATGGAGGGTGGCATGGTAAATCGTCGTTGTCATCAAGTGTTGGTGTCATGGGTGTTGTTGTCCTGAAAGTCGATACACCCGGATGGACTGTTGGTGTGACACGTAAACCATTTTCTTCTGGTGGCGCGATTGGATGACCCAATGAGAGACGATGGGGTATTTGTGTAAGATAATCTCACCAGTATAGTGTTCGCATGTAGCGAACATCCTCAAGTCCTTCCCTCTAAAATCCCGAACGTAATCTGGTGGTTCTCCACAAACATCAAGGGGTGGTCGCTCGATAGAGGATGACTCGAGCGAGAGCTTGAATTTGAGGATGATTGGTTGGTGGAGTGGCAGTGGACCGACGACGAGGCATTTGCTGAACGGAAGGTGGACAGAGTGGTGGAGACATGGCATGCCAAACCACGCATCAACAGTGCTCGGAAAATTCCAAGCACTGAAAGAGCTGTGCGCACTGGCTCGCGCACTCGTTATTGAGGGGAAAGAAATATGAAAAAAGGAAATTAAAGGTTCTAAGGAGTAGTACTAACATCTGAGATAGGTAGCAATATGTATTTACTGGGCAGGGAGTAAAAGTCGGAAGAATTTCAATCTACACATGAGATTCCGGCACTTACAGTTGCTTTATTGTGACCCTCTTCACCTTTCCATTACCTGTATCTACACAATGCTCTGATTTCCATGAAAATTTGTGAATCCATTTGGGTTTTCATTCTGAAGATATCTATGTAACTTCCATGGCCATTGGATGATTTTAGGGGACACAGTATAGTTAAAGTCGGATGAAATGCACTCTATTCCATGACTTTCACAACAAATCCTTCAATATCAAAATGAATATAGTGCTTAGAAAGATTATACTGGCATCCACCTTTAGCTGAGATCAGGTGAATTTGATTCCCTGAATTTTAGGCAAGCAGAGAAAGGTTTCCCAACACAATTCTATGTTTAAAAACCCTCCTAAAAACCAAAAAATGGGAACAAGACTTTCAGGTGTGTTATTTCACTCAAAATTTGATACTTCCTGTCCTAATACTCTTTTACATATGCATTGAATGCTGGCAGGCTATACCTGGCATATATTAGCTTAAAAGTTGCTGAAATGATATGTTTTTGACATTCAAACACAGAGATACTCCTTTCTCTACAACTTGTAGCCAACTTCTGATAGAGAGGCAGGTCCAAAATTGTAAATTAAGCATGCTGAGATATTTTATTTTTGTCAGTGCAGTGTTCCCTTCCTCTCTTTGCTCAATTTCAGTTGTTTTTGGCATATGAGAACTGAAGTTTGCATTTGTTTGTCTGCAGCTTCAAACACGTCATCCAAGTTCACAATGTGCCATCCATCCACTTGCGAGGGTGCCATGAATGTGAAAAATGAAAATTTGGGTTGTGTTCTACTTGTAAACTACTAAAATGTTTATCTTTCATAAAATTTAAATGTGAAGGATGAATACCGAGGCACATGGAGGGAGCTGTTTGCATCTATGTGGCAACACCTTTGTTGATGGTTATTTGTTGACCTGAAGCCCAAAGAACAAAAGGTCATCCAGAACATGACTTGCGCATCCATCATGTCTGCACCTCGGATTGAGGCGGAAATTTTTCGAAAAAATCGGAAATATGTTTCTATATTACCCGGCAGCTCTGAGTATCTGTAACACAAGGATTGAAGGAGAAAAATGAGATTTATCACAATTGGAATATTCTGGTGAAATGTAGCTTTTTCAGAAGAATTTTGACATAGAAAAAACATATTTGGATGCTCTTTTGACAAGAAAAACATACACAGAATACAGGAAAACATTCCAGTCATCAATACTGATCCAGAATGTACCATTTCTGAGAATTTTCAATCATAAAACATATCTGAGCTATATTTGGATTTGTAGTAAATCACAAACATTCTGGATCCCAAAATAGCACAAAACATACACAGAATACAGGAAATCATACCAATCATCAATAATGATCCAGGATATAACAATTCTGAAACTTTTCAATCATAAAACATAGCTGAGCTATATTTAGATTTGTGATAAATCACAAACATTCTGGATCCCAAAATAGCATAGATTTCAAACATTAGCAAGCTATTTTCGATTTTTTTTTCCCCCTAGGAACCCAACATATATTGCCAGAACAATGAAATAAAATAAATATCCTAAAGGCAGAATTTCTTGGAAAACAGGCCTAGTGGATGTTGGCAGCTCCTGGGCTATAGGGATTTGTGCCAGGTCCCAGGGCTTTTTGGTATTTTAGTACAGCCTAGGCTGAGTGAATTGAAGATTCACATGAACCACATCAGGGCGATTCCGGCTGTCAAGTCCAAGGGAAGGAAAGCAGGGGCACCAGCAGCCTTTGACATGGCCCTTGTTGCAGAGGATATGAAGGAGTACCAAGCGCTGGGTGGTATCGCAGGTATGTTCAGCTCAATCCATCATCTGTACTCCAATAACTTATGTTCTGTTTCAGGCCTTTGTGCTGCCCAAGTCCACACAATCTTCTCCCTTCCTGAACAATTCGGCTCCTATCCCCAGCCCCTCGCTTACATCGAATGGTTTACACCTTTGGGCACCCCTGAACCCCATACAGGGATGCACATCATCAAACGGTCAACTCGCTACACCCGCTGAAACGCTGCAATTGTCCCCGTGGATCAACTGGTGCAGGGATGCCATTTAATGGGCAAGTGTGGTGCAAAGATTGACTGGAGTTGGACAACTGACAACTTCCTTGACCTCACAACCCAGTTTTATTTCAATCCTTACAGAGATGTAGATATTTTTTCTGTCATTAAATGTCCATCACAATGATTCAGAAGCTTCATTAATTGACTACGAAAACCTAATGAATAAGTAAACTGTCTACAAGAGCCTGGTAGCACTAATAACCACTGTAGCGTGTAACAGCAGCTACAGAGCTGACGATGAATGTGGTGGTACCTTTGTTGGGCTTATTGCACACTGTGACAGACCGACAGCCTACCAACAACCATCAGCATGATGATGAACTTCGCCAAGCTATTGATGACAATAATAGGTACGGTTGGCTACTGATCTAACCGACCATCTACTGGCTAAATCTTTTTTTCCTGATGCATGGGGAACTCTGACACCTCTGCTATCATACATCCGTAGATGCTGCATCACTGACTGTCTTCCCATCCATCCATCAAGTACGTGAGATTATTCCGTCCCTCCAGCCGCTGAACATCCTCAGCAAACGCACGTGCTTCTTCAGCCAGGAGAAGTTGCTCCATATTGAGATGCAGGGAAATAAGATGGCTGTTAGCATTGCAACCATCTCAGGAAGAATGGGTTTTCAGCTGCAGAAAAAGGAATGTTTCCATGTACAAAAACCTATGAGTTTATTGTTACATTAAATGTAGAAAAATAAAGGTTACACACCTCAGTATGCGTAGATTAGCTTTATCCATCTCCTCAACACTCAATGACTGATCAAGAAATGCCTCAATTGGGTGTTTCACTGCCACTGCCTCTCCCGAATTAACCTTCTTCTTCTTCTCAGCAGATCTGTCCACGATCTCTACCACATCACTTTCCCCGTCTGAAACCTGGATCTCCTCAATTCCGCCCTTCCTCATCAACAAGCACGCTGCTTCCAACCGGACCTCTGCAGGTACATTTTTGCAACTGTCCTCTCTGTTTGTTTTTCCAATGTGCTTCAAGCAGCATGAATCACGGTGGACAATCTCCTTTGCCACGTCACTGGGGCAGTACTTGCATGTCATTAGCCATCGCTTGGCCTTTTTGTTTGGGTCTCTCCTTCCATTGAAATGCTTGTGTATAAATTCATCCCTGGCATGACCACTGCAGGTATTGGCTGACATAGAGTATAGAAGGACCCCTGAAATTCATGTCAAATCCCTAATCCATATCCAGAGGAAATTTTGAAAAAAAATCTGGGCAGGCCTCAGGCCTATCTGGAGGAAAATTGAAGAAATTTTGGAAAATCCATGAGTTCAATGTCCGGATAAAAATCCCCTAAGCTATGGGGGGCCTGATCTACGTCCGGATAGAAAACTATAGAAAATGGACAAAATGAATGTAGTCCCCCCATTTTTGAGTGTGCACCCTGGTTCAACTTTAATTAACACATGATGGAATTGAATAGGTGTATTACTTCAATCCAACGTACACAAACGAAGATATGACAAACACAACCAGTCAAGTGTTCATTAATCTTGACAATCCAGCACCCCTGGATGAGTTGGAATGGATTGGCAAAGGAAAAGTGTATCCCATATGGGATCCACCTCAATTTGCTGGTACAGATATTCGAGCACATGCATGGGTTACATTTTCGTGTGAAATCTCAAGGGCAAGCTCTGTATATCTCAAGATTTGGCCTCTCATCGTCACAGTTTCCCTTCACCCTTACCCACTCACCAACCCCAACAAATGATGGCGGGATGATAGCGATAACCCAGCAAGATGACAAACTGTTCAAAATTCTCGCCTTGCATCGAGGGGAGGTAAAGTTGGCGGTTGGTTGGCAGTTCAAGCATTGAGTGGGAGGAAGAAAAAGGGCGGTAACGACATTGAAATGGGGACAGATGACGAGGAAGATTAGATATTACAGTCTTACATTGGAATTTAAGACCTTTGGGCGCCAGGAGCCTTGCCTATGTGCATATCCTATGCCTGATGTAATGTCCGGATATAATTTAGGAAAATCCTATGCCTGATGCCATATCCGGAGGATTTTTGGGAAATATCGGGAAATTCTGTCCAGAGGAAAATTGTCAAATTTGACGATTTTGGGATCAGGGATCCAACACTACTTTCAGGGGTCCTAGTATAGAGGAGTTTTCGTGGAATGTAGACTACATTGTACAGTACTGCTACCGTACGCTGACCCCGTATATTTGAAATTCTGCTTTGGGGCTCGCCAGGTCTCGCCATCTCCTTTTGGAAATTTTTGGTCGCCACCTGGCGATCGCCAGGTGGCGAGGCGAGATGGCGAAGTTTCGCCAACAACACTAAGTTTTGGTGGACCCTGAAATGAGGCAAAAATTTGGCGGACCCAATTTCTCGTGGGAAAAACTTTGGAGGTGTGTTTTTCGATGTATTTCAACAAGCTGGCCATGATCCCGAAGTTTGGTGGCAGTTTATCGAGCCGTTCCCGCGCTACCAAATTAGATGACTTTGCTTGTCCGCAACCAGTCATTATCAAAATAAGAACAAGTTAGAGAACTTGGAAGGAAAAAAGACAAGAAAGGAAGGAATGTGAGGGAGTGATACATATGCTAGCGTTTATACGTCTGTATATAAATTATCCTGGGTTTCGTTCATTCATTACTACGGAGAAAGAAAAAATAAATAAGAACGCGACGACAAGCTCACCCCGAGCGCGTCCTCATCCTCGCCCACACCTCTCCCTCCCCATCTACACTCGTATCAACAACTTCAGCAAGCTGCTTCCTAGACGCCCGCGTTCTCAACACCGGTTTCCCCTCCTCTCCCTCCGCCTTCTCGACATCGGGCGGCTGCATAGCGGTAGACTTCGACTTTGGCTTCAACGACCCCGTCGACGACCTAGGCTTCAACGGCGACTTTACAGATGCCTTATGCTTCAACGACGCAACGGACGATTTCCGGGTCAGCGGTGCTGCCGGGCTAGCCTTGCTTTTGCTCTTCGTCACATAAACCACCTTCCCCTCCTCCGCCTTCCCCCCTTGTTCACCCCCAGACGACTCTTCCATTTCCTCCTTCTCGCACACTTTCTTTTTCGATATACGTTGATGAGGCGTCTTAAGCGGTACCTCGACGGAAACAATCTGCCGGGAAGGAGTAGGGGTAGGCGACGCAGCAGCGGTGAAGGACGCGGAGAGGGGGCTTTTGTTGATAGGGACGCGTGTGGACGATGACGAGGCTGATGATTTCGGTTTGGGCGTGCTGGGTTTCCGACGGGGTGAAGTGGGTGGGGTGTTTGGTCGGGGTGCAGGAGTAGAAATAGAAGTAGAAGGGGCGTCAACGTCCATCGCGTCAGGATCCGTCGGTGGGTTATTAGTCTGCGTATTTTTCCTAGGTTTCTTGATCGCGCGGGTGGGATTACTCTTGCTCGATATGGCGCCCTTCGACACGGACGACCCAACACTCGCGTTATCCTCCTCCTCCTCTCCCTCCTCCACGTCCTTCCTCGCCCTCTTCCTCGTCGACCTCGCCCGCTTCGCGGTAGCCGGGGGCGCAAAACACCTCATTTGGGCACACGTCGTAAGTTTATCGTCATGCGGTGTCGAATCCGCGCGAAAGCGCGCGCGTTTCGGGTCGACGGTATGTTTACCCTCGTAGCACCAACCATCAGGGGGGCCCATATCCCCGTCTCCCTCTACCGTACGGGAACAGCAGCCAAAGAGCGTTTCGTACTCTGTACTGGAGCCTATACCGGAACGCACGCGGTCGACGACGGCGCTGTCATCGTCGTGAGGGACTAGACACGATCGGTCGGTGTTCTCGAGCTCAAAGTAGGATTTATGGCATCGGACGCAGTGTAACCGTGGCGGAGGCGTGAGGGCGGAGAAGAAGGACGTGAGTGCTGTAAGCGCTGGAGGTGGTGTGTCCTGGAGGTGGGTAAGCGTGAACGCGTGCAGAGTTTGAGAGGGGACGGAGGAGATGAGGGATAGGAGATCTGTTGGGTCTGTGATGAGTTGTTCGGGTGGAGGAGAGGGCGTGTCTGGTGGGGGGACTGGTGGCGGAGTAGGTTGGTGGAGCTGGTGGTAGTCGATAGACGGAGACGGTGTATGGAGTTGATGGGAATTCTCAGCAGCAGAGTCAAGGGGACCAGCCGGAATAGACTCTACGCTTGCTTGGGGTTGCGCTGGTTTACGAGAAAAGAATCCAAAGACCATGGTGCACGATGAAGACGATAAGGAAAGAGAAAAGACGGAAGAGCAGGATAAAGAACTGCTCGAGGCTTTGTATCTATTTGTACACCACGTCCATACAACGCGTGTTTTCAAAACACGTCAAATCAAAATGCACTTCCCTCCTATTCAGCTCGGCCTGCTTCCCAGTGATTAGCGCCGCTTTCGTATTCAACACCTGCGAATTGACGATCATGAATGAGCTGCCTTACGAAATTCAGCGCCCAATCTTCGAGATGGCTGCAAGGGGCCACAGCGGCGGAGCCGGCTTCAACCTCATCCAAGTCGCTCATCATGTATACACCTGGTCCGTCGCTACCCATCACCGCCGTCCTCAAAATTCTTCGTTGAACTCTTTCACAGGATAGAACCAATTCTTTACGAACGCATTGAAATTATCAACTCGAGCGTTACGCCATCCCTTCTTCAATCAATCAGGACGAAAGATTCTGCATTTCTTGATTCCACCGTCAGAGCGCTGGCAGTCTCTGGCGACTTGTCTCTCGAATCCGCGAAACCCATCTTTGCCGCGTGTTCCCGGGGTATAGTCAGCTTTTCAGCATGGGGCACTGCGGTGAACCCCTCACAATATCTTTCCTTCATTCACTCTCCACACCTACGTCGCTTGGCGTTATTCTCGAATAGACCAAGAAAAAAAACCTACAATGATCCCTTTGATATTCCCATCGAAATGCTCGCCATGTTGACGCATATCGTGCTTGTTTCAAACTTTTCTTATATTGCTTGGGACATCTACGAATGGTTGATTGAAGTCGATCTAAGGGCTACTAGTTCACTGACAGCCACTCACACACCCCTTGCCTCGTTTATTGCCTTCCAGAACTTGACCCATTTTGCGGTGTCGCGGGTAGCCTGGCGATACGTCTCGATAATCCAAAAAGTCGCTAAAAAGCTACGCTATTTTGTGATTTTGAGTCAACCGGGATCTCTCGTTTATCCCAGTATCATCGAAGGGGTCCGGTCACTGAATGACCATCGTCTTGTGGTCGTAAGCATGGAAGACTTCTCGGATTGGCCACAAGGAGACTCCCGAGGTGTGACGACATTCTGGGAAACAGTGGAAACTCTTGTTTCGAATGGTTTTATTTCCGACCGGGGTCATAAATGGCTCATGGGACACGAAAAGGCCTGACAACATCACAGTGGAATTGTTGCTCATTTGAGACGTGGTTTGGAAAGTGGTAGGCGCAATATGATACAAAATCAAACCATAATTGAATGACCCTCCATTTGTTTCAAACCTGCAGGTATTGCCTCCAGACCACTGGGAATAAAATAAACTCGGTTGGGCTATCACAGAATGTCATCAACCTGATAGTTTCCACACATCTCAGGACTGGCTTACGCCAATTACACCTTCCTCCAGCCAGCCAGACAGCCTTTTTCCGTAGAGCGTCCCCAGCAGATTTAGATTTACCCTGCGGAGGGGCCGTCAACCATGTATCATTGTCTTGTCTTGCGCCTTCACCTTTTCAACCAATACCGTCACCAAAGTGCCGCCAGGCGCAAGGATGTCCAGGCCTGCCAGTTGCGTAGACCTGTCTCCAATAGTATCAGATACAAATGGAATAGACTGGTTTGCAATGTTCTTGACTTCGATTAGAAATTGTTCGTCACGTATTTGCACACCACGTACATACCACGCAAACCCGTCAAATCGACTAATCAATCCACTTCATGAAGCTCAGCCCTCCTAGGCCTCATCTCAGATGACATCATCGTCCCATTCCCAATCCCCTTCAACACCTCCTCCCACCGTTCACAATGCTCGTATCCCTCCAATTCAGATCTCGACAACGGCCTGTCTCGAAACTCTAGCCTCTCAGGCCTCAACAACATACTACCCCCAAGCGTATGGTACTCTATAAGAACCTGCGCTTGGCCTATCCCCCCACTCTCCCTGATCGCCAAAGACGCTTCGACGTCGTTCTCTTGCGTTAGCGTTTCTTTCGTAGTATCCAACACTTGCGCGTTGACGATCAAGAATGGGCTGGCTATGGGTCCGACGACGCGTTCGACTGCGAAGACGTTGATTACGAGACAGTGGGTTAGGATTTTGTCGGGGTGGGTGTGGATTTGGAGGGCTTCTTTTGCTGCCCATTCGATTAGCCATTCGTAGGCCTGAATATTGAGTGAGACGAGGTCTGAAGAGCGAATTGGCATGCAAGTCGAAAATAGCTAGTACCGACCTTTACCCATGATCCAATATCAACGAATCGAGGGGTACGACACCCTTGTTTATGAAGCTTCCAATCACTCTTCTGACATTCTTTGCTCTTTTCAATTCGCACATGAGTCAAAGTTGGGAGGTAGTAATAACGTATCTAGTACTAACGCAATATCGAACAAAGTGGCATCGGGCACACATTTTTATCTTGACACCCTCATAGCCGCCTTCTTGGAGTGGGCAGTCGCGCCAACGACAAAGACGGACGGGTTTTTTGTCTTTGGTGTAGACGCCGGGCCTTGTATCGATGATGGGCATGGTGGGGGCAATTAATAGGGGCCGAGAGGCGCGTCGCGTTACGATCGTGAAGCGTGACGTGACAAGTTCACCAACTCCACTGGAGTCCTTCCACGCGCTGCTGCCAGTGGTGCTTACAGCGGGATGCATGAAACCGCAAAGAGCTACCCAGAGTCTTTATGAATGATGGCGGCACGGCGAAGAGTGAGACGATCGTGTACTCACGTCCATTGTACGTGCAATCTCTCCGGTCAGCATGCCACACACCGACGTTATTTGACTCTACCATCATGCAGGCGTAATGTTCCTTGGTCTTCTGCTCGCTGAGGATCTAGTGACCACCAACTATCCTTGAGTATCCTTGAGTCTGGCTCACCAAACGACTACATACGTATCGTTAATTTTGGCCCAGCGAAACACAGCCCACTGCCAGTGGATATCATATCATGCTGTAACGCCAGCAGTGCGTTTTTCTAATTTTCCTGCACCTACATAAGTACTTCTCTGACGTACATTTCCGTATTAGGAACCCTTTTGCTTTGCATTCTGGTGTGTCACTGAACATTGGCGCCCGCAGTGAACGTGGGCCTATAGGAATCATCCTCATTGAAGTGGCATTGCTGGATATAAGGCCCCAGCCCCTCTCCCCTTGTATTCGGTGCCTCCCCCCTACTATGACCTTCGATCGAGCTCGAAACTTTGTCGTTCAGGGCTGCTACTTCGTCGACAACTCTGGCGGACGGAAGCAGACACTCGATGAAGGCAAGTAGTAGAAGTTAAGAAACGAAATGGCTTTTAAGTTGAATTTACTGTAACAGTACGTGGCAAGTTGAAAGACGCGGCTGCATCAGGGATCAGTTTCAACTCCGTTGAAGAATCTGTCAGCAGGCCGATAGAATTGCCCGCCAAGTCTTTCGACAACCTCGTCTCACCCAACAATGTGGACGAAAAACGCATATTTTTGATGCATAGCGTGAACCCATCTTCGGTTCGGTTGACTGGAGAAAGCGTAGCAAGGCACTTCCAGGCTAAGGATGTCTTGCTCACAAGCGTCTTCTTTCGCCTTATCCTCTCTTTCTGGCCTGCACAAGGGAATCGCGTAGTCCCCAGTCTAGCCTATCAGCTCGTTGTCTCTCCTCACTGCCCAGAGGAACTTAAAGTCGAAATACTGGGCGCTTATTATGCGGAGCCTGATATCCCCGAACAGTCACTCCAGAACCAATTCCAGAAACTTATCGTTCGTCCACTTCTTAACGCCATCAAATTCCTTCCCCCCACTTTACCTATCGTCTTCCTCTTGGATTCCGTACATGACTGCCAAATCGTCGAAATTATCATATACGCTCTCGCCAAGGCGCTTCATGAGCTTCGGAAAGGTGGGGTCAATGCCATCGCAGTCATCACAACAGTTTCCTACAGCAAGATCCTCGACAGTGTCAAATCACATGAGACTACCACGTCCATTACTCAAACCTCCTCTACCCCCGTCACTTCTCCCCACTCCCTCATCTCTGGGGCAAGAGCGTTGGCTTTCCCGCTGCTTGACCTCAAGTATAAATTACCGGACGTCGTCCAACGTGTGGTTGAAGTCCTGACCGCCTTCTTATCATTCGCGTCGATTCCCTTCGTCGTGTACCTCGCGGTCCTCATAAGCGGCCTTCTCATAGGACTCGGTCCCGGGGCATTCTTGTTAGCGGGAACTGTAACGTTTTTGGTTGGTATTCCGATGCTAATTTGTGTATCGATTGCTTTCCCGATCTTTGTATACACGGAGCTGGCACGGGTAATATGGCCCAGGTCAGGGTAATTACTCACGGCATTCTCACTTATTTACTTATCGTTGATCGATCGAGGTCGCCTCTCGTTTTCTTGAATACCAAAGATATGACAACAGGAAGGGCTGGCAGATTGCGTGCCGGACATCTCCCACATAAATTACCCCACTTGTAGCTTGTAGATGTCGAGCACCTATCAAAGAGATTTGAATGATAGATCATCTATTGACTACAAACAGTAATCTAATCAACTATTCGCCATGAACACCGTCAACCTACATAACTATCGCTTGCGATCAAACAACAACCTACCCACTCATCCACACGCGGAACCATACTATGCCCCGAATATTTCTCTCAAAGCTCTCGATTACTTCCACGCATCGCTGGTGTTTAAGATTCCGCCATGGATCTCATCCTTGCCATTGTTCCCTTTCGCCTCGACGATGCGCGGCGTATTGGATCAAGAGGCGGCTCAAGGTGGACGGTGTGTGTGGGCTGAACTTCTAGCTTTTCGCGCGTGGAGAGGGCCATCGTTCCCTTTGGCAGGAGGTTGTTGAGTGGACGAGAATCCGCTTGGTTATCCTCTTGTCGACCCCAGTTGTACCTTCATTAGATTTGTTGAAATACAATGTCAATGTTGAAATTTGCGCCAAATTTAAATGAGCTATAGATAGGCAAATACGGGTAAGTAAATGGAACGACCGACTCGGAGCTGGAATGACATGCTTACGCCCTTAGTATCTTGCAGACGGCAGCAGATGCATTGGCCACATGCCAGTTGCGGTAGCAGACGACCTAACACGCAAATCAGCCCTTATAATTCCCCACCGACGAACGAGAAAAATTCACATTCAAAATCAGTTCCGCATTTGTTTTAAACATCTCCACACACAAGCCTCGAAAGTCCTCGCACCACCCGAAGCCTTCACCTTCACTCTTTCCCCCTTTTCTCCCTAGCCATTTCCCTCCACACACCCTCCCTCGTCACGTGGACCCCGTACACATCTTGAGGAACGCCCCTCTCGCCTCCGCTATGAGTACACACGCTGCAATCTTCAGCGCTGGCGTCGGTCAGAGGGAGGTTTCGATGATGATTTTGAGAGGATAAGTCCTCATGAACCATCTCCATCCCACACCCGAGTGCAACACAACAAGTAACGCATACTTTAGCGTTGGAGCTGCGAATGCCGCTGGACTGGCTGCAAAGACCTACTGAAGCGCAGTCAACATCCGGACAAGCAGTCAACACCTCCATCTCCTCTTCCGAGAGAAAGTGAGGAGTTACAACAGCAGGCTGCACATTATCATAGAACCGCGGCAGCCCTTGACTCTGAATCCGCCTACATAGAATGTCGCTGCTGTTGCTGTTGGTGATACTGAGGCGACATCCCTCGGCTCAAGTGTGGCGAAGACTGATGATACCCACGTTGTTGGCTTTGAGAAGGATTCAAAGGTCGATACAGCGGCGACGAATGATGTGAACAAGTCCCTTGTGCCCGTTGATGTTGGTGGTGTTGAGCCAGAGGAGGGGGCTGATACTGCGGTGAAGCTTGCTGGGAGGATGAAGTGTGATGTTGGTATTGATATTGTGGCGAGTAGTGTTGTTGGAGGAAGACTTGTGCGGCGAATGCTGCTGCTGCTGCCGACCCGAACATCCAAATCATTCGGACTCGTAGGAGCGCTCTGCACCGCTTGTGGGTACATATACTCCACCATGTTCGTCCCCGCGTCCTATATGAAACCCCCATACAAAGAGTTCCGATTTCCATAGGAAACCCCAAGAGAGGCAGTAGTGAACGCACTATGTTCCCCTAATAGCTCGCTCCTCAACAGGCGAACAAGCAAGCGTATCAAAATACAAATTCTGAGGAACCACAGACCGACTCCGTTCGTCGTGTGCGTAGGCTGCTATTAGCGCTGTTGGGATTTGTGATTGCGCTTGGATTTGGGAGGGGTAGGACGAGGGGTGAGGCCTTGAGGTTGCGTTTTTAGAGTGTGCGTCGTGGAAGGGTGCAAAGACCCATGAGACGAAGGATGCGTTTGGGAGTGCGTAACCTGCGACCCTACACCAAACTCAGGAGATGCACTATCATCGACATTTTTTCAGAAAGACTCTGTAGGCCTTCAAGGGGACTATGACTGTTTGGAGCACTTCCATTGGGCCCATATTCGGGTATTTGCAGGCCAGGTTTTTGTGGTGCATTGGAGGGGGTGGTGGAGATAGAGGAGGAGGGGGTAAAGTGTTGTTGTTGGTGCTGGAGGTGGAGGTGGAGGGGGTAAAAGTGGAAGAGTATGGGTTGGCACAGGGTTGGCAGTATACTTCGACAAAGGCCTTTGGCAGGTTAATGCGAACACGAAGCACTCGTATGCGAAAATGCAAAAGCCGGGTTCCTGTTCGATCCAGGTCTGGGTGTGGTTGAGGGGCAATTTGACGAAGTCGAGGTAGCTGGGGTGGGGTACGCCTGTTCTCATTTAACAAACTCATAAGCCTCCTTAACCTCCTCCTCCATGTACATACCCCCACCTCTCCTTCTGCCCCAAGGCCGACCCCCTCGTCGGATCCGTCATAACAGCCAACTGCTCATGCAAAGTCATTGTCATGGAATCTTCTTGCTGCTGCTGGCACTGCTGGATTCGAGATCAACGCCAAACGACATAGGTATGGAGAGCGGATGAAGGGAAGGTATATTAAGGGGTTCACACGACAAAGACGGACGGGTTTTTTTGTCTTTGACGTAGATACTAGACGTTGAGCCTTGTGTCGATGATTGATGATGGGCATGGTGGACGCGATTGTGGCGCGTCGCATCACGATCGTGTCATATTGGACTGTGACGTGACAAGTGCACGAACTTTGGCCATGGGGTTTCAAGCAACAACTCTCACTCCCTCCACCCGCTGCTGCTGCTTGCAGCGAGATGTATGAGCGCCACCAGGAGATACCCCAAATATCTGCCCAAAATATTTATGAATGACGGCGGCACGGGGGAGAGGGAGACGATTGTGTACTCATGTCCATTGTAGGCACACCAAGACATGCTCCTGAGACAGGATGATGCAATGACATACGAGCAACCTCCCTCCATGTCAAGACAGCAAAAAGCATTATTCCTCCAATCAAAGTTCACCGACTTTGTTTTGGGGACGGCCCCAATCTACAAACCCGGCCCAGGAGAACTGTTGGTCAAAAATAAGGCAGCATCGCTCAATCCGGTAGACTGGAAAGTTCAGAAACATGGCATGTTTGTCGAACATTATCCTGCCATCATTGGAGTGGATATCGCGGGAGATGTAGAGGAGGTCGGCGAAGGCGTCACCTCGTTTTCAAAAGGCGACAGGGTGTACGTTGCATTTTTTCATGGCGCTATAATATTAACATGTTAACGCCAACGGAAGTCTTTCTCAAGGCCAGTTTGAGCCTGAATGGGGCGGCTTTCAACAATATGTCAAGACCAGGGCTGTCTCTACCACCAAAGTATTTCTTTATACTGGCGTTCTCCTGAGACGTTCTCAGTCATTGCTACAAGATCCCAGCCAACTTTTCGTATGATCAAGCCGCAACACTTCCGGCAGCTCTGTCAGCGGCCTACGCGGGGCTTTATAGCGAAAGGCCGAATGGAGGAGGGTTGGAGCCTCCGGTCGAACCATCTTCAGTAGGCAAGTATTCCGGTACGCCAATCGTTGTGCTCGGAGGATCAAGTTCCGTGGGACAGTATGGTGAGTTGTGTCTCACCAGTGCCTCCCATGCTCGCAACTGACTTACGATTATCAAGCTATACAGCTCGCTAAATTGTCCGGATTCTCCCCCATAATCACAACGTCTTCCATGAAACACGAGAATTACCTCAAAACACTCGGCGCAACACACGTCATTGACCGCAACTTGCCCCCTCTACTCGAAGTCAAGAAAATTGCAAACCAGTCTATTTCATTCGTATTCGATGCTATCGGAGACAGGTCTACGCAACAGGCAGGCCTGGACATCCTTGAGCCTGGCGGCACTCTGGTGACAGTATTGGTTGAAAAGGTGAAGGCACAAGACAAGACAATGATACATGTTGTGGCATTGTTGACGGCCCCTCCGCATTTAAAGCTGCTGGAGACGCTCTACGGGAAAAAGCTATCTGGCTGGCTGGAGGAAGGTGTGATTAAGGTAAGCGAGTCCCGAGACGTGTGGGAAACTATCAGGTTGATGACGTTCTGTGATAGCCCAACCGAGTTCAATTTATTCCCGGTGGCCTGGAGGCAATACCCACAGGTTTGAAACAAATGGAGAACAATCAGGTGTCTGGGGTGAAGCTTGTCGTCCACCCTCAGGAATAATGATACAATATTCTTAGCTGTCAACTATTACGGTTTGATTTTGAATCACATCGCGGCACCTACCACCATGTCTCAAATGTGCAATCATTCCATCGCGACAGACCTGTTCGCATCCCATGGACCATTTGTCACCCTGGTCGGAAATAAAATCACCCGAAACAAGGGTTTCCACTGTTTCCCAGAATGTTGTCACACATCGGGAGTCTCCTTGTGGCCAATCCGAGAAGTCTTCCATGTTTACGACCACAAAACGACGGTCATTTAGTGACCGGACTCCTTGGATGAGAATGCGATAAAGGACGGAATTCCCTCGACTCAAAATAACAAAATAGCATAGCTTTTTAGCGACTATTCGAATTTTCGAGATGTATTGCTAGGCTATCCGCGCAACCGCAAAATGGGTCAAGTTCTGGAAGGCATCGAACGAGGCAAGTGTTGTGGGAGTGGCTGTCAGTGATGCTGCCGGTGCTGAACTAGCCCATTCGAGGTCGTCCCAAACAACACTAGAAGAGTCTAAAAGAACTACGAGATGCGTCAGCATGGTGAGCATTTCGGTGGGGATATTAAAGAGTGCGTTGTCGTCTTTTTCTGCTGGGGTATCCAAGATTAACGGCGAACGCCAAACGACGTAGGTATGGAGAGTATATTGAGGGGTTCTCCCTATTGCCCCATGCTGAAAAGCTAACTATGCCTTGAGAACACGCGGCAAAGATGAGTTTCGCGCATCTGAGATTCAAGTCGCCAGAGACCGCCAGCGCTCTGACGGTGGAGTCAAGAAATGCACGATCTTTCGTCCTAATTGTCTGAAGAAGGGACCAAGCAAATCTCGAGCTGGGAATTTCAATGCGCTCGTAAGAATTGGTTCTATCCTGTGGAGAGTCTAGTGAACAGTTTTGAGGACAGCGATGATAATGGGTAGCGATGAACCAGGTGTATACATAATGAGCGACTTGTGTGAGATTGAAGCCAGCTCCGCGGGGGCTCCTCGCAGCCATCTCGAAGATTAGACGCTGAATTTCGTGAGGCAGATCGACATTCGTTGTCGCTGGGCGTTGCGTTTCTTCCATATTTTGTTTGTCGCAAGTGTGAAGTTAAAGGACAAGCCAGGGAATCCTGATTCACCACGAAATACAAATTCAAGTTGATACAACATCGATGATGGACATCATGTGGGAAAGAACGCCGTCCAAACCAAGAAACTCAATTGCGCCGGGCCAAGCTTAACTAGGCCTCCAAGTCACAAAATTCGGATTGACAACTTGAAGTTGAATACTTACATACGCCATTCATGAAATATATAAACTTTGAGCTCCAATTACCTGAAACTCTCCTTTGATTCTTGAAGATTTGTTTGAACGTCACGAAATAAATGGCAATCCGGTACCTTGAAACCCAATTGAAACCATTCGATCGTCATCTCCTTGCTAATAAATTTACATCGCGACGTCAATAGTGAGCTGCTGTAAGTCTGCTCCTCTCAATTCATGTATGCAATCAACAGCAACGCCCAGCTGACGTAGCTGAAGCAACAATGGAACGGAATCCACACTCCGAAAGCAGACTTTACGGAGACGAGCGGGGGGTGGATGTAGCCCCAACGTAATAAGTTCGGTGTTCAGCCGAGAACAGAGCATTTGAATGATACCAGGAAGGGTACCACTCAAACTTGTTTTCCGTATTGTTAACAATTGCAGGTTGGGGAGGAGATTGGGGACATCTGACTCAGGCGAGTTGTTGTAAAGTGTCTTCCACGCAAGCTCATTCATGATCAGGTTCAGAGCATCAGAGTCCTCTCGGATGGAGAGGTCAAGTGATTCAACCGACGGAAGTCCTTCAAATGTGTCCTTCATGGCTTCCGCGGAAATGTGTTGTAGTCCGAGATGGGCTATTGGTGCAGAGGACCGATCTATGAGGGCTCTCAAAGTCAGCCCCAGTGAATGAAACTGAGGCTCGTCAGGACCTGGTGGGATGATGGCTCGAAGCCGGGATAAGCTGGGGGTTGTCAACGATCCTGCAATTTCGGAAATAGCGGCATGGGAACATGAAAGCGTCAAGTCTCTGAGGTGCGGTAAAGAGCTTGGTTGCAATGATGCGCCTTCATATGACCCAAGAGCAGAGATGTGAGCATGTGTGAGGGCCGACATTTGGCCCAAAGCAGGACCAAGATAGTTGATAGGAACATTTTGTGATTCAAAATGCGTGATCTGGGACCAGGGCATATTGACCAATCGAGTGACGGGTGAGAAGCAATTTATTATTGTGAGATGAGTAAGTTGAGAAAGGTTGTGCGGAAGACAACAGCGTGCAAAGATTCGTAGACTGGCCGAGAGTGTAAGGCGTTTGAGGTTGGAGAAGGTCTTTACCTCCGGGCCCTTTATGAGCTTAAACATTTCGATGTCGATTGATAACTCATCCCAATGACCAGAAAAATTTGAAGCCATTCCTTTCAAGATAGGAAAAAGGTTTTGTAATTCTTTGAAATCCCTCATGCATAAGTTTAATTGAGGAGTGATGGACATGCAAACCGGGCGTGTTCCCGACTGATTGTGGGCAAGGTTGACGAAGCGCATGAAGATAAGGAATCTTTCCCTTGGGGCAAGCGCGGGCAAAGCGACGACGTTGAGGTCAACTTTGCGCCATAGGATCTCCACAGGGAGGCGGCGAATGGGAGCTAAAAGTGCTTTGTTACGATCGACGTGCACCTGAATCGCTTGGCGCCGACGCTGAAGATCAAGGAGGGTTGTTTGGAGCTTGGATATTTCCCTGTCAAGGAAGTCGATATCGGCGTCGTCGCGACGAACAATTGCTTCGATTTCATGTCGAGTATCTGAATCTGGCGTGGCATTTTCCCGTAGGACTTCAAGAGTCGGCGGCGTCACATACAAGGAGTGCTCCAAGGCCGGACCACTGAACTGGCCACATCTTTCGCAGACTACGGAAGGAATCCTTTGAAATTTGTCAAGATAAGGGAGATTCGACGTGAAGGAAAACATGCTGTATCATTTGAGACAGGTCTTATATTGGTCATGAAAGAACAGGATGATGCAATGACCGTATACAAGCGTATACACTTCCCTATAAATCACAACAGAAAGTATTACTCAATCAAAGTCCGAAAGACAATGACAATGTTTAGGGGACGCCCCCAATCTACGAACCGGGCTCAGGAAAACTGTTTGTAGAGCTTCCCACCACAAAGCTAGTTCTTCATGTTGGCGAAGTTCAACTCCTGAGACGTTCTCAGTTGTTGCTACGTAGAAGACCCCAGCCAACCTTTACCATGATCAAACCGCAACACTTCTGGCAGCTCTGTCAGCGGCTTACGCGGGGTTTTATAGCCAAAAGCTGAATGGGGGAGGGTTGGAAGCTCCAGTCGATCCATCTGCAATAAGCAATTATTCTGGTGCGCCCAGGCCAATCGTTGATTCCTTGCGGTGAGTTGCATCTCGCAAATCCTTCTCATCCTACCTTGATTCTACTTACGATGATCCACCTATACCACTATGATCTAAATTGTCCAGATTCCCCCATCATCACTTGAACGTCTTCTATGAAACAGCCGAATTACCTCAAAACACTTGGCGCAACACACCTCATTGACCACAACTTGCTTACTCGAAGTCAAAAGAGTCTATTCCATTCGTATTCGACGGTATTGGAGACAGGTTTACGCAACAGACATCCTTGCGCCTGGTGGCACTTTGGTGACAGTATTGGCTGAAAGATGAAGGCATTATTGACGGCCCCTCCACATCTGCTGGAGACACTCTATGGAGGAAGGTGCGATTAATGTAAGCGAGTCCCAAGATGTGTGGGAAGCTGTCAGGTTGATGACTTTCTTTGATATGTAGACTAACCGAGTTGAAATTTCCGGTGGTTTGGTACCTGCAGGTTTAGAACAAATGTAAAACAATCAGCGGTCTGGAGAGTCGTCCACCCTCAGGAATAATGATTTGATATTCTTACCTGTCAACTGCATTGTGGTTTGATTTTGTATCACATTGCACCTACCACTTTCTAATGTTCAACCATTCCACCGTGATGTTCTAACTTCTCAGGCCCTTTCGTATCTCGTGGGCCATCTATCACCCTGGTCGGAAATGAAACCACCCGAAACAAGGGTTTCCACCTTGTCCCAGAATGTTGTCACAAATCGGGAGTCTCCTTGTGGCCAATCCCAGAAATGTTTCATGTTTACAACCACAAGCCGACGGTCATTCAGTGACAGGACTGCTCGCATGATGATATCGCGGTGAACGAGGGCATCCGATTGACTCAAAATCACAAAATAGCGTAGCTTTTGAGCGACTTCTCGGATGTTCGAAATGTGTGGCCAGTATCTCTGCGCAACCGCAAAATGTGTCAAGTTCTGGAAGGCAGCAAACGAGGCAAGTGTTGTGGGAGTAGCTGTCAGTGAGGCTACCGGTGCTGAACTAGCAGTTGATTTGAGGTTAAGAGCCCTGTCGAGGTCGATCCAAGAAGTCCAAGAAAAGTTTGAGACAACTACGACATGTGTCAGCTTGGTGAGCATTTCCGTGGGGATATTAAAAGCGCTGTCATGTGGGGGACCAGAAATCAACGCCAAACGGCGTAGGTATGGAGAGCGGATGAAGGGAAGGTATATTAAGGGGTTCACCGCAATGCCCCATGGTGAAAAGCTAACTATGCCTCGAGACGCGGCAAAGATGGGTTTCACGTATTTGAGATCCACGTCGCCAGAGATCGCCAGCGCTCTGACGGTGGAGTGAAGAAATGCAGGATCTTTCATCCTAATTGCCCGAAGAAGGGATGGAGCAACGCTGGAGCCGAGAATTTCAATGCGTTCGTAAAGAATTGGTTCTATCCTGTGAATCGTTAAGTGGACAGTTTTGAGGACAGCGATGATGGGTAACGACGAACCAGGTGTATACAAAATGAGCGACCTGTATCAGATTGAAGCCAGCTCCGCGGTGGCTCCTCGCAGCCATCTCAAAAATTAGACGCTGAATTTCGTGTGGCAGATCGATATTGGTTGTCGCTGGGGGGTGCGTTTCATCCATATTTTGTTCGGATTGGCGAGTGTGAAGTTGAAGTTGAGTTGAAGGAAATGACCATTTGATTCGCTTCCGAAGTCAGGCACAACAACACCGCTGTGTGGTTTGTGGCATATCAAAATCCTCTCTTTTCCAGAGTCGGGGATTAGTAGTCCTTGAGAACGATCGTCTTCTCAACTTTTACAACGAGAGGCTTGTCAACAAGACTACAGTCCACGTATTGCTACACTTTTCCTTTCTTCCTCTCCCTTCCATTCCCACTCAAACCAAATTCGAAGGGTACCCAAACTCCTCCAACCCCACAAAATTCTCCTTGATACTCCTCGCACTGACAAACCTATAAAAGATGCTAACGCTCCCCGCCTTATCATTCGTCCCGCTCGCTCGCGCGCCACCAAACGGCTGCTGCCCAACTACAGCGCCTGTGCACTTCTCGTTGTAGTACACGTTACCAGCGGCGTTCCGGAGGGCATTGGTTGCTTGCAAAAGGGCACTACGGTCGGAAGAGAAGATGGCCCCTGTTAAGGCGTAGGTAGTCGTTGTGTCGATTAGGGAGAGGGTGGAGGTGAAGGCGGAGTCGGGGAAGACGTAGACGGTTACGACGGGCCCGAAGATCTCTTCCGTGATTGTTATGGATTTGGGGTCTTTGCTTAGGATGACGGTGGGTTGGATAAAGTATCCTTTCGAGTCGTCGCCTGTTCGTATTTGTAATATATATAAAATAAGAAGAGAGAAGAGAGAGAAAAGACAAACCTGTTCCGCCAATCAGGATCTCACCGCCAGCTTCTTTCGCTTTTTGGATGTAACCCATGATTTTGTCGTACGCAGGCCGACCACTGTTGGTTTGAAATCGGTTAATAATCGAGCATAGAGAGACGTAGACGGAATGACAAACATGACCGGACCCATGAAGTTGGACCAATCTTGCGGGGGCCCAACTTTGATCTTCGCAACCTCTTCCAAGAACTGATCTTGAAAGCCTCCTTCCCAGACGGACTGTGATACATAAAGCCGGGAAAGGGCGGAACATTTTTGGCCTACACGCCCCATCTATATCATCGACCATAAGACAAAGATAGAAAACAAAGTTAATACCTTGATACTCAAACGCCCCCCGAACGCTCTGTATAACCGCATTCCTTACTTCCGCAGACTTATGCACGATATGGAAGTTCTTTCCACCCGTCTCACCCACAATCCTCGGGTACCCTTTATACCTGTCCAAATTCGCCGCAATGTCCTTCCACAATTTCTTGAACACGAATGTGCTCCCCGTGAAATGGAGCGCGGCAAAGCTGGGGTGGGAGATAGCTTGCCCTACGACTTCGGCTGGTGGTCCAGGAACGAATTGGATCACGCCTGGGGGGACACCAGCTTCTGTGAGTATTTGGTGGATGAGGTAGTTGGAATATGTTGCGGCAGGTGAGGGTTTCCAGAGGACGACGTTGCCAACTAGGGCTGGAGCTGTGGGTAAGTTGTTGTTAGTGTATTTTTTTTATGGAGGGATGAGGAGAGGAGACTGACTTCCGGGAAGGTTGCCTCCGATGGCGGTGAAGTTAAAGGGCGACACTGCCAAAACGAAGCCTTCCAATGCACGATATTCCACGCGGCTAGGGGTGTATATGAAGACGGAACTACACATATGCTTATATATGACTCACTTCCAAGCACCAGCCGAATTCTTTGAAGGCTGTTGTGCGTAAAGTTCCTCGACAAACTTGACCCCAAACCTGAAGAAGTCCGTCAACTATTCCCCATAATCACTTCAGTCATTTCTACACCAAAAGCTCAACAAAGGAAACACACCTCGGCAGCAGCATCGATCTCCGCTTGCCATATATTCTTCCCCTGTCCCAAAATCGTCGCAGCCATAAGTTTATACCTATACTTCCCACTAACAAGATCCGCGGCTTTCAAGAAGATAGCAGCGCGATCGTTCCAGGGCATACTCTCCCATTCTGCCTTCGCGGCCAGCGCGCCGTCAATGGCTTTGGCTACAGTGGCTTCGTCCGCTTCGTGGTATGTGCACAGGTGGTTTGCGTGGTCGTGGGGCAGAGGTTGTTTTCCGAAAACTCCGGTCTTAACCTGTTGGGAACGTCATGAAGGACTGAAGATGGAGGTAGAGGACGGAGACATACGGCCTCGCCATTGACGATGCACGGAACTTCAAACGGCATCTCCTGTTCCATCTGTGCCATGGCGGTCTTCAAGGCCTGGCGTTCCGGCGAACCAGGCGCGTAGGCTTTCTGTCCATATGACAGAGATCAATATACCTATCAAGAGCAGGGTGCTTTTGCATACTGACCATGGGTTCATTGTCAATACCGGGGACCTTGAAAGTGGCGAGTTGTGGGGTGGTCATTTTGGGGGTGGTGGTTTGGTCAGGAGAAGGAATGGATTCAGAAGCTGGCTATTTAAGAGAAACGGCGTCGAAGGGAAGGTCCGCATGACTTGGCCTACAGGTAAAAGGCTTTGGCGATGAATCCGCCGGTCGGAACTTGAGCTTGATCATGCTCGCGGTTGGATTCGGGCATCATAAATTATCTCTTTCCCGCTTTGATACACAGTATTTATCATAGCGAGTAACTTACTAACTTTCTCTGCAATTCTTGTTAGCGGGCCATATGTATTTTACAACTTGAAGAGCTCAGCGACGCCCGTGTCTCTGGGCCTAACTCCATCACTTTCTATTTACACTGGGCCCTACACTGGGCCCAACCCAGCGCAAGCTCCATAGGACACCGAAATGCAAGAGGTAGATTGACTCGACGAGACAATGCATAAATCTGCAATGACGTCCTTCAAAACTGACGAGACAGAGGAATCATTATTATCAAAGAGACTGCAGTAAGCCGTTAAATTGTCAATGATATTGGAGATGTCAGATTTTCATATGAACATGCCCACGTCTAATGGCTTCCTACTTTATCGTGATAAGCAGCTACAAGAGCCATATGCGTGAACAAATGACTCTGCTTCTTCTTGAAAATATGACTGCCAACTTCTGGTGGGCTCCGGGCCGGGCCGCGACGCTTTGGCTCATCATCCACAAGTGTCTCTGACTCAATAACCCACTCTGGATTTTCACCCCAGTGGTCAGTGAATGCCTGGCGTTGATCGTCGGTGAACTCGGTATCCTTGAAGAGCATCTCAGCGACGGCCCTCCAAGCGCTGTCCAATGCTCCCTCAACCCAAGCATGTCGGACGCTCAGCGCTTCACCGGCGAAGTGGAGACGACCGTCTGAAGCTGGTGCGTTGAGGCTCGCGTAGACGTCCTTGAACTTTCCGGGCCCGAAAAAGGCGAAGGCACCTAGGACATGAACGTGAGCGCGAGAGGATATGCGAGTGCATAGGTTACTTACCCATGGTATATGGATCATGCGACCAGCTCCATCCTTTAATGTCCATCAGGTCATTAGACAGTACTTGCAAATCGATGTTGTGGATTTCTGCAAGCTCTTTCAAGACGAGTTTAGCGAGAAGCCTGTCGTCATGGTCGATCAAGGCTCCGAGTCGGCTCGCATCCTCAGTCCAGCAGTAACTTGCAATGAGAGTGGTGGTCCCTCCAGCACGAACCTGTCCGAATGAAGGGTAGACGACTGTGCGAAGGGGTCTGTCGGTGTACGTCTGACCCCCAACGATATTGAGGATGTTGCCATCTAGATCTTTTCCATTCGTCCACCAGGCCGTCCTGAATTGCATACCGATTTTAACGGATGGACCGTAGTTTAGCTGTCGGAGTGCATTGGCCTGCATGGGGGAGAGCTTCGCCTTGCTGAGATCGACAGTGCGCATCACGGGAAGGGGGATGGTCGAAATAACATGAGAGAACTCATGGCGGTCTTGGCCGTGGGAAGTGACCGTAATCGTCTCATCATCGGTGAGTTCAATGGCGGTCACCCTAGCGTCGAAAGTGATAGCATTCGGTTTCTGCTTGGTGATATAAGTCGCCATGGCGTCTGCTATCTTCTGAGACCCTCCACTGCATCCAGAACACGTCAGAATAAGCGAGCAAGACTTGGAAGGGAAGACACTGACTCGATGCAGAACCACTGCGTGGCTGGCGGGTTAGGGCCAGGTTGCCAACCAAACGCAATGGCTTCCAAAACTGTCTCCGTAAACGCACGATCATACCACCCAGTGGATTTATCGAAAGTCTCGCACCAGTTCACAACGTCGGTTGGAAGTGGCGCTTTCTTGATACCGAGATCCGCGCTTGGTTCGTACTTGAAAGTCATGTACGACCTGGTTGAATGATCGTCGACAGATTGCATTTTCTCCCAGCCAGTTTTAGTGTTGTTCTTCAGGTCATCAAGCAATGCTGTCGCGTATGGCGCGATGACATCGTCTGTAATGGCTTTGGTCCCAGCCTTGATGTAGGCTTCTTTGTCGGCAGATTGAATAACGTCTGCGGCCTTGAAGGGATCACCAGAAGGTACAGCATTCTGCCGAACCGTGACACCGTTGTATGATAAGAAAGGGGGGTAATTCCCTGCACCGGTGAAGTAAAAGGGAGTGAGACGGCTGTTTAAAGCGATGTCGGGCGTGTTGAGGTTGTCGTTTTCGAACAGATTGAAAACGCGATTCATAGCAGGAATTTTTGGGAAACGCATGGCGCCAACATCAAAGTAGTTGTAAGGGGCACCGAAGTCATTGGGAAAATGATAGGTATAGAGGCGGCCTCCAACTCGGCGTCTGGCCTCAAGGATGCGGTATGGGATACCTAGATCCTCGAGAATCATGGCCGTATAAAGGCCACTAGCACCTGTAAAAATTTGAACGACGTTAGACTCTATGGATAAACTTTTGGTGCAGTACTTGCCTGCGCCAAGAATCCCGACAGGTTTAATGGGAGTGTCAGATGCAGCTGCACCTTTAGCGAGGCTGCGAGATTTTACAGTTGCGAAGGTTGTGGGTTCCCCAACCTTCTGACGAAGTTCCTTATCGATCTCTTCAATGAGACACCTAGCGCAATGAGCGTAAGCATCGTATCCAACAGATGCGGAGGTCGGCATGATTGAGAGGAAAAAGTTGGCGGTTCGGTGTGTCCAGATTCCTCCATTTCATATGTAGCGCCATGTCACCTGGATGAAAGTCAGGAATGAATCCTAGATTGTTCAGATAGGCAAGGAATACCCAATTTTCTGGATGTAGAGGATGTTACTGTCTGTTGAACAGTCAATAATGACCGAATTTGTCACAGACAACGAGCATGTAACGAACTTGAAAGTTGTGACTTCACGCGCTTGACCTTCTGACCACCAGGATCTTTTACTTTTTGACATTTTCGGGGTCCTCAACGTGTACATGCGCCTGGGGCGCCACTGCAACGAATTACCGGTGACTATTGATACCGTTGGAGTTCATCATGAGAACGTATCCTCTTTCTACCAATCGAGTTGGGATCTGAACCAAACGGGTCGGACAGGGTCAGACCAATTGCTTGTATATGTCGAAACATTAACGTTTTAACGCTTTAGATACGTTATTGAGCAGGAGTTGTCTATTTAAATAAAATACACATGTGCGTTGATCCAGTTTCCGTTCTCACTAACCAAGCACCTCACTATGACCCTCTCTAAGATCACCTCTGATGGTGTATATCGCATCAAAGTCCTCAACAAGGACTCATACGCAAAATATATTCATGACAAACCTGCTGACCCATGGGTCAAGCTCACAAGCCTCGACACTTCCTCTAACGAGCAAAAGGTTTCATTCTGTGCCTACCCATGCAACTACGTACATGCTCACCCGCGTCATAGTGGAAGATCTCAGCTGTCTCGGGAAAGACGAACGTCTACACCATCACAAATGTCGTGAACATCGCCGGTCTCAACTACAAGAGAACCTCAGAGACGTACTGGGGATATGGATATCCGCAACCCAAGGCGAATGCTGCGTCTCTGAACTGGAATATTCAAGAGTCGACGATTGGTGGAACTAAATATGCCACGTAGGCTATCTTTGTCGTCTAACCTTTGGATTCCGCTTAGCGGGTGTAGAATCCACCTGGATGGTGACTCTCAGTAAAAACGATTCGTCGTGTCTCAGTCATATGGTAGTCACGCTACTACACGAAAATGCACGACATGACTAAAAGCAGTCTTTTTTACAAAATTTTGACTTCGAGTTGACTTCGCCAAGTCGTGTCAAGTCGTGTGGCTGATGCCCACCATCTGTCGGTTACAGTCATTCGGTAGTCATGTAGTCACCTCATAGTCCTTCCATAGTCAAATAAAAGCCAGAACACAGTCATATAATAGTCTCTTTCCCGTCATGCTCAGGTCATTTGATTGATGTGTGTTAGTCATGTATCTCTCATCACAACCTCAGGTAACAGTATCGGAATCATGGAACAAATCATATATTTTCCAAGCCTACTGACTGTGCTCTATATACACCTCTAGCACCACCTCAAGTCCAAATTCTCATCTCCTAATTAAGCCGCATCTTCGTATGAAAAGAAGAGGTCGTTCTCGAGAGGGGATCATTTGTCGAAGGAGGGATGAGACTGTAGGGGGAAGGCCGAGACCATTCATCATAATAGGGGGGGGAAGCCAAAAGACATTCATCAAAGGAGGGAGGAGGCTATTGAGTGAGTCAGCAGGAGACCATTGAGTGAGGGAGGAGGCACACATCGTTGATGGAGGAGACAGTTCGTCGAAGGCGAAAACAAGTCGTCGATGGAGGAGACAGTTCGTCGAAAGCGGAAATAGGTCGTCGAAGGAAGAGAGAGGTCGTAGAGGGAGGAGACAGGTCGTCGAGGGCGGAGACAGTTCGTTGAGCTTAGATCTCAGAAACCATTTGTTGAGGGGATACCAGTTGTCAAGGGCGGAGACCGATCATCAAAGGGGAGACCATTCGCTGAGGGAGGAGATCGTCTGCTGAAGGAGGAAGAGAAAGGAGGCCGTTGGTCGAGGGAGGGAAGAGGCCTTTCGTCATCTCTACCTAGGGAGGAGACCCTTCGTCGCAAGAGGAGGCCGCTGGTCGAGGGAGGGAGAAGGCGTTCGTCGCGGGAAGGCTGTTCGTCGACTTATGAATCGGAGCTTGCGTGGGTGTGGTGAAGGAAGAACATGGAAGAACTTGGGAAGAACAAGGAATTTTCGCGCTGACAACATGATCACCTGATGTCGGAGTTTCAACGGACTTCAACAAATTGTCTTGTTGACTGAGGACAAAGGCGATACAAATGATAGAAATTCGGATGACCAGGATTAGACTACAACATGACTTGTAACTGACTATTCCTCGACTTCAGTTAGGCCATGAAAACTTTGCAGATACATAACTGAGCGCCACATGACTTTGCATTTACCAACATGACTTCACATGACCTTCTTGTGAGAGGTAGATGACTTGACCTGACTTTCGTTTTTACTGAGGGTGACTCTCAAACGTACTTCGATTCCAATGACAATAAATCAGACGCGCACGCTGTACGTACATTAGCCTACCTTACGTTCAAGTCCGCAATCTCATCCAATTTTGTTTTCAAGATAAACTTCTATTATGGGAACAGTAACTCGGTGAGGTTCCTGTAATCGGAAGAAGTATTCCAGAGATATTAACTTCCATGTTTTTTTGCGTAGAGTGCTGGAGAGAATCAGCGGTATGTCTTCGAAGAGGTGCAAGACAATCCACCTACTGCGGGCTTGTAGGTTGTCCCACGAAAGAACTGCTTACCATTGACATTCCAGGGACGTTGTTTTCATGCAAGACATCACTGGAAGTCAACAACCATACATTGACCAAGCGCGCAACGAGATTCAAGGCATCATCAATGCTATTGTAGACTCGAAAAAGGTTGCCCCCGGAAAACTTAGGGTGGCCGTCGTCATCTTCCGTGACCATAAGCCAGAGGATACGTTCCTTACGGCTAAACTACCTTTTACGACTGATCTTACGGCTGTGAAGAACTACTTGGCCAATCAATATGCTTCTGGTGGTGGAGACCTTCCCGAAGCGCAACGTTGTGCATTGAATGACGCTTTGGAGCTACTTGTTCAATCGGACGATGATACCACCAAAGTTGCTATCCTGACCACTGATGCTTCTCCACACGGCATTGGAGAGAATTACGACCGTATCCCAGATGGATGCCTTCTCCGTAAGTGGTCAAACTTATGGAATAGACATTGCCATTTTATAATAGCACAGAAAATGACCCTTTGGAGACTGGAGATGACATGGCGAGGAACAATATCACTCTTGTGCGAACATCCATTAATAATCAATGTGTGTGTCTGACTCGCACACTCTAGCATGTTGTAGCATGCGAACCTACCTTGAGTCAGACTAAGGTAATTTGCCTTCGAATTACCTTCGTGGACCTTACTGAACTCGAACAGCATGGACTCGATTTCTACACCGGTCTTACGGAAAAGACTGGGTACGTCATAGAAGTTTCGCATTATCATTTGCTGATTTTTGCGCAAAAGTGGTCGAGTTCTTCCTCTTGGCAACGTCAGCGGATTAACTGATCTTATCACTGGCTCTCTTACTGAGGCGGTCAGCCTCTCGATCCAAGCCGCACTGAGCCGTTCCGCAGTGGATTATAATGCCAATGTTGGTGTAGCCGCTCAGAAGCTCCTTGAACATCTGAGGGCGGCCAATGTACAAATTGATACGTTGGTTACGGATGACTATTACGAGGACATACCTCAAGCTCGCAAAAACGCTGAACTTTGGGCCAAAGGGAAGAAGGTTGCAGACGTACGAGGTCATATTCAATCGGTGCGTATAAATATCTGCCCTACCACAAATTCTGAAGTCACCGTCTGAAGGTCGATGGTCATCGAATCAAGGAGAAATACCGCTATGGAGGTCAGCCGACAACAGTGGTGAAGAAGCAAACTATCGACCTGAACCAGGTATGTTGAATTATACGCTGATTACGGTTTGTTTCATGGGTATCTTCGTATTCACTCTCTTTTAGGCTGGAAGAATTGCCAGAGCATGCTTCGTCGCGAATAAGACACCACTTTAAGCCCTAAATATGTCACTGGTTCGCAAAGAAAACGAAATTGCAAGTATTCAAGAATTTAAAAGCTGTACAAATATCATAACGTTGCCTGATCTGAAATTCATTACCCAACGCAAAAGAATTCAAGAATGGATTTGCAATCGAAATGAACCACCTCAAATTCAAGGCTGTCCCATCCCTGTGTAGCGAGCCTGAATCACTGACGACTTGGCTGGATACCAGTTCAGTGTCCCGCGAAGGCTCACCATCCGGGCCGCAATCAAACACGCATTGGAACCTTCTGATACCTAGAAGTGCTGTGGAGCCCAACCGTACACGTTGCAGGGATGAGAACCCGGCGAACCTGACACAATGCGTCTGACTTGGAGAGATCTACTGACCACTTGGGGTTCGTCGATCTTTCAACGAAGCAGATGTTGTATATCAAAATCACAGTTCATTTATTCTCGGTGACTAGATAACAGTGATTGAGGTGATTGTTCAGATAGGAAGTCGGGAACACCTGTCTCCGGGTTCCCGCCACTTATCTAGTGGATCCGAATTCCCTAGCCACCAGGATTTGGGTCACTTGACATGAGGGATGATACTCACTTTCAAATTCACCTGGGTCCGTTGGTTGTTGGTTGGTTGGGTCAATGTTTGTTTCGCAGAGATGCTTACCAAGCACGCTTTGACATCCAGACATCGCCCGAAATCAAGTATGTACATATCTTTAAAACACATTTTCAGGGCCACGATCTCTCCAGGGTCTTCACACCAACTCGAACTTTATGTCCAACTCCCAGGCAGAATACCCTCTTCAGGCAACCCAGGGATGCTTCGTGGTTCGAACAATCATAGGATCCATGAGCCCTCTAGCTTAGGGAGCCGGTTGCTTGTGAATGTTGACGCGTCCTTTTACGCTATAGTCGTCATATCTGTCACATTATGGGGTGTGCTTTAGCTGACCTCTCTTCTGAGCGACCGTATAGCTTACTATGTCGTATATCTCCAAGATCACCTCCGACAGTGGCGTATATCGTATCAAAGTTCTCGACAAAGACTCCTACGCGAAATACATCAAGGACGATTCTTCTGACTCCCCATGGATTAAGCTGACAACCCTCGACACTTCTTCGGCTGAACAAAAGGTTTTCGTTTTGTTTCTACTCATTCCCTCCACACTCTCACCTGCATTACAGTGGAAGATATCTGCCGTCTCCGGGAAGACGGACGTTTTTACAATCACGAGTGTTGTCGACAACGCCGGGCTGAATTACAAGAGAACTTCGCAGACGTACTGGGGATATGGATATCCGCAACCCAAGGCAAATTCCACATCCTTGAATTGGAACATCCAGGAGAAGACGAGTGATGGTAAGAAATTTTCGAAGTAGGTCTCCTTTCCCTTCCAGTTCCACACTTAATAAATGGACACAGGATTCACCTGGACGGCGATGATCAAACCTACTTTGATTCTAACGACAACAAATCGACTAAAAATGCGGTGGGTCATATCTGTATTTGCAGTCATGAGATTGATTCTTATTTTTTCGAGAAAGATCAACTTTTATTACAACAACAATAATTCCGTAGGATCCCCATTTCGGGTCACCTTCGCTTTCATAACTTATTTTTTCCTGTAAAAAGACTTCCGGAGCGAACCAAAAATACGAGTTTGAACAGGTGCCCGATGAACCAAGTGGTGCGGCGCTGTAGGTCAACGACCAATAAAGTTGATATTACTTATGGTTAACGGCCATGATTTTTTAGGGACATCGTTTTCATACAGGACATCACAGGAAGCCAACAGGCGTTTATCGATAAAGCTCGCGATGAAATCCAAAACACTATCAATGGCATTGTGAACTCTGGTAAAATCGCCTCCGGTAAATTGAGAGTCGCGGTCGTCATCTTCCGTGATCATACACCAGAGGATACGTTCCTGACCGGCAAACTCGATTTCACGACCGATGTCGACGAAGTGAAGAAGTACTTGAACAACCAGATTGCAACTGGTGGTGGTGATGGCCCTGAAGGTCAATGTTGTGCCTTGAATGACGCCCTAGAGCTCCTCCTCACGTCGGACGACGATACGACAAAAATCGCTATTCTGACGACAGATTCTCCTCCGCACGGTATTGGAGAGCCCGGTGACAAGATCCCAGATGGATGCCCGCTTCGTAATTATGATCAATTGGTCATCGTATGACCGTCTCGGCTAATTGTGTTTGGGACAGAAAATGACCCTTGTGAGACCGCAGAGTCTATGGCGAGGAATGGTATCACTCTTGTATGTGCAAAGTTTTTTGCTCCTCGTCAAGGCGATTGTCTCACAGCTCCCAGTACGTCGTTGCATGCGAACCTGAGTTGAGCAGGTATCAAGTAAGCAATCTGTCCCCAGCGATCTCTTTCACTCTACGTTATTCATATTTTTCTGAATAGACCGCCCTCGATTTCTACACCGGTCTTACCTCTAAAACTGGGTAAGTGGCCAGAAATTATTATTGGCAGCCTCTGATCTGTTTCCCTCTTTCTAAATAAAGCGGTCAAGTTCTTCCACTCGGCGACACCGACGGGCTAACGAGCCTTGTCACTACATCTTTGACTGAGGCCGTCAGTGTGGCGGCCCAAGCCCGCTCCAGTCGCACGTTGGTGGACTACAATGTCAGCCTCGACAGCGCCACACAGAAGCTCTACAAGCAGCTAGTTGCCTTTAACGTGCAGCTTGACACATTGGTCATCGATGATTACTACGAGGACAAAGCGCAAGCCCATCGGAATGCCAATCTTTGGGCCAATGCAAAGAAATTGGCAGACGTACGAGGCAAAATTGAAAAAGTACGTTTGATCACTCGCGTCGTATTTGTGAACTTGTTTTACAGAAGTGGACAGGTTCCTGGCATTCGCATTAACGACAAGTATCTTGGTGGAGGTCAACCTCAAGCAGTTACAAAGAAACAAGCCGTTAGCCTGAATCAGGTGAGTTGAATGACAACTTGTGCGTGGATTGTCCTTTTATTCTCATGTTCTTTCAAGGCGAGGCAGATTACCCGTGCTTGCTTCTCGGCAAAAGGGAAATCGTTTTGAATGATACTTTGTTATAGTTTGAATCGATAAGTGCGCTGCTTCTGTCTTTCGTCAAAGCCGAACCCCGTCTAGGAAGAAAGTGAGGGAGTGTTTGTTCTACAAAGAATGTAAATGGATCCTGTTTGCGTATAAACTGAAGCGATAAATTCGATGCTGATATAAAGATCCGTGGGCAAGAGGCACCTCAACTATTTGCGAGGAACATCGACTTCTTGTGCGGCAGTGGCCCAGGTTTGGGTCGCAAAGGGTTCATAGAATATTCTGAGCCGCCCTCTCGGGAGAGATATATCTGTCTACGAGTGGCCTTGAGGACGATTGGCAGTCTTTGGCAGTGCCCGCTCCTGACCGCACACTGGCATTCCTTTTTATACTATGTGATATTGGACCCCATGGTCGGACGCAAAATGTGACATTTATAGCCGAAATTCTTTTGGGCAAAGAAGTCGAGGGATTGAAATGGAGCTAGACTAGGGTTGTGAGAGTTACAGCGGTGTCTACAGCGCTTGGCCTTGCTCAATCCGACGGGTAAAAAGGCAAGAAAGGAGCAAAAAGGAAGGCTCTCGGACTCTATACTCTTTATAGGGTAGCGACGTTCAAGATTTGAGCGTGGTGTGCGATAATCATGAATCTTAAACTTCTAAAAAGGGGATTACTTAGTTCGACGCATCGGGTAGGGACAAACCACGGACAAACACTTCAAAACCTTCGCCTTGTTACGCACTATCATTATTTTGTGCAAATGCCTCTCCGCGACCTCAATGTCAGCATCTCTGTGAACCGCTCTCCTGATCTTGTCATGTGGCGCAATGCTGTTTTATGAACGACCCTAAAAATGGCGCGACTTGAAGTTCGAATCGAGATGAGCTCCCAGTGCAGTCACGGTCATGGGGTATTCGACCCTCCCAATGAAGGCTTCGGTTATCTTCACAGATTGCGTTCAGGAGCCTGATATGCGTCAGATACCGCTGAACCCAATCTCGATTTAGCTGGTCATATTCGTTTCGCAGTTCAGCAGTGAACCACTTGCCTTTTTCAACAGGCGATGTGATATAATAACGAGAGAACTAGTGAGCGGCATCTGTGCATCTACCTTACCCACGTTTTCTACACTGCCCTACGATGTCAGTCTCAATCCATCCAAGCCTGAAGCATCTCTCAAAGCGGTCGAGACTACCAGCGATATCGGTGGGGCGCAAGAGAGGGGGCCCCGCTGTCCCAGATGCTGCTGCTCTCCCAGATCCTACGAACGTTCAAGGAGACGTCTACCTGGGGATTCCGAAAGTTCGGATTTTTCTAAATGATTCTTTGTCAGTAATAACACCTGACTTTTTAGGGCTGTCAAGCATTCATCTTCTTCATCATCGACGATGTCTCCAAATTTCGACAAGCTCTACAGACCTACCACCCAACATCTTCTGCTGACGTAACGAAAGCGCTTCAAGCTATATCGACCTCAAAGGATTCGGGTGGCGGGGACGTTGATATTATCATGACACAAATTGCGTTCAGCCAGCTCGGCCTAAAAAACATTGGGTGTTGGAAAGACCGGAGACACAAGATTTGATGCTGGCTCGATGCTCCACGACCGGAAGTTTTTGGGTGATCAAGGCCCATGGGACTCTGTCTTTGACCCCGCGACTATCCATGGCGTGATTATGGTTTGCGCCAAAAGTACGAGCCACTTGATATGCTATTGAATTGGTCTCACTGAAAGTCTCTCAAGGTCAAGACAAGGTGGACTCGGGTGTGCAAACGATCAAGGACACGTTTGGTGCATCGTGGGAGATCAAGCAAACCTTGTCAGGCAATGCTCGCCCTGGCAAATACAAGGGAAAGGAACACTTCGGATATCAGGACGGTGTATCCCAGCCATCGTTGAGGTGCAGCACCTTTCAAGAATATTTGACTGGTCAATATTGACTGTGTTCAGAGGCTTAACCACCCCTCATCGTGGACAACTAGAGGCTGATCCGGGTGTCCTTATCTTGGGCTACCCGGGTGATCCGCTTGTGGACAATCCGTTAGGGCCCCAGCGCCCTGATTGGGCTCGTGATGGCTCCTTCATGGTGTTTCGCAAACTTGAGCAAGACGTTAAGGGCTGGAACAACTTTGTGGCTAAAAGCGCAAAGTATTGGCAAGATTTCACGCCAGTCCCAGATGAAGTTCAGCCTCCTTTCAAGGACGACGATGAGAAGGCAAATTTCGTTGGCGCTGCCTTAGTTGGCAGATGGAAGTCTGTATGTCATTCTACATCCTCGCACTCACTTTCATGTGACCACAAGCTAACCTTTGAGTGCAGGGCGCCCCAATTCAATTGGCGCATTTCCGAGATGATCCGTCTCTCGCCACCGAGGACAACGCCAATAACTTCGATTATTCCGTGCCCGGCGTTGTTCTCCCTACAAATAGATACTGCCCTTTCAACTCTCATACTCGCAAAACTGCGCCTAGAAATCTTGACCCGTATCTGACCAGGAAATATCTGGAATCGTCTCTTATCGCGCGCACTGGGATCCCATACGGCAAAGAGGTAACTTTCCTCTGCCTTTCATTGTGAAATTCTTACAACAACCCATTAGATTGACGTGGCACCAACTGAACAACGAGGGCTTCTCTTCGTGTGCTATCAGTCCGCCCTCGACAATGGTTTTGTCCGCCAGACTGTTGGCTTTTCGTCCAATGACTTTTTCCCTACCACTGACGTATTGCCTCAAAACCACGGTAAACTTTCAGTTCAAGTGTATGAGACATTGCTTGATGCGAACACCTTAGGCCAAGATCCCATCACGGGTAGCAACCCAAAGGTGACGGTCGTAGACGATGCCATTGCTCTCAACAAAAAGCCCGAATCTGGACAAGTTACGCTGGCGGTTGTAGATTCCAATACCTCTGAAAAGTATCTCGTGACGGGATTCCCTCAGCAAGTTAACGACACAGTCGACAAATATACCCCAGACTTTTTTGTGACATCTCATGGGGGAGAGTACTTCTTCGTCCCTTCCATTCCAACCCTGACAGCTTGGTCGAAAGCTCCGACAACGACGAAATCGAAGCTGTAAGCTCCTAAGTTCTTCATCTAGGCTTATCAGAACTGATTGAAAAATCAGCGATATCATGTTCCTTATTGACGCCACAGGAAGCATGGATCCTTACATCAAGCAAGCCAGTGCTTCAATTGGCACCATATACGATAATGTACTTAGGAATGGCAGCTGGAGTAAGGACGATATCCGCGTTGGCCTTGTCGCATTCCGTGATCATCCGCAGAAAAAAGCGACGACGTTCCTTACGCAGAAGTATGATTTCACGTCCGATATGTCTAAGGTTTCAGACAACCTAGATGCTCTAGAGGCCAAGGATGGCGAGGACTATCCTGAGGCCTCTGAAGATGCGTTGGAGGACGCCTTGGAAGCGGATTGGAACGACGATGCAGTCATGGTCACGGTTTTGATTACTGATTCGACCCCGCATGCCACTGGAGAATCACATGATTACTTCAAGGACGGATGCCCTGACCGTGAGTCCTCTTTACTGACCAACAGTTATGGTGACGAACTGACACAACATCAGAGAATGACCCCGTCGATATAGCAGACCGAATGGCTGACTTGGGGATTGTTCTAGTATGTCCTCCTCAACCGTCTTCACTTCTAATTCACAATCATTGTCTAGTACGTTCTCGGGTGTGAGCCAAAGCTTAGTGCGAAGACTGCTGTAAGCTCACGGCCTTGATCGTCATATCGATTTTTTATGAACTGAAATTCAACGTGATTAGGGTGGAATTGATTTTTACACCGGCATAACTGCAAAGACGGGGTTAGTTGATTTTTTTTGGAATCGCCCCGCGGGGTGGCTGATAACGAACTCAGGGGGAAGCTGTTAACCCTCAACACGGCAAATATAGACCAACTGGGCGACATCATAGTAGGAATGGCCTCGGATACGTCTGACAGCGAATTGGCCGTAAGCGAGAACACATCAGCGATTCTGAAGCGAAAGGGCGACAAAATCAGCGACATCGCGAATGATTTGCATAAGCAACTGACTGCGAAAGGGGTCAAACACTGGAAGTTTACGATGAGCAACGTTTATTCATTCAATAGCGATGCCAAAGACAATGTGAAGGTGTGGTTCAAAGCGAAGAAGCTTGACCAAACTGTTCGAGACAAGATCAAGAGTGTTGGTTTTTTGTCAGGTTATTTCTCGGGAATCTTTTGCTGAATTTCAATCTAGGTAAAGGGCAATCGCGTCAACTCGGACTACCGCAAGGGAGAACGACCTACGGTTACGTTAGAAAAGGAAGCCATCAGTTATGACCAGGTAACGCACACTGCTTGTTGTCTCCAATAATTACTGACGGGTCAATCTAAGGTGGAAGCTCTTGTGACGAAGTGCTTGCGACGGAGCAAATAGTCAAAGCGATCTGCATTCGTGAACAAATCGTGTAAATGTACTTGTGGTATCGACCGTGTCAAGGCTTCTAGTGTTCCGTTGAATGTGTTGTTGGGTTGAGTGATTTTCCACATGTTCTCCACCATCGACTCGCATCTTGGGCGCCTTCAACGTGGATCTCCGCTTCACAAGCCAGACGCTGCACTACCGCTCATCACCACTGACACCTTGCTAACCCTCTTTATGACCTCTGCCTCCAAATTCAGATTCTCGATAGCAACAACTACTGGTCATTCTACATGGTTTTTGCTGACGCTAGATTCCCTCCTTGAGTACCTACACCATCATCAACGCGAAAAACAAATTTCAAGTAAGCGATCTGTCCCAAGCAGTCTCCCTCACTCTACATTATTTGTAATAGAAAACTCTCGATTTCTACACCAGTCTTACGTCTAAAACCGGGTAAGTGGTTATGAATCACTATTAGCAGCCTCTGATCTGTTTCCCTTTTCTCAAATCAAGCGGTCGAGTTCTCCTGACACCAACAGGTTAACAAGCCTTGTGATTACGTCTCTAACTGAGGCAGTCAGTTTGGCGACACAAGCCCGCTTCAGTCGCACATTGATGGAGTACAATGTCAACCTCAAGCGCCAGGGCCACGCAGAAGCTCTACAAGCAGTTGGTTTGTCCAGCTTGACACATTGATCATCGACGATCACTACAAGGACAAAGCGCAAGCCCATCTGAATGCCAATCTTTGGGCCAACGCAAAGAAATTGGCAGCCGTACGAGACAAAATCGAACCAGTACGTTTGATCACTCGCGTCGTATTTGTGCACTTTTTTTAATACAGAAGTGGACAGGTCTCCAGATAGATTCGATGCTGATATAAATATCCGCGGGCAAGACCCAGTTATTTGAGAAGAACTCGACTTGTCATGTGTCGCAGTGGACTGAGGGTACCTGGCACCCGCAGGTTTGAATTGCAAAGGGTTCGAAAAAGGTTCTGACGCTCGGGGGAGATATATCTGTCTACTAGTGGCCTTGAGGACGATTGGCAGCGCGAGCACATTCAGTGTGGTATCGGATCCCATGATCCGGCGTAAAATGTGCCATTTATAGCTCAAATTCCTTTGGCAGCGAAGGACAGAACTACATCGAGGCTAGCCTGAGGGTTGTGAGGTTACAGCGGTGTCTACAGCGCTTGGCCTTGCTCACTGGCAAACCGACTAGTCAAAAGGCAAGAAATGGGCAAAAAGACTCTCGAACTCTATACAGTGAAGTTGCGAATCAAGATTTGAGGGGGGCGAAAGGTCGGTGCGATAATCATCAACCTTGAAGCTTAAATGATAAAAGGGGGTTAGGTTAGGTTAGGATAGATAGCGGATTGATTTGGATCGTGGGCGTCTTTGACATCTGGTTCCTGAATCTCTCTACACAGCCATGAACCTGCTGATCGCCCAAAAATCCGATAAAACGCTTCGTTTGGATTCTCGACAGAAGCTATCTTTGGTCGTTCAACATGGCTTTTGCTGACGCTAAATTTCTTCCTTCGGGTACCTACGCCATCATCAATGTCGAGTACAACCGTTCCATCTCTTTCAACAAGGAGGGCGAGTATTTCTCCGCATCCAAGGTAGACTATGGAGTAAGTGTTCCTTTGATATGAGCCGCTTACCCTGACCATTTTCCCCACTGCAGTGTACCATCTCATTCTTCGCGAACAAGAAATGGTCAATTCAAGGCCCGCCAAATGTGTTCGCGGATATTGGACCAGATGCAGAGGAGGGAGAAAACGTTGCCTCGATAAAGAACCCGCCTAAACCTCATCAGTGGGTTATCAAGCGACATTCCGGAGAAACCCAATTTTACATGTCTTGAACTTTTACATTCTCATCTTTCGCAATTTGATCTTTTCCTTCCAGAATATACTCTCCGACTCAGCCCAATCTGTTTTGGAACCTTCCTAATGGCGGTGACGGGGCATCTGTAAGTACATGTGTATGCTTAAGGGTACATAGTAACCGCTGCATGTTCGCAGCTGCAATTGTCTACTGAACACGACAGCAGAGCGAGCTTTTGGAAGTTTAAAAAATTAGAAAAGGTAGACGGTGACGCCCAACCTGTACGCCTATTTGCTTTGATTACTGCGATATAGAATCTGACGAATCATCTCGAAGCCTGATCCGATGAAGCAGTTTGTGGCTTCTCCTGTAAAGCGTCCAACGTCACTAGATTCAGCGATCAAAAATATCTTCGCCGTGACCATACCGGCTGGCTGGTTGACAACCATTACTGCAGTGAGTGAGAACCTCTTACTGCCCAATTTTTCTACCTCAGTTCTTGAAAGGTGTCCTGCGGTCATCGCGTTAACCTTGTCAGAGTTCGCCGCGTTGTTAATGGGGCGCTGGAGAAAGAAGATCTTATTAGTGGTTGGGATACTATCGACAAGGCAATGACAGTCGATGGAAGCGATTCAAATTCCTTGACTCTGCCTTCCGCGGAGGATGCTTATGTTCTCGTCATCGAGGCTTTCAACTCTAGTAATCGGGCGAGGAAGGATCCACGCAAGTTGCCTGGGTTCAAAGATTTAAGCACAAATCTACGCGTCATCACGGTGCGTACCTGCCATGATCACTCCCCTCATTAGGTTGATAATGATACTCAGACTTTTCGGCCAAATGTCATGAAAAGTATCCCTGATTTTCAGACTTTTACGGTAAACGAGGCCCTTTTACATACCGAAAATCCCCTTGAAACATAATTTAGATTTTCGATGAGTCCTCGGAAGGGTCTAGCTCCGGAAGAACCCAGAATGCGATTATCACGATTCATGCCACTGTCAAAGTAGCTGTTGACTTGAATAATCCTGGAAAGCCAGAACCGGACATCGTAAATAAGGGGTATAATAAAGATCTGGATTCCCCGCGTCCAGCTTATATGGACCAATGGTTGAAGTAAAATGGCTTTTTTTCTTATTGCGACCGCTGACACCTCCTTCAAGCAAATACCATCCTGTTTTCGTGATAGACGACTCTGACTCGGTGTGTGCCCCTCTTTTCGTCCTTTTTGCCTCTTCATGTCAACTTTCCGCAGATGGCTACTGATGGCGCATGGGGAAAGGCTAAACAAGCAGTGGTCCGAGTAACCTCTGAAGTTATGCAATATGATTCAGAAGGAATCGACATGTATTTCCTCAACTCTTTGTTATACCAAAACTCAATCACAGTGAGATACCTGATTCACATTGATTGTAGGATGCTGACAGTGGCGATATACCAGGCACCAGAGGACGTTCTTCAAATATTTGGAAAGGTCAAACCGAAAGGTATAACAGTTTCTCTCAAACATCATCTCGCTCTCTAAGTTCGTCATTATAGGACCATCCCCAATCGGCGCTCGGCTTGAATTTGTTTTAAACAAAATTATCAACCAGCTTGAACAAGCCAAACACGATACTGCTGCTTATAGACTGATCAAGCCGATCAATATCGTCGTTCTCACAAATAGCCCCCCTTCAGACAATCCTACTAGGGTTATTCGAGCAGCGGCGCGGAAACTGGACCAGGGACTACACCATCCCAACGCCATCGCAATTCAATTCATTCAGATTGGTAATGACAAACTTGCGAAGACAGCATTGAAGAAATTGTCGGATGATCCCTCTTTTGTTTGTAACTTGATTCGCTTTTGTGACCATCCTCTAAATTATATCCCACTAGAACATCGTGGATACGGTCATCTTTGGGAACAAATTTACTCCAGAGAATCTGCAAAATTCGGTCCTTAATGCAATGCATCCCTCTGTGCGTGCCAAAGTTGCTAGCTCTTCTGGTTTGCAATTCGGTGCGGTATTCCACGATTTTTTTCACACATTTGACTTTCACCTCAATCCCCTTTCTTAGTCCATTACCGCGTGTACAACGACGAGGGCGCGATCGTCACAAGACGTCCTGCGTATCTAAATGATACTTATCTTGGGCGTGTCCGGTCACAGTGGGTTGCTCCACCTCATAACGCAGGTTCTTTGCGACGCTGCTTGGCGTTGATGGAAAGTATTGATCCAAACGCGACGACATTGTTCGCCGCTCTCTCGAGCAAGTCTGCGTTGGCGGATGACATTCCTGTTTCATTCAAAACCAACCAAACTCTGGGCATATCGCCTGATGAGCCAGTGGCACTTCTCACAAAGGCCAAGCCTTCCAACACACTGACGCCAGGAACAGAAAATTTTCGTGTCAGTCCGGATGCTCAGTCCCCTCTCACCCCACGTTTTCGTGAGTGACCCTAACCTGACTTTATTCTTTACTCATGCTTATATCTTCAACTTTAGTGTACTATGGGATTTATAACGAGGGTGGCGCGTCGGCTTCTAAGGCGCCTGTCGACCCACAGGAACTCTGGGTGTCCAGGGTGGACCTTTCCCTAATCCCACCACCGCTCTCCGTCACCTCTTTTTTTTTTTGAAGCGTTTTATTTCTTCAAAAGAGGGCATTACTGGTTCATCTCAACTTTTTACCAATGGGAACGTAGTGACCCCTGTGATCGATGAACATATCTTGACAGAGGATGGGAGATGGCCTGGGTCCACCCCCGACGATCATGTTATGTTCAAGTTCACGACTCCAGTTTCTCCTCATGCTCAAGTCCCTCCTCCTACTCCAGTTCCTCTTCCTACTCCAGTTCCTCTTCCTACTCCAGTTCCTCCTCCTACTCTTCCTACGTTCAGCGAGGGGTCGCGTTACATGATCTTGAATTCGACGGGTAAAGCCTTGAGATGTCATCCCGGGCACACGGGTAATTCAGGCCGTGACCTTTATTTGATTGACGTAGGCGGCTATCCACAAGCTGCGTATGATAACGCATCGCATGTGCGTATTATCTCCGATTTCTTGGTGGATTATTTGATCTCAGTTGGCTGCATAGTTTTACCTCAGGACCCAAGCTGATGGTGGCATTGCGTTGTACTCCGCGTTGTTCCAAAAGTGGGCAGGGCCGAATTTCCGTACTCATCCGACAGCTTACAGCTATTACTTCATCCCAACTGAAAGCAAAGGCTGGTTCTCGTAAGTTTCACCAATTGTGTGATTGTTTCCGCAGTTTACACCAGAGATAGCATTTGTCTAGATAGATCTTCTCGCCAGGCGTTGTATGACACAAACGTTCGTCACTTCGAACCGGTAGATTTTCAGCTAGTGAGCGACCAGATTTCATAAGATTCAAAAACTCCCCTTACTCATAATCTTTCTAGGGAGTAAAGGATCTCAATCCCAACGACCGCTTGCAAAGATGGCGCCTGGCCTCGTAGGTAACGTGCCCGGCAGCTGCATGTCATGCCAAACCCAATACTTGCTGGATCTAAGGATATCTACTTACATTCGTTGTAATTAGCGAGTGTGTGGAGTTTTGATATATCAGTCTTCTTTGTTCGCGACCTTGCAAAGTTGGAGTGAGACAGTCCCGTTGCGCTACCTTCGAAACGAACCGACCTTTTGAATTTGGATGAGTCTGCACGCTCACAACGCGAGCGCTGAGCGCTGAGGTCCTACGCTCGGTTATGTCGGAAGAGAGGGAATTGATATTCCAACAAAACTTCGATTTGTAAATCTATCAATGCCGTGGTACCGGGGAATAAGTAAGAATAAGTAAGAAGCGATGGCTGTCAACAGGCGAAGCAGAGAAAAGTGGCACTGAAATCGTTCCCGATGATAACAGGTGCTGGGGTGGATTAGGAGCTCTAGTGAATGAAAATTAAGTCCAAGGATAAGATAATGTATAAAGTCCTGCGCGTCCTGGGGAATCGTTTATATCATCTCAGGAAGAGCGTCAATCGCAGCTTTCAAATCCCGCAAGAACTTCCACGAATCCAGAACGCTTTCCGGACACCTCGGGCACCCAGCCTTATTCGCCGCCCTAAATAAAAACTCCATCCCAAACACCACATCAGTGGTTGGGCGCACCGCCAGCTCCTGTTTGGCCGTTTTCTCAAACACGAACCACCACTTTGGTGCCCCATCCACACCGAAAGGAGAGCCATTGCACTGCATGCATTTGACCTGGTCTGTCATTCTGATGAGAGCCTGCGCAGCCTGGGAGCGGCGCCTGTGCAGCGTGAGGAGCTGATGATAGGAATATGCATTGATGTGCATCAGGTCTTCTGACAAGGGCGCGTCCAACAGATTGGTGTTGAGTGTGCGTCTCGCGGCGATCTTCGCTTCTTCTTCTAAGTTATGCCGACAAGCAATGGCATAGACGCGCAAAGGGGACATCTCTAAGAAGTGGGGGGAGACAAGTGTCTTGCGCAATACAGAGATGGCGCAGTCTAAGTCGTATTTGACAGCGGCTTCTAAGACAGCCTGAAGATCATGCAGAGAGCTAATGATGGGGTTGGAGATGGGGTAGACGTATCGTAGAAGCGTGTCCAGCACACTCGCGCTTTCCGATACTGGAATGCGAGGTTTCTTCTCCGACGTTTCCGATGGCTGGGGTAAGGTAAAGAGGTCGTGGAAGAATGGAGAGGCTGCTGCTAGAATGCAGCTGTGAACGTGGAACTCTGTGGTACAAGAAGTCCCAGTCGCAGAACTGTCATCAGCATTGGGAGCGCCGTTGGCGACAAGGATAACGTCGGCATCGGGTGCAGTGAACGCATACTTTGAGATAGCCATTAGGCACCGAAGGAACGGGGAATAAGTTAGGATCACGCGTGAGAGAGAACTTTATATATCGAAAGTAAGTGATAGGAAGCAGTACAAGGCCAAGCTGATCGCAGTTGGGGTAGACGTACTTGAAGTAGGGCGCTGGATCTGGCACAGATAGAAGTAAACACTGACAAACATGGAACCTGCGTCTTCAAGCTAGACCAGTTTGTCTTCCTCAGCTCCGAGTGCCAGATCTGCATCCTTCACGCTCTCAAACGATACATTGCGGCCCCACCATAAGCACTGACAGGCAATAGACATTCCGAAAGTCTGCGGCAGCTGTGGTCGATGTTCTGGTTCCAAGTTAGAATGACGAGAATGCACGGCTTAAAGGACGCCCGCCATTCCGGTACTGTGTATCTTGTTGTGGGTCGCCTCAACTCCGCTTCTTACGGAGGTCCGGGTCTTCGCATTTGCGATTGGTGGAGAGTCAACGTCGTTTTGAGCAAAAACGAGGACAGATGATGCGCACACGTATGCGCGGGAAAGCCTAAATGCAATGATCATCGACAAGCACACTTCGCATCCTGAAACAGGACTAGCCATCAATAGCAGATGGACAGCTTCGCATCTTTCTGCTTGTTACATGGACCAAAGCGAACCAGAAATCTTCTGGCTTGGAATGACGTGTTGCACATGATGGAGCCTAAACACGAAAAGATTAGTTTTCGCATCAATTGCGCCGAATTTGCGCACAAACAATGTAGTCCGGAGGATGATCGGCGAACGGAAGGCCCAACGTCACGGCCACGGCCTTTCTTGTTGACTTTTCTCTCTTTGAAATTGAGTCGGCTGTTTGGAGGGCTTATTCCTGCGCAATTCAAGTCGAGCTGTCTTGGGACATCTCGGTAAGGGGTAGGTTCAATTCGGCCTGATGAATCGGAGGGAAGAACCTGGTTGTCTGCAAAATCAGTACAAAATTACATGCTCAAACGAGGAACGTACCGACGACGCCACGTCTCGCTCTTGTTCGATTACCAAGTCTTCCCATTAATACATATTCTATCAGCCACCTGAGAATCTTGTATCCCCCAACCGTATGGTTGGCTTTTGAGCGATCGATCCGACTTCCCCAGTGAGAATAATTCTGCATCCACCTTTCCAAAGCGGTGGGTCACAGTTACGATGCTGTGTCCATTCAGTTTGAATTGCAGCCACCTAGAGGAACACTGAAGTCACGATGAAGGCTCCGAAAAGTTTAAGAGCCCAGCACGAGTGACCTGGACTATATGGGGTTCGCCGGTCACCCATCCACCCGTTGTAATCCTTCCATTTAACCTGCGCAAGAAATTTTTTTGATACCCTCGTGAAGGTCATCAAGATCAACAGCTTTGTCTTCATTCGTGATCAACCACTTGAGCGTCTGCAATTCTTTAACCGTGTGTTTACTGTCTGGTGAGTGGATGATGAATCCAGACAGAAGAATTTTCAGATCCACCTTTCCCAAAGAGTTGCGGCTGCAGAAACTGGATTTCAGGAGGACTTCGGGGGTACAAAAGTCGCGGTTTGAGGTAAGGTTTTGTACGTTACGAGGAGCACATGGGCTTTGCATTTCGCCACCGCCGCCCCTCGTCTCCCGAAGTGGCCCTCGTAACCGAGAAAAGTTGTTGATTCGTTTGCAAAGGTCATCGGTGTTCACGACTCCGTCTTCTAAAGTGTATGCATACAGTCATTCCAGAAGGATAGAATGCAAGTGAAAGGTCCAAAGGTTAGTATACGGAGGAGGAATGGTTACGTAATAAAGTGAAATAGTCAACTGGTCGCAAGGGGGTGCCGGGATTTGAATGAAGGACTGGATGTCGAATTTTTTTTTAGTGGGACTGGGGCTGGCCGCTGAACCAACGTAATCAGGCACGTGTCTATTTTAGGCAATATGATGTCATCGACGCGCCGCCTTTCTCCCTTTCCCACTGCCACTCGATGCCTTGCAGGCAATGCAAACCCATTTCTTGACGTCCCCGTCAAGCCTAATACATCCTAAATGATACTGGAATGAAGTTTAACACATCGAGAATAGGAATAAATGTGAGTCCTCACCCAGATTGTTTCACATCCCTTGCGTTTGCACTGAATTGCATCTTCTGCAGATGCATCCACCTGAAGCCCGCAGTCGCATTCATAGAGAACAACAGCCTGGCGTTTTCAGTGCGCTCGTTGCTCAGATACCTCAGGCTGTTCAATGGGCTCACTTGTCGAGCTCGAAGTTAGATTTTCAGTTTGTGGCGCCCAAAGATCTTGTAGTAATCTATCCACCGGTATGTCGACATTCATACAGTCGGAGGATAACGCAAGAGTCTGAGTAAGAAAATTTATCAGATACCTTTTCATTCATTGGATTCTCAAGAGCTCACCTCAGCTTCCATCAAATTCACATCCACTTGAAGTGTCGCACCGATCCTATCTCCTGCGGTTGATATATCGTTGGCCACGCTGTCTTCTGTTAATGCCATTTCGGCCATTTCTGATGTTTTGTGTGCACAGTGAGGACCCATTACGTCCTCCGCGTTGTCAAGGTCAGACTCTTTGCCACTTGCTTCCTTGTCAAATTCCTCTTCATCGCTATCATCAGAGTTGTCGTGGGTAATGTGGATGGCAAAACCTCCAAAAGCATTCGCCACTTGCCGGCTTGGCAAGTCGAGTACGCGAGAGGCTGGCAAATGCTGGCGAATGAAAATTTTGAATTTCTGTCGTTTTGCGCCAAAGTAGTATCCTATTATTATCTTTGATTTTTTTCTCAGCAACCACCAAGCAACCACAATCATTTTTTCGTCACTGACTCACTGCTGAAGCGCTGAGGCCTGCTTTGGGTCTGTGTAAGTATTGTCGAGATCAAATTTGGATGGGATCAACGGATCGGAGCATTCAAATCAGGAACAAGAATTGGTCAAAGGGAATTTGGGGTGAAGTTTGCCAAAATTACAGAGAATAACAAACCTTTATGGGTGCATAAAATATCATCTATGGTTGTCAATGTTGGAAAATTCTGACTGCAGGCCAAATTCCAGGTCTTGCCACCCTGTTTTTAATTTTTTGTTTCGCCAGCCGGCGAAACTGGCGTGGTGAGTTGGCGAGCAGTTGCCAACAACACTAGTTGTGGGTCTCGTTTTCCTTTCCTTTTCCTTTATCACTGCTGAAATGAATGAATATGCAGCCAGTTCATGCAGAAAACTTCGAAAACGTACTTCGAGGGAATGTGAGAACGATGGGCTTCAGAAATTACCAGGGGAGGCAATTTCGACTTTTTTGTGCACTTCACAACAACACACTGACGGTCTGCCTATTTCTCCTTCATCTTTGCGATTTCAAAAAACTTGGTATCCTGACTCATTCATCAACATGTGATATCATATTTCATGTCTTATCTTTTCTGATGGTTAGCTTTTGGCTTCTATGTGTGTAGATAGACTATGGCTGATACACTGGAAGGTATCTAAGAATCTCTGGGTCATTTTTGCACTAAAAAATTTGGATGTCAAAAAGAAAATTAGCAGCCTGGTCCGAGTTCATATGATCGTGAACCAAGGTAAGTACGACTTCACCAAGACTTCACATCATATCAAAGCTGTCTAGGAGAGACTAAGGCAGAGGCCACTTGTGACTTGGGTACTTAACGCAGTCTTGGTCTCTCCAACAATTGCTAATGGGTCAATCTCAGTGTTTCCTTGAATGTAGTGTTTGAAAGTCCGGTTCGGTCCGGTTTTTTGATGCCCAGGGGCGTTAACCGTAACCGTAACCGGTCTGCATTTTCCCCAGAAGTCAAAAGACCAGACTGGACCGCAAAAAGACCGCAGACCGCGGTTTTTTGCGGTCTATAGACCGGTTTCGGTCTGCATCGGTTTTAACTGGTTTATGACCGGTCTTTAGGCCAATATTTTAAAATTATTAATCGGTAAATTTATTAACATTTTTAATAGCTTCAAAACGAGCCCAAGAACGTTAAATTCTGTTAGGAATTGGTCCTTCTATAAAATAAGTCTGGTACATCTATTATTCCCCAAAGTAATTTACATTTTAATTCATATCTCTCTCGTTTTTTTACCAAATCGTACGTTCTTGGGTGCATTTTAAAGGGTATTCAAGGGGCTACAAAAGACCGGTCCAAACCGGTCAAAACCGGTTCACGTTAACCGGTCTTTTTGCGGTCTTTACATTTCAAAAATAAAAGACCGTAACCGCAGGTCCGGTCTTTTGCGGTCTTGGTCCGGTCTGGTTACGGTCTTTTTCCAGTCACGAGACCGGACTTCCAAGCACTACTTGAATGTGTTATTGGACTGTGTCTTTTTCCAGATGATGTCCATATCAATCTTGGGCACCTGTATTTGAACATCTTACACATTCAGACGCTGAATCACCGCTCATCAGCACTGAGATCCTCTTTATCGACCTCTGCTGCTGAAATCCTTGCCATGTATATGTAAAAACACTTCGCTTTGATTCCTGATTTACTTGCACAAGCGAGATGCTGAATCACCACTCATCACCACCCTGCTGATCCTCTCTATCGACCTCTGCCCTTGCCATGTATAAAAACACTTCCTTTGGATTCTTGACAGCAACAACCTTTGTCATTCTGCCTGGCTTTTGCTGACGCTAAATTTGTTCCTTCAGGTACCTACGCCATCATCAATGTCGAGCACAACCGTTCCATCTCTTTTAACAAGGAGGGCGAGTGTTGCTCCGCATCTGAGGTAGACTATGGCGTAAGTGTTGCTTACAAATGACTTGGCTCAACCTGACTATTTCCCCGACTACAGTGTATCATCTCATTCCTCGCGAACAAGAAGTGGTTGATTCAAGGCCTGCTAGACGTCTTCACAGATATTGGACCATACTATCAGTGACCAGGAGTTTGAAACGATTTGACCTTTGGCTATATTATGCCACAACCGCTACACTCCGGGCCTCTAAATTTTGTGGGGTTGTGAATGTGTATCTCATGAACATAAATGTATTTTTTATTTTTTTATTGTACAATGGTGGAAGCTGACGGAGGCTTCCTGGTCGTCGAAGTCGATTGTTCAGGAGCCTAGTTTACTAGTATGTGTTTGTAAATTTTTAGATAGCCTAATGCAAAGGATTGGATTAGATCTTGAAAATCATTTGCATACATCACGGTTTTGATGCGCTGAAAACCACCTTTTAAAATCCTGGGCTCATCAGACTCAGTTGTTGCACAAAAAAGGTTGATATTCATATTTGTAAGAGTCATAATTAGTCCAGAAAAAAATACCAGAAAGCCCAAGGGAATCTTAGGATTCAAAAAATGGACCTGGGCTCAATTTTCTTTTTAAAGCCTTACTACCTTGACCTACCTACCTATGTAATCAGGCATGTTTCCATATATGGTAATATGATGTCATCGTCATGATCGCTTCGTTCCTCTACTTGTGCCAGATGCCTCACAAGCCTCGCAAACCCAGTTTCGTGGAACAATTTCCAATGAAATGCAACATAGGTGATACTGGCATATAGGTGAGTAACTTGTAACCTCAGCTGGATGGAATATATACTTACCTGTTGTGTTTCACAGCCAAGCCTCTTACATTCAACAACCCCATCTGAATGTGAGTCCACCACCACTCCACACAGGCATCCGTTCAAGGCTGGCATCTGCCTCGGAATGTGATTTCATTTAGAACGGCCACTTTCTTCTGTGGTGGTAGTATTTACAGCTATTACAGTGTCGCTAATGTTGCAGGCGCTTGGGGTGGTCTCCAATGGCGGCCCAAGAACAGGGCGCTAAATATTGTGTGAGTGTTGGAGCAGCAATTATGAGGGGTAGTGGTTAAGTGAGAAGGTAATGAATTCGGGGACTCTCAGTCCCCCTTATATACTACAAACATATGTAACTAGAATGTACTACAAACTACTATAACTATCTACAGTGTCCTATATGAGACTAGTATGTGCACGTATGCACAGGATCGGCATACTGGAGTTGCCAGTCTGCCTTGACTATTCAACACTCCCCCTCAACTCCAAATCTATGCCGATGCAAGATGTGAATCTCTTGTGAGCTGGGTGTGGTAGCACCTTAGTAAATACATCAGCCAGATTGTCTTCTGATGTGCAGTGTTCTATTATGATTGAGTTGTCACCGAGACATTCGCGTACGAAATGATGTTGAATATCAATATGCTTTGACTTTGAATGTGACCCTTGATTCTTTGAAAAGTCAATTGCAGATTAGTTGTCGATATTCAGTAGTGTAGGTTTATTTTGTAATAAACCAATTTCTGTTAATAAAGTGCAAAGCCATATTGCTTCTCGAGTTGCTAAACTTGCGGCCATATATTCTGCTTCCATTGTGGATACAGCAACAGTGCGCTGTTTGCATGATGCCCATGATATGGGTGCATTCCCGAATAGGCAAATGTATCCTGAAATAGACTTGCGATCAAGATCATTATTTCCCCAATCAGCGTCGGAATACCCTTCTAAACCTGGAATAGAGTTTCCACCGCCATACATTATCCCGTAGTTGCATGTTCCGTTTAAGTATCTAAACACGCACTTGATTGCACTCCAGTGTGCAGGGCTCGGATTGCTTGTGAATTGGCTTAAATGTTGAACAGCGTATGCAATGTCAGGCCGCGTGCCAATTGCTGCATACATTAATGATCCTATAGCCACTGCGTATTCTGGGATACCGTGATGTTCCCCTTTGGGAGTTTTAGTTAGTTTGACATTCGTATTGAGTGGCATTTTGACAGGCATGGATTTGGACATTCCAAATCTGTCCAAGATTTTTCCCACATACTGATTTTGTGTTAAATGTATTGTGCCCTTCTTGAGATCCCTTTGAACTTCAAATCCCACTATTTGTTTGAGTTCTCCAAGATCCGAGATATCAAACTTTTGGCCAAATTCTTTTTTGAATTCTGCCATGGCTTCGTCATCTGAAGCTAAAATTAACATGTCATCAATGTGAACTCTGATGATGATGAGGTTGTTCCTGATGTGCCTAATATAGACACATTGATCCGAGAATAGCTGTGTGAAGCTGAGTTGAATGAAAGTCCTGTTTAATTTTTCATTCCACACGCGTCCAGATTGTTGTAGTCCATAGAGTGTTTTCTGTAATAATAGTACTGAGTCCGTGCCGTCCTTGTATCTGGGGATTTGCTTCATGTATATTTGTTCTTTGAGTTCACCATTTAGGTAAGCTCCCACGATGTCAACAACATGGGCGACTAATCCATATGATGCGGCGATAGCTAATAATAGCCGCAAGGTATTGAGGCGCATCACTGGTGCGAAAGTCTCAAAGAAATCGATTCCGGGGATTTGTGAAAATCCCTTTGCAACTAATCTTGCTTTGTGCCATACAATTTTGCCTTCCGTGTCGCGCTTGAGGCAGAAAACCCATTTGCAATTGATGGCCACTCTACCTTTAGGGATTTTCACCTTGATGTATGTCCCTAGATTCTCTAATTGATGGATTTCCGCGTCCATTGCCTTTTTCCATTCAGGCCAATCTTGATGGGATCTGGCTTCTTCAACATCTCTCGGATCGTCATTTGCATTCAGCACTTTTTGTGCAAACATTGCATAATCACAAGTTTCCATGTTTTGCACAAAATTAGATTCTTCCTCTGTAAGGACTGGTACTTGGTGTTGCCATTCCTTAGGGCCTCTTGCCGCAGGATTATTTAGAAATCTGTAATGGAAAGGTGATTTCTCAGCAACACGTGTAGACTTTTCCCATGTCGGGAGTGGAATTTTTGATGGCTTCGGCGTTTCCTCAGTTGTACTATTTTTAGTACTGATCTTCTCATCAGGAAGTTTATCGTCTGTTGGGGGATTGATTTGCTCATCATTGTCCCCCTCAATCTCCATAGGACGATTAATCGGAATTTCTATGTCATCATAGTCACGTATTTCCGTGTCTTCCTTTGAGAAGATAACATTGCATGAAGTTAGAATTTGGTTGCTGTTCCAATAGCGGTAACCTTTAGTACTGTCGTCAATGCCGACAAAAATGAATGGGCGTGATCTGGGGTCAAGTTTTTTATTTTTCTTGTCTTGTTGTAAAACCCAACATTTGCGGCCGAATTCTTGTAAATTTGCGATATTAGGTCTCTTGTTCCAGAATACTTCATCAGGAGTTTTATTGTCCCTTAAGGCATGTGTGGGGGAACAATTTCGGAGATATGTAGCATATTTGACAGCTTCTGGCCAAAGATAGTAAGCCAGATGTGGATCTTGTGAATGTAACATGGCGCGCGCCTCCGACACTACAGTTCGGTTTCTGCACTCTGCAATTCCATTCTGTGAAGATGAGTAAGCTGCTGTGACCTCGAGAAATATCCCATTATCCAATAGATATTCTCTGAATTCTTCTCCAATAAATTCTCCTCCCCCATCAACTCTAAGTTTCTTGAGTTTTCGGCCTGTTTGCGTTTCTACAAATGCCTTATACTGTTTAAACTTAGATAGTGCCTCTGATTTCTTGTTAAGGAAATAGCGCATTGATCGTCGTGATTTCCCATCAGTAAATGTGGCAAAATACTTTTCTCCCCCTATTCTGGTTGTTTGAGCAGGTCCCCAGAGGTCGGACACTGTTAAATCACCAATCTCCGCTATCTCTGCTTTGGATTCTTGCGGATATGGTGTAAGGTGTTGCTTTGCGAGTATACACACTGGGCATTGTTCCGTTGCTGGAACACTTTCATCAACTTCCATGCCGGTAACCATCCCTTTTGACTTCAATTGTTTAATTGAAGCCATATTCAAATGTCCCATAATTCTATGCCATTCATCCCATGTGTGTGCGCTTGTTTTTATTGAATAAGTGTGGTCTTGTTTGGTTGGGACTTTCACATCCATCAGGTACAGATTTGAGATCTTGGTACCTTTTGCCATGATCGTCTGATTTGGTGCCTTGAATCTCACATCCTTGTCCATAAATAGAACTTGTATCTTGGCACCCATAACGTGCCCGAGTAAAATGAGATTATGCAGTGCTTTTGGGACATATAGCACATCCTTTAGGGTAATCGTGCAAGCTTTTCCATCAACATTAGAGGTTAGCTTCACAGTCCCTATTCCCGTGACTGGCTGATTGCCAAGTCCTTTAATGAAATGATTTGATATTGGAGCATATTCACTAAAATAGCTCCTCTGTGCCGATATGTGAGAAGTGCATGCTGAGTCTGCTAACCATGCGCCACTAGGCACTGAAATGAATGCCATGTCAGGTGAGCTATCAATTCCTGCAAAAGCGAAATCATCAATGACTTCATTTGCACACACTCCCCCAAATTTGGACTTCTTGTAATGCTTCTTGTTTGATTGATCATTTGGTTTTGATCAGCAATCTGCCTGTATATGGCCACGTTTGCCGCATCCAAAACATGTTATCTTTGAACTGCATTTTTTCTTGCCCCATTTGGCAGCTAGGGCGGTATCTTTGGTGCCCTGAATCTTGAGCCGTCTGTCATGCTCAAGAATTCTGGCTATGAGTTGTGGCACTTTGTAAGTGCAGATGAATCAATAGATGAAATGTAATTATTCCAGTTATCGGGTAACAATGTAAGTAGAATAATAGAGAATTCTGAGTCCTCTATTTTCTGTCCGAGATTTTGCAATTCTTCCTGATAGACTCTCAGGGTCCTGAAGTGGTCTTCAATGCTAGTGCCATCCTCGCACTTAGCCCGAAATAGCTTTCGGCGGGCAAGGACTATTCCTAACGGCCCTTGAGCTACCAATAGACCCTTTAGCGTATCCCAAGCTTCTTTCGATGTTTTTGTACTAGATACATAAACCAATAGTTTATCAGCTACCCACAATCTTATCGTCGATAAAGCTGTCCAGTCCTTCTTATCCCATGCTGGTTTCTGGTTGGCGTCTGATGGCACCATTCCAGGATCCACATAGTCCCATAGACCCTGATCTGTCAAGATGTCCATTAGTGTTTGGAAGTCCGGTCTCATGACTGGAAAAAGACCATAACCAGACCGGACCAAGACCGCAAAAGACCAGACCTGCGGTTACAGTCTTTTATTTTTGAAATGTAAAGACCGCAAAAAAAACCGGTTAACGTGAACCGGTCTTAACCGGTTTGGACCGGTCTTTTGTAGCCCCTTAAATACCCTTTAAAACGCACCCAAGAACGTACGATTTGGTAAAAAAACGAGAGAGATATGAATTAAAATGTAAATTACTTTTGGGAATAATAGATGTACCAGACTTATTTTATAGAAGCACCAATTCCTAACGGAATTTAACGTTCTTGAGCTCGTTTTGAAGCTATTAGAGATGTTAATAAATTTAACGATTCATAATTTTAAAATATTGGCCTAAAGACCGGTCATAAACTGGTTAAAACCGATGCAGACCGAAACCAGTCTATAGACCGCAAAAAACCGTGGTCTGCGGTCTTTTTGCGGTCCGGTCTGGTCTTTTGACTTCTGAGGAAAAGGCAGACTGGTTACGGTTACGGTTAACGCCCCTGGGCATAAAAAAACCGGACCAAACCGGACTTTCAAACACTAATGTCCATCATCTTGATTTTCCATACCGTGTAATTGTCCGCGCCTTTAAGCGGTTCAATCCAGTAAACATTTGATGATCCATTATTGGTCTCCATTTGCTGCTATGTAATTGATAGGGTAACATGTGATAGGGTATCGTGTATGATAAAGTCTGTGATGTGGTGATATAGTGGTATGACAAAGTTTTGTATAGTGTGTGTAGTATGTTTAGGGCTCAGGGCCCATAACCTGTTGGAGCAGCAATTACGAGGGGTAGTGGTTAAGTGAGAAGGTAATGAATTTGGGGACTCTCAGTCCCCCTTATATACTACAAACATATGTAACTAGAATGTACTACAAACTACTATAACTATCTACAGTGTCCTATATGAGACTAGTACGTGCGCATATGCACGGGATCGGCATACCGGAGTTGCCGGTCTGCCTCGACTATTCAACAGTGAGTGCATGTTCAACTAAGTATAGATGATACTCACACTGTCCTTCTCCGAGCCCACGTTGTCAATGGTGACATTTGTTGCCACGTCTGTTACTGCCGTCTCCCCACTTTCACGTAGTACTCCCTCAATCTCTATGTCGTGTTTGTCTGCCAACTTTGCGTTACATGTCATGTTCCCCTCGCATCCCTCTTTGAACTCTCCAGATTCGGTGCCATTTGACTCTTGCTCATCCGAGCTGTCCTCGAGTTCCAGAGATTCCATGGCTGCATGACTGGAATATCTTAGTGAGTCACTCTTGCGCTAACAAATTGTTTTTCGGCAAATGTACCCTCTATAAATGTTGGCAATGGTCTGAACCGGCACCCCTCGACTCCTGCTCGTCCAAGCCAAATTTATGATTAGATAAGATTAAAGAAATATTATATAAAGCTTGAATATCATTGAATTTGGACTGATCTACATGTTCTGGAGTGTATTGGCACTGCAAACCTGCAAGGTATGGCCTTCCAGGCCTGTTTTGAGATCATTTTGTAGAGGGTTCCATTTTTTTTTTCTGGGCCTGCGACCGACCTACCTACCCAACCCCCGGTCGGACTTTGGAATCCTAAGACCCCCTTGAGAAAGCCTGTGTCAAAACTAAGAGAGGAAATCGAGGATTTCAAACTCCTGAAGCATATCAAACTCCTGGTCACTGATAGTATGCAGAAGAAGGAGAAGACGTTCCCTCGATAAAGAACCCGGCTAAGCCTCATCAGTGGGTCATCAAGTGTCATTCCGAAGAAGCACAATTTCACATGTCTTGAACTTTCGTATTCTTGTCTTTCACAATCTGATCTTTTCCTTTCAGGATCTACTCTCCAACTCAGCCCGATCTGTTTTGGAGTCTTCCCAAAGGCAATGATGGGACATTTGTAAGTTCACCCCCCGTTTTCGTGAGTCACTGCAATTTATTCTCTTACTCATGCTTATTTCCTCTCTAGTGTACTATGGGGTTTAAAACGAGGCTGGGGCATCTGCTTCTAAGGTGCCTCTCGACCCAGAGCAAGACTAGGTGTCTAGGGTGGAGCTTGCCCTGGTCTCACCACCGGTCTCTGTCACCTCTTTGAAGCGATAAGTTATCTCTGCAAAAGAGGGCATTACTGGTTCATCTCAATTTTTTACAAATTGGGACAGGCCCCGGGAAGCTCACGCCATTTCTTGTCCGCAAAAAGTCGCCAAAACGGACCTCAAATCCACTATCTTTTGGGCCTCAAATCCGCAATCTGGGACAAGGGTCAGCACGTGATATTCCCTAAAAAGGAAGCTTCCCATAAATTTACTTTTTGACGCCGCTACACTGTCCAAAGACAGCCGTTTCCTTACAGATGAAGCCCAGTGCTTCCCTCTCTTTGTTACCAGTCGCCTTCAGTGAGATGGATGGGACTGCAAAATCTGCTCAGTTGTACCCTCAAATCCGCTATTTGTGGACAAACCTGCCATCGAAATCGCCTCAAATCCGCTATTCTGGGACAAAGATATGCCAAATTTTGGGCCCTCAAATCCGCTATTTTTGGACAAGAAATGGCCTGAGCTTCCCGGGGCCTATTGGGACACAATACCATGGGTTGTTCATCTACTTTATCGCACGCCGTTGAACTGAGATCTGGTACGTCCAGTAACCTTCGCATTCAAGTTTGCTTAATATTTTCTCAAAAAGATGGCCGGGATCTCTCCGAGTCTATTTTTCTTCTGATCCCTGTCGCGACCTAGTCTCTCGTAGACAGACATTGATATTATGTGAAGTGTTCCTTGGTTCACGGTCGCGACTCATGGATATGCCTGATTTTACCAAGAGAGGGTACAGTGGCAGAAATGTGTATTGTGGATACTAAGTCAACATAGAATCAAGATGTGCAGTTGCCAGTGAGGGACGAGGCAAAACTCTAGTGTCAGATCTTAGCCCGTATAGAAGGATGGAGACCACCCAGCAGAACTCTTTTTAGTCGGTCCGGAGTGAACGTCTTTCCATAAGGAACAGTGTCAACCATGCTCTGTATGAGGCTGAATCAGTCTCGATGCAAGAGACGAAACATAAGAGACCTCACGCGAACAGGACCATTGCACAAAGCCATCAAAGCTTGGTCTGCCCCCTCGTCGTTGCCTATCTGCACAAACTGGATTCCAACCGCGTTCATGTGATGAAGTCCTTCATCTAATTTCTGCGCGGCTGTTTGGATGACCGCCGCAGGATCGTCGGTTGGAACACCGTCAGTAAGGACGATGATGTCCGCGGGTTTAATGTGACCGTAGGCCTGCGTGTCCACCGCGGCGTCTAGCTTTTCGATAACTGGTCCCAGAATCGCCTCCAGTTTGGCACCGGTGGGGGTGAAGCCTAATACAGTAAACAATGCTCAATGAGAAAGACAGGGTGAGAATGCAGAGGCCCAGACCTGACGGCTGAACTTGGTCATAGACACTCAGAATTTCCTCTTGCGTCTGGTTATGCTTGTTAAGTTCGGCAATAAGGAATGCTAGGTAATTGCTGACCTTAACAAGTTCTTTGTGCACCGGAGAGTTGATGAAGCATACATCAACTCCGTCTGCATCGTATTGCATAGCCTCCTTCCCGATTTCAGCAAGAGCGGCCCTGACTTGTTTCCATCGTCCGCCGCTCATCTTAAGAATATTGAACATTAGAAGCTGGATGAGAGAGAGGGGGGGAAATGTCATACTGAGCCGGAATCATCAATGACGAAAATGATCTTATAGTTTCTAAAGATAAATGAGCAACAACCGGATTTCAAAAGAGACGGCACAGACTCAAGATACTCGTCTAAATATCCCGGACGAGGCCGATCGAGATTTTCATTGTAACCCTCTTTCACCGACCCTGGGGTTGGCTTGCCCGGATCATTTAGATCTACGGTCATCTTAACACTCAAATGAACCATGACTATAGCATTGTAGCCTGGTTCTGAACTGGGTGCGCCTGATTTTGGTTGAGACTGTCCGTCAAAGATCTGGATGAAAGTTAGAGACATGAACAATTTTCGGGTTCATAGTCTGACCCAGAAAGTTTGGTAATCGGGGATATTTCTCATATCACTTGGCCTCGACGACTAAAATGGAAATTTTAAATTTAGGAGGTGACAAGGAGAGAAGAAACAAACAGAAGTGATCCATAAGTTGCTGCTGACATCTTGCTTGGCTGGTAAGCTAAGTGGATTGCGCCTATGTGTATTTTTTGTGTGAAAGAGTTCAAGTACGACCACGGTTGCTTCGTCCACCGCTTGCATAACACAAGAGTTTGCACCGCTTGTGTCAAGTACCATTGCTTCATTGACAGAGTCCCATGAGCTGATGAAGCTTTGTACTTCTAGGATGCCTTGTACTTCGCGATGAATGCGAACGAGGTTCAGACATTTTCCGACAGAAACCTATCAGAAAAAACTGTGCATGACATTTAACATCAGAAAACTGAAGGAAGAACTACCGCCGAAATGGTCATAAGCCAGCCAGGAGGTATGGTAATCGCCACTTTATGTTTGATATTGGGTGGGTGTGAAATGGGGCGACTGACAGGTAGGGGTTCCGGGTGGCTTTCCTGTCGTAGCATTGAGCACAGGGAAGAAATTTAATAGCAATTAGCAGAAATACCATCTTAGCACCCATGACTGGTTCCTCGACTTTGCTGAACTTCCACCAACTCGACTCATCTGTGCTGTCACATACAAGCTGAAGCTAATAACAATAGGACCACGTAAACTTTGATAGGGAAGCAAACTAAGACAAAAGCGACCCACAGCCGTGGCATTTGAAAGGCCCCACAAAAGCGCAGTGTCTGTGGGGGAGTAAATACTACTTGGGATCGACCAATAGTGATAACACAAGAAGGGGACTGAGAAGGGAATATGCTTCACGTACATGTACGTGTCCGTTGCCTGACGTCGTTTGATTACCCACTGGTGGGGTTGGTCTTGACCTGGTTTTGCGTTGATCTCGTCTTCCTCCTCTGCGTCTGGCGGCATATTTGCCGAGAATCCATTGGAACAACTTTGGATTATCCACTTCTTCTGGGCTAACAAAGTAATCTTCCACTAAACGAATCCGTTTATTGTAAATCTCGAATGAGGCATAGGAAGTTGACTCACTCCAAAATCCTTGTTCGCATGCGATACCAAGCTACCCACATTGTCCTCAACATGACACGCGATGGAGAGGTCGTACTTGGCATTGATTATAATATATGTGCCCGAAGGAAGAAATTTTTCTGAGACGAACGACATCAATATGGTTGGTGGATGTGGACTGGGGATGTTCTGGTGGCTGGATGTTCACGGGTCAGAACCTCGAACCACCCCAGCTGATTACTCCTGATAAATAAGACATCGGAGTTAGCTCCACTACGCCTAAGTCAGATGAGTCTTGGATGAGTCTTGCTCAATTCTAATTCATTGAGAACTCGTCAGTTCCGCTGACTTGGGTGCACATTGATAGATGTGATTGAGAATGTTTGCATCAGTGTAATCTGTTGATTCACGCGATTAGAAACCGTTTAAACGGCTGGACGTTTGAAGCTGTCACGGACCATGAGCATACATTTAGAGAGCTAGAACATCATCAGCTGTTCAATTTGTTCAGGGGCATGGACTTTGAAATACTCGCCGCTTCCAATGTTTCGGGTTTTTATTGATAAATGTGTTATTGCGACCTTTGTTGGACATGGTGATTTACACGATTGGAAACTTGCCAGACGGCATGAGGCAGAGGCCTGCAGGAGGCATGAAGCCGATTGAGTCCGACATGAGCGTGAGCATTGTGGACGGTCATGTGTCACTCACGCATGACCGTCATTACCCTCGCTTTCCCAACGCAACATGCTTCTTACAGGTCCCAATTACAACGCATCCGAGTATGGTGTGGGCACGGAAGTTGGCATGGGATAAGAACTGATACTTGTAGATATTGACAGGGATAAGAGTGGTACCAACGGCGTTGCGAGCATCTGCAAGAGCTGATGCATATTCGGTAAAACTGAGTCCGCTCTGTGAGGAGCGGAAGAACGTGCGGAGGGCAAAGTAGCTTGTATCCTTTCGGCATGAACCGAGCGCGAACCTGTTTCTCAAACGATTCCCATGATGCATACTTGAGATAATCTGCCCTCCCAGTTGACAGTTCGTGCATCTGAGACCCAACGGGACGAATCTTGGTCATCACGGCGAGAGATGGAGCTTTTTCGGCCTTTGTTGCGTCGTAAATAGCGAAACCATCGTTAGCGGTGGGAGTGAGAGGTCCGGTGAAGGGAGCGATGACTTTGGATGCCATGATGTGCGTAATTGTCGGTGTCGGAATCCCCAGGATCCAATGGCTCAAAAATCTTGAATCTTCGATATCCAAATCGGGGCTGACAGTTGTCGAGGATGGTCCAGAAAGACGTCGGCGCGGGATCCGGTAAGGGAGTGAGAAGGGTGATGTCTACAGTGTTGTATCAGCCATAGGAATCTCCAGGAATTTATGTAGTGCTGTTTGAAGGTGGCGGTCGTGTGAAAATACATCAAAACGCACAAATACGAATTGCCAGAGTTCCGATTGAATTTTCTCCACAAGGGGGCCGTTTGCTACGATTCATAGCGCGTTGGAATCGTATTAACGAGGAGATGTGCGTCCCACCAAAATCTGAGTTATTTGGTTGAGTATTTATGTAGTTACAAATGATTCTAATTCATTAAGAACTTGTTAAGAACTCGTCGGTTCCACTGACTTGGGTGCTCAGCGCTCATTGATAGATATAATCTCTTGACTCACGCGATTGGAAACTGTTATACGGCCGGACGTTTGAAGCTGTCACGCCGGAGTCCTGACTTGGTCCGGACCAGAGCATACATTTAGGAGAGTTCAAAGAACGTCATCAGCAGTTCAATATGAGGGGCATGAATTTTGAAGTGCTCGCCGCTTCCGGGGTTCTGGTCTTTAGATATGTATTTGGTGATCTACACGATTGGAAACCTGCCAGATGGCATGAGGCAGAGGCATGAAGTCGATTGCGTCGGACATGAGCGTGAGCATTGTGGTGTCACTCACACATTCACTCGAGTCTTGCTTGCTTTATTCAACTTCATGTTGTGGTACTTACTTCCAATCCTTGTTTCTGCTTCCTTCGATCTCCCATGGCTTTTGTTGAAGAAAAATTTGTCCCATCGGGCATCTATCATATCACGAATGCAGGATCTAACCAGTCAATTATATGTAGTGATGGCGCAGAACGGTTGAACGCAAGTTCAAATGGTGACCATGAGGTGAGCAAGTCTTTCAGAACAATCATTCTGTACTAGTCATAGTGTCCATTTATGTCCCTTCTTTGCCCAGTGGTCGATTGTCTTGCTGGCCGGAAAAAAATGGAATATTCGTAGTCACACCAGCGGTTACCGTCCAAACATCGAACCAGAACCTGATGAAGGAGACGAAATACCCCTCCGACCAGCCCAACACAAACCTCATTCATGGGTTCTCAAGCGACGTGCCACAGCGCCAGATACATACTTGTCAGCCGTGTTCTATTTCCTTTCCAGTGCTCTAATTCGGATATTCTCACTTGCAGAATTTATTCACCCTCCCAACCTGGGCTCTTTTGGAGCCTTTCTGATGTAGAGGAAGGGGCTTCTGTATGTTTCACCTTATGGTGCTTAGTTGTTGTAGGCTTACCACGATAGTATCATTTGATAGCTAACGCTCGGCTGCGATGATAAAAACCCATTAAGTTGGTGGAAGTTTCGAAAAGTGGAATGTCCAAGAAAGCCCGATGAGGTATGACTCGCCATATGTATGTGGTTCGAAATCAGCTGCGTGACTGACGAACGCAAGATGGTCTACCTAAACGAGGACACAGAACCTAACCTTCTCGCTGTTGATCGACCCACACAGTCGCCTGTCGTGAATAATAAAGTCACGGTTATCATACCTCCTGGATGGCTTACGACGATTTCTGCGGTAAGGTTCGTTTCATTCGGTCAATGGGTTGCATTTCTAAATGCTTATTTTACAGATATCTGTTATGGATGGCATGAATCTGATACGTGTGAACCACATTATTAATGGGGTTTTAAGCACACAGCAGTTCATCAGTCGATGGGATTCCGAAGACCAAGCAATGACGGTGAATGAGAGCGGTATGAGCTCATGCGCAATTGCTGCAACCGATCAACCTTCAGTCTTGATATTTGAGTTTTTTCATTCAAAAAATAAACTCAAACGTGATCCGCTCATGTTATCAGAACATGGGCTCCTCAGTACAAATCTCCGTGTCGCCTGTGTAAGCTCCTTGCATCTGCCTACTTTTACTCGCATTAGATACCGACTTCCTCACCTTGTAGATGGAGCGTCAAGATACCATGAAGACTGTACCTGATTATCAAACTTTCTGGGTATATTTTTTCCGTGTACCTCACTTTTGGCGTCTCCACTTATCAAACGTATAGATTTTTGATGAAACCCCCACACCACGTGGCACCAATGCGATTCTTAATGTACATTCCTCGAAGAACAGTAGCGGAATAGACCTCAATGATCCCGGCAATCCAGCTCCCGGGACAACAAATCCCGGTTTTAATGACACCCTCGACTTACCTCGCCCCAGCTCCATGGCAGAATACATGACGTGGGCTGTTTTCACCTTCTCGCGATAACAATCAACTAAATCGTCATAGAAATTACCACATTATATTTGTTATCGACGACTCTAGCTCAGTTCGTTTCAGTTCCTTCTTGGTTCGAACTGACAACACATAAAGTTCTTCTCATGTAGATGCGCGGCCAACGATGGACTGAAGTACGCCTTGCTCTCACTGAGCTCTCCAAGGAGGCGATGCAATACGATGCAGATGGTATGGAGATCTGCTTTTTGAATTCGCAGAAGCGCAAGGACTGCATTGCCGTGCGTGAGGCTTTATGTTCTCTGATCAGTTTAAACACCAATCCTGTCACGTAGAACCCAGCGGATATGCTCGATATCTTCGACGCTGTTCAACCACGAGGTGCGCCGCTGTTGTACATGCTAACAACCTAAAATTCTGGTAAATTTTCGCGATAGGATGGACATACACGGGGGCAAAACTGAAATTTCTCTTGAACCGATGTATCAAGAGATTTGATGACGCTGCGGGAAAGCCAGAATATGCGGATATAAAACCAGTCGACATTATCGTGCTTACCGATGGTGCACCTAGTATGTGATATTGATTTCGGCTTCCGCGAAGGATGATACTTATTTCTCAAATTCGGTGCTAGCTGATGACCCGGCAGTCGTGATCGCAGATGCCATTCGGAGATTGGATGGTGCAAAGCATCACCTCAATGCCATCGGAATTCAATTTGTGCAGATAGGCGATGAAGACGGGGCTGCAGCCGCGCTACAACTGCTCAAAGACTGTCCCCTTCGTGTGGGTGTTTAATGACATATGGCGTCCTGTCTCATCTGATCTCATGCTGGCCGCTTTAGCGTATGGTCGATACCGTGCCCTACACAAAAGCCTTGACCCGACAGAGGCTCGCTGAGGTCCTTCTTGGTACTCTTCACCCTTCTATTAAGTCAGCAATTGCAGAAAAGTCGTCCACTGCGGTCAAAGAATGTCCTATTTGTTGCTCTGATGATATCCCAGAATATGAATATCCTCGCTTCCCGCCGACAAATCGATGTCAGCACGAGCCTATAGCGTGCCGACAATGCCTTGCACAGCACATAGAGGCGCAACTTTTTTCTCAAGCCATGGTCCTTGAGATCAATTGCCCAAGCCATCCTTGTCCGGAGAAGCTTGGCTACGACGAGATAAAGCAATGGGCTGCCGCTGATTGCTTCAAACGGTAAACTTCTAGTTCTTTCCAGCGTCATTCAGGTCAATGACACTTTTGTCTTAGGTACAATAGCATAGCTCTTCGACAACACTTGTCTGAGGACATCAACTTCCGTTGGTGTCTCAATGCGAAGTGCGACCACGGTCAAACTCATCGACTTGGAGGTCTTTATCAGTCCATCTCATTTCTCGAGGATATACTGACACAAGCACTGCGCAATGTAGATGAGTATCCGATTGTTCAATGCACCTGGTGTTATAAGAAGTCTTGCTTCACTCATCAGCTTCCATGGCATGAAGGCTTGACTTGCGCCCAGTTCGATTCTCTTCGTCCGGATGTAGCTGCTGACCAAGAAGCGGCACAACTCCTGATTGGTACCACCACTCAGCAATGTTCCAAGTGCAAAAAGCGGGTGGGTAGTTGTATTAAACCCCCTTTGTCCTCTGTTCGGACATTTCTTGCAGATCGAACGAAGCGCCGGATGTGATCATATGACATGTACGTTGGATCTACCCCCCTCACCACCCCTATTCTATGCCGCCTTCTCACTCTCCAACATTTACTAATCGATCTTGATATACTTATTCGTCTAATTCAGGTCGTTGCGGTCATCAATTGTAGGTGTTAAAAAGATTTCTCAAAGTCAGAGGCACTTATTCATGCTGCATCTCTTGAAGTTGCTGGAGATGTGGTGCAACCATATCCCACGACGAGATATACGGATCGTCCAACCACCTACCGACTTGCCCGCTGAAGCGATGACCCAAAGGTGAGTTGCAATTCAGTCTTTTGTTTCAGCGTGCCCAATTGACTTGTACCTTTCTCTACTCCCAGCATCGTATAAGTGAAAGTAAGGATAAATACCCAGGACTTGGTCTTGCGGGAGTTCTGTCTGAGTACACAATTTACTCCCGTAGCAAGGCGTTCCCTCATCCAGTTCTCGCAATCGGTTCTACTTAACTGTGCCCGAAGAATTACCTGTAATGTCATTGCCCTCCTCGGTAAATTTAGGCACTTTGGTCCATGCTCCCAGTGAGGTTACTTCTTGAAAATGTCAAGACATTCAACAGCATGGGGTAATCGAGTAGATGGAGCAGATCAACGTTTCGATCATTTTCAAACGGGGTAACGAAATGCGACACCCCGGATTGGGACAATCTGAAGTAGGACACACTGAAGTGGAGTACGACACAGTGCCGAGGCCGATGTGTCGCCTTTTGCGAAGGGTGTCACACTTCCCTCTCCTGCTAATTTCTGTGACAATTTTTCCCCATGTGAACTGCTCGATCAAATTCAAGAGTACCAAACGGCCGCAGACTGAGTTTACGTGGAAGAATGGTCAAGGAGTTTGCGTACTATCGTCTTAAGTAGTTCTCTTGCACTTGTTAAATGTTTGGATTCTGCTTTCGTCATCGTCTTGGGCCAGCCCAACCCGAGGTATTCGTGGTAACCTCCAAAGTTGAAAAGCTAGGCCACTCGTGGCAGTCTGCGCTTCCAGATCGACATTCTCCATGCATCCACTATCGCAAAATTCAGCCAGTGTTGTCTCGGTGGCTTGATACCAATCTTCTACGTCGTTCAAATCGCTCTCGAAATCTGGCTTGTCTGTGTCCGTATCACTGCTTGCAAGCGTGCATTGTCATCCTCTGCTCATAATCGTCTGGGTTCTTCAACGGCTTGTTCCTCATGCATCATTCTGAGCCTTGACACTTTTTTGGCAGGAGTGAGTTGCCCGAAAGGGCAATTTATTATCTGTTGGACGAAACCCCGTCGCCCTTCGATAGTGTGGCCCTAAGGAGAACATTATTAGTTTACATGGAATGAAAGCAGAAGAAAGCAGGGGAAGGGGTACGATGTGTCAGTGGAATGTAATCGCCCCTCGTCTCTGCGTGGAAGACTCGGAAAAAAGACGCACTTTACACCGCAGAAGTGTTTGCGGGGTTGTTCGTAGGAAGCTCCAAGGCTATAGAATGGTAACAGAAATACAAGGATTAAGCCTCTCCAAATTGATTTGACATGAAATACGTCGTGCCCGGCTCATCTATGGATGTGGTGGTAAATGACTCGGACTCTGAGCCTTTGTCCTGCAGGCTGCAGATGACTCGTCTGGAGAAATGAGCGGCATCGATGGGAAGAGGTGCTAAACCGAAGCGATCGTAGCTAGCTCAAACCGCGGAGAGTATGATGGTGAATCGACGGGCAATTGGGAGTTCCAGATATGGTAGGCTTCAGAGATCAGGAGTTGTATGATTCCACCTCTGTTCCGAGTTGGTAGCCCCGAAAGGTAGTGGGTAGCGACGTGAAACCGGATATCGCTGGGCGTACACGTTGCTTGTCGAGCGCATTACCAAAAATTAAAGTGTGTAAGAGTGAAATTTGAGTAAGTACTGGGGTTTCAAGGTTGATCAGATCTGTTCGTGTCACATGACGTCGTCGTGTTAGGTCACAGAGCATGTGACTTTTGTGCGCCATCCTTCAAAGCTTCACCGGTCAGCACCTTCGCCCATTGCTCAAAATGCCTATCCCCATCCTCCGGCTTCTCCGAGTCGCCCAACTCAAATCTTTCATACACAAGCACCGTCGTTTCACATTGGTTCTATCCCCAGGATGCTCAGCGGTTCCTTGCCTGGGGTATCCGAGCGATGAGGGGCAAGGTTCGCACTGACGACAAAGAAGGGACTCGGGAGGGGCCCGACAATGCGGTCTATTGGGAGGACGTGGATTTGTAGGAGGTGGTGAGGCATTTTGGTGGGATCGGTGTATTCTTGGAGCGCTTCCATTGCTGACTATTTGAATGACCAGCGGTATGACTGAAAACTGGACGAATCAAGTTGAAGGTAACTATATAGAAGGCCCGTAAACATATCTAGGACCTATTAGTTCATGAACTCGGCTCTCTAAGTACGTTCCCTACTCTATCTCCGCAGGTCTCTCTGCTTACATTACCCCAGGCATTGGCCTCCCTCACCTCCCTCCAACCCCACATAGACGCCATCCACGTCAAAGCCGAGGTTCACAACACCCGTAATCGACTCACTGCAAGACCTACTCCGACGCATGTACAACCGTCTACCCAACAGCTTCCGCCTGCTAACTCAGATGCCTTCAAAAAAAGGGCTAAACACCCCGCCATCAACACATTTGCCCAACTGAGATCATCGAAGTCCTGAGTACCCAGACCGAAGGCCGCACAAACTCGCTCTCCTACTGCCGCGAATGCCAACATGCCCAGGAACTCTTCCAGGTTCTCTCAGAATCCATCAAGAAGGAAATAGCTGCTGTCGATAAGGAGGGACATAGGGATCTTCGGTTGGGTGGATTGTCGGAGGTGCCGTTAGAAAGGATGAGGGAGACTGGGAAGAGCGTGTTTGATGGGCTGACGGCTGATCGGAGCTGTGTGTTGTGTAGGTATACGGAGGCAGCGATGCTTGAGTTGGTTTACCAAGCCAGACGCTGAATCACCGCTCATCAGTGATCACCACGATCCTGCTGATCCTCTTTATCGACCTCCACCCCCGAAATCCTCGCCAGGTATAAAAACACTTCCTTTGTATATTCTCGACAGCAACAACCTCCAGACATTCTACATGGCTTTTGCCGATGCTAAGTTCCTTCCTTCGGGTACCTACGCCATCATCAACGTCGAGTACAACCGTTTCATCTCTTTCAACAAGGAGGGCGAGTCTTTCTCCGCATCTGAGGTAGACTATGGGGTAAGTGTTTCTTTGATACGACGGGGGTTATCCTGATCATTTTTCCCACTATAGTGTGCCATCTCATTCCTCGCGAACAAGAAATGGTCGATTCAAGGCCCGCCAGATGTGTTCGCGGACATTGGACCTCATGCAGAGGAAGGAGAAGACGTTGTCTCGATAAAAAACCCGCCTAAGCCTCATCAGTGGGTCATCAAGCGTCATTCCGAAGAAGCACAATTCTACATGTGTTGATCTTTCGTATTCTCGTCTTTCACAGTCTGATATTTTTCTTTTAGGATCTACTCCCCAACTCAGCCCGATCTGTTTTGGAGCCTTCCCAATGGCGATGACGGGGCATCTGTAAGTACACGTGTATGCTTCAGGATACATAGTAATGACTGCATGTTCGCAGCTGCAATTATCTTCTAAATACGACAGCAGAGCAAGCTATTGGAAGTTCAGAAAGTTAGAAAAGGTGGACGGTGACCCCCAACCTGTATGCCTATTTGCTTTGATTACTATATCATAAAATCTGACGAATCGTCTTTAAGCCTGATCCAATGAAACAGTTTGTGGCTGCTGCTGTAAAGGGTCCAACTCCACTAGATTCAGCGATCAAAAATACCTTCGCCGTGACCATACCGGCTGGCTGGTTAACAACCATTACTTCAGTGAGTGAGAACCTCTTGCTGCCCAGTTGTTCTAACTCGGTTGTTGAAAGGTCTCCTGCGGAAATTGCGTTAATCTTGTCAGAGTTCGCCGCGTTGTCAATGAGGCGCTGGAGAAAGAAGATCTTATCAGTGGTTGGGATACTATTGATAAGGCAATGACGGTCGATGGAAGCGATTCAGATTCATTGGCTCTGCCTTCCGCGGAGGAGGCTTATGCCCTTGTCATCGAGGCTTTCAACTCTAGTAATCGAGCAAGGAAAGACCCACGTAAGTTACCTGGGTTCAAAGATTCAAGCACAAACCTACGCGTCATCACGGTACGTACCTCCCATGATTACTCCCCTCCTGGTGTTTATGATAACTAGCCGTGACCCGTGCTTCGCACGGGGCTTTCCTTTTGAAAGTTCAAACGTTCACCAATTTGAATTCCTGAATTTGTCCAGATTATAAAAGAATTGAATACATCTCTGAGCAGATCAATGCAGGACCAAAGTATTAGAGTAACAAAGTATCCATAAGGTGGAGGCTATTAAGAACTTCAAGAGGGTGGCACATTCTCGTCAGTGAAGAAATTAGCAGAACTCCCTGACTCAACCCTCTTGTGTTTGGCTGCTCTGGTAGCCTGTGCTGGTGTCGGAGTTGCTGGCGTTAGTGTCGGTGATTCAAATCATCAGATGCCTTCTGATTGTAGCTCAAAAGTCCTCTGTAGAGGCGCACAGGGTTTTCGAGGGAGCTACACAAATTCATCAGTCAAGTATTGAAGGCAAATCTCAAAAATAAAGAAACTCACCCTTTAATCTAAGTCATTTGTCAATGTCAAAACCACCGCAGATCCCGTAGGACAGAATACTACATTATTGACTTCCACGATGAACTTCTTGACTTTCCTTGGCTTGGAATCACTGGCAACAATTGCATTGCATCAGCAAAACCTGATTTTCCCACGTAGACAGGCATAGTGCTTCCGCTAATATCATAGTTTCCCATAGTTACATGCCAAGTTTGGCTAGATGCCGTAGCGCTCCACAGCACTCCACAGCACTGTGTGGGTGTAAGCTTGTGCTATACAGCACTACAGAGACTTGTGCCGTTACTATAGGGTGCTATAGAGGGGCCTCCACTTTCTACCCAGCCCTTATAGGGAGTCAAACTACAAGTATACTAGATTTCAGTAGAAAACACATTCCCTATTGTATATGAATAATTTATGACCAAAATACACCTGGAATAAGAAGAAAGTACAACACTGTCCAGAGATTGATTGACCTACAAAGATTGCAACAAGAAAGAATATGAAGTATCTTTTGCAAAACATATTCGTCTTTTGTGATTTTTTTTTGCGTTGGAAAGTGGTGTTCAAGCCGATTCCAACGCGTCTATTTACGTAGTATTTAGTTCAAAACTCAAATGGCTTTGGACCAATTACTGGTGAAGAATCTGCCTAAAAACGGTAAATGTTATCAGAGGTCGCCTTAAACATCAAAATATTAGGGGCTCTCAGACCCGTTTTAAAGCTCTAATTTGTGCGTTTCTAACAAGCCCAAAATCGCATGAAACGGAGCAGAACTCATGATGATAATATATATTTCAGATGTCTAATACAGGCCAAATAGTTTATGCTACAGTTTGTGAGGTACTCCAGATTTTTCTACGCTGTAAATTGGATTACATTCGCGTGAATGAAGCGATTAAAATAAGCCTACATAGAGGCCAAACGGTGTAATACTCATGAAGTTATAGCTATGAGCTACCCTAAAAAGTGTAAGTGTGAATTGATGGAAGTCGGTACAGTTGCGGGAAGTCACGTGCCGCGCTCAACACACATTTTCGAACTTAGACAACTTCAATTGTTACTACTACTACCAAAAAACAGGAAATTTTGGGAAATCATGGAAATAGCCAGGAAATTTCTGGTAACAACTGCAAATTTCTTGGAAGGCTCGGAAATTGTTCAATAATTTTCCAATATGAACTTTATATTTGCCTGATTACATGGTGCCATCTACAATTGTGTATGCCCACCTCAAATGCCATGCTTTCTGTGAAAGACAGTGACAGGCGACAAACAACTTCAAGTCGCGAGACAATTTGTTTAAGTCCGTTGAAACTCCAACATCATGTGATTATGTTGAACTTTGAATTTCCCAACACGGAAATTCATTGTTCTTCCTTCCCACCACAATATTCAACTTGTCCTCGACAAACAGTGTCCTCCCTCGTCGAGTTACAGCATCCTCCCTCCCTCGTTGACGAACTATGTCCCTCGACGAATGGTGTCCTCCCGCATCCATGAATGGCGTCCTCCCTCCCTTGAAGAATGGCATCCTCCCTCTCTTGAAGAACGGCTTCCTCCCCCCCTTGAAGAATGGCTTCCTCCCCCCCTTGAAGAATGGCTCCCTGCCTCCCTTGAAGAACAGCTCGCTCCTGTGAAGAATGGCTTCCTCCCTTAAAGAAAAGATCCCTCCCTCATCGACGAATGGCTCCCTCGTCGACAAACGACTCCTCCCTCAACGAATGGCTCCCTCTCTCGGCAAACGGCTCCCTCCCTTGACGAAAGGCTCCCTCTTGACAAACGGCCCCCCTCCCTCGACAAACGGCTCCCCCGATGAACAGTGTCCTCCCTTGACAAACTGCTCCTTCACTCGTCGACAAACAGCATCCTCCCTCCCTTCTTGATGGACGGCGTTTCTCCCTCGACGAATGGTGTCCTCCCTCCCTCGTTGACGAACGGCGTCCTCCCTCTCTCGTTGATAAATGGTGTTCCCCCTGCCTTGAAGAATGGCGTCTTCCCTTGCTTGTCAACAAACACATCTTCCCTCTGTTGTTGACAAACAGTGTCCTCCCTACCTCATTGATGAACGGCTCCCTCCCTTGAAGAATGGTGTCCTCCCTCCTTTGAGTCCTCCCTCCGTCCCTTGAAGAACAACCGTCCTCCCTTCCTTGTTGGCGAATGGCATCCTCCCTCTGTTGATGAAAGATGGACAGTCTCTTTTCCACTTTCAACTCTCAGTGACCCCGCCAAGGAGTCTGGGGATGGATGCAAACCATATTATGAACTTGGGCTTGGGAATATGCTCATTAGTATCTTTAATACTTGATACTCTGATTCCATAAATTTGATATACTGCAGTCATTACTATGTAGAATATTAGGATATCTTGTATAATGTAGTAGTGCAGACAATAAACTTATTTTTTTGTAACACAAGTTCTGTGTAAAAATCATGCAATATGGTATTAAAATGAGCAGAATGTATGCCCCCCCTCTAGGAATCTGCAGACCCCAGGGGTTGTTACTGAGGGCTGCAGATCTGCTCCGTAATTCTAGGGAGCACTATGAAGTGGCTATGTGTTTCTATGAATGGCTGCAGATCTGCTCTGAGATTCTAGGGAGTGCTGTGTAGTGGCTGTGCATTTCTATGTAGAGCTGCATAGAACACGCAGGTGACTGTAAAGGTGATACCCCTTTCTATGGTGCTATGGCACTACACAGCCCTGCCACGTGCTGCCTAGCTCACCCAGGTTTTGCTGATGTTGGCGAGAAAACCTGTGACAAACACATACTGCTTTGCATATGGCATAGGCTTGCCAAACTGTTCATACCGAGGAGAGTCAAGCACAGTGCAAGCGAAAGAGGCAGTAGGCTTGCTTTTAGAACCAGACTTGACAGGGCCCGTTTGTTATGGTACCTTCAGTATGCCTACTTCCATCCTCTCTTAGTCTACTATTCCCTCAAGTTCTATTTCTCTTCCCTGCTTGTCATTTGACTGTATTATTAATCGTAGTTATCGGCGTATATACCAGACTCGAGACGCTTTAACTTGTAACTATAGATACATCGAACACAAGGTAGCATGGTGATACAAGTATGTAGGAGAACGTTCCATGACCTTCCTCTAGGATCTAGAATTACTAGTAATGTATTTAAATATGTCTACAAGCTAAGATAGAAGGCATTCTTACTTTTAAACCCCAAACACACTGTGTGACTTAAGTTCTTGAGACCAAGACTAAGTAGTGACTATTCTAAGTATTTGGTAAAGCCTCGTGCTATCAAACTACTTATTCAGAATCATTAAAGTCATAGTACTAACATTTCTGATTAACGTTGCTCATCGTCAACGTTGAAGTATGTGAAGACTCATGTGATCTAGGGATCATCCTCTAAACTTACTCGTTGATCTATTCTATGTCCGTGAAACATTATCTATCACTATACATAAGTTTCGTTTAAATTCTACAATTACTGACACGCATCATATTCATAGGAATACGCCAACATTAGAATTGATGGACGAACTCTAACACCATTACTACGAAATATCCACGTCGAATGTTGCCTGGCGTTGATTGCAGTTTGCCACATACCCAGAGAGCTTCTTGGCGAGTTGAGTAGCTCAGAATTGTGAGCAGCTCGATTAGCGCAACAGCAATCCACTCTGGTCCTCTCGATGTATCCTGGTCGAGGACTTAGGGCGTTGGGTCTTGAAGAGGGGCGGTGACACCAAGGACTTCAGTCCACATTCTGGACCAGTCAGTGGTTGGGACCGTTGCGAAGAGCTTGCTGTATCCACTGTTGGTGTCGTTGCAGAGTATTTAGAATATTATCAGACTGTTAATGGTTAGATATACATATTGAGAAGAAGAATTGCTACGTACATGATGATCTTCAAGCTCGACAATGATTTTCGAACCTGTTGGCAAAGTGCATATCTTGAGCGTGTCGGGATTGTGACCGTGATTACAGGACACTGAAATTTCAAGAATTCTTGAGAAATTACCGAATTTGTGTACCACCAGCTGAATTTCAAGGTAGATTCAGCAGGGGCAGGGTGGTCTATTGAGCAGTGTTGATCTGGCAAGTATCAGGCCTTCTGTGTAAGTCAAAGCCACAAAACAGGAGGGAGTAAAAAAGCTCTGTTTGAATTGGTACCTACACAGCAAGTCAGACTAAGCAAACAGGGCAGAATAGCATCAACAGCGGTGGAAAATGGTGAATGAAAAAGGTGGTGTGGATGGCTGTCATGATAGCAGACAGACAATATAGCATCTGTGAGAGGAAGACATCATCAAAGTTGTCTAGTCTTTGTCCCCTGTGGGAAAGTGCCTTGTCGTTTTATAATAGCCTGTGACCTGTATAAGATAACTGTTGCATAGTGTACAGAGAGAGGTGACCAAGAAATTTGTGTATACAAATAACTTGGTTATGCATAGACCTTGCCTGAACTCAGAAAGGTGCAAACAAGGTCTGAGCATTCAGAAAGCTCAATTGTGTTTTTCCAAACCAACCAGCTGTATCAACCCAAGTGTAAGCTCATGATGGCAGGTTGGTGAGGCCAAACTGTCATCCCAATTGAGTGTCACTCGGAAAAGGGTTCAGTAAAATAATCAATTGCAGAAGTGGCTGGACAGTAAAGTAAACAATGTGGTAGTAGTACATGACAGTCAAGGGGTAGAGTTAACAAGTAAGGATGAAGGAATTTTGTGAGAAATATGGAAGTCTTCAAAGATAGAGGCAAGGCGGTCAAGGTGTGCTTTATTATAAGCTTTTGAGGTGGACATGGGCAAGATCTTGTCCATATGGCGCCAGTAGAGTAAAAAAGCAAGGGAGGTCCAACCCCCGGTAGTGGCGACAATTTCGGGAGGCACCCCTGCAAGCAACAGCTCAACAGCACCGCCAATATGGAAGCTGTGGCCCAGAATGTGGGTGACCATGGCAGAGGACCAAATTTTGGTGACGAAGCTGAGGAATTCATGCTTAAGAAGATTTTTGGGTTTGCCAGAGGACGAGGTGTAAGCAAAGAGGGTTGAGGAGGGTGGAATGGAGGTGATTCTTGAAGGCAGCGACGGGGCATAGAGGGTCACCATCATGGCAAGCAGTCAGGATGACAGTAGCCCCAAGTTCTTTTGTTGTCTTTGTCCATGGAATATCAAAGCTCACAGAGTGAGCGCCATCACGCAGAACACGAAATGAAATTCTAAAGAATGATAAGGAATAGGGTAAGTATGAAGTAGTGAGAACATACTTTGTAGAACACAGTGCATGATATTTTGGGTCAAGAGCACCGGCAGTGGTGAGGGTAGTTTCCCCCAGTCGGCGACAACCAAAAAAGGTAGCAAGGGCAACCGCCCAGACAGCAGCATGGAAAGAATTGGAGAGATCCAATGCACAACGCAAACAGGAAAGATGCTCGATAGAGACAGGAGCATGGAGAGTGCGTTTATGCTTCGTGCCTTCTTTGTTAGCGGAGGTGCGAGCTAAATGCACCCAGCTGTCATTACCATGCCAAGGAGCATGGTTCATGATATGCCAACTGCGTAGACCAGCCAGCCATGAGCGGATGGTATTGCCAGAGTGGAGACCTTTGTATTCTCCAATGAAAGCACAGAGCAAAAGGTAGTCAGCAGGCATGCGGGCCTCCTCAGAAATATCCCACTTGTCACAAAACTGGGTGAAGTGCAGAGGGCCTGCAGCGTATGTAGATTTGGCGTTGGGAGCCAAGGCTCCTCGGACAGCCATCATAGTGGACTCGACAAGAGGAGGTGGAAGCCTCTGTGTGATATCATGCTGGTGATGGGAACCAAAAGGTGTACGCCATGAAAAGATGTGGTCAGCGGCGGGGATGCGGGGACGAAGTGGATTGCTAGCAATAGAGCAACCTGGACAGGGCTTACAAGGACAAGTAACATGTGGAAGGGGAAGAGGGAGTTTTGAAAGTTCAGGCTTGTAGCAGGATTCAGGGTCAGAATTGGAAAGTTGGTTGGGAAGGAGACAGATAGGGATGGGCAAGGGAGGGGAAGGATGTTGGAAAGGGTGGAAAGAGTTTCGAGGACATGTGGGGCATGGTGAGAAAAGTTGTGAGATTGCTTCTCACCCACAGACCTCTCGACGACACTGATCGCCGAAATGAGCTTATGGTCAAGACTAAACATACAGGAAACAGTTGGATAGCTCCTGTGGGAGCTTGAAAGTTGGGAAGATCTGCTTTCCTGCCTCCCCTGGTTCTCTGCACGAGATGGGGTTGGCTGGATTAGCCACAGATTCAACATAAACAATTTCTGGAGAAATAGATAAATGGGAGAGGACGAGATAAGTATGGTGGAGGGAGAGGTTAATGTGAGAGTTGGGGCTATGCCCCTTCTCTAATGCACCAATAGTGCCCTGATTATCAGAGTGGATAAGCAAACAGCAGTGCTGCAAACCCATCTCTTCCAGGAAATAAGATAATAGCTTGACTGCAAGAGTCTCGAGCCAGCAAATGTCTCTACCAGCAATGTCGGAGTTTTCTAATTCGGGATCTCAACTGGTTCTAACTTGTTGTGGACGTTCCTATCAAAATTGCCGTCATAATTAAGAGCAACCAAAGAGTTTTTGGTTACAATTTTGGTCCCATCCAGGGTGGCAACCTGGTGGCAACAGGAGTTCCAGCATGATTGTAGCCAATTTTGGGCTAAAAAATGGAAAAATAAAGAACTTTCAATGGTTAGCACTGGTTAGAATGCCGATTCAATGCCGTCCCAATTTCGGCTGGTTGTGACAAAAGAAATAAATCTCCAACAAACTTTCCAGGTAGGAGAGAGTTGGTAGGAAGCCCAGTGGTCTCCAATAATAATACCAATACCCCACGAAGTAGAGGCATCAACATACAGGCCAAGGTCTTGAAGGGG